AACCTTTTCCCAGCCTCCTGTTGGAAATGCTGCTTTGAGAGAGTATGTTTTTGGAGCACTAGTTAAACATACGACTGGGATTAGCAAGAGCATTCTCATAATGTTTCCCTTGCTTGGTTTTGTTTTTTTTGCAGTTATGTTCATGAAAAAGGGTGGCATCATTATTTCAAAAGCTACTGTATACCTGAAGATTTGGTCCCGAGGATATTATCTCCTGCATATTTTCATCATTACAATGAACAAAGAATGTCAATGGCTGGAGAGACTGAAGCCACAAATGGCCAGGGCGTAACATCAGAGGCAGAAAAGAGAAAAAATAAGGAGCACGAGCAGTTAGTTATTGGTGTTGGCCCTGTTCAGAACTCATTCTGGAGGCTTTCAAAACTTGTCCCCCTAGAGGCTGTTAAGAAACAACTGGATAGGTACATAGGAAAGAAAGAGGATCCTGCAGAGACGTCTACTGCAAATGAATCCGCAGTGTCAGCTCCTATTGGGGACGTGGTTATTGAACCACAATCTCTTGAAATAGAAGAGGGTAAGGATGGTATATCTCTCAAGCCATTGCCAGATACTACTGGTAATGGACAAACAGTTAGTGGAAGAAGTGAAGGAAAGACCAATTCGCCTAATGGGTTCAGGGTTCCTTATCTACCCTCTTACGTTCCATTTGGAGAGGTAGATATTATTACTAATAGACAAACGTGATAAGCTATAGGAATACGATAGTACTTAATCTACTTGACTTTGCCAAGATTTGAAATGCTAATTGTAGCTATCTTTCAATGGCATATAATCTGCTTTGATGGGTTTTTTTTTTTTTTCACTAGAATCATTATTCATGAGGCCTTAAGAATTATTGACAGCTCATTAAGTTTATTTTGTGTATTACAGCTATATCTCTTGGGAACTGCATCTGTGGAATCACTTTCAGAAGGAGAGTATTCTAAATTGACATCGGTACGAGCTTTCTTTTACTCATAAATATGGTAATAAGTGAATATATCTCATTTATTGAATTCATCCAAACAATGTAAGGCTTACTAGATCAAGTTGCTTTTATTTTTAGAGTTCTCTGACTTGAGGTGTTTGTATATTCGGATACTTGATTCTTGAAGCTCAATTTTGAAGTCTGTTTGGTTTCTGCTATTATGTACTTATTTTCATATTGAAGTTCTCTTATTTGGTTGCATTTTTATGGCAAAGATATTTTCAGGTCAGATCTGTGATAACCGAACTGAGAGAACGTCTTCAGTCACATTCTATGAAATCCTATAGGTCTCGCTTCCAGAGGTGATAGTTCCTCTTTCCCTAGTCCGGAATGTCAGATGTGGGCTGCTTACCTCTTGATTCATGCGTAAGCAGGTGACTAGTTTTGGTATGCTTTTGCACTAAAATGCGTATTTCTTCTTGTAGAATACATGACCTCTGCATGGACGTTGATGGTTTTTTTGGAGTGGATCAACAGAAGCAGTTTCCACATCTACAACAGTGGCTTGGACTTGCTGTCGGTGGTAGTATAGAACTTGGGCACATTGTTGAATCACCGGTTATTAGAACTGCCACTTCTATCGCCCCTCTTGGCTGGAAAGGCGTTCCGGGTGATAAGAATGCAGAACCTCTAAAAGTTGATATCACTGGATTTGGCTTGCATTTGTGTTCTTTTGTACATGCACAAGTGAATGGCAACTGGTACGACGCTTTTTATTTCTTTTCTGATTGATGACCTATATATGTGATACAATTGTTAAGTATCAGTAATGATTCTCTCTAGGTGCTCAACTACCGTGGAATCCTTTCCTACAACACCTGCTTATTCTTCAGATAATGTAGAACAGACAGAACTACAGAAAATTAGGGTGGTCATTGGAGCTCCGCTGAAACGACCTCCAAGCAATCAGATAGTTGAAGATCCTTTAGTTCCTATGTTCTCGTCTGTTGATTCGAACACCGGTTTTCCAAAGGAAGGAATCAACCTAGGATTTTTTCAAGAGGACAAGTTTGTTCGTCCTGAAGGTTTGGAAGACTTGTATATATTCTGCACTAGTGATTTCGCTACTGTAGCTAAGGAAGTTGAGGTCAGAACACGGAGGGTGAGATTACTCGGGCTTGAGGTACTTCCATTTCTTGCTTGATTGGGATAACATTTCATTCATTTATTGCATATAATTGTAATATCTGGCTCATTTGTCTGCCCAGGGTGCTGGTAAAACCTCTCTATTCCGCGCAATACTGGGTCAAAGCATGCTGAGTTCGATGACTCATGTGGAGAATCTTCAGATACAATCCGATGTTCAAGAATGTGTTATTGGTGGTGTTTGCTACTCGGACACGGTGGGCGTAAACCTGCAGGTTGATTTCTTCACATTCTGGTTCCACAAGTTTCAAGTTCATTTTTTCCCAGCACTGTTAAATTCTTTTTGGTATCCTGATGCAGGAGCTGCACTTAGAGGCATCTCGCTTCAGAGAAGAACTATGGAAAGGAGTTCGTAATCTAAGTAAAAAGATTGATTTAATTATTCTTGTGCACAATCTCTCTCACAGAATACCACGTTACCAAACCTCTACAACGCAACTGCAGCTACAGCAACCAGCACTTGCTCTTCTGTTAGATGAGGTTAAATCTCTCGGTATCCCTTGGGTCCTCGCCATAACAAACAAGTTCTCAGTCAGTGCTCATCAGCAGAAATCCGCTATCGAAGCTGTACTTCAGGCATACCAAGCGTCTCCAAACACAACTGGAATTGTCAACTCTATCCCTTATATTATTTCTGGCTCTGGAACTTCCTCATTGCCTTGGGCAGCTGTGAATGCAGGTAATGATGGATCAGTAGGAGCGCAGAAGATGATATTCGCTCCACTCGACCTTGTCAAAAAGCCTTTTCAGAGAAAAGACACTGTTTTTCCAGTGGATGGTGTGAATTCCCTTTGCCAGCTTGTCCATCGTGTCCTTCAAACTCAAGAAGAAGCTTGCTTTCAGGTATCAATTCTCTCTTACCTGAGTCAGTGCTTGATGAAAATAAGGTTATAGATGTAAGTGTGATGCCCAAGTCGCTTTGATGTTTATATCTCTCCATCGAAACTTTCAGGAACTTGCTAGAGACAGACTGCTGGTGGAACTAGCCAAAGACCGTGCCGTAGATGGTTCACAGGCCAAGTCATCGTCAATGTCAGCAGCAGCTGTGGGCGCTTCACTGGGAGCTGGTCTTGGCCTTGTCTTGGCAGTAGTAATGGGTGCTGGTTCCGCTTTACGAAAGCCCTGATTTTATCCAATCAACCGTTGCATCTATTAATGTTATATATTTTTATATGTACATAACTCCCACTAAAGTTCAAATTCATGTTTTCGCCATTTTCTCGATTCGGTCAGGTCATTTTTGTCTGATCCCTCGGCCAGAACCAATGTGTAGTATCAACACAAAACAGATTGCAAGTATCTTATAAGTCTGAACTGATAAATGATAATTATAACCTTATAAGGTTTTCTCTGGTAAAAACAAGATTGATTTAAATCATCGGGAGCAACAAGACGGATTCCGCCAAGAGCTCTCGGAGCCATCTTGGTTGTTGACAAGGCTGACCCGGTTAACGGAAAGCTCGGCTTTGTAAGCATCAGAGTTGAGAAGTTTGCGACTGACATTGTTGAAGATCTCTCTGATGACAATCTCAAAGGCTTTGTCTACATTTGTGGCGTCCAGAGCAGATGTCTCCATGAAGAACAATCCTTCTTCCTCCGCAAGAGCTTTCCCTTCCTCCACACTGACCGCTCTGATATCCTCCAAATCGCATTTGTTTCCAACTAGCATTTGTGCCACAGCAGTGTCACAATGAGCTTGGGAGGTAACAAAAAAAACAAAGTGTTAGGTATTTGTTTTTGATTCACAACACTCTTGGAAAAATAATATTAAACTTGAGGAAGCTAATCAGAGCATCTTATTGGCTCAGAGAACCAATCCCATTCTCAAGCTAAAAATAGAATCAATGAAGAATGACTCAGATTTATAGCAGCAGAATCATAATACTTCAGCATAATCTTGATTTAAATTATATTCCACCATTTTTCACAAGATTAATGACAAAATCATAAGAACTACTTCAGTGATCAAAATAAAGCACAATGTAATACATGGTGATCAATTCTAAGTGTCAGGACTCACAAATTCAAAACAAGATGTTCCAAAAAAGAGAGAATATATCACATTGTAGAATCCATCAATGGTGCTGAATTATCAAAAGATTAACCACAAAACCGACATCAACAAAATTTCCTCAGATGATCTATCTAAACCAATGAGAAAGGAAGAAAAGAGTTGAGAGAAGGGACGAAGACATACTGTTGAGTTCCTGAAGCCAACGTTTAACGCTTTCGAAAGTGTCACTTCGAGTGATGTCATAAACGATTAGAGCACCAAAAGCACCTCTGTAATAAGCAGAAGTGACTGCCCTAAACCTCTCTTGACCAGCAGTGTCCCAGATCTGAGCTTTCACTTCTTTCCCTTCGATTTCCACCAGCTGCGTCTGAAATTCCACTCCGATTGTCGCCTTCGAGTTCGTGTCGAACTCGTCCCGAGAAAAGCGAGACAGCAGGTTCGATTTTCCGACAGCCGAATCGCCGATTAGGACAATCTTGAACAAGTACTCTTCTCCTCGGTCGTCTTCCTTACCCATCTTCTTCGTCTTCTGTGAGATTGTGGAGAATTTTTTGCGGGCTTTGAAAAAGCTTTGATAAGTGGTAAAGTGGTGACAGACAAGCTGCGTGATTGGCGGGGTTTCCTATAGACAGCCCTCATTAAATCATAATTAACTACGTTTAAAGATTTTGATTAGTGCCAAAGCTTAGGCTTTTTCTGAAATTGGAAAACACCGTATCCCTTTAAAAATATGGCTAAATAACATTTAATTTTCTGAAAATTAGTTTCTATTAAATGAAGGAAAAATTGTACACTTTTCAACTATATTTTTTGTTGTCCATAATTTCCTCATATTTATTTCAACCAACAATATGCAAAATTCAAACTATATTTCAAAAGCTTACAGAAACCGAAAGAGTCAAACTGCTATCAGCCAGTTTTATACATCTGACAACACAAAATTGACTAGTGAGAGAATTACACAGAAATTGTGTGGTTGGATAATTATTTTTGAATCAACTATAGAACATCAAATCTTAAGTCTACATGCCAGTTCTCATAGGTTTTGATATCTTATAGCTTATTTACAATTTTCCCCAGAATCATTATGAACAATGTGGTATACGATTCCTTTTTATTTCACCCAAGTATGGTTACATAGGATATACATAACAATGTAACTGAGAGTTTGTACATAAAAAGCTTGAGGCTGCTTTAAGCCTTTAATTGTTTGCCTTGCCCCAACTTCTTGGGAAAGGAATGGCGTCTTTGATATCAGGAAGTCCGGTTGCAAACAGAAGCATTTGTTCCATACTTAGGCTTATTCCTGAATGTTTCACTGTCCCATGCCTCCTTAAATCTAGGTACCACTCAAACTTCTCCCTCGATAATCCAAATTCCGCGATCCTGGCATTCAAAATCTCAAACCGTTCTTCATTTTGGCTCCCGGTGATCACAACACCAACCTGTAAAGAACGTTGAAGACTTTTGTAATATCCTGCAACTTTGAATTCCTAATTTATATCAAAAGTTTTGTTTGGTTCTCTTCTTACCTTTGGTACGACCAGATCAAATGCTGCTACAGTCTTCTTATCATCATTCAACCGTACGTAAAACTGTTTAACTGCTTTCGGGTAGCTATGTATGATTACAGGACCCTTGTAAATCTCATCAGTTAGATAACTGCGACATTAAACGGTGAACAGAGAAAATTTAAAACTCGGATCTTGAAACAAAGACTCAATTGCATTTTCCATAAGCAATAACATTACCTTAGATGCTCTGTTGTTAAAGCTACTCCCCACTCAGGCTTGGTTTCAAATTTTGTAGTGGTTGCCTGTTTTAGAGAATCAGATCATTATGATATAGCTAAACGATCAGTAGATAGGAACTATATGGGATTTGAGAGTGTTTCACCTTTTGCAGAAGACTGATTGCTTCGGTATAAGAGAATCTCAAAAGAGAGCTGGATGCAGTTGCCTCGAGACGTGTGGTGATGGTCTTGTCAACTCTTTTGGATATGAATTTCATGTCTTCCTGACGATTTTCCAGAACATATTTGCAGAGGAACTTGAAGTATTCATCAGCACAATCCATAGCATCCTGTAACAATCAAACGAAATGAGTTACCATTTGTTGAATATCATCTACCAAAATCAATGTTATACGAATCTTACATCCAATTCCGAGAAAGCCATCTCGGTTTCCACATTCCACATCTCTGCCAAATGCCTTGCATTGTCAATTTTATCAGCTATGAATCTTGGTCCGAAGGTATAAACTTTTCCAAGTGCAGAGGCATAGCTCTCAAGATGAAACCTCCCAGAAGCAGTCAGATAAGCGTCGCAACCAAAGAAATCTTTTGAGAAATCAAGCTTCTCAGATTTGACCAAAGTTCCTGTTTTGGATTTTTGTTTCATCTCAAGCTGAGATGCAAGATCGCCCGTTTTCTTCAAGTCGTGTACAGCAGCAACCACAGCTTCCCGGTTGCTGTCAGACCTCTTGAGGTGATCAATAAGCCTAGTCTTTTCCTTTATTGCAGCCTTTACGGTGTCAATGCTAAATCCATCTTTTTCTTTGACAGGCTTTTTCTCCTCTTTATCATCAGTTTTACCTAAAAGAGTAGTGACCCTAAACATTTCGCCAAAACCAGTGGTTGTGATGACTGGTACTTGAACATACTGAAACCCATGGTACTGAAGGAATGTGTGGCTTGCTAAGGTTAGCGCACTGTGGACTCGAGTCACCGACCCAACCTTCACCAACAATAGAAGAGAAATCTATATTAACCTCATTGCTCTTTCATGACATAGTTATTTAAAAAAAGAAGAACATAAAACCAGAGTTCTCAAAGATTCACTATAACCTAAGATCAACTGTGAAAAATGTTGAAATATAGTTATACCGTAGTTGTGCGGGGTCTGAAATGAGAGAAGTCTCTAAGCATATGCAGAGGAAGCTGTTTCTTCGAGAGTGGATACTTCTCTGGATCCACTGTTCCAACATGAAGAAGCTTCTCCGCCTCAAGCTCAATTACATGTTTTGCAGAAGCAGCCAATGGTAGTCTTAACACACCTTCAGCTACAATACAGGTCCCTAGAGCCATAAGTTGAGTTGCTGGAACAGTTGACAACGCAGAATCAACAACAACCTGAGAGGGGAAAAAAAAACAAAAAGTTAGACTCTTTTGAGTATATCTCTAAAAAAAGCTCTCACTGGCATTTCGTCGAACACCTAATGCGCCAAAAATGTATTAAATTCAAACATCATAACCTACCTGGAGACTGGAGATGGAGGAGCCATCACTGATCAAGAAGTAAAAAACATACTCCGGTGGTGGCACGGCCTTCTGACCAGCGAGTTCCGTCTTATCAAAGATTGGATAAGTCTTCCCACCGCCGCTCAACACATCGAAAAATCTCCTGAAAATATTCATTTTCGATTGAATTATCTCCGTGCACCTAATGTTCGCCGTGGTATGAGCTTGATCCCCACCACTAGACGGCGAAGGGACGGCAACTACAGGCGGAGGAGGAGGAGGAGAATCTTTCTTAACCGCTCTAGCAGACTTAACCCAACCACCAATCACAACCCTTTTCCCGGCCAATGCTGCGCCACGGTCGCTCCGATCAAGCAGAGTCTTTAACTCGACCCGGTTCGAATACTTAGACAACGTTATGGGTTTCGGAGAGAGATCACCATCCTGCTCTTTCTGATGGGTTTTTCCATGGGATTCCATTTTGGGTATTTTAGAATAATCCGATAAATCGGAAGGTTGAGGAAGAAGAATGGAAGAAACTGAGAGGAAGATTTGAGTTTAGTGAGGTTCTTTGAGTTGGATAAATCAAAAGAGACGAAGAGATTATATATAAGCATGATTACTTGAAGATTAGAGGAAGTTTAGACTGTTGGAAGAAGGAAAAGGATTGTTTCTTTCTGTGTTGCGGAGAGAGCAGAGAAAGAGAGAGAAGGCAAAGTTTGGTATTCTTCAAGGTTGGGATATTCGCGGGAACTGTGTCCCAAACAGTTCATATTGAGGTTTTTAAACCTGAATATTTTAAGGCCCAAATGGCCCAATAAGGTGTACATATTTAGATTAATTTGCAATTCACGCCCCTCAGGCTCACAAACATTTCGAAAGTCAACTAGTATTTGGAAATTCTTATCAAAATAACGCCTGGTTTTGGCAAAACGCCAAAAAGTTAAAATGAAATGATCCAATTACACATGGTTTTGGTTAGATAGATATCCACAAAATATTTATAAATCAATAAACCATTCTAAAGTTATATAATCCTAAAATATGTAACTGAATTTCTAATTTAGAAGTATTTACCTAATGTGTTGGATATTAATGAATTTAGCTAAACAAGCTATGCAAAAAAAATAAACAGAATAAATCCCCAATTATTATCATAAACCGATTTCTTTCAAATGCGTTTTATGTAGTGATTTCTAATCCCCATACTACCTTAGAATCACTCCGACCGCTTTCCTGATTCACGAACAAAACAACAACAAGCTTTGGTAACCCAGTTCACGGCCGCAGCCGCTACATCTGGGGAGAGACTGTCCTCTCAACAGCCACTAAGGTGAATCGGAAAACACCTCCGATGTGGTTTACATGAGATCTCTCAAACCCACCGGTAACAACCCTACCGGTTTAACATACAAGGAAGAAGAAGAAGAACAAGAGAAGGAGAAGATAACCCATAGACATCCCAAGAAGAACTCTATCACTCTCACCAAGCTCTCTCTATGTCTACATCTCTCTCTCTCTCTCTAGAATCGTCTGCAGGAGAAGACAACGACTCTCTGTCCTTCGCTGCTTGCCTTTTCGCTTGGCGTCCAGAGACGCTCCTCTCTTTCCTTTGTAGTCAGACAGATGGGCTTAGCAACAGTTTAGCCCAACTGTGTCTCAGACAGAGACAATTCTGATAATGGGCCAGAGCAGTGTGGATGACACAGGCCCATACTTTACAATCTCCACCTTGGGCCAAGTCGAATCCACCTCTAGCTTCTTGTCGAACCTGATGAGAAATGAACCTGAAAAACTAATTCCAGCCATCCTTGTTGACAACCTCTTCTGAAAACTCTGAACGTGATTTCACCTTTCAGTCAACAACATATCTCTATCCTTGACGACGACAAAACCAGAATGTACCTGAAGCCACCTTACCGGAATCTCTGCTAACGACCAGTGACTCCTACCATGGCTCAAACCTCCTCATCTGAAACCCTGATGACTACAAAACTTTCGCCAAAAGTAATTCTCCTCTACTTCTTCTTCATAACCAACCTCTGCCCAAGAGTACCAGCTGATGTTACCACAGATAAACCTCTGTTCCAACAGCCTATACCACAGACGAACTCTGTTCCAGCAACTCTTCTTTTGAGGTTTCTTGTTCTCTCACTTGTAACCAAGAAGGATCAGCTTGTTTTACCACCAGCTATACCAAGCATCAACCGTCAAAGCAACCTAAGAACTTCTTGTTACAGTCACCACAGCTCTGACCCGAGCTTATCTCAGCGACTTCAAAAAAATCTCACCAAAACACTATCTTTCCAACAGCTTATGTGCTACTGCGACTGCAACAACAACTACAACCGGCGAGTTTCTTCTTGTTCTTGTTGTTACTCTAATTTAGATACTCCTTCCTCCTTTTGTGAGAACACCTTTGTTGGTCATTACCAACATCACCAACAGAATTCATCAATCACACAGTTTCCTTCATGACTCCTGTTACAGCCATGCACCTGTCTCAGTGATTGAAATAATAAGCTTTCCTCTGCAGCTTGATTCACCTTGATATATCTTTTTGATCCATATCATGTGCACTGATCTTAGAATCAAAATTCTCTTGAATCTTATGCAGTAGACCTTTGAACCATACATGCTTCAGCCTGAAACATTACCTGATTCAACCAGCTTAACACAATCTCATTTGACATTCACTGAAAGCGCTAATGCACTTAGAGAACCTAAGATTGAACTTGCTGCTTTCTGTTTAAACAAAACCAGCTCTGAAACTGTCTTGTACCGCCATCATCACTAATGGAACACGCCTCCAAACTAGCACCGTTGAGAAGACTTTCGACACAACCATCCATTCAGATCTTATGTTTAAACAGACCCTGATACTTGTAGATCTGCACGACTAGCAGACTCAGGAACCAGTCTCTTGTCAGTACCAGAACTATGACCCATGAGACTTCCTTTTACAGCTAACCCTCATCACATCTCGAGCCCGTGACAACATTTCTTCAGCTGTAAAACCATTCCACACCATACATTTACCTGTATTGAGGAATGCACCAAACAAATGGTGTCCGCATCACAACAGTCTTGGAAATTACCATCAGACTTCATTCTGATTTACCATTATCTAGTAAACATTAGATAATCCTTCACGCGCGAGCTTCATTCAATCCAGACTACCGAGAAGATCTCCTCAATTCTCTTCTTGTGATGCCAAGGATACACAAGTATACAATACTTGCTCCTCACTAACAATGCAGTTGACCCTGCATTTACATCCTTTCTTGGATGTGTTTATGATCCTAGAACATGTTGAGCTTCTCTTGTTTACCTTGCATGCTTTTCTTGAGAAACTTTCACAACATTTCCTTGATGCAGACTTGAACAACAAACATTCACCTGTTATTGTCTTTCAAATGCAAAACTCCACCTGCATATGAAACGCCTCTGCATCTGTGTTCCTTCTAGAATCTTTCCCTTGTGTTGCTTCTATTAGCTTGATGAAGATCCTTGTCAAGATGACAATAGGAGCTGTAGCTCAAATCCTTTTGAGGTGATTGACCTTGAGAACATAATCTGCTGAGAATCCTGCAGAGATTATCTCAATTAACTTAACATTTTTCTTTGTCAGCTTAACCACTTCCCTCTCTTCATCGAAGCTCTTACACCCAGCAACTTACCTTGGTAGGTGAACCATTCACAACAAGCCTTCTGTCAAAACAGAATTTCCCTGTTTGAACTTGTTCACTCATTTACCGTCCTTGGATTTCCTGTCTTCAATACACATTTTCCAGCCTTTGAGACTCTAAAGTACCAGTGAAAGACCTGTCTCCAAACTCATATCTTTCGAAGCTTAGCCAACAACACAATTCAGATCATATGACCAATCTGAATCACCCAAGACATCATCTAAATGCACAACTCCACCTGGAACCAACTCAGACAGTTCGAGTATAATTTACACTCTTCTTGAACTATCAACAGCTCCACCTTGAATGTGATCCATTTAGAATGCTCCAATGTCTCTTATAAGCACAACTCCACTTCTTGAGTTAAACAAAATTCACTGTTAACTTCCAATCAACTCATCCGACTTGTGTAGATGACAACCTTAGTGTGAGTTAAAATATGAGCTATATGTTATAACGGTAGACATATGATTCCTGCCCACTACACACACACTGAATAATCTCTTTCTCCTAAGAGAAATCACCAAGAACTCTTTGCTACTTCTGATGTATTTCAGCACTGTTTTCTCCAACAGATTTGACCTGTTATAGACTGTGACCCCTAGACTCACTTGAAGTCCACTTCAAACTTGTCTCCTTAATCTTCTGCATTTTCTCACTTACTCCCTTGCAGTCATTACCGAGATCTTGAGCTGTTTCACACTGTGAATCACTAAGACTCTTTGAAGCAATACAATGAGATCAAGCAGGTTCAGAAACTTGCATGTCTGAACTTGTCTATAACACACTGAACGATACTCCCTTACCGTAGCTTCTTACCACCAGTTACTAGCTTTAATAGTAACAACACCACTGATTTACCTCAGCAATACTCTGAGCACATCATTCCCTGTCATTTACTCAGTCACTTAGATGTCTCACTAGACCACCTCCTGCTGTTGTTACCACACAGATTCTTCTGTTACAGCGAATAATACTTGATTTGCAGACACATACTCTCCATGCTTCAACAACTACTTAGTCTATGTGAGACTCATACACGTGATCTCCATGACATGATGACTCTTTATGCTTCCTCAATGAATCATTTACCTGACCCATTTCTTTAGCATTAACCTCATGTTGCTTCAACCTTACTACCACCTGATCACTTCAGAAAAGAAACGCTGCAGTATACCAGAAACAACAAATCCAGCAAACACAGTACAATTCCCTTGTACTTTCCCGCGTGCTGACACAGACTTCCTTATGATCCACTAGAACCGGAGACCAACACAGCCTGCAACCACATCTGATTTACACCAACCAAATGTTAAACCTCAGAGACTTGACCTGTAACTGAAACCTCCTCAAATCTTTCTCCTAACATGAAGTCTTCAACCATTAACTGTCTTGAACCACACAGCTAACTTGAACCAGTTTCTACCTTACTCCACCTGCAGTTCTCATACCTGAATCTCAACCTTTAATCTTGATGATTTAACAGAAACAACACACGGATTTCTGTGAGTCTCCATTTCTGTTCTTCCACCCATCCTTTGAACACTAACTTAAGCAGATTTCCAACAACCATTCAAACCAAAACTCAATGTGAAACCCAACAAATGAGCTTGGCTTTCCTTTGTCAAATATCAGCAATCTTTGTGTTCTAACCAGGCCTTGATTCCTTATTGTAACGCAGGTCTTGAGAATCCTGAAACTTCACTTACTAACATCACAAAATTCCCTGTGATATACAGCGGATAACAGACTTCCTGTTTTACCAGATTTGATACTTGAGAGGTAGAGGCTCAATACTAAAAGTCTAAACTTGAATCGAGCTGATCCTGGTGAAACCCTCACCACACTTCAATCTCAAAACGTTTCTTCCTCACAGATACAACAACACCTTCACCTGCATATTTCACAGATGATGTATGTTCAACTGCTTTCGTCTCAGTCTCTGAAACTGACCTTTCTGGTGCGTGCAACAACTTCACCTGCAGATTCTTTAAACCAGATCCTGCATCGTTGCACAATCACAAGCCAGCTAATAACTTTGAGGATTCCTGATTCCATTAACCTGAAATCACCTCTTAAAGATCCAATCTTTACCGATGAACCTTTCTTCCTCCTTTTTCCGGTGACTTTGACTCTAACCCGTCACCACCTTTCTTCTTCCCTTTACCTTGCAATTGTTGCTGTGAATCCCTGAGCTGAAGCTTTGAACAAGGCGTCGACTTTCTTCATAAAGCTTGGAGCTTTCTTGCAAAGCTTGCTCCTTTCTTCATAAAGTTTACACCTTTCTTTGTAAAACTTGAAGCCTTTTGATAAAGCTTGAATCTTTCTTCACTAACCATAAAGTTTCTTCTGTTTCTTCAACAAAGCTTGAAACTTTATAGGTTTTCCTTCACAAAGATCAAACCTTTCCTCAAACCCTAGCTTCCCTCCACAAAGTTCAAAGCTTCCCTCAAAACCTGAGGCTCTGATACCACTTGTAGTGATTTCTAATCCCCATACTACCTTAGAATCACTCCGACCGCTTTCCTGATTCACGAACAAAACAACAACAAGCTTTGGTAACCCAGTTCACGGCCGCAGCCGCTACATCTGGGGAGAGACTGTCCTCTCAACAGCCACTAAGGTGAATCGGAAAACACCTCCGATGTGGTTTACATGAGATGTCTCAAACCCACCGGTAACAACCCTACCGGTTTAACATACAAGGAAGAAGAAGAAGAACAAGAGAAGGAGAAGATAACCCATAGACATCCCAAGAAGAACTCTATCACTCTCACCAAGCTCTCTCTATGTCTACATCTCTCTCTCTCTCTAGAATCGTCTGCAGGAGAAGACAACGACTCTCTGTCCTTCGCTGCTTGCCTTTTCGCTTGGCGTCCAGAGACGCTCCTCTCTTTCCTTTGTAGTCAGACAGATGGGCTTAGCAACAGTTTAGCCCAACTGTGTCTCAGACAAAGACAATTCTGATAATGGGCCAGAGCAGTGTGGATGACACAGGCCCATACTTTACATTTTATTTATTTATTGTGACCTTATTTGCTTACAAACATTTTGAATTTTGAGAAAGTTTTAAAGGGCCAGTTGTATAGATAATTAGGTACGAATCTTGTCATTAAGCAATAAGCAGTTGGGAAAAAAGGGGCATGGAATGGGGTCACATGTACACGAATTGTAATGATGGTTAGCACGAGGCACACAACCTAAGGCCGAATAAATCACTAATAAGATAATTAAACTTTTTGATAAGAAATAGTATTCCTCCCAACTAAACGTAGGCTTGAGGTCTAGAATTTGCAGACGAAAGCAACATGTTTTAATAATCCCCCTGTTGTTAAAAAAAAAATTGTAATACCCTAGCAAACTTTATAGACTATCGTAGAGTGGCCAATGATCGAACAAAATGCCAATATTACCTTCAAAGTTCTTACTAAACTATTTGTATTAAGCATGAAATCTTTCGGCTAAAACATTAGAATTTAAATCAGGTGGACTTATACTTCCTCATATATCTCAACCAATAAAATCAGTAAGTCATATAAACGTCCAAGCAATTCTACTAACTATGAAATTTTATAGTTTATAAATATATAATTCAAAAATTGATGCGATAGAGTATGTGTAACCAAAAATTAGTTTTTATGATCCCCCAAAACTCAAATGTATTTTGAGGCTCAGATTGATGAGTTAGATTTATGATCTATCTTTAACTTAATTAGTATAGTATTTGAGAGATTGAAATGGAATATTATTCGAAAAGGTTAATCTCCTATCCTACTCACCATAGGCCTTCATGATGCTCATAATCATTGCCTCTTCAATGATTAAAAGCTCTTTTGATTCCGAGCTTTACACATCATCGATCATCACTCACTCAGTTCTTCTTCTACTTATAAAGCCACGTTCAAGAACTTGCAAATTATAGAACCAAACTTTGATAACTAAATCAAATCCGAAAGACATAAAAACAAGAAGGAATTATGGTAAGAAGAAACGCAGTCCATGCGATGTCAAGTCTTCCGTCGAGGTACTGGTGGCCGCAGCAACGAAGAAAAGGAAAACGAGTCGTCGTGCGGTTAGGAAACCGGCGACGAGGGTTCTTTGTGGGGCCACCGCGGATGGTGGTACAGAGATGGAGGATGAACATCGGAAAGCCGATGAAGATGATGAGAAGTATCATTTTGGGGATACTCTCAAGTGGTGGAAATGTTAACTTCTTAGATGCTTATCTTTGGTCTTTACCAATCTTACGTCCTCAGTTGTTTCCACTATGTTGATTTGTTGTGATACCAATTTCTACTTGTGAAACTGTAATATTTATCTTGTTCTTATTTTTATTTTTTTGTGTGAGTCTAAATAATTGGCTTCAAAATAAAGTCTTTATTCTTGCTAACTTCTTCTTTAAAAGAGTTGAAGGTTAATGAAAACAACTAGTTTTTGAATTACTCTGTCTGCTTGTGTGTTCAGTGATTACTTACAAAATACAAATTGCAAAACTGTTATGCTAGTTAGATGTATGAATTATTGAATTGTGACAATATTAAACATATTTTATTTCAAAATTTTGAAAAGAATTATAAATGATCATTTTTAGTTTACTAATTGAGTAATTGACCAATTATTTGTTTTTTCTCAAAAAAATAAGGATTTTAGTTTTGTTTATATAAAGAATTTAGTTAAGAATTATGTATAATAATACAAATATTAGATATATATATATATATATATCATTTATTTAGTTGATAAATATAATCTCTACTTTCAATTTACAAATATTTAGTTTTTATCAAAACAATTATTTAAAGGATGAAAGATATAATTCTTATTAAAGGATAAAAAAAAAAAAATTGGACAGATTTGGGTTTTATTTTATATCTAAAAGACTCAAAACCTATCGTCATTATCTTCAACAGGCGGAAGAACGGAGATGGCCGCCATTACAGCTCTCGCTCTCCGCTCTCCTGTTTTTCTTCCTCCATCATCCGCCACAACCCCTAGATTCCATGGCTTCACCAAGCTACCACCACCAGCTCGTCTCTTCTTTCCTCTTAAACCCTTCCCTTTTCTATCCATCCAAAACCCTAAATCCATCCGAATTTCCGCATCCGCATCGCCGATGACACCAACCATCCCGACGGCGAAGTCAACAACTCGGTCATCGACACTCACCGGGTCGACTCGGTCTCTCGCTACTCTCGCGGCTTTAACAATCGCTGTAACCAGAGTCTTAGCTCAGAAACTCTCTCTTGCGATCCAGACTTCAAGTCCCGCAATCGCAGACGGATTAAGATTCTCCCTCAGTACCGCCGGACCGGTCTTCTTCGCGTCGCTCCGGGATCGTCCTCCGGGGTACTTGAACACGCCGCTTACGGTGGTTGCGGTGGGGATAAAGAAGTGGTTAGACATATACAGTGGGGTTTTGATGGTTAGGGTTTTGCTCAGTTGGTTCCCTAATATCCCTTGGGAAAGACAGCCTTTGTCTGCCATTAGAGATCTATGTGATCCTTACTTGAATCTCTTCAGAAACATCATTCCTCCTATCTTCGATACTCTTGATGTTAGTCCATTGCTTGCTTTCGCGGTTCTTGGTACACTTGGATCGATTGTTCATGGCAGCACTGGATAGAAATTCGTGATCAAGAATTGAGCTTTGATTTGAGGCAACTTCTTTCGATTAGGAAAAGTCAGAATTGGATACTGTTTTGGATGTTTAATGAGAGTTGTGAGCTTTGTCGTTTTTGAATTTGATTCTGAATAATGAGATTTTGGCTTGTTGATTATCTTCTAATTACATTTTCATTGCTCTATAGACTACATATTATTGATCCTCTCAATTGTTGACACTTGACATTGATTAAGAATCAGAAAGTTAAGTTTTAGTTTAGAACTGTGGAACAGTGCAAGAATAGACATGTTAGGTTCTTGCTCCATCTAAAGTCACAATTATTAGAGTGGGTTTCTCTAGCTCAAAGTAAGAAGACAGACAATCAAATGTGTAATGGTATCACATCACACATGAAAGCTGCACTTTGATCAACTATTAATTTGATCTTGTAAAAAAGTACTGAAGTTTCAACAAAAGGTGTCAACTCGAAAGTAAGAAACTAGAAGTTTGAATTGGATCACACCATTTGCCAGTTCAATTCTATAATCATATACAATCTTAAAAAATCAAACTCGTTGAACTCTAACACGATTCAACTCCTTCAAATCCAGAAACCGTTATCAGACATGGATCATACGAGAATTAGTAAAACCGAGTTAGGTTCAATTTCGGTTTTGTGAAATTACCGGTTTAGAAACAAGCTCTGGTATAGGTCGTTTTAGCTTCTGAGACTTCATTTAGTCTCAGACTCTGCGACGCTCTTTACTAGCCGCCGGAAAACCACCATGAACTTTGTCGTCAGACGGATAGGCTCCATTTTGCCGTCGATACGTCACGGCGGCGTTTCCCAAATCCGGCTAGCCAGAACAGAGGCAGTTCAGCCGAGACGGCGAAACAAGTTGCCTTCTCTTCCGCTCAAGAAGAAGGAAGAGAAATCCGAGTGGTGGATAGTCGACGGAGAGATGCACGAGATCGGCGATCACGTCCCTCCTCGTGAGCGGTTCACAATCCCCAGGGACAACATTCCGAACAAACGCCGGAAGCAGCTCCGTGAGCAGTTCATGCGCCGCACTCGTCTCGTCCTGAAAGAATCGGTCAGTTCCATTAACAAAGTTTAGATTTTTCCAATCTTCACTGCTTCATTGTTCTGTGTTGTAGTTCAATTGGAAAAAATTCTGTCTTTAACATAATTTTGATGCTATTTCTGTGATAGGAACATGAGCCATGGTGCAAAAAGTATATGGAACTATATAACGAGCTTAGAGAGAACTGGGAGAGGCTTTATTGGGATGAAGGATATTCAAAGAAAATCGCAAGTGATCATGCAAATTATGAATCTGCTGAAGAAGACGATGAAGATTTTAATCCATACAGGTTTCTCTGTTAATCACTGACTATTTTCTTATAATGGTATTTAGGTGTAGATGGATGGTTTTGTGATTGGTTTATCTCCTTGTTCATTGCAGGAACAGGCGGTCTTACAGCGATCAAACAAAGGTAATATATTACGAGCCTGAGTAGATTTGAGATCTTGTTGCGGTTCAATTCTGTCTAATTTCATTGATTTCCCTGATTTTTTTTTTTTGTGTTATCTGTGAAACTTGAGTCTGATTTCTGTGAGAATCGAAAATGAAAGCAGGAGCAAGGGTTTAATAGAACTACACAAGGTGATAATTGGGAGAAAGTCAATCAAATCAGGGATAAGTTTGAGTATGATAGAGAAAGGAGGATGAGAGATAAAGGTGAGTTTTCATCACCAAAATTTCTTGTGGATTGAGCATAATGGTACTTTGTATACTCTTCAGCATTTTACTACATGAACAGAAATAGAGTTGGTAGTATAGTACTATAGTCTATTAAAATTCTTTGGAGTATTGGAAAGCTTAAGTTGCAGCATCAGTACACTGAAGCATTGGTTAAACCAAGCATCATATGCTCTATTTTGTCGAATAGGAAGTCTTAACATATTACCTGAAATATATCAGAAATTTGGGAAAATGCTTAAAACATATCATTTGCAAATTTAAGAGAGGAAAACGATAGAGCGCAATAGATGAATGTTCGCTTATTGTCTACCATCTTGCCCGTTTATATATGACATGCTAATTGAGCCGAGCATCTTGCATGAAACTAGCTAAAGTCGTTTGTGGGTGATATGTGTGCTGCATTCTGCTTACTGTAGTTTCTCAGCTGTCTTGAACAATCTCTCTTGTTGCAGCCTTTGCACCAATGAATGCAGCACCAGCCTCTCAAGAATCTAGGGACTTGAATTGGAATGCACAAAGACGGCCTTTTGACGCTGAGAGATTCACAAGGGATTGAATACGTAAACATCACAAGAGACTGAGAGAGCAAGTAGATGAAATGGAGCTTGGCATTACATCTAATATATCTATATATCCATTTGAACATCAATTCTTATTACTTTGCACAAGTACTTATCTAAACACTAGATGAATACCCACCCACTCGTTTTGTGTTTTTCTAGGTTGCTCCAAAAAAGTTTGGATTTTCTTGTGATCTGTCTTTTATTGTCTATCATATAGTCCTGTGTAATTCATGAAAAGGAATGTAAAAGTAACTTGATATGACGTATCACAAAAGATGTTATAAATCGAATTGGTTCAGGGTCATCATCTCCACATGTTTCTTCTCAGCCTTTAGCTCTTAGTGCACATTATAAGCATCAGACCTCATCCTTATCTCCTCAGGCAATGAGTTGATTCTCACCTTAAACGCATCATATCCTCATTTCTTGATGCTTTTGGTAGTTAACGAATGCTCTGTTCTGTTCAGTTTTGCATGTTGGTTAGTCACTCGAATAAGGAAACCTCAAATAAATGGTTACGCAGTAAGAAAACAAATAACCGTTTGGTAAAGGTAATTATTTCTTACCGTTGTGATCAATTTCCTTTTTTTTTTTATAACGAAATTTCCTTTTTTCTAGGTCAACATATCTCCTTTAAATATTTTTTGACCGTTGTGATCAATTTCCGTTGTCAAATATATAAATACTCGTTTCTTCTTCCATCGTCGAGAAATCAAAATAATACAATCTCCTTCTTCGGAAAGAAAACAAAAGAAATCAACTTTTCTCTTTTTCTTTTTGATACAAGCAGTTTCTTCTCGAACAAGCTCTGCGCCTCTGCCGATGTCTGATCGCCGATATCGACACCATGAAGGCGATGATCCATGTAGAGCCACCCTGCAACAACTTCATCTCAGAACTTATATCCGTACGATTGATCGGAGGAAAGCATCTATGTTTCGTAGATTGATATGCATGATGCATCCTCTGTTGTGACTACATCTACAATCTCTCTCTAATTTCACAAAAATCAAAGATGCGAGGAAGAAAACGGGAAGGCGATCGAGGAACCAATGACGAAGATTTGGGGTTCCAATACTTTCGATGGCTCATACTCAGACGAGTTGCCTCAGGATGAAGATGAATTTGAGTTTCGTCACGAGTCACGAGAGCCAGGTTAGTTTGCTTTCTCAATTTCTTGCTCATTTTTTCTTAATAAAAATTTGATTTCTTTCTTAATAAAAATTTGATTAATTTGATAAAACATTTTTAAACTAAATTAAAAATTAATAAATTTAAAACAAAATTTAAAAAGAAACTTGGATAATAAATTTGCAATATGGTATGAAAACTAACCGGATTTTGGATCCCGCATTAGTCGTTAGTGATTCCAAACATTCAACTTGTTTTTCATATCATTATGTAGATTTAGCATTCAAGTTTTTAATTCTAATTTTTAAAATACTTTTTAAAATTGTGAAAATTTAATTAAAAATAAATAAATTTTAAAAAAACCTTGGATAATAAATTTGCAATATGGTATGTATAAGTATAAATGTTTAAACTTTAAGAAAACACTTAAACACTTAAACCAAAACTATGTTAATTTTACTATTAATTTCTAAAAATTAGTTCAAGTGTTAAATTTTTAGATATAGATAAAACACTTAAACTTTAAGAAAATTAGTTTAAACTTTAAGAAAATTTTAAGAAAACTAAAATAAGTATAAATGTTTAAAATTTAAGAAAACACTTAAACCAAAACTATGCTAATTTTACTATTAATTTTAAAAAATTACTTCAAGTATTAAATTTTTAATATTTTAGATAAAACACTTAAACTTTAAGAAAACACTTAAACACTTAAACACTTAAACCAAAACTATGTTAATTTTTACTATTAATTTTTAAAAATTAGTTCAAGTGTTAAAATTTTAGATATTTTAGATCTTAAACTATAAGAAAATAAGTTTAAACTTTAAAGAAAACTAAAATAAGTATAAAGGTTTAAACTTTAAGAAAACACTTAAACACTTAAACCAAAGCTATGTTAATATTACTATTAATTTTTAAAAATTAGTTCAAGTGTTAAATTTTTAGATATCTTAGATAAAACACTTAAACTTTAAGAAAATAAGTTTAAACTTTAAGGAAACTAAGATAAATACAAATGTTTAAACTTTAAGAAAACACTTAAACACTTAAACCAAAACTATGTTAATTTTACTATTAATTTTTAAAAATTAATTCAAGTGTTAAATTTTTAGATATTTTAGATAAAACACTTAAACTTTAGGGTAAGAAAACTTTAAGAAAACAAAAATAAGTATAAAGGTTTAAACTTTAAGAATACACTTAAACACTTAAACCAAAACTATGTTAATTTTACTATTAATTTTTAAAATTTAGTTCAAGTGTTAAATTTTTAGATATTTTAGATCTTAAACTTTAAGAAAATAAGTTTAAACGTTAAGAAAACTTTAAAAAAACTTTAAGAAAACTAAAATAAGTATAAAGGTTTAAACTTTAAGAAAACATTCAAACACTTAAACCAAAACAATGTTAATTTTACTATTAATTGTAAAAAATTAGTTCAAGTGTTAAATTTTTAGATATTTAGATAAAACACTTAAACTTTAAGAAAACTTTAAGAAAACTAAAATAAGTATAAATGTTGAAACTTTAAGAAAACACTTAAACACTTAAACCAAAACTATGTTAATTTTACTATTAATTTTTAAAAATTAGTTCAAGTGTTAAATTTTTAGATATTTTAGATAAAACACTTAAACTTTAAGAAAACTTCAAGAAAACACATAAACACTTAAACCGAAACTATGTTAATTTTACTATTAATTTTTAAAAATTAGTTCAAGTGTTAAAATTTTAGATCTTTTAGATCTAAAACTTTAAGAAAATAAGTTTAAACTTTAAGAAAACTAAAATAAGTATAAAGGTTTAAACTTTAAAAAAACACTTAAACACTTAAACACTTAAACCAAAACAATGTTAATTTTACTATTAATTTTTAAAAATTAGTTCAAGTGTTAGATTTTTAGATATTTTAGATAAAACAAATTAAACTTTAAGAAAATAAGTTTAAACTTTAAGAAAACTAAAATACGTATAAAGGTTTAAACTTTAAGAAAACACTTAAACCAAAACTATGTTAATTTTACTATTAATTTTAAAAAATTAGTTCAAGTGTTAAATTTTTAGATATTTAGATAAAACACTTAAAACTTTAAGAAAACTTTAAGAAAACTAAAATAAGTATAAATGTTGAAACTTTAAGAAAACACTTAAACACTTAAACACTTAAACCAAAACTATGTTAATTTTACTATTAATTTTTAAAAATTAGTTCAAGTGTTTAATTTTTAGATATTTTAGATAAAAAACTTAAACTTTAAGAAAACTTTAAGAAAACACATAAACACTTAAACCGAAACTATGTTAATTTTACTATTAATTTTTAAAAATTAGTTCAAGTGTTAATATTTTAGATCTTTTAGATCTCAAACTTTAAGAAAATAAGTTTAAACTTTAAGGAAACTTTAAGAAAACTAAAATAAGTATAAAGGTTTAAACTTAAAAAAAACACTTAAACACTTAAACCAAAACAATGTTAATTTTACTATTAATTTTTAAAAATTAGTTCAAGTGTTAAATTCTTAGATATTTTAGATAAAACAAATTAAACTTTAAGAAAATAAGTATAAACTTTAAGAAAACTTTAAGAAAACTAAAATAAGTATAAAGGTTTAAACTTTAAGAAAACACTTAAACACTTAAACCAAAACTATGTTAATATTACTATTAATTTTTAAAAATTAGTTCAAGTGTTAAATTTTTAAATATCTTAGATAAAACACTTAAACTTTAATAAAATAAGTTTAAACTTTAAAAAAACTTTAAGAAAACTAAAATAAGTATAAAGGTTTAAACTTTAAGAAAACACTTAAACACTTAAACCAAAACTATGTTAATTTTACTATTAATTTTTAAAAATTATTTCAAGTGTTAAATTTTTAGATATTTTAGACCTTAAAATTTAAGAAAATAAGTTTAAACTTTAAGAAAACTTTAAGAAAACTAAAATAAGTATAACGGTTTAAACTTTAAGAAAACACTTAAACACTTAAACCAAAACTATGTTAATTTTACTATTATTTTTTAAAAATTAGTTCAAGTGTTAAATTTTTAGATATTTTAGATAAAACACTTAAATTTTAAGAAAACTTTAAGAAAACACTTAAACACTTAAAACCAAAACTATGTTAATTTTACTATTAATTTCTTAAAATTAGTTCAAGTTTTAGATATTTAGATCTTAAGAAAAAAAGTTTAAACTTTAAGAAAACTTTAAAAAAACTAAAATAAGTATAAAGGTTTACACTTTAAGAAAACACTTAAACACTTAAACCAAAACTATGTTAATTTTACTATTAATTTTTAAAAATTAGTTCAAGTGTTAGATTTTTAGATATTTTAGATAAAACAAATTAAACTTTAAGAAAATAAGTTTAAACTTTAAGAAAACTTTAAGAAAACTAAAATACGTATAAAGGTTTAAACTTTAAGAAAACACTTAAACACTTAAACACTTAAACCAAAATTATGTTAATTTTACTATTAATTTTAAAAAATTAGTTCAAGTGTTAAATTTTTAGATATTTAGATAAAACACTTAAAACTTTAAGAAAACTGTAAGAAAACTAAAATAAGTATAAATGTTGAAACTTTAAGAAAACACTTAAACACTTAAACACTTAAACCAAAACTATGTTAATTTTACTATTAATTTTTAAAAATTAGTTCAAGTGTTTAATTTTTAGATATTTTAGATAAAAAACTTAAACTTTAAGAAAACTTTAAGAAAACACATAAACACTTAAACCGAAACTATGTTAATTTTACTATTAATTTTTAAAAATTAGTTCAAGTGTTAATATTTTAGATCTTTTAGATCTCAAACTTTAAGAAAATAAGTTTAAACTTTAAGGAAACTTTAAGAAAACTAAAATAAGTATAAAGGTTTAAACTTTAAAAAAACACTTAAACACTTAAACCAAAACAATGTTAATTTTACTATTAATTTTTAAAAAATTAGTTCAAGTGTTAAATTTTTAGATATTTTAGATAAAACACTTAAACTTTAAGAAAATAAGTTTAAAATTTAAGAAAACTAAAATAAATACAAATGTTTAAACTTTAAGAAAACACTTAAACACTTAAACCAAAACTATATTAATTTTACTATTAATTTTAAAAATTTAATTCAAGTGTTAAAGTTTTAGATATTTTAGATAAAACACTTAAACTTTAAGAAAACTTTAAGAAAACCAAAATAAGTATAAAGGTTTAAACTTTAAGAAAACACTTAAACACTTAAACCAAAACTATGTTATTTTTACTATTAATTTTTAAAAATTAATTCAAGTGTTAAATTTTAAGATATTTTAGATAAAACACTTAAACTTTAAGAAAACTTTAAGAAAACACTTAAACACTTAAACCAAAACTATGTTAATTTTACTATCAATTTTTAAAAATTAGTTCAAGTGTTAAAATTTTAGATCTTTTAGATCTTAAACTTTAAGAAAACTTTAAGAAAACTAAAATATGTATAAAGGTTTAAACTTTAAGAAAACACTTAAACATTTAAACCAAAACTATGTTAATTTTACTATTAATTTTAAAAAATTAGTTCAAGTGTTAAAGTTTTAGATATTTTAGATAAAACACTTAAACTTTAAGAAAACTACTTAAACACTTAAACACTTAAACCAAAACTATGTTAATTTTACTATTAATTTTTAAAAATTAGTTCAAGTGTTAAAATTTTAGATCTTTTAGATCTTAAACTTTAAGAAAATAAGTTTAAACTTTAAGAAAACTTTAAGAAAACTAAAATATGTATAAAGGTTTAAACTTTAAGAAAACACTTAAACACTTAAACCAAAACTATGTTAATTTTTACTATTAATTTTAAAAAATTAGTTCAAGTGTTAAATTTTTAGATATTTTAGATAAAACACTAAAACTTCAAGAAAATAAGTTTAAACTTTAAGAAAACTTTAAGAAAACTAAAATAAGTATAAAGGTTTCAACTTTAAGAAAACACTTAAACACTTAAACCGAAACTATGTTAATTTTACTATTAATTTTTAAAAATTATTTCAAGTGTTAAATTTTAAAAACGTAGAAAACTAAGTGTAACCTTCAGAAGTAGTTACTAAGATTTATATTATTATTAAAAAATATTATGGTGAAAATATGTGATCATAAACAAAATTATTAATCAAAGAGTTTAATTAATCATTATAATGAGTAGACGTACTTTTTTAAGTTTTTAAAATTACATTCAACAAAACATTATGATAAAAAATACGCAATACTTTAAATTGTGTTGTTAAAGAGAGACAATCCTCGGAAAAAATTAACTAATAACCAAAAGTAATAGTTATTTAGGAAAAAATAAATAATAATATAGGTAACAAAGTATATATGTGAATGCTATATAGCGAAAAAATGCCAACAACCGTAAAATAAAAAGGTTTATTTGATTAACCGTTGCAATCTTTGAACAGATGCAACTTTCTAAACATAAACCATAAGATTATATTATATAGTTAAAAATTGAACAGATGCAACTTAAAAAAAAAACATAACCATAAATTATGTTTTATAGTTATTAAAAATGAACAGTTGTAACTTTTGAACAAATCAAAACCATAAAATTTATACTTTATAGTTAAAAATTGAACAGATGCAACTTTTCACAATTGTAAAATGAAAAAGTTTATTTGACGAACCGTTTCAACCACGGAATAGATGCAACTTTCTAGATAACAAAACCATAAAATTTATAATTTATAGTTAAAAATTGAATAGACGCAACTTTAAGAAAACACAACCATAAATTATATTTTATAATTATTAAAAAAACCTTAACGAAAAAGTTGCGACGATAAGACACAATAGTGCAAATATTTTATATTTAAAAACTAAACAGATGCAACTTTAAGAAAACACAAGTACACAACTACAAATTATATTTTATAACTATTTAAAAAAAAATAACGAAAGATTGCGACGAAAGACATATAAGTTCAGATTTTTTATAGTTAAAAATTGAATAGATGCAACTTTTTTAAAAAATAATAATATTTTATAGTTTAAAAAAAAAACTTAACGAAAGGTTGCGACGAAAATACACAATCGTTAGGTATTTATTGAGATTGCTATTATATATAGATTAAATGTAAATTATTATTTTAATTAAAAGTGGAAAATTTTCTTTAAGTAATGACAAATCTACTGTTGTTCTAACTTTAATAATAGTAGACTTCCTCACGTTTGTGGTAAAAATGCCTACATAAAGGCAAAATGAGTTACAAAATGAACGAACAGCTAATGTAAAAACGCGATACTAATAAAACACACATACAGGAAAAAAAAAAAAAAACAGGGAATAAACAACATTTGACCACGAAAAACAACTGAAATATATATTTTTGTTAACTGAGAATCCAAAATCCAAATCTTATCTCCATGAAGCATTTTCCTTTGCCAAACAGTGCTTCTACTCTAACACCGCACCTGCATTAAATATCTTTGTTAATCAAACATATCACATATTCACAGTGAGAATCGATTCATTCACTATAAATGTTTCATCTATACTAATATGCTACTTTAGCTTCTTTCCAATCAGAGGATGTTTTCAGAGTTCTAAATTTTGTATTTGATCGAATTAACTAACATTTTAGTCACATTGCTACCAAAATTATATAAATACAATATTGCCTAAGTCTGAAGTCTCTTAGGCCTAAAAACTTGAGAATTTTGTGATGTTATAGTAAAGTTATTCCAAAAAATTGATAACAAGAGAAATAAAATTAATTACATGGAGGAAAATTGGCAGAACATTTTCCAGGTAAATGGAGAGCGAGGGTCCGGTCAACGCCAACGATGGGTGGTCCCTTGGCAAGAACGCATAGACAAGGTTGACCAAGTATCTTGATAGCAGCGCAACATAGCTTGTTCGGAGGCAATGTGCTAAACGGAGCCACTGATGGTCTACACGGCACTAGCTGAATCAAAGCCGACAAAAATGTACGACCACATGGGTGTCCCAGCGTCTCTCTCACCAGACCTGACTGGACCATAACCATAAGTAACATCACTGTAAAAACCTGACTCTTTTTCATTACAAACATCTCTTTTTTTCTTTTTGTGACAATGTCTTGTACAAAAAAGACGAAAGCTCATATATAACTTGTACTGAGAGTGCAAAGGAGAATAATTCCATGAATAACCTAATGGAGTTGGATTAGATGGATCATGAAACTTGGGGTTTATTGTTTCTAGGCTCACGTTTTCTACGCAATTAGTTAGATTTTCACATGCATATTCATAACAAGTGATTATCATCTCATATATTATTAAATTCTAGGAAAATTGAGTTATACATAGAGATGATGGTTTGGAGAAAAGATACGGTATAAGATGTGTGACGTACAACCAATTTATTTTCGATGCTTGAAGAAATGTCAAAAATTTATGAAGTTATACTCAAGTCTCGTCTATATTTTAACATATTCCAATCCAAATCATGAGTCTTAATTAATCTCACACTTCTTCGGCTAAATACAAGATTGTTTATTTATATATGTGCTTACATGACAAAGTACAAAACAGAACAAAAGACAAAAAGAATACAATAATAATAAACATTCATCACTTCAACCAAATCTGAGCCATTCATTCAACATCTTTTCCGAACCAACCCTGACATTGTTGTTACCGTCTAACTTCCGCTCACAGATTCTCTCGGTTCTGTCCCGCACGCAGTCTGGAGAAAGCAATGCAGAAACAACACTGGAATGGGGGAAGGGAAAGAATGAAGCATCTGACCATGAATCATGCCTAAGATTTGAGATCAAAACAGTACAAGTATCTTCAAGAATAGATGAGAGCATCTATCTATCTTTTCCATCTTTCTGGTATAGTATAACAACATTTCTTAAACTCCTGCTAAACAGTATTTCTTCCAAGAGTTTGATCTACTTGATACAATGGCAACATCGAAGACTGAACCTGCAAGAACCATTAAAAGACATATTAATTCACTTTGCCATTGTTATATCACTAATAAATCTGACCAATCCAAACACTTTCAAAAACACTCTTTCCTAGTTCCATTGATGTTCTGATGTCATGTTTATAAGAGTTACTCACTGATCTAATGTCAACCAAATCAAGAAAGCAATTATACAACTAGGCACATACATTATGAGTTAATCCTTCAACAATTCAAGCAAGTGCTACACTTAATCCTTCAGCTAATACTCAGTTCTACAAATCCATACACCAGAAAAGATACTCAAACTCAAAAACAGAGATTCTCAAGATTTCATACCTTGTTTTCACCAATAAACTCAGCATCGCTACGAACCGCAACACAATCTCTCGGTGTCTCGAACAAAGACAAAGAGTATTGCTTGCGAAGAACACCAACGTCAAAGAATATAAGACCAGAGCTCGGCACGTCGACTCGGATTCCTTTAACCGGAAACCACAAGAACAGCTCTTGCGCTGAGATTCCCGACAAATCCCCGATTTGAGCATAACCTATCGTTCCTGAAACAATCTCGTCGTAATGCAGCTCTGTCTCATACTTAGCCTGGCATGACTGGTTCAAATAAACCGAGAACCGTCCCGTTTCGCCATTAACGCTGAACCCTTTCACGCCTTTCGGAAATATCCCCAAAGGCAATCCGTTCGCCAGAAGGATCTCGTCTATAGATTCGTTCTCTGCGATCACGGCGGAGATCGAGATCCCGGCGGCGAGAACGAAACAAAGAAGCGCGATTTGAACTATACGAAGCATAGTAGAATGATAGAATTTGCCAGATCTCGTTGCTGGCTATGAGGAAATTGAATTAATGGGTTTAAGCGAGGAAGAAGAAGAAGAAGACGACATTTTTATGACAGCTTGAAACAGAGTGGATCAAAATTATTGAAGGCGGAATTTGGAATGAGGGCAGTGATCTTCTGTTTCTCAGGCCATGGTTAGAGTAACCAATGAATGAATGCCACGTCATACTATATCCACCAATTAAAATTTTAGTTAAATGTGGTTTCGTTTTAAGCCATGTTCTAACATTTAACGAGTTATTGGAAAAGTAGGTGGACCGGACCACATGGGATCATAGAGAGACATGGGTTTGGGTTTTTAGAGTTGGATCGTGATTTGCGCAAGTAAAGTACATATATAAGATGAGAGCCTACACGGCACAAGTTGAACCAAAGCCGACAAAAATGTACGACCACATGGCTGTCCCATCTTCTGACTCGAAAAAAAAACCGCAAGTACTATCACTGTGTAAGAACCTGAGATTGTTTTCATTACAATATCTTTTTCTGATTTTTGACAATGTTTTTAATTGTGATTATAACTATAGTAGGCGAACAAACGAGAAATAATTGCATGAGTTTGATTAGATGGAGAACGTGGAACTTGGGGCTTACTGCTTGTAGGGTCACATTTTGTATGCAATTCGTTAGATTTGAAAGTTTGAATATCTGGATCCGATCCATACATATCTGTGATATATTTATTAAATTTTTTAAATATAGATCATATACTCTAGTCTCGTTTATATCTTAACATATGCCCATCCAACTCATGGGTCTACACCATCTTAAGCTTAATGTTTCACCCAAGATGAGTTATGGTCTGGTGGTGGCTTTAGTTCCTCCTTGTTATTTTCAGTAACAAGGTTCGAAACCATGTAATGTGTGTATGAAAGTGGATTTTGTTACAATCTTAAACTATAGACCAAAATATAAAATAAATATCTCACAATCTTAAACATAAAGATCCCTCTTAAAATAATGAGGCACTAGACAAGTCTCCTAATTGGACTAGTTTTGGCATTACTGTTTCATTGATCCACTGAATCTTCATAGGACAGTGACTTCCGAAGCCAACTGGAGACAGACTTCCACTTCAGGTTCAGGGCAGGTCTTTAGAATGGCGACGAAATCCTATAATTGTCACAGTTGATTTGACTGTAAAATTTAGATTCATTTACCAAAAATAAAGCAGCCAGATATTCGGCCAAAGGGAAATGATTGCAAATTGCCAAATTTCTATAACACTTATTTGGCAAAATATAGGATTTATTATATCTGTTTTAGACATGACACAAGAATACAACACAAAACATTCATCACCTCACAGTTATCATCACTTCAACAAAATCTGGGCCATCCCTTTAGCATCTTTTCAAAACCACAGATTCTCTCCTCGGTTCAGTCCCCGGCCTAATCTGAGAACGAAATACAGAAACAAAACTGGAATGGGGAGGGAAAGAATGAACCAATTTGATTTTGAATCATGCCTAAGATTTGAGACCAAAACAGTTGAAGTATCTTCAAGAATTGATGAGAACATCTATCTTCTTTTCTTTCTGGTATGGTATAACAACATTCTTTAAACTCTTGCTAAATGATGTTTCTCCCAAGATTTTGATCTACTCGATACAATGCCAACTGAACCTGCAAGAAGACCCATTGAGGACACATCAGCTTATTTTCCATTACACGAGTGAATCGGATTAATGCAACACTGTCAAAACCATCATTCCTAGTTCGAAAGATATTCCCAATTCACAAGTCTAACAGTTCATCACCGATAAAAAAATCTCGACCAATTCAAGAATGGAGAAAAAACGACCCTAAAAAGGAACCATCTTTCATAGTTCTAAAGATACTCTTAATGTCACATGTCCAACAGTTCTTGACCAATCAAAAATCGCAACCAAGTCAAGAATGGAGAAAAAATGACCCTGAAAAAGAATCTCAAAAGTTTCAGATGATGACGAATGAGATAAGCTAACAAACTTTTAAAAAGGATTCTCATTTGAATTCTTAGTGGCAAGCCTGAAACTTCAAAATATCCAAAAGCTCAACATTGAAAAACCAAAAAATCCAGCACATTTGAATTATCTCTATATGTAAAACACATTTTAAAGATTATTTATCTTTCTCTATTCAAACAATAGCACATTAGTATCCTTCAATAAATTTCAAGAACTTCAAAGATACTTAGTTCTACAAATTCATAAGATTCAATTGAAAAAAACTCATTCCGCATACCTTGTGAATCTCGCGAACCGGAACGCAATCTCTCGGTGTCTCGAACAAAGACAAAGAGTACTGCTTTCGAACAACACCAACGTCGAAGTATATAAGACCAGAACTCGGCACGTCGACTCGGATTCCTTTAACCGGAAACCACAAGAACAGCTCTTGCGCCGAGATTCCCGACAAATCCGAGATTTGAGAAGAACCTATAGTCCCTGTAATATTGGCGTCGTAATGTAGCTCAGTCTCGTATTTAGCCTCGCATGACTGATTCAAATAAACCGAGAACCGTCCCGTTTCGACGTCGAAGTTGAATTCTCTGACGCCTTTCGGGAATATCCCCGACGGCAATCCGTTAGCCAGGAGGATCTCGTATATAGTCTCGGTCTCTGATATCGCCGAGGAGATCGAGATCCCGGCGACGAAAACGAGACATAGAAACGCGATTTGAACAATACGAAGCATCGCCTTATTCTTCCCGAATTCACGGTTGGTGAATTTGCGAGATCTCTCTGCTCGTTTATTAGGAAATTGAATCAATGGGTTTAAGGGAAGAAGAAGAAGAAGAAGAAGACGACATTCTGGTGACAGCTTGAAACAGAGTGGATCAAAATTTTATCAAATTATTGAAGGCGGAATTTGGAAAGGAGCAGTAATCTTGTGTTTCTCATTCCATAGATGGAACCAACCAATGAATGTGAGCCACGTCGGTTGTGTATCCACCAATGCCCATATTTAGTTAAATGTGGCTTGTTTCGTTAAGCCTTGTTTCTAACTTCCTAAATTGATAACGCGTTATTGGAAAAAAGTTGGTGGACCGTATCACATGGGAACAGAGTGGATCTGGCCGGAGTTGCGGCTATTCGAATGTTAATACATTTTTTTCTGTCTTAAATGCCTCATAAACACATAGAAGCAATGTTTTTCTTAACCCAAAACTAGACCAAACAAAATGTTGAACCGGTTCAATCGAACGGTTCAGTTAGAAATCTCTTTCCCTCGTATTATTGGGCCTGTAACTCTGTTTGGGCTTATAAAGAAGCCCGCTTCAAAGTAGCGTTTCACCCTCACTTCACTTTTCCGGTTTCATTCACAAAAAATCTCCGACCAAAAATTGGGGAACGACGATGGCGACGACTCTCCAGAAACTCTCCTCTCAAATCCACCGCCTCTCTCCATTCACCAGATCCCTAATCGTCCGCACCTCCGCCACATCTGCTCCTTCTCCGTCTCTGGGATCTAAGAAAGTCTCCGACCGAATCGTCAAGCTTTCTGCGATCGATCCCGATGGATACAAGCAGGACATCATTGGTCTCTCTGGTCAGACTCTCCTTCGTGCGCTCACTCACACTGGTCTGATTGATCCGGCATCACATAGATTGGATGACATCGAAGCTTGCTCAGCGGAGTGCGAGGTTCAGATCGCAGAGGAATGGCTCGAGAAGCTCCCGCCGCGTACCTACGAAGAGGAATATGTGCTGAAGCGTAGCTCTAGATCCCGTATCCTGAACAAACACTCGCGTCTTGGTTGCCAAGTTGTGTTAACGCAGGAGCTTCAAGGTATGGTCGTCGCTGTCCCTGAAGCTAAGCCTTGGGACATTCCGTAAGTTTTTGTTCTTGAGGCTCTCTCATAAATGTTGGGTTCGTTCTAAAATTGGCTAATAAAATTCGCTTTGGAAATTTCGGTACACTGCAGATAACTCCATTTGAATCTGTAATTTTCGTTTCCTTACTTTAAATTTTGTAATGTGGTAAAGAACTTTGCTTGTTTAAACGATTCCCTGCTTCAAGTATGGGTGAATGTTGCTTTCTTGATTTCATTTTCGTTGCTTCTTCTTCCATTAGATAGTTTCTCTCCCTCAGGTGAACTTTTTTTGTGTGTTCGTTTTAGAGTTTAGCAGAAACGTAGGAGGGGTTAGAGATTATGGTGCTATATCTAGAGATTGGCAAAAGTAATTGGAAAATCCAAGGGGGTTAATGAACACATTGTGTCCAATTGTGGTTACTTGCTAGGCATAGAGAAAGATAGAGAGAGAGTATAGAACAGGAATGAGATACTTTTTACAGACCATATAACTAATCTTCTCAGTTTCAGTATGCTTAGGATTAAAAGGCCATCCTTTCTATACGAGTATAATTGTCGAAGTAGGAGATTAGATAGAAGAATTAGTGGATTTTTGATCTTTCATTCTCATAACTACCGCATCTTTGGTGAGGCTGATATAACATTGTATGGACTCTCAGCATTGTAATCACAGATTCTGCATTTAGGGAAAGGGAATAATGTAGAATGAATATGGCATCTTTATACCTATTTTTTAGTAGATTTGAATCATTTGAGTTGAGTCTGGCAAACTCTTTGTAGGATCGATTCTTGTTCAGGTTTTGTGTGGAAGAGTGATTCAGTGATATAACATTGAGGATATACTAATTAGATGTTATTTTCCTAGCGGTGTTCTAAACGCAGCTTATACGTCATTAAACTTGTGATTAATTTTCTAATTCGTACTCGTTTTACCAAAATCCGAAACCGAAGCAAACTGAGAAAACGGATGCTCAAATCTACGTAAAAAAGTTAATACCATTACTCTTAGGCATGTAAGTTATACGGTCATCCGATACAACATTATTTAAATCTGTTAACAGACCATCAATCTGGTAAGAAGTGATTAAGACCTTACTATTTTAAACGCCATCTCTTTTTAATTTATTATTGTTCAAGTTGTCTCTTCTATTTTCGAAAAATCCAAATGTTCAAATTGACAAAAAGAAAAAATAAGTGTGTACAATATCACTTAGAATAAATTACATCTTATGTAGATAATAGAATAAAATTTGGATTAGTTTAAACAAACAGATAACAATTTGAATTGAATTCTGTTTGTCTATAACTATCCTAACCACAAATTGTGAGTCTTAAAAGATTTAACCTGAAATAACTATCCTAACGGAAAACTGTTTGAAGATGATCAAATATGTACATTCCGTGTGTATCTCTATTGATAGACTTTGGTTTTTGTGTATTCTTGAAGGACATAAACCTATTTTAAGACTAGTTCAACAGAAAACTGGTGCAGACCACGATCACAGTTGTAATGAGTTTTCTAAAATGGTAACCACTCCTTTTCTTTAAGAAGCAGTCCTTCTTCTCTTCTCCTGCCCTAATTTCTTCTTCTCTATAAACCCATATTCTAGTTTTGTTCTCATTCATTCTCTGTTCAAAGCTCATAATTAATAAACTCCGATTAAAAATGGATCAAGCGGAGCTTGCCCGGATATTCCAAATGTTCGACAGGAACGGTGACGGCAAAATCACGAAGCAAGAGCTGAATGATTCATTGGAGAATCTAGGAATCTACATTCCAGACAAAGACTTGGTGCAGATGATCGAGAAGATTGATCTCAACGGTGATGGCTACGTGGACATCGAAGAGTTTGGAGGGTTGTACCAGACGATAATGGAGGAAAGAGACGAGGAGGAAGACATGAGAGAGGCTTTCAACGTGTTTGATCAGAACCGGGACGGGTTCATCACGGTGGAAGAGCTAAGATCTGTGTTAGCTTCCTTGGGGCTCAAGCAAGGAAGAACCCTAGAGGATTGCAAGAGGATGATAAGCAAAGTCGACGTTGATGGAGATGGCATGGTGAATTTCAAGGAGTTTAAACAAATGATGAAAGGTGGTGGATTTGCCGCCTTAGGATCAAACTTGTAAAAAGGAAAACTCATTTTTCGGGTTCGGGTTTGAGACCCAAAATCATTGGTTTTTTCCCTTCGGAATGATTATTAGGGCAAAACCACGAAAGCGATTAATGTATTTGCAAAAGAAAAAGCTCAACAAACTTTGTGAGCTTTGTTTTGAATGCTCCTACACAAATGTTGTTGATGAATTTGCTTTTGGGGATTTTGAAACATAACCATGTTGAGGATTTCAAATTGTTGAGGATTCTTTTATTATTTTTAACATTTGGGTGTGGTACACTTAAAAGTTATCACTATCTAACTTATAAGCTCATGCCATTGAAAATTACAAAGATTAAACACACAAACAATCGAATATATGTCTTAAAGTGAACATTAAGGTCAAAGTATTAGGAAAAAAGTGTTTAATGGAACATTTTAGTCAATTAATTTATTCGGTCAAAGTAAAAAGGGAAACTCTAGGTAAAAAGTTAAAAAAGGGAAGGAACAAAACTGTAAACTACATGATGTTTAAGTCTTAAAGTGAGGTCAAGTCATAAACTACGTGCCGTTTCTCACTATTCGTAATCCAACGGGCGAGACTAGAATTAAATTATGACCAGATCTTGGTTAGGTCTTGTCGTCTTGTTCACCGCTTCCCAGTTACTAACTTGAGCTTCACAGATCATCATCACTTCCTCTCTCTCTCGAAGAAACACAATTTGGAGTTTTCTAATCTTCCATACAAAGTGAGTACTTCAACTGAATCCCTTTTCTACTACTCTATAGTTTATTCAAATTCTCGTCTATCTGTTTCGATGATGTTGTTGTTTTCGCTCCCTTTTGTCTTCGTTGCTTCTGTATATCAAATTATGAAATCTAAATTCCCAGTTTCGTGTTTCTATGTGCTCGATTTGCTAATTTTCTTTTATGATTCCACTTTGGTGAAGTTCAGATTTTGAGTAATATCGATGAAATTGCTACTCTCTATCTGTTCATTAGGGTTTATAATTTATAAATGCATAGTTTAGGGTTTCTGTTTCCATTAGTCACTTCTTGAGGACCTGCTTATCTTCAAGCCATTGTGTATTTGATAAGCTTTGGAAGAAGTTCATCAACTCTTTGGTCCACTATATCTAGCGTAGGGCTGAATGTAGCAGATTAGAACTGCTAAGAGTTGGTTAGAGAGAGGGGTGGGTTTATAAGGATTTTCTAGGGTTTGGTTGGGTATATGGTAGAGAGTTTCTGGTTTGGTGAACAAGATTAAGAAATAGCTGTTTCATAGCTTTGCATCTTTTGTCTTGAATTGAACTCTTTGTTTGTGTGTTGTGTTGTGGCAGTGGAAGGGAACTCTTTACCAGAAGAAGATGTAGAGATGATGGAGAATTCAGATGGAAAGAATACAGTCACAGATGAATTTCTTCCAATGGTGGAGCCGTTCATTGGTTTGGAGTTTGAATCAGAAGAGGCTGCAAAGTCTTTCTATGACAATTACGCTACATGCATGGGTTTCGTTATGCGAGTGGATGCTTTCAGGAGGTCGATGAGAGATGGGACTGTGGTGTGGCGTAGACTCGTGTGTAATAAAGAAGGGTTCCGTAGATCAAGACCTCGGAGAAGCGAGAGCAGGAAACCTAGAGCTATAACAAGAGAAGGGTGTAAAGCTCTGATTGTGGTGAAAAGAGAGAAATCCGGAAAATGGGTTGTCACTAAATTTGAGAAAGAACATAATCATCTTCTCTTGCCTCTCTCACCTAATGTTCGCCGGAATCATCCGCTCCCTCAAACACCGGTACGTTTACGCACTTTTCCTTGGGGTAAAACAGTGATAATTGAACAAAAAACAGAGGAAATACTTAAAAATTGGTGCTCTGGTCTTATATAATGCTCGGTCCGTTTTCCTCTGAACTTAAAAATTGATCTTGAAATCTTATACAAACATACTTTTCAGGACGAGAAAGACGCAAAGATTCGGGAGCTGAGTGCAGAGCTGAGCCGAGAGAGAAGGCGTTGTACTGCTTTGCAACAGCAGCTTGATATGGTTCTCAAGGAGATGGAAGAACATTCCAACCATCTCTCCGTTAACATCAATAATGTTATCCAAAGTGTTAGAGAAATTGAGTCCAATACTTTCACTAAACCCCTTAGCTGAATACAAACAACAAACATAATCCTTCATTTCTGTTCATAAAAGCTTAACATCAAGTTCTCTTAATCCAATGTTCTTTTTCTCTTGTGATTGATTCTTCATTCTCCGAAACAAACAAAGAAAAAACGATATTGGAAGGCATTGATGATGATATTACACAATGGCTAATCAAAATAAAGCCATGGACTTGGGAACATTCTCCACATCATTATCCAATTTTGACAGGAATTGATTCATCAGTATCAATGCCAGAAAGCGTAAATAGCGGTAGAGATGTAAATCAGCAGAGCAGAGGAAACCAGAGTGACGAGCGTTGCAACCGCTTGAGCCGCCGATTTGCTGCCGCAAGAGAGCAAACCAAGACGGATCTGAATCACATTAACCATAGAGAGCATCAAGAAGAGACAGCCCATGACAGATCCGACAGCAGAAGCCATCATTCCCCATCTCAAAACCTTGATATTGATGTGAGCTCTGAAAATCTCGTTGACGTCTTTGCTATTAAGAAGGTTTAAGGCAAGCTTAAGACCCTGAGCTACGAGAGAGGAGAAGAGGAAGAAGCTGAAGGAGACGACTTCGAAGACCAGTAGCTTCTTGGCCACGTCAGCACTTGCGTCGCAGCTGGATCGTTGTTCGAGGCTGTGTTGTCCTGGAGTCGCTAAGGAAAGACCAACGAAGACGGCGATGGTGAAGAGAGAGTTCACGTTCACGAGTCCGTCGAGAGCGCTTACGTGGACACTTGTGGTGGCGAGGGAGGATGTTGAAGACGTCTCTGGTGACGTCATTCTCAAGCCGTTCTCAACGCCGGTCATGTAGTTAACCTTCGGCTCAGATCTGCTCGGAAAGGGGAAAAAAGAGGCAGATTGATTTTAGGGAGAGAGAAAGGGTTTAGGTTACTCTTCCGGAATCTAATTAAGCAATGTGTTAGCTTTTGGTCGGGGCTTAGTTTGAAGAAAGAGATTGATTGTCTTAAAAAGAGAGCTTGTCGGAAATTCTCTCTCTCTCCCTATCTTTGTACAAACCAGCTTCCTTGAGGCGTTTTCTTTCCACGTCGGATTCTACTGAAATGAAGTTGTTGACTTTTTTCAAGGAAATGACCTTTTAGAATTTTGTATGCAATCAAATTTTAATGGATTTTGGGTGAATTTAAAAGTTTTTTTATGATTTATTAACAACACTTCATAAATAATTTAATGCACTTGTCAAAACACTAAATAACAACATTATATCTTAAAAATATTTTTAAAAATTTAATGATGAACTTTATATTTGTTAATCAAAGACGAATCATTTTGGATACATTCCCTTAAACTGCCAAATTCGAAGGTTAAAGATCAATAATCATTTATGGATGGATTTGATACATATACAAAAGAAGAAGCCGTAGAAATATGAGAATTGCATTTCCGAGGTTGATACGAAGATGTCAAGCTTCAGATGACTGCATTCTCATTTTGCCTGTTTGGTGTGGTGGGTGAAGGACGAATTGCCCTAGCAAATCGATGACTAACATAACGGTGAAAATGTTTAAGCAAAACTTGCCTTTGGTCTCGGTTCCAGGGGATTAGATAGACGATGAGAGCAAACGCAAAAGAAACTCCTGTGATCATAAACAAACCGCGAAACGTGTAAACTGTAAGAGGATGGAACGTATCCTCGCTTGTGGCTGACGTCGTTTGTCTCTGGAACCACCAATTCTCTATGGCTTTTAGCTTCTCTGTTCTCCTTAGCTTTGCGATTTCTCTTGACACCTTCTGAACCAAAGGAGAACCTTTCTGGAAAGCCTGAGAGAAAGATGTAACAATTAAAATGAGTGTGCATACCAATAATGTAATAAAAGATGAAAGTTTTGGGGGAGAAGCTTTACAAATCCAAAGCCGTTGGTGACGCTTTCGGTTTTGACAATTTCGAATTCTGAAGGGTGTTTTGCAACAAAGAGCTTTACATATGGAACTTCATCGACGATGAACGAGATAGTTCCATTCCTTAAAGCATTTGTAAAATCGTCAGCTGTCTTTAATCCCTTGTATCTAGGTCCTTGGAACGTAGGATTCTCATTAACCACATTTGCTGCAATAGAGGCAGAAAAGAAGCCAATGTTTTCGTTTGATTTCAACCCTCGTATCTGTTGAACCGTCATCACTGATGTCAACGTTGCAGTGTAATTTGAAGTCAATATAAGCACTGCAAATATCCAAACAATAACTACAAATCTCGACATATTATGTTGTAGCCTCTCCCCTATATATCAACCATATCAAAGCAAGGAAAAGTCAGAGAGTTCTTATAATAGACAAAATCAAGAAGGTTAATTCGATCTTCTCGTACTTACGATGGGCAAAGACAAGGGTCGAGAACCCAAAACATAGCAATGTTCCAATCTGTTGGAAACAAGAGCCTTGGAAGTCAGCGTTATCATGCCGCTCTATCAACCAAACTATAGCCCCCGTCAAGATAAAGAAAGTTGCAATTGTTAGCCAAAGACTAAGTGTCAAAGGCTTAAAGATAATCCACATGCTTTTGTCTTTGGCAGTCACAACTGCGAGACCCATATCAGTGAAAGGTAACGTAAAATCAACATATAAAGATCTGTTATCAGTAATCGTGATATCCCCAACAGCTGCATCGTACTTGTCTTTCTGTGAAAGAAGTATTAAACAAAACAAATAATTAATGTTATAGTGTTTCACATCGAAAGTGGAGTTCTATCTAAAGTAGTATATAATGATGAATATTGGCTTCTCCACTAATTACCAATTAATTTTGTGTTGAAGCTCATAATTCCCCAAACTTAAAGAGTAATATAACTAAGGATAGACCGCGATAAGCCACAACAGTGTATATATATATTACCTGGCTATACAGTGTGTACACAAGATCGTTGTAGTTGTTGTAATTAATTGCGCCAGGCCAAGGTATGTACTCCACTTCATAATTGAAAGGTAAGATTGATGTCTCAAAAACGTCAATACAGTATCCTGTAGCAGCCGTGACTCCAGTTTTAAAATCTGTTTTCACTTCCAGTATTTGTGGAATTATGTTACCCGCTGGTACTAAAACTCTCAGCTTCTTCTTTTCACCATGCCTCTTCTCTTTCAACGAACGGAGTTTTGGAATTCTTGTAGACCCTCCAGGCCAGATGATTGTCTCAAGTGCATTGGTAGAAGACAAACGTCTTCTTCTATTGCTGATGAAACTACCAGAATTCCAAAGTCCTACACTTCTCTCACCTCTCCCTATCATATTCACAATCTCAAACTTGTCTGAGATAAACTTCTTATCGATGAATTTGATGTCACCACTCAAACCTTTATGCTTAGCACCCTCTGTAATTGCCTCAAGCAGGTTATATACTGGCAAACCTGGTAACTTTGCACCTTCTGCTGCTCTTGCAAGACTCCAAGCTATATCGTGAGCCCATATGCTACAAACACTCATCCCTGTAACTACTTCTTCGAGTCGCAAAGATCTCTTCCATCTCAAAGTAAAGTTGTGAAGCTCCTCAGTCAATGGAATATAAGACTTGAAACCAATCACACCTTCCATTGCCTCCTTTGCTAAATAGTTTGTGTCTTGAAAATTATTCATGCTTCTCGCTGTGAGGATCCAAGCATGTCCTTCCTCCATCATTCCTAACCTCCGAGCACATGGAAAGAGACGATTTGCAATTTGTTCAGAAATGTGCGCAACAAAAATCCTTATCCCAGAGGCCTTTAACTTTCGTAGCTGCTTCATGATACATTCCTCATTAGATGAGACCGAAAATTCCGCCTTGTACTCAATGTGAATGGCGTTCTGTTGGAAATGTCCAACCAAAGGTTGTATACTCTCTCTCCAGTCATCATCATCCTCATAGATAAGAACAGCGGTTCTCCAATCAAAATTGCTGAATAGAGCTGCAATTCCCTTTGCCTCAGAGGATGTATCATGCGTAGCTTGAATAAAGTAATTATATTTGGTCAAGCTCAACGAGCTAGGAACTTGGAAAGAAGAAATTACTGGAACTTTAGCTTTCTCCCCAAGCTCTGCCAAAATTTTTGCTTCAAACAACGATTGTCCACCAACAAGTGCTTCCACTTGTTCAGTTTGCAGGAGGTCCATGGCTGTTTTAACAATTACATCTCCAAACAATCAGGCAAAATGAAAGTGAAAATTTCACCAGGTCAACGAAAATCTGATTGAAATCGCAGTGGCAAGATTCAAATCATGGTCTTAACAATTTAATTATTGCTGTGAGTTGTCTATCTTCATTGATTCACTGACTACTACGAGCTTATTGTTCTGAAGAAAATAATCTAAGACGTACCTGCAGCGAGAGCTTGGAGGGGGTCACCATGAGAGTCTCTGGATAAGACAGAGACTCTTGTTCTATAGCCATTATTGACATGATAGAAATCAGAAAGCGCCATGGAAATCGAACTTGTCACAAACTTGCCTTCCATTGAATCCATGTCCACCACCAAACCGATCCGAACATCTTCGTACACTAATGAAAGTCTATCTACGTCATCTTTTTGATTCGTTCCGCTGCATGTTACCGCAAATGAAATGAAGGCGAGGAAGAAAATAGTTAGAAAATAACCAGTGTTATGAATCATACAATTCTCCATGTTGGTGAAGCTTTCGTTTTCTAGCCACTATTTGTTTATATATATATATCTGACATCTAATTTAGTTCAAGATTCCAAATAATTTTAAACTAATTTACTCCTCAGGTACTAATTAAGATTCCAAGGGACATAATTGGCTAAGGTCATTAAGGTTGACTTTTATGGAGTCTTTATATCCCATAGAATACGGCACATACTGAAGTCAATCCATCAAATAGCTGTGTTGAATATTTCTCAGATTCAATTTTCATTTTCCAAGTCTTCCACTTACTAACAAAATCCCTGGACCAAGTCATTACTCAGTCTACCAACTTCTTATTTGGTTTTCTTGCTTTGCTTAGTGACACGTTAGCTTTTTTGACCCCATCCATACTCCAAAGGAACCTTGTCCTCAAGGTTCTCAACAAAGCCCGCACTATAAGAAAACCGGATTTTGCGACTGCAATACGGATTTTAGGCATCGCGCATCCAAAGCAAATTAGCGTCATATTAGCAATATTTGCATAGAAACGTGTTGTCGCAAAGAGCGCCTTTGCCAGTCGACGTATAACCGTCACAAATATTACGACACTGTTTTCCGACACAAATATTTGTGGCGTATCAGCGATGGCAGCTGCTGCCATATATTTCGGATACGTACTTTTATTTTAATTATTTCAATAAAGCTACAAACTGGTTGGTTCTATACAATTAGAGGCATTGTAAACTTTAAGTAGAAATAGTCAAGAGTTTACTTATATATGTCACATAACCTGTCAAACTGGTTTGTTGGAAAAATGGTGTAAGCAAAATGGTTTTAAGAATCAGCTGTTATGTTACAATTACCCGAAGTGGTGTAAGCAAAATGGTTTGTTGGAAAAAAAGAATTCAACTTAAATATCTCAAGAACATAATGGCTAGATTTGATTATGATGTTTGCAGATTCATGCATTGAAGCCCTCTCACTTATATGCCAATGAAACTCAAGTTTTTTTAAGTCCCTAGTTCTTCAGAAAAATCTTTGCCATCATGAAAGTATATAGGACCTGATACAATTTAATTTACCCTTCTATCAGATTATTTTTTTAGTGATTGATACATCTAATGATAATGAGTCATGTTTTTTTCCTCGGTGAGAATTCAAGCATACTTGGAGAGAGATCATATTCAGAAATGTGTACCTTAAGAAGTTGTTGCCGAGGGTTTGGAGCCACTGATTACATCATATATTTTTGATAACAGAAGATGGTTCCTAATTCAGCATCTCAAGAGGAGTCCTAAGACCAACCACCTGCCCGACAACAGAGAACCATGAGACCAAGTACAACTCAACTGGCATCTGACATCCAGAAGAGCTGCTACTTTGGGAAAGCAGCTTGATCCATTCCTCAGTCCCACAGGGATGTAGCTTGAACCATGGCCTGTTCAAATACGGATGCTCCTGCAGTTGATTGTTGCATAGAGATTCAATACCAAATAAACAAAAAAAAAAGTTATTTTAAACGGACATTGTAGTATTGATTTTGAGAGGATACCTCCTGAGTTATAAATGTCCACTTAGATTCCAGCAGAAGATTAACAGAGCATGAGGGTAGATCTTTTTTTATGACATCAAAAGCAAGAGGTTGTCCACCTAAGTGACAACAAAGATGATTTTCAAACTAAACAAAAGAATAAACCAAAAAGGTCCAAGCAGGTTATATGGTATAAGTTATATTGTGACATACCGCTGCAGTATCCGCGAAAATATAGCACAGGAACCTTGTATGAAGCACTGTAAACTATATGGAAATCATAGTAGTGTGCTTCATTTTCCAGGGTTGGGACCTAGCAAATATAAAATGGCATCAAGAAAAACCAATCTCAGAGATTTTAGAATTCTGCTTCAGAGATAGTTAAAATGAGAATTGCTCAAAAGGTTATGTACCAAGATCGTGTGATCAATCGATTCTTCTTTTTCCAAGCAATCAGTTGCTACATTTAGAGATTCATCCTCTGGAATTTCCTACACACAAACTTAATAGTGAGAAACAAGAAAAGAAGAAGATAACAAGACAACACTGTTAAGAGCTGTGAATCTACATCAAGTGAACTGAGAATGATGATCTTCTCTAGCGACATGTAACCTTCCTCCTGCTAATAACACAACAATACAAAAGAACTTTAGAAACAGTATCTTGAACAAGGTTGGATTATGGAGAATTAGTAGTGTTCATCAACGTTAACCTTCTTTGAAACAAGTAGAGTTCGATTGATAAGAGGAACCCATGACCATGGAGGGAACGCTTGGTTATGTATCTTCCACTTATCGGCAAAAGTTCGAGCAGCTACAGAAAAACCCTCAACGGTGAGTCTACCATCGCTGACCTCTCGAGCTGAATCCATCGGAGGAGCAAACAAAATCGCTGATTCTTCGTCTTTCTCCGGTCTATTTCAGCAATATCGTATCAAAGCAACCAAACCCGAATTTGAGAACCCAAACCGAATTTAGCTTTTGATAAAATTAACTAATCCAACCAAACCGAACCGGAGCAATTCGATTCGAATCTAAACCAGTTTCGAATTAAAACCGCCGCTTCGTCCTCGACAACCTCCATCGCCGCCTTGCATAAACCTCCGTACTTTCTATCTCCCCTTGCCGCATCTGTTAGTCTCTCTCTCAAAAACAAGCAGAATTTTTATGGAGTTATACTGAAAATCTTCTATGATACGCATTCTTCTGGCTTTTGTTTTAGGTTGCGTTTTTAGAAAAGCTCTGAATTTGAACCTCGTTTATTCGATTTTTGACAGATTATACCGTCGTTTGTCTCCATGAAATTGGTGAGTTTCTCTTGCTCTTATGTATTATAAGTTAATGAAAGTCTATACTTGTCGTGTGAGTTATTGAAAACCTCGGATTGGGTAAATATGAAAGTTTTGTGTTTTTTTGCAGACATGTCTGAGCAAAGGAGATGGCTTTCATTATCCGCCTTGTCATATGCTGAATCTATGTGGTTTCAGGATATTGATTGACTGCCCTTTGGACCTTTCGGCAATCAAAATCTTCTCACCTGTTGTATCTTGTGTGGGTTCTGAAGCTTCTAAATATCCATCTGATGAGTCGTTGGATGCTCAGAATCCAATTCAAAAGAAGCATAAACTGGAGAGACAGCTAACTTCTGCTGATTTGGTGTGTGAAGAACCGTGGTACAAAACTGTGAAAGCCTTGCATTTGTGGGAGGCTTCTTTCATTGATATTGTTCTCATCTCCAACCCTATGGGATTGCTCGGATTGCCATTCCTTACCCAAAACCCTGGATTTTCTGCCAAGGTAAACGTTTTCAGGACCTAAAGTTTTTAGTTTTCTGAATGATTTTTTTTTGCTTGGGGTGTGCATTGTGTGCTGAGTTGTTATTATTGCTAAGATGTAGATATATATGACTGAAGCAACAGCGAAGATTGGACAGCTCATGATGGAAGATCTTGTCTCGATGCACGCGGAATTCAGATGTTTTCATGGACCTGACAACTCCAGTTTCCCTGGGTGGATAAAGAATTTAGATCGTGAACAAGTACCAGCCTTGCTTAAAAAAGTTGTCTTCGGCGAGAGTGGTGATGATCTGGGCAGTTGGATGCGTCTGTACAGGTAACTATTATTGGCTTCTCAAACAATATGTTGCCAGCTCTTCAAGTTTTTAAAGTGTTGATAGCTTCTTTAATTTTTGTCCAATATTTTTCACAGTTTAGATGATATAGAGAGTTGCATGAAGAAGGTTCAAGCCGTAAAGTTTGCAGAAGAAGTTTGTTATAATGGGACCTTAATCATTAAGGCTCTAAGTTCAGGTCTAGATATTGGGGCTTGCAATTGGTTGATCAGCGGACCTAATGGAAGTCTAAGTTATGTGTCAGACTCCATCTTCGTTTCACATCATGCAAGAAATTTTGATTTCTATGGTCTCAAAGGAACCGATGTGTTGATTTACTCAGATTTCTCATCCCTCCAATCTGCAGAAGTGACTGAGAATGGTTGTATTTCTCCAGACCCAGATAATAATTATATATCAACAATCAGGTACTATCATATAAGACCCTTGTTTACATTTGTAAGAGAATGTTTGTTTAGGTCTTAAAGTGGGAGATATTTTCTTTACTGTTTAACTTTTTTAGCAGTGACAACAAGGATTCATTACTAAACACTGACGACAGCTTAGAAGAGATGGAGAAACTAGAGTTTGTTTGTTCATGTGCTGCAGAATCTGCTGATGCTGGTGGCTCAACCTTGATAACGATTACGAGAATTGGGATAGTTCTGCAGCTCCTAGAGCTAATGTCAAATTCTCTTGAATCCTCGTCTCTAAAGGTTGGATTTCTCTTCTTATTCTTTAGTTTTACTTTTTTGAGGATATGAAGCACAGAAAAAGGTGATTTAGTTGAAATGATTCTTAGCTGTGTTAGTCTAAATCACTCTAGTTTGGCTTTGCTTAGGTTCCAATTTTTGTAATATCTTCTGTGGCAGAAGAGTTATTGGCATACACAAACACCATACCCGAGTGGCTTTGCGAGCAACGACAGGAGAAGGTATACTGAAAATTTTATTGGAAAAATGAATCAAATAGTATATGTTCTATTGTATATGTTATTTGAAAGATGAATCAAAAAGTATATATTTTGATTGATGTTGCAGTTAATTTCAGGAGAACCATCATTTGGCCATCTTAAATTCATTAAAGACAAGAAGATCCATTTGTTTCCTGCCATTCATTCACCCAACTTAATGTAAGAAGGGGTTGTTAGTTTTATCTCTGTTAGCACTATTTGATGGGTTATTTTGCGTAAAAGCATAGTCTGCAAATGTATGTCATGCTAGTCTATAATTGAAATTATCATCTCTGTTCACCTTAACTCATTGCTTAGTTCAGATACATCAGTAAAATACCTCACATGGAATCAGCAACTTAAATATTTATGTTATTTAGGTGATTCTATTTCAAGAAGTATGTTACAACATTCACTGATTTTTTAAGTTATGCGAACAGAACGAGTTGGCAGGAACCATGCATCGTATTTGCTCCTCACTGGAGTTTGCGACTTGGCCCTTCTGTCCAACTTCTTCAGCGTTGGCGCGGAGATCCAAAATCGTTGCTTGTTCTTGAGGTTTTTTATCTCTTTCTCTCTTCCCCAGCTCTATCAGATGATCTAGTGTGAATTCAATATATCTGATGATAAATATGTGTTGCAGGATGGGATTAGTTCAGGTTTAGGACTTCTCCCTTTTAGACCGATAGCAATGAAAATTCTCCAATGTTCATTTCTTTCTGGAATAAGGTAAGGTTTGCTTGGCTGTATGATTAAGACTACATTTCATTCTGGTGCTTCGTAGTTGTTTTTTACTGTCGTCTTGGATCAAGGAATCTGAGTTGTGTCTGCACAATATAGAAATTACCATGAGTTATTGTGCAAGGGCATACCTTAACTGATATTATAGATTTGACTCACTAAATTCCACATATGCCATATTGCTATTTGGTGACCCGTAATATCTCATTATATCAAAAATATTAGTTTCCAAAAATCATGGCAGCTCACACATTTAGCTTGTTATCATCATGTAGTCCACCGGTCAAATGTGTAATCTGAAATTGGCTTGTCTACCATTGCTCAAAGCTATTGTTTCTTTTGCAGGTTGCAGAAGCTCCCAACACTTCTTTCCGTTTTGCAGCCAAAGATTGTCTTGGTAAGTATTCTCTTCCACTGTGGTGAAGAAATATTTCCATCCTGCATCTGTCTATATTCATCTATCTAATACCATATTATGAGCAGGTCCCTGATGCTGTCAATCAGAGGATCAATTTTGCTGCAATGAAGACAATATCAATCCTGGATTACTTTGAAAACAAGACGCTACGTGTACCAAGAATTGCAGACAATCCAAGCGTAGAGATTACGACAGACTTGGCCTCCAAATTGAGCTGGAGAAAACTGAGACAACGTGAAAACTTTGGTATTGCAAGATTGAAAGGTGGGCTTCTGATGGAAGATGGGAAACACAGATTAGTTTCAGGGTTGGAGCAGGAAGAAAGTTCAGGAAAGGCTCGGCCATTGAGGCATTGGGGCTCAGTGGCTCCGGAATCACTTTTAGACGCTTTACTGAAAATCGGAATAAAAGGATCCTTAGAACAGAGCATAGGTGAGAATGGATCAGGCGACAACAGTATAATCCATATAGCAAATCCTAGCAGTGGCCTGATAGAGGTCTCAGAGATGGGTACTGCTATTATAACAGACGATGACAATGTAGCCTCTCAGGTCTTCCAGGCGATTGATGGAATTCTTGACGGTATTTAGAGGAAGTATCAAGCATTGACTCACCAGAGCTATTAGTGTATTAGAGTGACCAGTTTAGATAAACCGTGTAACTATGATTGGTTAGTTTACCGAAATACTCTCTGTAACATACATGAGTCGGTTCCGATGGTTTTGTCATTGACCAGGATGGGGAGGAGTTGTCGATGGATGAGATCAAGAGTCTTGATGACAAGAAGAAAGTGGCAGAACACATGAGTCTTGAGCACAAGAAGAAGGACATTGTAGAGAACAAGAGTGTTGAGCCCGAGAAGAAGGAAGTGGCAGAGAACAAGAGTGTTGAGCAGAAGAAGAAGGAAGTGGCAGATGACAAGAAGAAGAAAGAAGTGGCAGATCTAAAAAAAAATAGACTATAAGTGTACCAACTACCAAGCCCAAAAAAATACAGATGAACACCAATATTTACAGGTACATTAGCTACACGTTCAACTACAAGTGTAATGCAGTAATCAAGTTAATTCTGAATTAGGATTGGAAAAAAACGAGTTTGACTTATGTTATATCTTCCTTAAGCATTGCTAAGAATCTCCTTTTCGAGAATTTAGAACACGAGAGAAAGCTAAGAGTTTTTAGCTCAATCTCTTCGCATTTAGATCAGCCTTCCTAGAAGCAGCAATTCTAGCCATAGCCTGAAACATGATACCGACGTTTCAATTACTAAATTGAGCTCAAAAATTTCAGAATTCCTTATATTTTCAGAAATCAGGACACTAAAGAGCAACAAACCGATTGAACACGAGAGGAATCGAGCTGGCGATCCTCGACACGATCGGTGAGCTTGTCGAAAGCTTTGCTTTGTTTCTGCAAGTCCTTTGAATCAACCGCTATCTCAGCCCCAGCTTCCTCTGCTCCCTCCATTGCTTCTAACTCTTCTCTTCTAGATCCATTGGTAGGTTGAAAGTGACACAGTCAAAATCAATATGGCACTATATATCATCTTATGTACTATATGCATTCTCATTAAACCAAAATCAACTTCACAAATTACAAAATGAATATTCGTACATAAGAAAGCACGAGAAAAACAGCATTCAGTTTTGAATCGAAAACCAACTAACAAAGATTATATCAACAAATATACATGCTATGAAACATATGTCAACATTTTGAATGAGTGTGAATGTAATGGAACCCATCAAGAAATACCAAACAAAAAAATTGCTCGTTAGTATCAACAACAAAGAGATCCATGTCTATCCAACTAAAAACAGTAGTAGACCACTAATTCAATCATTAGTCTACATACTACTAAAGGAGATGATTAGGAAAAGTCTTTCCTATCTAAGAAAAGCATACATTTTCTTGCCACATTCCATGGTGTACGTTGGTCTATTAAGAAGCAGTAATGTATGATCACGGAAGAAACTTCTTATATAACATGAAGGAAGCAGGGAAAGGAAAAATTCCCAAGAAGTCTAGGGTGAAAGAATATTACAGAGGACATACCGCTAAATCCCAAATACAACGTAGCTGCTTTATGTTTGTAAAAGTTGCATCTCTCTACATACACCTTTCAAGCCACTTATATGTTTATAAAAGTTGCATCTCTCTACATACAACGTAGCTCCAAGGATTCATACAAACATATACGTGCATAACTTATAGGTAACACAATACATTAGTCTTGGACAGATCCTAGGATCTTTATGACACAAGAAATCTAAGCCAGAGTACTACTAGTCACCTCCATATTCTTGCATACTCCCTCTAGAATTTTTAAAAAGTCTCTCACGATTACGAATACTTTCAATAGTTGAGCTTCTTCCTTTGCTGGATCAACATGGAAATACTCTGTTATCTTTTTCACTACAAGGAGCGTGGAACCTTCTTCTCTTTCAATCTTTTTAATCTCCTCTGCAGCAGTTTCCAAGAATCGGGTCATCGACTCCCTGAATTTCCACCATTGGTGCTCCTCATTATGTCCAGCCTCCTCACACAGTAGTAGAACCTCACTAATTTTCTGAACTTCTTCATAAAGCTTTGAGACATCGCTTCTTAAAACACCGTAGTCCAATTCTGCAGATTTCTTGACATCGTCAAGAACTGAACTGAGATTTCGGACAACTTGTAGCCCTTTGATGCCTTCTGATTCAGTGATCTTCTGTACAACAGAATCCAAGATACTGGTTCTTCCATCTAACGATTTGATATTGACAAGCTTGAGGAGCACCTCAAGTTTGAAGTCATGAGCATTCCCGCTCTTCATTCCTGTCTCCAAGGTAGCTCCAACAAGTCTCAATAACATTCTGCTATTTCGCAGTGCCTCACAAGCAGCCTGCAAAAGAATCATGTAGCTTCATGAGACGTAAGCTTACAACAACATGCACATTCATATATGTCTCTTGTTATCTCCAGCTTTTATTTATACCTGTATAACGCCGAATGATGTGTTTAAATGTTTGGCTTTGGAGTCAAAACTAGCAACAGAGAGCAATGCATCAACCCGTTTGAACACGAAAGGCACATTGAGCAATTCCTTGAGAAACCTCTCTGATGGGCCAAGCTTGATCACTGAATCATCACTATAGCTAATCAACTTCTTCTCTTCTTCTTCGCTTGGTGCCACTCTTGCTAAACTCTCAAGAAGCTCAACTCCAAGTGCATCATAGTGACCTGAAAAAATAACAAGTCAGATTCAACTCGATACAATCGAAAATGAGAAGAAATTAGCTTTGTAAATTGTAACTGATGCTTTACCATCTCGAAGGGCCTGACAAACATCATTGGTGGTGAGCTTAAGAGTTGTAAGCAGAATAGCAACATTTTGACTCTTTCTTGGATCTAAAACTTTGCTCTCTTGATTTAGCATCGGAAGATCACAGCTAAGACTTCTCTGTTTTGAGTTAGCATTTGAAGAGTTGTACGGAAGACGGTCCCATGTAGTTGTCCGGCGAGAACTTGGTCGGACTTTGTCCCAAGGCAGAGGTTTTAGCTTTGGCTTTGGTCGCTCTGTTGTTCCTTCCCAACAAGTCTGTGGTAACTCGGAGAAAGATAGCTTTTTTCCAGATTTCTGAACCATAAAAGACTGTGACGGTGGCACAAGAGGAGGCGGCTCCGGCATTGCCGGCGGTGGCCGTTGTGGAGGAGGAAGAGTAACAGCAGCAGCCGATTCTCTCTGTTCAGTTGTATCAAGCTCTGGATTTTCCCAAGAAGATTTCAAACTTCTTGAAGACTCAGAGATGTTGATACAAAAATCTCTAGCTGGTGACGCCGAAGCTGAAGAAAGAAACAAAGACTTGACATTTCGACTGAAATCGTTCCATCTCGGCGGCGAACTATCAAGAACCTTCCGGAAAAACCGATCCGGTGTGGTGGAAACTGAAGAGTACATAGAAGAACGAGCGTATGCGTCAGGAGTTCTAATCATACCTCTCTCTGGTGAAGTAGAAGCAGAGGAAATTCTTGGGAACCCTAGATTTTGATTCCAGAGGCTAAACATTCTCAGAGACGGTCCACCATATCTCTTGTTGTTCCTTACTGTTCTCTCCGGCGACGATGGAGACTGAGGGTTTTGAGTAGTTGACCAATGAGGAGCCGTAGAGTTCATCGGCGGAGAAATCGTAGCGGACGGTGACATTGCCGGAGAATCCGAGTGTGAAGAGATAGAGCAAGAGCAGTTACTGTACGGATTGATTCTTCGGTCTCGTGATTCTTGACCAGCTACAGACGCGAGAGGCGAGTAAAAGTCGTCGTCTTCTTCTTCGTCATCAAGATTAGCTTCAGGGTTATGTTGCAGGAGGAAGCTACGAGCAGGTAATGGCGGGAGAGGAGAGATCTCCGGTGACTCCGGTTTGACGAAACCCGACCCGGAGGAAGTGACGACGTTGCCGAGGTAGAGAACATCGGAGGTAGAAGGAGCCACAGAGAGTTTGTTTTCAGTGGTGTTGTTCCTTGGAGGGGGACATGGAAGAGTTTGTTGTTGGGATTGGTCTGAAGCTAAGCTCTTGGATTCGTCTTTGAAATGACGGATTTGTCCTCGCCACCGTCCGTAGAGAAAGAAGGCCAAGGCGATTAGTGTTGCGACGGCGAGCACTGCGGAGATAGCAGGGATAAGGAGTGTACGGGAAGAAGTTTGCGGTTTAGGAGAGCGAGGGAGGACGAGGGCGGAGATGTTCGCCGGGAATGTCGCAAAAGTGGGGGCAGGAGGCGGAAGAGGCTGCGGTGGAGAAGGAGGAGGAGAGGTGCTGTAAAGTGGGAAGAACGGCGGCGAGAATGTGGAAGGATCAGTAGGAGGAGCTTGTAGAAGGTGACGGCGACTGAAAGTGGCCGGAGAAGCGTATGATAAGGGAGAGAAAGCGCAGGATAGCAGGGAGAAGATGATGAAGATGACGTAGCAAAGTTCGTCCATTTTTGGGGTTTTCTTGTGAGAGTTTTGTGTTCTGCAATGCGCACTATCTGAGGATGAAAGAGTGAGTGACTTACAGACTACAGTTTCCCAATTTTTTTTTATTTTTTTTTAAGTTTAATAATACTGTATAATTGAACTAAAATCTATATAAAGTGAAAGTAGGGAGGGAAGAACGTATATGAAATGCAATAATTACGTGTAAGTAAATTTGGGTCCTCTCTTTCAAAAGAATCTTTTTGACTTTTTAATGCCATCTTTACTAGTACTATACAAAACACTATCTTCTCCTTTCTATGCAAAACAATTATTAAAGGCAATACCATCTTTATCTACGAGGAAAACAACCAGACAACATTTCTATTTGCTAAATATTGTTATTTTTTTCGTGTTATGAAATACTACGTATTCGAATTCAAATTAATTAATAATATATAGTTGGGCTAAAATGTCGGAAAAAAGAAAAAGAAAAGGAGGACAAGAAATGTAGAATGATTTGCCTTTTATTTGTCTTATCCAAATTTTTCGTGAAGAATTTATAAAAAGATGTCGTCATTTAAACTATTCCGTAATTATGGATTAACTAGTGCATTAATTTGAAACGCACTCTAGCTTTGGGTCGTTTCAAAATTTTGCATGTGTTTTTTGGACGTTATTTGGAAATCCGATTTAGCTTTCCGTGAGAAATGGTGGTGTGGCATAGATTAATCAGCATAGTTTTTGTGGATGCAAGAGAGCCAAAGGACGCTAAGAAGAAAGGCAATGAGAAGAAGGAAGAATGCACAAACAAAACAAGTCGCGCAAAATAGCTTGGTTGCAGAGACAAGGACTGGAAATGGAGAAGACTTGGTTGGCCATATTGATGAGATTGTTACAACACACCATGTGCTCATTTACGTACCTCGATTTTTGGATGTTTTAGATAAAAAAAAAAATGTTAAAATTTACCAACCAAAATATTAGTACAAAAATTGATTTACTGGCCATCCCAAAACCTTGTATAGAAAACTACAGCGCTCTACTTTTCTTGTCAGAGAACACAATCACGAAGTTGTGTTTTCACGAGGTTGAGAGTTCTCAAGAAGCTTATTTTCACTCCAAAAGAAGAATCTCATAACAATAGACTAGTAAGAAGATCAGGTTTCAAATGTGAACTCATACTCTGAGCTGAAGACTTTCTCGCTACACTAGTACACTGGCGGGAGTATTAATATGCAAAAGTCCAACTTCTTCACAACATCCAAGGAGACACTAATTAGTAGGTAATTTTTTTTTTCTCGTGAGTGGGAAACATAGGTTATAATTAAGCCTTCGAAGGACAATGCTTTTTAATATGCGATTTGAAGAAGATGCAAGTTAATCGCGTGTTAATATCGGAAGACTCACAAAACTTTGGCAGATCTAACTTAAATTTCACCAGTATGAATGCAAATTTGAAATTTATATATATCCAGATAACAAAAATTAAGATCTCCAAAACTAGAAATACATTATAAGATCTAACTTAAGACAAAATACCTGTGGAATCCAGAGGAAAGCAACTCATCTCGTAGCATGTGTCAAATCAGCGGGAACAAAACCTCATCCTAGCTGCTGGCTTCACACTACAAAGGCCAATATGTCTAATCAATGAACATTTTCATCAAACGCTTTTTCTTTTTCTCGATATTGCTACCATTAATTTATTAGAGTACTAAAGCCAACATCAATCATCTAAGATTTCACCAGCATCAAAATTTTCTGTTGGAGCCAAAAATTGACTATCAATAGTTTGGAGCCGATCAGCTCGCATTGCTGCAATGTACCTTCTTGTACATCTCTCCCATGTTGTCAGCTGGCTCAAGACTCGTCTTATAGTAGTCACTAAAATGAGTCTGATACTTCTCTGGCTCATATTCCATCAATAGCTGCAAGTTCTCGTCATATGATTTAGTGATTTACCCTCATGTAATCGACACCACTTGATAAAGTAACTGTACGGTGACACAGCATCCCATAAATCTCAAATATTGAATAGTACAAGGATTGGAAAATAAAAATAAAATAAATAATTAAACAAATGCGAAAAAAAAAAAAAACCATTGCAAGCAAAATTTCTGCTTCTTCAGCTCTCTCTGTTTTGGCATTTCGATTTTTAATCATGGATTGAGCAATTGTCCTTTTTAATTGATCGATTTCTTCGATAAACTCTGGATCTTTTGTGTGGGTTTCTCCTTGGTTTGCATAATCTTTTTCTTTTCGATCAATCTAATCCAATCCAGAAATTTTGAGTCTCAAAGTTTTGCTTTTTCGAATCTGTTGCTCCAAAGACATGTAGAGTTTATGGGTTTCGCATGGAGATTGTTTGGATTCTAAGCTTGCAACGTATCCATCTCCCTGATCTTGCTTGGTGATGCGGAATTCTTGATTACTTATCATCCGAGTACGCCATTTTGGGACTTCGCTTCAGACAAGGCTATCGTCTGGTTTGAACTGAAGTGAAACGTTCTCTGGATTGCTTCATTTGGATCAAAATAGAGGTTTATCTGACTTAGGCGGGCAATCTTCGATTAAGGTTCTTGATGAGTTTCTGAGCTGTATCGAAGTAGATATATGTGGAGGTGATCGTTTTAGTTTTAAAGGTAAGATTTTGTTGTCCATTTATACAGGAGTTGAAGTGAGAGATGGAGGATGTGTCCGAGTCTGATAGTGTGGAGACCTCCATTATCCACCTTCCAGATGATTGCCTATCCTTTATCTTCCAACGACTTGATAATGTTGCTGACCATGATTCATTTGGTTTGACTTGTCATCGCTGGCTCAACATCCAAAATATTAGCCGTCGATCTTTACAGTTCCAGTGTTCTTTAACTGTCCTGAACCCTGCTAGTCTGTCTCAGACAAATCCTGATGTCAATACCTATCATCTCCACAGGCTTCTCACTCGGTTTCAGTGGTTGGAGCATCTTTCCCTTTCTGGCTGCACGGTGCTGAATGATTCGAGTCTCGCCTCGCTCAGGTATCCCGGTGCAAGACTGCATAGTCTTTACTTAGATTGTTGCTTTGGAATTTCTGATGATGGGATCTCCACAATTGCTAGCTTTTGTCCCAATCTCAGAGTTGTTAGTCTCTACCGCTGCAATATCAGTGACATTGGATTGGAAACATTGGCCAGGGCTTCCTTGTCTCTAAAATGCGTGAATCTCTCATACTGCCCTCTGGTATCTGATTTTGGGATAAAATCATTGTCACAAGCATGCTTGCAACTTGAGTCAGTGAAAGTCTCAAACTGCAAGAGCATAACCGGTGTTGGCTTTAACGGCTGTTCTCCAACTCTAGGCTATGTGGATGCCGAGTCTTGTCAGCTTGAGCCGAAGGGTATAACGGGGATCATTAGCGGAGGTGGGATTGAGTTTCTAAATATTTCAGGTGGAAGTTGCTACATCCGCAAAGATGGGTTGGTACCTATTGGATCTGGGATTGCATCAAAACTTAGAATCTTGAACCTAAGGATGTGCAGAACGGTTGGTGATGAATCCATCGAAGCTATAGCAAAAGGTTGTCCATTGCTCCAGGAGTGGAACTTGGCTTTGTGTCATGAAGTTAAGGTTTCGGGATGGGAAGCCGTCGGAAAGTGGTGCCGTAACTTGAAGAAACTCCATGTGAACCGTTGTAGAAACTTATGTGACCAAGGGTTACTTGCTCTACGATGCGGTTGCATGAACCTCCAGATTCTCTACATGAACGGGAATGCGAGGCTGACCCTTACAGCAATTGAGATGTTCAGATTACATAGAGCCGATATAACACTAAGGACAGAAGAAATGATGGTCATAGGACCAGACTGGAGACTATATGCACAAGAATGAAGCATCAATTTGTACCCAACAGTACATGATTCTTTCAAGTTCATACGAGATTTTTGGGACCAATGTGTTGGTCCTGTCCAGAGGCAAACTGCAAGAAAAGATGTATTCTAGAATAGGCTTCAAGTTGTTAATAAAGTATCAAAATCTTTTACTGGTCAACAGTGTTGTTTCAAATCCAGTAAAAGAAGAAGAGAATCGAATATTATATAAATATATCGATAGAAAGGTCTTTAATCAACAACACTTAAACTTCACTTTCCATTTTATTGAGTACGACATCTATCCTTTACCACACGATCAGAAAACTGAGAAGATAGAGATAGAGAAGAGAAGAAGAGACTCGATTTGTAAACAAACATCTGGTTTTCGTACATCCCAATCTGCGTTGCAGGCTGCTACACGGCTTGTCTTCTATCGGTAACCAACTGGTTTTCTTGTTGTATTTAAAGCAATGCTGAAGGATTTGGGTAATGAAATAAGTAACTTAGTTTCCCCACACATTGTCCCAACCACCGCCACCACCTGGTGCAGCAGTTTTAGGCCCCTCGATGTAGTTCTGGTTTCCATGTGGCTGGTGGGGTAAAGGGAGTCCATTAGGCCCTTGTGGTGGCTGCTGCATCTTTCTAGGCCTTGTTCTCACCCCAAGCATACGCAATACAAATCTTGCTAATTCTCCATATAACATACCACCACGATCAAATAGCTGAGGACAAATATTTGATTGGTTAACATGAGAACAATGAAATTAATCAAGGAACCAGTAAAACACAAGTTGGTAGAAGAAAAAAGGAAGGAACCTGAAGAAGGGCAGACATGAACATGTGAAAGGCCTGTGTGTTTTGATCTATAAGCATTGCTACACGGCCAAAGAAATTCACCGCACCTTGCATCTGTCATCAATCAAAATATGAATACTTTATGTTATACAGAACTAACTTATCAACTTTTTTTATTTCTTATACAAAATAAGTATGAATGATGAACAATACCACACGGAGAAATGATATCCAGAAGCCTGGTGGAGATGGAGGTTGATTAAACGGGTCATTTGGATCTTGACCACCATAAGGACCCATCCCCATCCCCATTCCCATTCCCATTCCCGTTCCCGTTCCCGTCCCCATACCCATACCATAACCACCCATCGTGCCACCATAACCACCCATCGCGCCACCACCATACATGCCTGAACTTCCATAGAGACCACCAGCACCACCATAACCTCCTCTATACATGCTACTACCACCATACATCCCACCACCATATGATGAACCATACCCACCTAATGCTGAACCATATGTACCTGACCCATACCCAGAGGTCATACCTAGATTTGAACCATAACCTGCAAATCATACAATAAAAGAAGTAAGCTTTATGCAATCTCAGTAACCAAAGAATCTAAGATAACTTGTAAACATACCTCCCATAGTGCTCCCATAATTTTGCTGCTCCCAAGGTCTAGCCGGTACAGGCCTACTCAGTGCAGTCATATTAGCAGCTGTATTAGGCCGGTTCGCGGGGGGAGGAACTACTTCACCAGGATTAGCTGTGCCAGAAGCCTCAACTGAACCAGCCGTGCTAGTATTAGAAGGAGGCCTGAAAGGAGTAGGACCAGATGTATTTCCTTCTTGTTCCCAAGGTTTAGGAGGTCTACCACCTACAGAAAAAATAGTGTAGAAGTTGTTACATGTTGAGTAAAAAGATAGATAATATTCTGAAAGAAAGACTGAACTCCAATCAGCACAGGCAAAGAAACTAAAAGACACTTGATGAAGATGATTAGAAACAGTATTAGTAACATCATTGCAAAGTTGTGTGAAACATCGACTAGAACTACAATGCTGAATAATAAAAGGCATCAAATTTCAATGCAAAAAGAAAGCATCTAATGGAACCAAGAAAAGCTAAGGTCAATCAAAGCTAAGAGCAATCCAAAGAGTTATACTTATCACCCATCATCAATCAGAAGGTACAAAGATCAAAATTCGAACTTTTCATAGCGACCTACAACAATCTACAGCGTCTGCCACAAAACAATGATTGAAGGAATGGATTATGAAATTGCTCAGCTGATAAAACCAGGTTACAGGGAAAATCCTTGAGGTTTGGGTAAACGAAATCCAAAGCTTACAACCCTAAATTAATCCACTTATTGGTCGAAAATCAATTTCACAACTTTCAAATCAAACAGCTCGACGGGTCTGGTCTCATCGAACCGACCAAAATTGCACAAGGATAATTCAATAAATCGAGACCCTAAAATCTGAATCCGCTAAAAAAAAAAAACCCGAAAGATTTTCAATTGAACTAACCTGCAGGCTGAGACGCCATATATCCAAGAGACGACGATTAGAGAGAGCTCTTTGGTAATCTCCGACGCCAACCTCAAGCGCGGAGAAAGAGAGAGAGATGTGAGAGGTGGAAGATGACAAAGGAGGAGGGACCTCGAAAAGAGAGGAAAAAACAAAACGGATTACTTTCTTCTTTTAGGTTATTATGTTTCAGCCCCTATAGTTATAATCTTTACCCAAAAAGCCTCCTAATTACCAAAATTGACGTATTTGACTCTCTAAAATAGAAAATAAAAATCCGAAAAAGGATAGAGATGAAAACGAATTATTATTATATATTTTTTATAAGCAAAAGATTCCATATTTCGAGGGAAGAAGAAGAAGAAGAAGAAGCTCAGTCGGCGGCCGGATTAATCTCTCCATCTCTCTCTTCTTCTCTCTGTTCCTATCCCGGCGAATTCATATCTGAATTGCCCCAAAAATTCAAACTTTCCGGTGAAATTATTTTAGGAAACCAAAGTGACTTTTTAGCTCGAAAAATTGGGTATTTGATGGCGGCGAGCGCGAACCCGTCGGGGAACAATCAGGAAGGTTCGTCGGCGACGCAGAAAGTATCGTCTTCTTCAGCGGCGGCGACGAATGGCGCAGCTGTGAATTCGGTCGATAATGGTGGCAACACAGGCGCGGCGGCGGATAATTCACAGACGATTGGCGCCTTGAGGCATAATCCTGGGATCTCTACCGATTGGACTCATGAGGAACAATCTCTATTGGAAGATTTGCTCGTCAAGTAATCTTCTTGCTCTCTCTCTCTCTATGCTTAGATTTGAATTTGCTGTTTTATCCAATGTTCTTTCTATCTGATAAGATGCAGTCAATTCTGAGATTAGCTTCTTTTCCATGGCCTTTGAGCATCATGTAGTATGAACATGGTTCCTCGAATTTTGAATCGGAATATGTGTTGAGAATTGTTAGATTTGGTGGGGTTTTTTGAATTTTATTTGAGAAGCAGTGGTATTTGATTAGCTAATTGTGAGTTTTGTATGTGGTTTCATCAAGTATGGTAATTAATAATATAAAACTAAATGACTTGCTAGCGTTGTTGTATCATATTTATGATAGGCTCATTAGTGTTGCAAATGTGAAATTTTTAGGCTTTAATTGGAGGATGACTTGTCTACTTATCTGTAATGATTGGTTGTAAATTTTGTAGGAGCCTTGTTAAATCTTATCACTCTTTTAATAATTTATGTTTATATAGGTACGCGACAGAACCTTCGGTTTTTCGATATGCGAAGATTGCGATGAAAATGAAGGATAAGACTGTTCGAGATGTTGCTCTGCGCTGTCGATGGATGACTGTAAGTTTCTCGATTTTGCTTAATCCGGCGAGTTTTTCCTTGTTCTTGATTACCCTTCTTCGCGTGTTGGCTTTATTGATTAATGAGAATCAACTGATGGTTTTTCTCCTCCATGTGATTGCTGATGGATTACAGAAAAAGGAAAACGGAAAGCGTAGGAAAGAAGACCATTCGTCGAGGAAAAGCAAAGATAAGAAAGTATGTGGAATTCAATTACTATTTGCTGCTACTTAGCAATTTCGATACTAGCAAAGCTAAGAAAGATAGTCGAAGCACAAACCATATATTAGATTGATTGAAAGTTCTTGTGTTGTCTTGTGGATCCATTTATAGGTCTACAGAAACAAATTGATTGTCTTTCACATTTCTGTTTAGCAGGAAAAAGCTACAGATTCTTCAGCCAAGTCCTCATCTCATTTGAATGTGCATCCTAATGGTCCTTCTTATGCTCCGCCTATGATGCCTATTGATACTGATGATGGTATTTCGTATAAAGGTTTGTCCAAGAATCTAGGTTTTTTTTCATTTAAAGGCTAAATCTTCTAGATTAGATTAGAAGGAGCATAAGTGTTTCGGCTTCTATTGCAGCTATTGGTGGTGTGAGTGGAGATCTTCTCGAGCAAAATGCTCAAATGTTCAATCAAGTTTCATCAAATTTCTCAGCTTTCCAGGTGAATTCAACTTCTACTTTTCATCTTGTAAGTTTTGTATAATTCGCTGGGTTTTTTGGACTTGATTTGTTTCTCTGCCTTGTTTTGTTGGCTTTTGAGCAATCGTTGGGTTTTATGATTGATTTTGTACTATATCAGCTTAAGTTTGTGCTAGTTATATCCAATTGCGTACTTATGAAAGATTCTTTCCCATTGCAGCTACATGAGAATGTCAATATCTTGTGCAAAGCTCGGGACAATATCCTCGCAATCTTGAACGAGTAAGACATTTACCCATATATCTATAGATCATTTCTATGTCATTGACTCATTTTGGGAAATGCCATTCTTTTCCCACAAAGTTTTGAAGTTATTATAAAGTATTAACTCAAATCCTTACTTGCTTTGCTGACTGAACAATTGTATTACAGCTTGAATGACATGCCAGAAGTTATGAAGCAGATGCCACCTCTTCCGGTGAAGGTGAATGAGGAGCTGGCAAATTCGATTCTCCCTCGCCCATCCCATCAAAGGAAGTCATGATCGAGTCGACCTATGGTTGGTTCTGACCAAGGAGTCTCTTTAATCCGGGATCAATGAAGAAAGGAATAAATCGCGGGATAGAGAGAGCTCCAGTCGTACTGGTTGATAGAATGAGGGGTTTCCCCTGACTCATAGAGTTATAGTCTCTTTTACAATTTCTGTCAGTCTCTGAATGTTTTAGCAAATGGTTAATTGATACATGAGTAGGGTCGCGTATCGTTGTTTAGGATGTGAATAGATTTCAATTGGTATGGTATAAGTCTCTCTGTATAAAATTGGTTTCAAGCTAATAGGTTTGATGAGATTAGAAGGGCCTATATCCTAAAGATGCACACCCGTGATGCATTTCTCATACAACCCCTTTTTTAGAATGAAACGAAAGTAGTGAACCATTTCTTGTAATAATAAAGCCGAATGTTATGTAACACAAATGCAAGTCTTGCTCGTAGCTTACAGAAGAATCTCGAGTCAAAAGGAAAGTCAGTTTACAAAAACAAAAAGTTTTCTGTTTAGAAGATTATTCCAAGCATCTTAGATGGCAGCTCTCTCACACATCAGCTAAGTCTTTGATTAATTTGAGCTTGGAAGCTTGCAAGAGTCTTCAATTCTCAACCTAGAAGAAGAAGCAATGGCGAGCAAGAAGTTGAGATAGTAAGAAAAAGGATACATAGTGTGAGAGTATGACAAAGTATTGTGATTTGCTCTCTTTTATGATATCCACAACACTATGAGCTACTACTACTAATGTAACTTCATGTAACCAGAAGCTGTGGAACCTGCTTTTGGTATTGAAATTCACCAAACTAATGATACTCAGTCTTAGCTAAGCAAATGTCCAACCAAACTCTAGAAAACTCAAGTAAATGGGCAACATTTAGTGGATTATATGGGCAGTGGTGGAATCTCAGTGTCTGAACTATTCTTACTAACATCAGAGGCAGTACCAGCAAATTATAACTATTGGTTCACCTATCTAGAAATTCTTGAATCCTCAGTTGATTAAACAATTTTGGAGAGATTCAATGAACAATGAGAAGTAACCCACCTCCTAACTAAGAGCTTTCAATGAAACTCAGATCACATGAATAGCTTGATTTATCCAACAGAGTTACGAGATTATCTAACTAACAATCAATCATAGCTACGAATGGAGGTAGAGAGGTGGAGAAAGAGCTGACCTGAGCTGGATTCGGGTTCTCATAACCACCAGACTCCAGACCTGATACTCTACCTTCCAGAGCATTGAATTTCTCCTTTATCTGCAGCATTGAAACTCCATGCGTAAGAAATCAAACAATTTTGTTTACGATCTCCAGGATGTTCGCATGAAAACTTTCCCAATGGATGATTTTATAAAACATGGAAAATTTACATCAGAAGAAATAGCGAAGCGTTCGGCATAGAGATCACGCCACACGATATGAGAAATGGAAGCTCCGGTCACGGAAAACCCAAGCGTAAACCAGAGAAGGCGAGTTCTCAACATCTCTCTTTCTTCTTCTTCTTCCTCTTCCAATTTCTGCAATCTCTCCGAATTTTACCGAGTCGTCAACCATTTGGGCTTTCCTTTCATATTGATATGGGCCTTTGTCTTAGCCCATTATATTGCCTAAGAAACTAAAAGCATTGAAGTTTTTTAATTGTGTCCCTCTGGTTTTTGCCTATATGGGCCAGAGGGTGGGTATGTAATGTATCCAAGTTTTTTTACTAGTAAAAATTGTTGTCTGTAGTGGCCGAAAGGAGAGCCCACCGGTGAAGCAGATTATAATTTTGTAAATATGTAGTGAAAAATAAACATTACCAGCATACCACATATTAATTCTTGTATCAACAAATTGGACTTCAAACAAAAAAAAGCATCTCATTCAAATGATTAGTCAAATAAGTGTTCAATACATCACACTGTCCTATCCAAGATAGATATGGTTGCAAGAATATAAAGAGATATAATTTAAATAAAAGTTACTTTTTCATCAACTTTTTAACTTCTAATCCAATAGCCGTCAAGGCCAAGACCGCGACCGCAAAACCGTAACCGCCATTCCAACTAGTACCAGCTTTAGCCAAATGAATACCATAGAAGATGTTAGAAATAGCGAGTATGATCAAAACTCTTCCAATGTTATGATGATACCAATTCCAATATTTTCTGTATTTCGATTGCTTATCCGGCCGAGCTAGCAATGCCAGCATCTGAAATATCGATAAACAAAACCAAATAAACCGATATTCATTTTGAGTGATCTTCGTAGTATAAACTTAAGAGTGTTAAAGGAAGAGGAACCTGGAGAACGCCCATGACAAGTATGGTTATCCCAAGGCCTTTGTGCGTGGAAACATTATTGGCCTTGAGCCGGTTTTCAAGAACCAAACCGCAAATGACACCGGTTAAACCAAGGAGAAAACCAGTGGTTTGGAGAGCGATATGGGCATAGAACCAAGTAGGGTCCCATTGCTTCATGTGTCGAGCCACTATGGCGCCAATGATAATCAATATTCCCCAGCCGAACATGTTCATTAGCCCATGTGTCTTCTTTAGCTTAGAGTGTGGTGAACCTTTAACCACACTTTGCGAACCTTTTCATTCATTAATGGAAAGATTAAATAAAAAAAACATAAATTAGTCTATGAAACAAGAAGAACATTCGGATTTTTACACTCTAGCAGAAAGTCATTTGAGGCTCCATAATATTTGTTCTTTTATCTAGTTTTATACCCTCCTTGTTTATCTTGAAATTTTTTCAACACTAAACTTCTACTGTTTAAGTTTACTCATGAAAAAGTTAAAATGTGTTTTTCACTCCATCTCACAATCATCAAATACGTAACCAAAATAAAAAATGATGAGATGATAAAAACGAAAAACTTATTACCCGAAATATTGTGGAATTGCCATTTGGTACAAAAATAGACTAAAACTTAATTACTACTCCAAGCTACAGCACTAGACTTCTAGAGAGTCCCATAATCTCATAATGTGTGTAAATTATTTCGTTTTCAAAATGAGAGCATAATTATAGTAAGATTTAAAACATCGTCGTTTGGCTGAATAGAAACAATTATATATTGGAAATTAGTGTTTTGGAACTATATTAGAGATAGTAGTAGTAGTTATTAGAGATAGTAGTAGTAGTTGGGCAAAACCTGGTATAATAATAAGTCAGGGTCGGTATAATGTGAAAATGACTCCAACAAAGAATAATGTACAATCTTGAACCAGTTCCTAAATCGTCATCATTATTCATCGCATTCGCCATGTGTTTAATTTTTTTGAATGAAATTTAAATATATTATGTTGTGAGAAGGCTAATACCAAACTAGTGGAGATATATTAATTATACGGTGATTAACCAGTCAGATAATGGATTAATTCAAGATTGACTTTAAATAATTAGTCAATAAACAAAGCTGAGAGATGTGTTTTGCTTACCTGTAATATAATTGATGGTCGTGGTGGTCACGAAGCGGTGCTCTCTCAATCTAAAATCCGGCGAAGATGGGAAGAATCCGGCAGGTCCCATAGCGTAAAGAAGACTCTGCCGCGGCAGCGTCGCCGTCAATTGAAAACTCATGTAAAGACGCGACGACACTGATTCGATCTTCAACGAGCCGTTGACGATGGTTAGATCCCCTTGGTCAGGATTTACCTCGCCAGGAGATTTCCCTCCAAGCAAGTACGGTTTCACAGTCCCGGAACCGCCGTCGGAAGGTACCCAACCGACGATCGCGCTGCTTCCGATCATCTGACCGTTGGTTGAGAATCCGATCCCGATGAAAGCGCTTGAATCCGGCGCCGATAATATAAAGCTCCATGTGTTGTCTACCGTTCTTGCATACTAGGCGTGAAAATTCGATTTCAATATTTTAAGAATTCGAAAAGTTTTGAAATTTGGAAAATTAGGAAAATTGACTTACTCGGAGGATGTAATTTTGGAGACTCCAAGCTTCTGTGCATTGAAGGAGGCTGACGTTAAAGGTGAGGTTGTTGAGAGGTAGAGTTGAGTTGCAGGAATCTCTAGCAGCTTGTTGTGCATTAACAACTATGGTGGAGAGAGCAATTAAGACGAAGATGATACAGGAAACAGAATGAAGCTTCATCTTTTGTTCTCTTTCTCTCTCTCTGGATCTGAAAGATGAAAGAGAGAGGAAAGTAATGACTAATGAATAAGGATCATGATGATGACGACGACAATGAATTGTATATATATATCTTGTTTATGAGATAGTGTGTGAAGAGGCAGTTGAGAGAATTCAACTAATTTTAAATTAGTTGTATCGTTAGAATTCGTTTTTTTTAAAATAATATTATTACTGTAAGTCTGGTAAATAAATAGCTCTGTTTCATTAAGAAAGAATCAATCCTTGTGTCGTGGGAGGCTACTTTACTTTCGTTCTGTTTTTCTATCTCTCGTTGCTTAAGATGTGAAAAAATGATTGAAATGTACCAGCTAACTTACCAAGTTTTTATCAGTTAAAGACAAAATTCTAAAACTTTATTAAAAAGGACAAAATAATAAATCTCTCTTTAATTTTTGGAGTACTTTGCATATGAATCCTAGCTTTGTCACTACCAGTATCGGTCTAACGTCATTTCAAGTCAACTGGTTATTGATTGCGTCTGCCGCATTGTGTTTATTCATTGATCGACCAATGGGATTTTCAGACATACAAATAATAATAATATGTACTACTATTCATTTGCCTTTCGGTGTTAATATTTTTAGTCCTTTGATTTCACATAAATTTTGTAACAGCTAAACTAGCTTCTATTAGCTAGACGGTCTATTTACTAAATCCGTCTAATTAATAGGACCTTAAGCATCTTTCAAATACAAACTTTGTAAGATAGATCGAAAGGAGCGATGAATTTGTAATCCAATTAAGCTAAATGAGATTGTAACGTGATTGTTAGTCAAATCTCTGGTTTTGGCTTTTTACACTTTCAGGGACCAGAGAAAACGACCGTTCATGACAAAAGCAACATTCGTTATCCTACACACACACAAAACAATAGTCATTGACACATCACCGCTCAACAAACACCATTTCACTAGTCTATATGGGCTCCATCATCTGGACAAGAACAATTCAGTTGTTGAATTTTGGCATCAGCAATCCTCGGCGCACTTCAGTCATGTAATCTGTTGGCGATATCGATGGAGGAGGCAATGTCTTGTTTGCTGCAGCCAGGATCTGTAATTGTTTTGACACACAAAACAAGAAACGAGGGTCTCATCATTCATGTACACACATCTTTAAAAAATACTAGAAGCATATGATTAGAGTTTATAGTTAGTTCCAACCTGATGAGGTAGTTTACCCCAAACACTCCCTCCATAGTACATGATTGGTCGCTCTGTGAAACAGAGAAAAAGTAGGCAAACTTGAAAATCAGTTCTACTTAACTAACTGGAAGACAGAGATCCATATTGGAACATAGATATATTTGATTGTATTTGGAGGCAACTCAAGCAGAACAAGTCTAATAGACAAAAAGGATAGAGGAAAACATGGAAAGCCCTTAATCTCACCAGATAGATCCACAGTTGGGTCGTTGTATTGATGCATTGCAGCTGCCCATCCTGTTCATTTGACAAATCAAGAGCACGTAAATAAGACAAGCACATAAACTGAGTGCATAAGCAGTGAATTCAACACACCCTACAAGGAGCACGACCAATAAACTAGCACTGACTCATCAGATGTTTAGCATAGCAACAGTTGATAGAAGAACGACCAGATAGTGACACAGAGCACAAATAAACCCCATAAATGTTTAAAGAGATAGTTCAGATTCATACGTTGGCTCATGAGCTGATAAGCTTCACTCCTAGAGCAGTCCTTTAGTGTTATTATCCTCTGGGTCCGGGGTTTGTTTTCCATCTGAAGACCAGTAGCAGGAGGTTGATTTCTCTCAGCATCGTTGTTCTGTTGGCTACTTGTTCGATCTGCATTTCACTCTTTATTTAGCCAAGAACAAAAATATAAAGAGCAAAACCAGATATAGCTTGAGCGATGATCTTTTTTCAAGCAAACAAATGGATCAAGTACACACTTGGAGAAAATGAATCAACCAGCGGATTTGGTAATAAAGAGAGAGCCAGATCTGAATTTCAGGCAAAACCCCTAATAATTCACTTTCTTAGAAACGATTCTTGAGGTTATCAACTATGCACAATCACAATGTTTACAGATTCGCATGCAATCAATTAGTGTAGCTACAAAATCAGATTATTTCTATTCCTCTACAATCTTTGATCTAAGCTATACTCTCGGAATCAAGAAACCGATTTGATTCGTCTCTCTAGTAAGAATCAATAAAGAACGACTCAGGCAAAGAAGACAGACAGAGAGAGAGTTCACATACCTCCCGACTTCCGACGATTCCCAGTCCCAGAAGGCTTCCTGCGACACAGAGAAGCAACATCAAAAGGTAAGATCGGAGACGAAGTAGTGAAATCAGCAGAGTAAGCATCACTCGAAGTCAGCAAAATGAGAGGAAAGATAAAGAGAAGAAGAAGAAGTTACCTTTGATTAGGAGGAGTATACCGTTTCTGATTGGAGCTCGAATCCGCCATTGACGAGTTAGGGTTTACGCAATTTGCTCAGAGAACGACTCTCTCTCTACCGGTGGAGATCTGTCAACTCTTTAACGCATAGAGAACGTTGAAAAGCGTCGTCTCGTCGTCTCGTCGTCGTCGTCTCTTAAGTCGTTCAATCTTCACGCGCGGATACTTCAACGCGTGTTTATCAACCGCTCGCGCGCTTTTATTACGCCTTTTCCGAAATTTACGTTTCGTGTCTTATGTTTCTCCTCCTGGAATTGGAAATTTCGTCATCTTCTATCAATCTCCGGTTAGCTAAACCAAGTTGTATAGGTTTCTGGTTTAAACATCATCATTGGTCGACCCTTGAACTTCATGGGCCTTACTACATTCTCGGCCCAATGTCGTGATTGATCCAAAACCGGAAACGGATCTGTACCCGCTCCGTTTCGAGATCTCTCAACTGCGAAAGAAGGGTTTTGAGGGTTTTCTCACCTTTTACTGTTCCCTCGTCAATTTCTTTGTTTGGCTGTTCTTTCTTCGCATCCAAAGATGAAGCTCGTCAGGTACTGTTTCGATTTCAATTCTTTTTTTAAAAGCAAATTTATGTTAGTGGTCTTAATCTTAGTTAGCTCCTGGTATGGAATCCAATCCCAGTGTTGAGCTTGAGCTGATTTGTGTTCTATGGTTTTGATTGGATCGAGTAGGTTTTTGATGAAGTTAAACAATGAAACTGTCTCAATCGAGCTGAAGAATGGGACTGTGGTCCATGGAACCATCACTGGTAAGTTCTTATTTTAGCTTCCGGTTTCTTTGTAGCTCTTCTCATCCTTTCTCCTCTCTCGATTTCTCCGTTTATAGGTCTTATACAAGTCGCGATCTGTTCCCTAATTGTCAATTGGCCCTAATCGCAGTTGTAGGTTGAGAAAACACACTATTAGATTCACTAGTCACAAATGTATATTTATTGAAATTAAGCTTGATGATTTGGGCAGGTGTGGATGTGAGCATGAACACTCACTTGAAGACAGTGAAAATGAGCCTGAAGGGGAAAAACCCAGTAACTATCGATCATCTTAGCTTGAGGGGTAACAATATTCGCTACTACATTCTTCCTGATAGCTTGAACCTCGAGACTTTACTTGTGGAAGACACTCCTAGAGTTAAACCTAAGAAGCCTGTTGCTGGTAATGCTCTATTCATTTTGATAATATTCGTCTTCAAAAGCTATAAGACTCCTTTATCAGTCCATTTATTCTTTTTCTCTTTCTTTCTTCTTTAGGGAAGGCTGTTGGACGCGGCCGTGGCCGTGGTCGTGGGCGTGGTCGCGGCAGAGGTCGTTAGATGTATCAGTGCACTGGAAAAAGTTGAAGGTTTGTGAGTTAAATTCTTAGGAGAATGTACCGAGTTATGTATCTAGCAATTCTGGCAAAGGAAATATTTGATTAAGAAATGGTATGATTGATGCTAGTAAGGAGTTACTATGTAATGGAATTCCATGGATAATAATATTTAGCTTTACATGTTATAAGAGCATCTACAAGTAGAGAATTTGTGTGGTTTTGAGAGCTCGAGGCTTTTTTTATTCATGTAACAAATCTGACTATCAAAGTGCATTAACTTGTTGAAAATCTTAGTATAGAAAAACTGCTATCTCCTCCGTCAGTCTTCCACTTGAAACCTATCTCACATGATCCTGCAATTGGGATCTTGATTGTAGACGGGTTCCCCGATCTGATTGTAGGGATCACACGGGTAGGGATAGGAAGATGGCACACCGTATCCATAAGGCCATGGTTGACAACATGGCTCGGGTTTTTTCTCCTCAGGTTTTTTCTCTTCTGGTTTCTTCTCTTCGGGTTTCTTTTCTTCCGGCTTTTTGTCACCATCCTTGGGTGGTTCAACTTTAGCTACGCTAACAAGCTCCGCAAATGCCACCTTTTTCCTGAGTGTGTTGATTAGAGCGATCATATCGACTTCAACACCGGTCACCTCAATCTGGTTCATGTGATCTCCCTTTATTTCCACAGCGTTCACGCCTATAAACAAATGCGCTAAATCTTTAGATTCAACAAGAATTACAATCATCAAGTTCTCTAGGGTTTGTATCGTTGTTACCTTTAAACTGAACCGCAGTTTTCATTGCTTTTGCTCTAGTTGGGTCATCAGTCATAGCAACTCTTATGAGGATCTTTTGCTGCACACAATAAGAAAACTTCTTAACATCACAAGGGAAGTCTCTCTTTCAAATGAGAATCGAAGTTATTACATGTTGAGTACAGATACATACCTTCATGTTCTTGTCTTCTTCACGGTCGGTTAAAAGGATGATTAGAGATTGTCTGCTTGAGAATTGGCGTTAAATGTTTGATGGGAGTTTGCTCAGAAATTTCTGTGCCTTCTTTAGATCACAAATTTGAGGAAATATAAATAAGGATTGATTTTATATATTCATTTGTTCCATGAGTCGTTGTCTCACACAACGGAATCGGATAGTTTGAATTTCCTTGTCAGGTTCATATCTTCGTCCCTTACGTGTTTTATTGGTTCTAGTTGCCGATTCGTACAAGCCTATTGCCAATTCTTTAGTTAAAAAATTACAAAAAATCTTTATTTGATTGAGACCAAAAATTGATTAAAACAGTTATTTGACTGGGTCCAAATAAATTGATTAAAAAATGATACACAACACAGATAATATTTGTTTAATATACCGTTGCCTTATAGTTTTAGAGATGTATGAGTCAATATTTCAATTATGATGATTTATAAGTTTATTTTATTTATCATCCAGTTGTGCATGAGCATAACAATAAGGAGAACAAATGTTCAAGTCTTCGTCTCCTCTAGAGTACATGTTTCCCTCTAACTTCCTACTTAATCAAAAAAAGATTAACTTGACTACTAATCTGTCATCCATCTGTATTAACAAATGTTATATGCTTGACTTGCAATACGTACTTTCGCAATCATACATGCTAATTTTCTAATATAATGAAACAATTAGCTTTTAATTTATACTAATGTGTTTGTCTATGCTAATTTGATTTATTTCTTAAAACATTACACATTGCTGATGCCAATTGCAGTGATATCAGCAACTTGCAACCGATTGATCCAACATAGGTAATTAGGTATCATACCTCATGGAGATACAAAAAAAGGGTAAACAAAAATAATTTTATTTGTTAATAGAGGAATACTTAAAAATAATGAATCAAATAAATAAGTTTAGCATCCTCACCTCCTCATGGTTAATAAAATGCAGACAAACAGAAGTAAAGATATTTATTAGTATATAGAAGATTTGTATGTCTTGCTTCTGTGAAACAAATCACGTAGTGTGTCAAACTCGAATCTAAAAGATCATAGATGAATGATATGATTGGCAAACATTTCAAAAGGAGATTGTTTATAAGGAAATCTAAAAGTTAATTTTGAGAAACTATCTTTTAGCTTTGAATATTTTGACATATTAGCAAAGTGTAGTAAATGTCAATAGTTTTGAATAAAATAAGTTGTGATTATATAAAAAAAATAAAGTTATCGATGAATGTAAATCGGATATAAATGATAATTTTACATATTATAACTGTTTTCTGAAGTTGTAGTTTGTATATAATATCATTTAAGTAAATTATGCAAGTATTTTATTTTTTGGCAGTCTACAATTAAACACACCATTAACCTGTAGACCGGGTCAATTATGCGTGATTAAATATACATATTTCTAAAAAGATAAACCCAAAATAAATGTGAACGAGAGAAGAAATTAATTTGGTAAGCACCATTAATAATTGATTTTAAATATTTCAAAGATTTGGAAAGAAAATATGAGCGGGAAATAAACCCCACGATTTCGCGAAATCGTACTGATTTTGACCAAATTAAACCAAATTTTTTTACTTTTATCGCAACAATTCAGTTTCCGAAAGATATAACTTCCAAAATCCGCATTAAATCCCGTTTCTAGGGTTCCTCGTTCACTAATTGGGGATCCAAGAGTTGCGCCGAGTAGTAGTGTGAGGATTTTGATTTTCGATATGGATTCTGCAGAGGAAAAAGGTGTTAGAGTTGAAGAAGAGAACGGACGCAGTGGTCTCCGTAGGAATCGGAGAGCTTCTACGAAGCTGGCGAATTACGTTGACCCTCCGACTGACGACGACGAAGATGGAGGACCCAAGCGAAAGGGCAACAAGGGTGGAAATAGGTCTCGGAAAAAGACACTGAAGGAAGACGATGAAGATGCGAACGGAGGCGCTTCTGGTCTGGCGAAGGAGAAGAAGAGAGTCTCTACAAGGATTAATGAGAAAGTTGAAGTTTCTGGAAGCAAATCGACGGAAGAAAATGGGATTAGGACTCGGAAAAGGACTCAGAAGAATGATAAAATCGATGTTGAGGTTCCAACTAAGTCGAGCAAGAGGAGGAGAACCACAGTTAACAACAACAGGAAACAACCCCGCGGGGTTAGTGAATTCTCTTTGCTCATCAATCATAGTTTACACACGATCTAGTCCACTAATTTGGTATATATTTTGCAGTTGTCCAATATGTGTCATCAATGTCAACGGAACGATAAAGGCGATGTTGTGCGGTGTCAGACTTGCAAAATGAAGCGTTTTTGCCACCAATGCTTAGATACTTGGTATGCTCTTCTTACCATCACATTGTTAGCAATTATTTTGGGTTCTTGTTACTGATTTCATTATATTGGGGTGTTACAAATGGATCTTTCAGAGTTTCTTTGTGATGGTTTAATTCTTAGACTCTTTTTATTGTTTTGGAATGAATCAAGACAAAAGTTGTCTAATCACTACTTGCAGGTACCCTGACATAGCAAAAGAAGATGTTGCCAAGAAATGCCCATTCTGCTGTAGTGTTTGCTGTTGCAGAGCATGCTTGCGTCTAGATCATAAAATCAAAGTACGTTTTCTCGTATCTTATATCTTGCTTGATTACTGTTATTGTCTTTTTTAAATTTAAGCTCTATAGCATAATGATTACTCAAATGCCATGTAGGGCATAAATTCAAATCTCGAGATCAGCAGTGATGCAAAAATTCAATGCTCTCAATATACTTTGCAAAACCTTCTACCACATCTGAAGGAAATAAATGATGAACAAATAGCTGAGAAGGAAATTGAGTCAAAAATATCGGGTACTTTCTTTGCCTTTATTTATGTTGGAAAGTAATGATTGTTAGAAGATTTGTTCCAGAAGTTAGAAGCTATCTTAATGTTGTTTAATTTCACAGGACTCAAGTTTGAAGAGGTGAGGCCCCAAGATGCTAAATTATCCCCTGATGAAAGATTATACTGGTATATTACCCTGATATTTTTGTTTCAATAAACATGACAAGTTCTTATGTCATGAATTCATGATGCTGTTTGTTAACATGCTTCTTTGCTGTTTTAACTCGTTGGGCTTACAGTGATATCTGCAAGACATCAATCTATGATCTTCATAGGAATTGCAAGGTCTGTAAATGTGATATCTGCCTTACCTGTTGCCTTGAGATCCGCAATGGAAAGGCTCTGGCATGTCAGGAGGATGTGTCTTGGAATTATATTAATCGAGGTTTAGAGTATGAACATGGAGGAGAAGGAAAAGTTATTGATGAGCTGGATGATAAGCCGAAAGATAAGCCGAAGGGTAAACCTAAGGGTAAGCCGCAGGGTAAGCCCGATGATAAGCCGAAGGGTAAGCCAAAGGATAAGCCGAAGGGTAAGTCGCATGATAAGGAGGATGATGAGCCAGATAAGAAGCCGATTAATACAGACCATATGAAGTACCCTTCTATGTGGAAAGCAAATGAAGCTGGGATCATTACTTGTTATTGTGGTGCTGGGGATTTAGTGTTGAAACGCCTACTTCCGGATGGTTGGGTATCTGGTTTGGTCAACAGAGTAGAAAAAAGTGCTGAAGCCGGCAAGCTTTTGGATTTACCTGAAACAGTTTTGGAGCGATGCCCTTGTTTTAACTCTAATGGTCTTATTGACGTGGACAACGGTAAATTGTTGAAGGCTGCTTGTCGAGAAGGTTCAGAAGACAATTATCTATATAGTCCAAGTGTTAGCGATGTTCAAGAAGATGATCTGAAGCATTTTCAACATCATTGGGTAAAAGGTGAGCCTGTGGTTGTGAGGAATGTGCTTGAGACTACATCTGGTTTAAGCTGGGAACCAATGGTAACGTATCGTGCCTGCCGTCAGATAGCCAACAGCAATTTTGAACAACTTCTAACGGTTGATTCTACTGATTGTCTGGACTTCGATGAGGTTAGTTTTTCCTCAATGAATATGGTTCTGCCTCATATCTTTTTCGTATATAATAGTATGAGTTCTTGCCATAGTAATCATTTGTTGTCTAGTCTAGTTAATCTCAATAAGCAACAATATGGCTCATTTTTTGATTAGTAACTTGTTGTTATGCTCTTCTCTATCTAATGGCTTGTAAATGGATGCAGCGAGAAGTAAATCTTCGTAAATTTTTTACCGGATACACAGAAAGCCGATATGATCGAATGGGTTGGCCACATGTTATAAAACTGAAAGATTGGCCTCCATCTAATTTATTTAAAGAAAACATGCCACGTCATTCGGAGGAGTTCTTATGCAGTTTGCCTTTGAAGCTGTACACTCACCCAGATAATGGACCTTTGAATCTGGCTATCAACCTGCCTGAAAATTCTTTGAAGCCAGATATGGGGCCAAAGACGTATATTGCTTACGGATTTCCGCAAGAATTTGGCCGTGGAGATTCTGTTACTAAGCTCCATTGCGATATGTCTGATGCGGTTAGTACCCTTATGCTTTGTCTTTTCTCGTCTTTATTTTCATTTCTTTGTTATATACTTCTGTCAACTCTTCTTATAGTTTTCCCTTTTACAATGATTTCAGAATCTAATAAAAAACAACAGATTCATATTAGAATCATAACTATATCAGTTCACTTAGGTTTTTATATTTACATTTTAGATTAGTTGTCTTTCTTCATTTTCTCGAGCATGCAGTTAATAAGTTTTCTGTATTTTGTTTCTCTGATTTTTTCGACCTTCTTTTTTTTTCCCCGGAAAAATCCTCCTTTTGGCTTTAGTGGTAGCGGTGATCAAAGTACAAATTGAGTGGGAAAAACTGAAATTTCTTTCCTCCTGGGCCCACCACAATTTTTTTGTTTACCAAAGGTTTTTTCCTTCTTTGGCAGAAACTTTTATTTATTTTTTCCTTTTTCCTCTTCCATAAACTAAAATTCTTTAATCTTCAACGAAAGCGGTTTTTGGTAGAAACTTCCAATTATAAAGGGAAGAATTACTCCCTTTTTCCAGTCTCCTCCTTTAGCAATTCAAGCTAATGTTTCTCGCCAGTTGTTGTATCTTCTTGCCGTTTTCTGATGTCGCTAGTCGCTGTCGCTGAATAAAAAGACCAACTCAAATTCTAGATATCCAATTTTTCCCAAATCTAAAAAAAACTTTAATTTGAGAGTATGCATGTAAATGTTAAGAATCTTGAAGGCAGTGCTAGTTTGAAATTATGTTCTCTTCCAATTGGTAAACATGGCTGATGATAGCATTAGCCTACTGATGATACTCATCCAAAGAGTGTCCCAAGACTACCGGAAGAACCTTGTTTCCTTGGAGTTCAATTGAAGTTGAGTACTGAGGCATGACTATTGCTACTTGTGATGTAGTTTGGCTGTCGAAATTATATTCTGCTTTCCGAATACAAATTTTAAATTTATCACGATATACTATTCTTAACCTGTTGAATGTACCAAACACATTGAGATCGATTGTCAGACTAAATTAAATTCTGATATCTGTATACAAATCTACGAAGACACTATTCGTAACCTATTTAATGTATGAAACACATTAAAATCGATTGTTAGACTGGCTGTTAATAACTTGTACTTGGTACAAATGCTAATCGAACAGTAAATTGATGATACCTACCCTATTAACCTATCCAAATTCAGTTAAAGAAATTAATTCTCAAGTTGGAGTTATGCAATCCTTGCACCATCCCCTTATGTCGAGACTATAATGAATATATATACCAATATCAATGTACTAAAAAAAACAAGTAGATTGAAGGAATTTAAACAGACAATTATCTTTCTACGAAGCTGAATAGATTCAGGGAATCTTCTACCTCTTTTGGGTGGGACTTTCTATGTTTCCGATTTGGGTCCGAATTATTTTAAAGTATGATTCTGCGTAGTAACCAAAGCTTTCTATTAAAGCATAGTTTCAAATAAAGGTCAACTGACATTGTATTTTATATTCTTTTTATTTTTTTGGTATCTAATTTTACATTAATTTTTCTCTCTCTTATCTAATTAAATTCAATATTTGTATTGCTGTGTTGGTTATTTCAAGGTCAATGTTTTGACGCACATCTATGAAGTGCCCATTGACGAGAAAATGCAACCTGGAATTGAAGATCTGAAAAAGAAGCATGCTGAACAAGATGTCAAGGAGCTGTATAGTTCAGTAACTAACAAGAAGGAAATGATGGAGATTCTTGAAAAGTCTAGACAACAAATCCCAAATGTTGAAACTGATGAGGGAGCTCTTTGGGACATTTTCCGTAGAGAAGATATTCCTAAATTAGAAAGTTACATTGAGAAACATCACAAGGAGTTCAGACATCTCTACTGCTGTCCTGTCCCTCAGGTAAACACTATCTTTGCATTCTATACATTTTTCTTATTTTTCTTCAATATAGTTATATTGAACGTTTATAGTGTCTAGTCTCTACAATATTTTTCGGGTTTTTGTATATCTTATATGTTCATCCATCTTCTTCTTTTCAGGTTGTTCATCCCATATATGACCAGACGTTTTATTTGACACGGTATCATATAACGAAGCTGAAAGAAGAATATGGTATGTCAGATTTTACTAATAACCAATCACATTTTCGTGCTTTCCACATTCTCTTGACAGTTTTGGTCATATCTCTGGGGCTGTATTGTGTAGGCATTGAACCTTGGACCTTCAATCAGAAGCTTGGGGATGCTGTCTTAATACCTGTAGGTTGCCCTCATCAAGTCAGAAATCTGAAGGTATTTTTTTGTACTTTTAGCTTAGGATACAGTGGATTTGAGCAATTGGGCTTTTTAGTTTCTCAGCAAATGGTTCATAAATTGATCATTGTAGTACTCTTGTGTCTTTCAGTCCTGCACAAAGGTAGCACTTGACTTCGTCTCACCTGAAAATGTCAGCGAGTGTTTACGCTTGACAAAACAGTATCGTTTACTTCCACCAAATCATTTTGCAAAAGAAGACAAGTTAGCGGTATTTCTCTTGTCTCAATTTCTGGTTGTTTTAAGCCATGTTCCCAACTCCTCTCTAAATGTTTTTTTCTTTTTCTTGTTTCATGTGTGTTTGCTTGAACAGGTTAAGAAGATGATAATCCATGCAGCCGATAAGGCCGTCAGATACTTAAGTGGAGAGAAGTGAGTTATTACTTCACTTCTCACTACCTATAGCAATCATCAGTAAAATGCGTTTCTTTTCGTTTAAGCTTGAGTTCTTATTTTGTGTTGGTTCAGGTCTCCAGAACCCGTAGAGAAGAAAATAAAGAATAGAGGGCCAAAGGGTAGAGTCAATGGGAGTACGTCAAAGGGGAGAGCCAATGCAATTGTTAAGGCTCACAAAGACTTACCTCCAAGTGAAAAGTGAGTTTTAACTTCTCTTTCCACTATCTGAAATAACATCAGTAGATTGAGTTTCTTTTTGTCTAAGCTGAGTTTTTTCTTTTGTTTTGGTTCAGGTCTTCCGAAGCAGCAGAAGAGGAGATATCAAATGCGATAGTCAACGCAATTGATACGGCTCTCGAAGACATACCTCCAAGTGAAGAGAAGTGAGTAGTTACTTGTCTTCTCACTACCTTAAAAACCATTAGTAAACTGAGTTTCTTTTTGTCTAAGCTGACTTTTTTTTTGGGTTGGTTCAGGTCTTCCGAATCCGAAGAGGAGAAATCAAAGGGGATAGTCAATGCAATCGATAAGGCTCTCGAGGACATACCTCCAACTGAAAAGAAGTGAGTTTTGTCTTTTCACTACCTATAAAAAATCATTAGTAATCTGAATTTCTTTGTTTATGTTGATTCAGGTCTCCCGAAGCGGAAGGGGAGAAAAAACCAAAGATTGTGAGGACATATGAGCGGAGAAAAAAGCAGAGAAGTGAAGAAATCAACACATGGGCATTGGCAGATTAGAAACGGAGTAGATGTAGTAGCAATAGTTTTTGTTGCATCTCAACTTTTTTTATCATCTTTTGTTGGTAGCTTTTTTTAGCAAACTTTTTCGCTAATTTCATTTTACTGGATCACTTACGTTAAACTGATCACTAAGTGAGAAGATCGTCCTTAGTGATATTCTTTTGGCATATTTTGCATACTCCTTCTCAATTAACTAAAACTTTATGAAAGTCACCTAAGACTTTTATGTCATTATGAAAGGAGTTTACTTAATTCCTCGCCACTCCCTCTTATTGAGAGTCTCTTAAAACCGGTTAGCTGTTGATTTCTCCGGTCAGTAATTTCAGGAAACGGTTCGTCTTTCCCTGGATTGAAAAACAGCATTTGGAAACCAAAAAAAATATTTGTTTTAAAAAAGGATTTGGAAAGAAAAGATAAGAGCGGGAAATAAAATCCCAAAGATTTCGCGAAATCGTGCTGATTTGACCAAATTAAACCAAAACTTTTACTCTCTCAGAAAACCATTCAGTTTCCCCAAAAAAAAAAAAATCCGCCTTAAATCCCGTGTCTAGGGTTTTCTCTCGATACTGATTGGGGGCTCCGAGAGTTGCGCCGAGGACGATTGAGAATTTTGATTTTCGAAATGGATTCTGTTGAGGAAGAAGGTGTTGTTAGGGTTGAAGAAGAGAACGGACGCGGTGGTCTCCGTAGGCAGCGGAGGGTTTCTACGAAGCTGACGAATTACGTAGATCCTCCGACTGACGACGACGAAGATGGAGGACCCAACAAGCGAAAGGGCAAAAGGGGTGTATCTAGGCCTCGGAAAAAGACACTGAAGGAATACAAGGATGAGCAAAAGAACGAAATTGATGAACCAAACGGAGTCACTGGTCTGGTGAAGGAGAAGAGAGCCGCTTCTAAGATTAGGAATGTCAAAGACTCCATTACTGAAGTTGGAGAAGCTTCTGGAAGCATGCCCAAGGAAGGAAAGGGAATTAGGATTGGGAAAAGGACTCAGAAGAATGATGAAATCGATGGTGAGTTTCCAACTAAGCCGGGCAAGAAGCCAAAGACTACAGTAGACCCGAGAATCATTGGTTACAGACCGGTTAGTGATTTCTCTGTAAAATTTGTACTCTGTTCTTCCTTTACATGGCGACCAATGTGTTAATTTTGGGATATATATGTAGGACAATATGTGCCACCAATGTCAAAAGAGCGATAGGATTGTTGAACGGTGTCAGACCTGCAATAGCAAGCGTTATTGTCACCCATGCTTGGACACTTGGTATGATCTTCTTACTTTATACTTTAATTTCATTTTGATAACTATTTCTGCAGCAGTTCATGTTGATGCCTATATAATTTCATTTATTTAACAACTGATTATCCGGGGATTAGCGATCTAGTGACCCAATTCTTTTACTGTAGTCTTGTGTTGGATTATTTTTCCAGAAGCCTGAACCATTGGTCTAATTACTACTTGCAGGTACCCACAAATAGCAAAAGAAGATGTTGCCAAGAAATGCATGTTCTGCTCTAGTATTTGCAATTGCAGAGCATGCTTGCGTCTAGATACTAAATTAAAAGTAAGTTTTTCTCCTATCTACCATATCTTTGTTGATTATTATTATTGTTTTTGATTTACTTAAGGTCCTTACCATTATGATTACTCCAATGCTATGTAGGGGATAAATTCGAACCTCATGGTCAGCGAGGAAGAAACGGTTCAATCCTCTAAGTTTATTCTGCGGAGCCTTCTCCCACATCTAAAAGGAATAAATGATGAACAAGTTGCTGAGAAGGAAGTTGAGGCCAAAATATCCGGTACTTTCTTTACTTTTATTTATGCTTTAAAGTAATGATTGTTATTGTATTTTTTTTGCATTCTCATATTATTATGTCTAAGTATGTATATTCGTTATTATTGGATATACCTGCATTTATTCCCAACAAAATCTCAAAGTGAGTGGATTCAGTTTTCTAACTGGGAAGCTGGAAGCTCATTAGTTGCAGGAGTTAGACGATACCTTAATGTTGTTTAATTTTACAGGACTGAAGTTTGAAGAGGTGAGGCCCCAAGACGCTAAAGCTTTCCCTGATGAAAGAGTATACTGGTATATTTTTGTTTCAATAAATATGACAAGTTTTTATGTCATGATGCTGTTTGGTAACATGCTTCTTTGTTGTTTTAACTCTTTGGGCTTACAGTGATATCTGCAAGACATCAATCTATGATCTTCATAGGAGTTGCAAGGTCTGTAAATGTGATATCTGCCTTAGCTGTTGCCTTGAGATCCGCAATGGAAAGGCTCTGGCATGTAAGGAGGATGTGTCTTGGAATTATATTAACCGAGGTTTAGAGTATGAACATGGAGAAAAAGGAGAAGTTGTTCAAAAGCTGGAGAATAAGCTGGATGATAAGTTGAAAGATAAGCTTGATGAGAAGCCGACAGATAAGCCGGATGATAAGCTGGATGATAAGTTGGATGATAAGCCGAAGGGTAAGCCAAAGGGTAAACCGAAGGGTAGGCCGAAGGGTAAGCCAGATGATAAGCCGAAGGGTAAGCCAAAGGGTAAACCGAAGGGTAAGCCGGATGATAAGCCAGATAAGAAGCCGATTAATACAGACCATATGAAGTACCCTTCTATGTGGAAAGCAAATGAAGCTGGGATCATTACTTGTTATTGTGGTCAGGGGGAGTTAGTGTTGAAACGACTACTTCCGGATGGTTGGATATCTGAGTTGGTCAACAGAGTAGAAAAAACTGCTGAAGCTAGCGAGCTTTTGAATTTACATGAAACTGTTTTGGAGCGGTGCCCTTGTTCTACCTCTGACAGTCATATTGACATAGACAGCTCTAATTTGTTGAAAGCTGCTTGTCGAGAAGGTTCAGAAGACAATTATCTATACTCTCCAAGTGTATGGGATGTTCAACAAGATGATGTGAAGCATTTTCAGCACCATTGGGTAAAAGGCGAGCCTGTGATTGTGAGAAATGTGCTTGAAGCTACATCTGGTTTAAGCTGGGAACCAATGGTAATGTTTCGTGCCTGCCGCCAGATAAGACATGTCCAGCATGGATCACTTACGGAAGTTGATGCTGTTGATTGTTTGGACTTTTGTCAGGTCAGTTTTTTCCTCAGTAAATTGTATTGTCCTTTTTAAATAACTTAAGTTCTTTGCAGCTATATTTGGATTCTTTCTTTTTTCTACATCTGTCAAGTACTAAATTATTCTTGTCTAGATAATTTAAATTGTTTTGACGTTCATGTTTTTCCCTTCTCGGTTGACGTTTCAATTTCTGTTTTACTCACTGTTCAACTTTTTTTTTGCTCATTAACAGTGAATATATATACTCTTCAACTTTGTCCGGGTTTTGCCTTTTTCTTAGTAGATGCATTGAGTAGCTTGCAAGTCAAATTCTATTAGTCTTACTTGGCAACGAAATGTCTCATCTGTTACTTTCCAGATTTGTAACTTCTTATTTATCCTATGGCTTGTAATGGATGCAGGTAAAAGTTAATCTTCATGAATTTTTTTACTGGATACACGGATGGCCGATTGATCGAATGGGTTGGCCACTATTTCTGAAACTGAAGATTGGCCTCCAGCTAAAGTCTCAAAGATAGCTTGCCACGTCATGCTGAGGAGTTCTTATGTAGTTTGCCTTTGAAGCATTACACTCACCCGGTTAATGGACCTTTGAATCTTGCTGTTAAGCTTCCCCAAAACTGCTTGAGCCAGACATGGGACCAAAGACGTACGTTGCTTCTGGATTTGCTCAAGATTTGGCCGTGGAGATTCTGTTACTAAGCTCCATTGCGACATGTCTGATGCGGTTAGTACCCATATGATTTGTCTTTTCTCGTTTTCATATTCATTTCTTTGTTATAAGTCTGTCCATTCTTATTGTTTTGCTTGGCATACAAATGATGATTTCAGAACCTATCAAAACATTAAAATCAGATACTTTTTCCTAATAGATTCATACCTTAATCGGTCACTTACATTTAGGATTCTTCTTCTCTTCTTTTCTAGATCAGTTCCTTTAGTTTTTCTGTTTTTCTTTCTGCTGAGTTTTCTGGACTCTTTCGTTCAACTCCTCTTTTTCGTATTTTATTCGGGCTATAATCCTCCTCCTTTGAAGCAAAGGAAATCTCCTTCGATTTGTTGCATCCTCATATTCTCTTTTAGGGCCAAAAATCAAAGTCTTTTGCTTTCTGTTCTTGAACATTCTCAGATTGCGATGTCCATTTGAGAGTTTTTATGTTCTTCATAGGACCTATGGACCAACCATTATCCATGCAATGTGAGTCCATCAATAGCTTTCATAGGCCTGACATTTGGTTTTTCCGGGTTTGGAAATTTGCCCCAAAAAGAATCGAATGTTATTTCGGTTTGGTATATAATATAATGAAATAAAAAAATTAATTAATATTAGTAAATTTTGACCCAAATTATTATTATTAATATTTTTTTCCAAAAAAAAAAAGTTGGTACATGTTATTTGGTTTTGGTTGGGGTTTTGGATCGATGAATTTCATTGGGAGTTGTCCTGGTTCGGTTTGGTTCAGTTTAGCATTTTGCTTAGGTGGCTTGTATCTCAGACTTTAATAGGATGATCGTCTAAATTATGGAAAAGATGCAACATTATGGTCAACTCGTGAAAATCCTCCAAGTCTTCTTTATTTTCAAGACACAACAAATTGTTCGTTTGGCTGTCGCGTGCGACAACTATTAAATCAAGTCCATTTTGCTGTCGCGTGCGACAACTATTAAATCAAGTTTGTTTTGCTGTTGCCAGCTTCCCAATTACCGATCATAAATTTGAAAATGTTGGTTTTCCAGCATCTTATAAATGTGTGATTTTGGGTCTAATTTGGATAACATTGAATGCGAAGATGATGCATATCATTTGTGGTAATAGTTCCAGAAGAAAAAGAAAGGGTCTGTGATTGTTTTGAAGAAATGAAACAAAAGATATGATAGGTGACAACACGAAGAAAAGCAACATATCGCAATCTGATATCATTTGTTGTTGTCTCACGACTGGTGTGTCCAATTACGATCACTGATGATCTTCTATATTCATCACTTCCTCTCTTTTCGAGACAGCATTTCGCGGAATGCTTTTGAAGAATCCTTATTTGGAAGAAGAAAATGCCGCCTACTCTCCTCAGGAGGCTTTTTTTGCGCTTTTTTAAACTAGAGGCGGCACGCGCTGGATATTTCAAACCCCTGATCTTGAAATGCGAAAATAACTGACTAAACTGTGCCATAAGCTTCCAATAATGACTACAAAACAAAAATGCCGAGATTTTGCCTGTTACTGCTGCAACTGTTGTCACTTATTGTATCGTCTTTTGCTGAAATAAACAACCAACATAAGTTTCGCAGAATTTATCTGGAGCGAAATTTTGATTGAACACCCCTAGTTGTTGCTACTTGTTGAAATTGTTTGGTTGTCGGAATTGTTTTATTCCTCTCACAAGTTCCCTATACTTTTCATAACCTCGTGAATGTATAAAACACATTGAGATCGATTGTCAGATGCGGCGATTGAAAATTCTAATTGATACCAGTCATAATTGAACTCAAATGCCCTATTTCCAATTAATTCAAAAAAAAATATTATTCGAACAAATAATTGTTTATTTTTGGTCAATAAAATAATAATATTTTGGTCTAAGTATTTCTCTTTTTGGTCAAGATAATAGTTAATTTAGTATTGGTTTTGTTTTCTCTTGTTTCCTTCCGATTAGTTCTCTATACTTCTTCTATGACCATTTAATCTTTTACAAATTAGATTTTAGAAATGAAAATAAAACGTAATCTCTCTCCTCTTTTTCTTATATAAAGCACATAGTTTCAAATAAAGGTTAGCTGACAATTTTATTTTATACTAATAGTTTTGCTCACTTTTATCGTAACTTTTCTAGTATCTTAATTTCTGTACCCTTTGGTTATTTCAGGTGAATATTTTGACACACATATCTGAAGTGCCGATTGAGGACGATAAGAAAGATGGAATGGGGAAACTGCAAAAGAAGCATGCCGGACAAGATCTCAAGGAGCTGTATAGCTCAGTAGCTAACCAGGAGGAAATGATGGAGATTCTTGGAAATTCCAGACAACAAGTCCTTAATGTCGAAACTGATGAGGGAGCCCTTTGGGACATTTTCCGTAGAGAAGATATTCCTAAATTAGAAAGTTACATTGAGAAACATCACAAGGAGTTCAGACATCTCTACTGCTGTCCAGTGTCTCAGGTACACACTTTCTTTGCATGCTCATGCATTTTTCTTCTCATGTTCAAAAAGCTTTAATGGTCACAGTTTTGCATGTATTTGCTTGTCTTACATTTTTATTGACCTTCTTCTTTTAGGTTGTTCATCCTATACATGACCAGAATTTCTATTTGACCCGGTATCATATAATGAAGCTGAAAGAAGAATATGGTATGCTTTATTTTACAAGTAACCAACCTCATTATCGTGGCAGTTTTGGTCATATTTTTATGAGCTTTGTATTGTAGGCATTGAACCTTGGACCTTCAATCAGAAGCTTGGGGATGCTGTTTTAATACCTGTGGGTTGCCCTCATCAAGTTAGAAATTTGAAGGTAAAATTTTATACTTTTAGCTTAGGATACAGTTCATTTGAGCAATTGGACTTTTGGTTATTCAGCAAAAGGTTCATCAATTGATCATTGTAGTACTCTTGTGTCTTGCAGTCCTGCACAAAGGTAGCGCTTGACTTTGTCTCACCTGAAAATGTCAGCGAGTGTTTACGCTTGACAAAACAGTATCGTCTACTTCCACCAAATCATTTTGCAAAAGAAGACAAGTTAGGGGTATATCTCTTGTCTCAAGTTCTGGTTGTGTTGAGCAAAGTTTTTAACTCCTCTCTTATTGTTATTTTTTTTGTTTGTTTCCTGTGTGTTTACTTGAACAGGTGAAGAAGATGATAGTCCATGCAGTTGATAAAGCTCTCAGAGACTTAAGTGGAGAGAAGTGAGTTTTTACTTCTCTTCTCACTATCTATAGCAATCATCAGTAAAATGTGTTTCTTTTCATTTAAGCTTGAGTTCTTTATTGTGTTGGTTTAGGTCTCCAGAACCCGAAGAGAAGAAAAATTTTAAGAGGACGAATTCAAGGAAGAACAGGGCAGTTGTTAAGGCTCTCAAAGACTTGCCTCCAAGTGAAAAGAAGTGAGTATTTACATACTTCTCTTCTCACTACCTTAAAAAACATAAGTAAATTGAGTTTTCTCTTTTGGGTGTGTTCAGGTCTTCGGAAGCAGCCGAAGAGGAGATATCAAATGGGATAGTCAACACAATCAATAAGGGTCTCGAAGACTTACCTCCAAGTGAACAGAAGTGAGTATTTACATACTTCTCTTCTCACTACCTTAAAAAGACATTAGTAAATTGAGCTGATTTTTTGCTTTTGTGTTGGTTCAGGTCTTCCGAAGCCAAAGAGGAGATATCAAATGGGATAGTCAATGCAATGGATAAGGCTCTTGAAGACATATCTTCAAGCGAAAAGAAGTGGGCTTTTTCTTGTCTTCTTACTACCTGTAAAAAATACTAGATTTTTCTTCGTCTAAGCTGAGTTTATCTTATTTTTGTTGTGTTGTTTCAGGTCTCCGGAAGAGGAAGGGGTGAAAAGACCAAAGATTGTGAAGACATATGAGCGGAGAAAAAAGCAGAGAAGTGAAGAGACCAACGCATAGACATTGGCAGATTAGAAATGGAGAAGATGTAGTAGTAGTAGTTTTTGTTGCATCTCAACTTTTCATCATCTTTTGCTGTAGCTTTAGCAAACTCTTTTGCTACTTTCATTTACGGAATCTCTAAGTAAAACAGAGTACTAAGGGATAGACTAAGAAGATACTTATTCCTTTAGTTATATCTATTTTTGGCATATTTTGTATTCTCTCCTCAATCATCTACCAACTCTGTGAATTTAATCAAGTCTAAGAAGTATTTAACTTTATTCTGTAGATAATTGTTGGAGTAAACTAGTTTAAATAGCTATCAACATAACAGTAACAGCTGTAGTTTGCTAATGGCAATTTTTGTTAAGTTATACAACCGAATCTTAACCAAACAAATTGTTTATTTTTGGTTCAAGTTGTCTATTAAGTTATGAGTGGAGAAGAAAGATTCTTGAACTCACATAGCTAGGCATTAAAGTGTCATAACAATTTAACATTCAATCTTCTTAACCAAATGGAATGTATAATCATATTAAACACATCATATCTCTTTGGAGGATCATTAACCAATATATGCCTTTTCACTTTCTTCACTCCCTCGTATAATCTCATATACCGCTCTTCCGGTATATCCATCAATATCCTTTTAAGTTCCGGTATTTCCTTAACCGATACCGAAACCGAAAACTTCTCCCAATTCAAAACATCACTAAACGGCAAAACATAGTTCTCCGAAATAAGAACCGGTACACATCCGCTGTATATCGCTTCCGGTATTCTCGGGCTAGCAACTTCGTGACCGCTCGGGCAAATACAAAACCGGCTTTTCCTCATCATCTCCGTGTACTCTAAATCGTCCGGTAGATTCTCGTAAACCAGAATGTCTTTGTCCTTTTCTTTCCAGTGGTTTAGAAGAACCGGACGGATTTTGCCGTGTGATTTTCCAGCGAAGAAAGCAAGTGTTTTACGAGAGATTGGATCTAAACCACCGGTTAAGTTATTGATTTCTCCGGTTAGTAAATTAATTTCAGGAAACGGAGCGTCTTTCTCTGGATTGAAATATTCTGATATGTTGGCGTTGCATAGTACTCTTATGGAATTGAAAAATAGCTTCTTTACATACCATGTTGCCCTGTGTCCCTGCAACAATGTGGTTAGTTACCGTGAGAGAACGAAACACTGATAAGTAAAACAAGAACAACTTACCCAGTCATGGCAAGACAACATGAAGTGATCAAACCCATCGCTTGTGTTCCAATACGGATATTTCTTGGAAATTATCTGGACATAGTCGGCGATGACACGTTCCAACACAGCCTTATCTCGAACAACAGGGTCGAAAAGATGGTGTAGGATCATGACAACACTAAATGGTAAGAAGTAGACATGAGCCTTGTCCGGATCTTGGGTTCTGTACTTAAGGACATCGTTTTCCATAAAGTTAAGGAACAATCCTTCCATGGAGTATATGTCTTTACAAAGACCATAGTGAAACATTGGCGGATCTCCTTCTTCGTATACGTATATCTTGAACATCTTCTCCATAAGAAGATAACTTCTGCGACAAGTTAACACAACAATGATGGGTAACTTCTATGACACGTAAACACTTAAGTATATTTTTACCGGTGAAAGGCATAAGGGTTCCGGTAAATGTCGCCATGAGGAACATAGTCTTCGTCTCCGAGGGGAGACGATGTAGTAGAATTTGAGTTTAATTGAGCTTCTCTGATCAACGCCCTCGCGGTTGCTAATTCTGCTTCTACTTTCCCATCTCTTTTCCAATATCCAGAACCTGGATTTGATCCGTTTCTCTTTCTTTTTTCCTTGAAAATACAAAACATAGAAATCATTTTTGATAATTATAAACGAAAACGTGAAAATCAAAATTACTTCTTTGCGTTTGCTTTCGCATTTTCATGTTATACATGATTAAGCAAATACTCTTTGTACATGGAAACATAACACACATACACATACACATATAAATTGACGTTTGAAACAATATGGTAGCCTAAATCGATGAACGGGAAGAAAGATGGATACCGTGATGAAGGCGGAGGAGAAGGAAGAGGTCCATAGTGAAGAAGATGTTGAAAAATAAAGATGAGAAGATGAATTTGAATCTTTTGCTATAAAAATTGCAAAGACTACAGCAAAAGTGGCAAATGCCAAGAGAAAGGCGTTCAGGTATTTCGGAATGTAATCTTTCATACCTTTCCCATTCTAATTCCTATTCCATTATTGTGTTTGTGTGTTTAGTGTCGCGAGAGAGAGTGTGATGGTGCTGAAACTAAGGAGATTTCAAATGAGCTAAAAAAAGAGTCTCTATCTACACCACACAACATAACTACTTCACATTATAGATTAGCTAGTGACTCTCAAAAAAAGAATACAAGGATTTTAAAACTAAACTCCTTGTTTTATGGTCTACCATATAAATTCTTACACGACCGTTTTTACTCTCTATAGAAAAACTTGTTGGGCTTTATGGGCCGCGTTACCAAAACATATATTATGGGCCTTCAGATTGGTCCATTAACATAATTAGAAAAACTTGATGATAAATAATAATAATGTGGCCCATCAATGTCTATATATTTATCTGTCTCATCATAAACAGCCGTCAAAGCAACAACATCAATGGCAATGCACGCTGTTCGATTGTCGCCGGCGACTCAGCTTCACGGCGGAATCTCTAGCAATCTGTCACCATCCAATCGCAAACCTAATAATCCCATCGTCCGATACGGATGCGGATCTTCGAAGCGTTGTCGTACCGTAACCGTCTTGGCATCAGTCCGGGAAAATGATGCAAATGGTAGGGATAACTCCGTGAGAGCTATGGAAGTGAAGAAGATTTTTGAAGACTCGCCTCTGCTTCCTAGTACGAGTTCTCACTTTCGATTCCTTTAATTACGTTTTTGAGCTCAGCGACAGATATCTTCTTCTTCATTTGCAGTAGAAAACGTATATAGAATTAATTAGCAGCTAGAATTTTGCTAGAATAACTTCGATTTAGTGGTGATTGGTTCGTTTTATTGATTGATAGAGCCGTTATCATCAAACAAGCTCGCAGAATCTGTCTCTAATGGCTCCCGCGTTCGTGTTGCGTATCAGGTAATTCACACGATAATGAATTGTTTCTGAGAATCATAATTTTATTGGCTAATGAATGATTTGTCCAATTAGGGAGTACGAGGTGCATACAGTGAATCAGCTGCTGAGAAGGCTTATCCAAACTGTGAAGCTGTTCCTTGCGAAGAGTTTGACACTGCTTTTGAGGTCAGAATCTGGTTCCGTCACTTTTTTGTTTTGCTATCTTTCACTGGTCAAGACTGAAATGGTCAATATTTCATTTTCTTAAGTTTTGGTTGCCATTAGTCTTAAGTCTTAACCAATTTCCGACCTTTGTTCTTGATTAGGCAGTTGAGCGGTGGCTTGTTGACCGAGCTGTTTTACCGATTGAGAACTCTTTAGGTGGAAGCATCCATAGAAATTATGATCTTCTGCTGCGGCACAATTTGCATATTGTAGGCGAAGTCAAGCTAGCTGTTCGCCACTGTTTGTTGGCTAACCACGGTGTAAATATTGAAGATTTGAGAAGGGTGCTTAGCCATCCACAGGTACGCCACATGCCTTTGTGCATAATTGAGTTATTTTTTTCTTGGTACTATACTACTATCTAAAGCCTTAGTCATTGCTTTGGATCAGGCTCTTGCTCAATGTGAAAACACGTTAACCAAGTTGGGGTTGGTCAGAGAAGCAGTAGATGACACTGCTGGCGCCGCAAAGGTATGGTTTATGTTCCTAGTATGATTATATTCACACCCACAGCTTAAAATGGCAGCTAAATAAGTTTATGAATTTGGTTCGCAGCAAATTGCATTCGAAAATTTAAGTGATGCAGCAGCAGTTGCCAGTGCAGAAGCTGCAAAGATATATGGTTTGAACATAGTTGCTGAAGATATCCAGGTTTTAAAGAGTTTCCTAATGCCTTCACCGTTTTTTCATCCATATTTTTACACTTCTAGATTATTTGATTGTGAAGTTCAATCAATTTAGGATGACTGTGATAATGTTACAAGGTTTCTAATGCTCGCAAGAGAACCCATTATCCCTGGAACTAACAGACTCTTTAAGGTGAGAAATCCAATGTAACTTTTCAAATGCAAGCCTAACTCTGCTATTTGACAATGTATTTTTCGCTGGTGAATGAGTTACTTTGATTTTCTGTTAGACAAGTATAGTTTTCTCGTTAGAGGAAGGGCCTGGAGTACTTTTCAAAGCACTTGCTGTGTTTGCCCTTAGGCAAATCAACCTCACAAAGGTTAGTAACTTAGTATTAGTCTCAAAATCTTTCTCATAATTTTTGCAGCCTTGTTTGTAGTCCCTAATAATCAATTTGCTTGTGGTTTCGATTAGATTGAAAGCCGCCCTTTAAGGAAACATCCTCTCCGAGCATCTGGAGGACTAAAGTAATTTCTCTCACAAACCACTCTTAAGTCTGTACTGTACCCTCAGTGTGTGAGCAGTGATGAAAGTGTTTCTCTTCTGTGCATGACAGATACTTTGATTATCTTTTCTATGTGGACTTTGAAGCATCTATGGCTGATGAAGTTGCTCAGAACGCACTAAGGCATCTCGAGGTAAAGCCTTTGGTTACTTGATCTGAAAACATTTACATCTGACTAAGACTCTGGTTTTTTTTTTGGGGGGTAGGAATTTGCTACCTTCTTGCGGGTACTAGGAAGCTACCCAGTGGACACTACAATGCTCTAAACAATTTCCAACATCTTCTTGGTAAGCAGTTCTTCAATTGGTTTGCATTGCGAAGTGTAATGTAAGGAGGATTATTTAGGTATTAGTAAAATAATATTAAGAGAGTATAAATCTTTGAATAGTTTGTGACAGAGATCCGCTTGATGATATCATTATTCTGGTGTAAGAAGCTACTATAGCCGTGAAGTGAGGTCCGAGGAGTCACAAGTGCACCTTACAAGACATTCCGCTTTTGTTACAAGTTCTGAGGTCCAAGGAGTCACCGGTGCACCTCTTTTTTTTAGTAGAAGTAAGAATAGTCAGATATAAAAAACAATCACCAAAGAACCTAGTCTTTTTGTGTGTTTTATCATACATACAATAGATACTTTATCCAATATGTGGCTTTTTTTTTAGAAATTCCTGTGAGAGTTATTTGCATACAAACTATAAACATTCGATACTTTTTTTTTGTAATGGTAGAATTGGTGACGTTTCAAAATTTGGTCGACTAATCAACTAATGTTAGTGTTATATCTTCGAGTTAATAAATGAGATAAAAACTGTTTTCTATTATTAATGTGCAATAGGATATATTCTTTTGGTTCAGCTTGAAAACATTGAGAAAAAGGAGGGACTACAAGACAAATAACAAGAAACGAGATTTCTGGAAGTATGACTAGTACTAATTGCTTCTTGCGCAATAAGCTGAAATTAAACAGCTTTGCTCAGTTCTCAAGCCAAACAAAAAAAAACTGTGTCGACTTTGGCAATGAAAGTAGCGGAGAAGATTGTTATCCTCTGGAATGATTCCGATGGATTTGCTGCAACCATTGCTGATGCTCTAAACCCTAACCAAAGTTCCCCTCTTCGCAAACTGTAAAATCGATTCTCCCTTTCTCGATTTCCGCCTCTTACTCTCTCTGCCTAACATTGTAATTGCTGTAGAGAAGAACAGATCCACCTTCCGTTGGATAAGTATGGTGTCGAAGGTGCGGAAACCGGCGGGAGTATCGTTCATTTCGTCGATGAAAATGGAGTTTATCAGGTTCTTCCTCTTTTCATCGCGTTTAATTCTAGCGATTCCGTAGAAATTAAGCGAGTTTCTCGCCGAGATCATTCTTCATAGTTTAACCAATTGAGTTCGTTTCTCGCTTTATAGTAGTTGTTTGTTCTTAGCACTGATATTTACTCAGTGCTTTTGTTAAGCTGAAGAATTGTGGTCTCCTTAATGTGTCATACCTGCAAAATGTGATATGATGATTGGATTCTTAAGGATGTGCAACTGTTTCTGTGATTTGTGTTCATTTCTCGCTTCACGAGTTCATGGCTTCTTTAATTGTGTTTCCCTAAACTAAAGCCTTATGAGAAACAAACTAAGTCTCTATATCTGCTTAAGTTAGAGTGCTTAGAGGTGTTAACTTGGCTAGTGAAAGCAATAACAAATGTCTGTTCTTCAGTCTGTCAGCTAAATGGTACCTAAGTTATTATATTGGACTGTCTTCTAAGCTTGGTTAGATTTTGGCCCTTGATGATTATACTATCCACAGTTTGTTCATCAGTATTATGGTTATCTTGCAACTTGCAAGACTTGATGTCATGTTTTCTTGTTTCTATGTTGAATGTGCATTTATGGACTAGGATAATTTCATTGCGTAACTTTCTGATTATTTCTTATATTCTTTAAGGTCTCGATTTTTCTTCTTCGAAGCTATGAGCCTCCAGTACTAGTGTGTGCTATGAATGAACTGCTGGACCTAATTACACGGGAAGCGTCAACCCTACCCACAATTGTAGCTCCTTTTCTTGTGGCGGCATCTAAGCTTAAGTTCAATAACAGATCCTATGAAGCAAATAACAGAACAGCTAGTCTTCACTACGTTCAAGTTGGTCCAGAAACAGAGATCAGTAGGCTATTTGCTTCACGCATCGAGAAACCACCGCCATTGATGCAGATTCATTATGAACCTTTGTCATGCTTGCTTCACCTAGCTCGTGTCAAACGCCTGCCTACCTCTATTCTCATTGGGCAAAGAAGTAGTAGCCTATCTCATAAAGCTCTAGATCAAGACCTTCAGGTAATTTTTGCTGAAATTTTGTCTCAGTTTCTGCTGGACTTGTAAATCCACTAATACTAGAAAAGTAACAGGAATCAAAATCTATGTTCAGTATAAAGAGAAGGTTGGTTTCAGGTGAATAACGAGTTTGCGTGATTGTCATCACAGGTGATACATGAAACAGGGGAGCTCGTGGCTAGTTGGACTGGACTGTCTTTCTCAAGAGACAGAATCAAGTGGAGCGCAAAAAAGACATCAAAAGAAGAAGAAAGTCCGTGGCGTGCTCTTTATGGTTAATCTTCACAGGTCAGGTCAGGTCTTTTTCATGGCCTAACACTGCTACAGTCTTTGCTTGGACCTGCACTAAATTTCCCTGTTGTACCTCTTTTGTTTATGCTCAGCTGAATCAATTCCATGTCACTGCGCTTTTCCTAGGATATTTATTTATGAAAAGAAACAGTTTTTTTTTGGCTGATCTGGTTCAACCAAATCTTAAAACCCTCAAAAAGCATATTGATTTAAAGGTACATATATTTGGTCAACTCATGGAAGGATCATAACCTAGGAGTGGGATAATTTAATAATAGTGATGATTAGAGTTATGATTGGTGGGAGAGGCATAAAAAAAGAGATTAAAATTGGTGTGAAGTCCATAAAAGGCACTCATCAAGTATAATAAAGATAATAAATGTTATCTTAAGAGAAAATAAGTGAGGTGTCGTCAGCTCTAATAAGCCGGTGGTTTAATAATATTCGTGAAGAAGGAATACGATGTTTTGTACCAAAGTTTTTCGGATCGTCCCAGAATCTTATCCTACTCACATTTCAGCATCATATGTTTGTTTTTTCTTCGATCCTTTAGTGCGTCTTATCGTCGCCTTTTCGCTTTCATTATCATTTTGAATAGATTACTACTATTCACTTATTTTCCAGGCAGGTTTGTTAATAATTTATCCAATTAACGTTAATGCTGTTACCTTATAAGTTTTCAATGTCATCATTCGTCTTTGATTGGATATGAGTCTGAATGGTGTATAAAGAGCAGCAAAACAAATTGACAGAACCAAGTTTAACACTTGATCAATTTCACAACGAATAGTTTTCTGATAAGTAATGAATCATTTTACACTTTTAATTCGACTTCTCAAACCAGAATTCTAATTTACCTCTTATTCAAAACTAATAAACTTAAGTAATTATCAACTAATTAGTGGTAGATTCAATAGGAACTTATTTGTAAACATGTCAAAATAGACACATAAAAAATTGGAGGTGGGGTTTCATCCAAATCTCAAAGACCTTACATACACAATTCCTTATTTCTTTTTTTGTTTGGTCTATCATGTTTTGTTTTGTTTCTTTTATTCCTTTTTAAATAAATCGATTTCCCAAGAAATTGAATAAAGAAGAAATGGGTTAAGTAAACCGGTGAACAACAATAATAATATAAAGGGAAGAAAAAGGACAAAAGAGATCAATCATCATTATTTTCAGCGACTTTATGAATATATACATTATTTTATGAATATTAGACTGTTAAATATCTTTCTGGTCTGAGAGAGAGTTACACATACGTATCTAACTTGGCAGATATTTTTTGGTTTTCAGTTCCTCCTCCTCAATAAATATCTTATATTTTTGGGTGATTTTGCTCAGAGACAAAATTGAGCAAGGAAATTAGGAATTCAACTATAGTAGGGATTGGTTGGGGACAAACAAAAAATAGGCATGATGTTTGGGCCTGAAGATGAAAAAAATAATGAAAATACCACATCGTCTTCGATACATGCGCGTGGGCGAGTTGATATTGCCGTTTCATAAAGTCAAAGAATAACCTGCAAAACAATTAATGCTACGAGTCAAACTGACAAAGCTTACAAAAAGAATGAAGTGATTGGCAATAAATGCAACAGCTCTTATCTCGAGCGAATTAGTATTGGCAATATGTAGAGTATTATTAGTATTTGTATACATGTAACAACGTATATAGAGAATTATTAATATTTTTGTATTTATAAATATTTAGATGTAGATCTACAAAACTTTTTGGACATCTATGCAAAGATCTATAACGCAAAAATGCAGATCTAACCAAACTCATAGAGAGATATCATCCATGCAAAGATCTATAACATAAAAATACAGATCTAACTAAACTCATAGAGAGATATCAAGCAATTTAGATAAATATATTATCAGAATTATCCGATACGGTGAGTTAAATAGCATATACGAGAGAGTGATTGAGATTCTCCGGCGCCGAGAAGTGAATAATATACACGACGAATCAGTTACATCGGAATGAAGAGGAATTAAACAGTTATGCTAGAGAGAGATGATGAGACTTAGGAAGAGGATGAACAAGCAAGGTAAATGGACATCCAAGAATCAGGAAATATTAACGAAAACAAAAATTTATATGCATAAGCGAGTGGGGTTAAAATTGGACAAAATAGAGGCTAAAATTAGTGTTGTTCTAGGCTTTCTGTCAGTTTATAAAAAACTAAATAGTTCTCCCAATAATGTCTCTCACCCAATTATCTCTATATTTTTTCTACCCGAAAGAAGATATTTTTGTTAATATACGCCCACCGAAAAAAAAGAAGAAGAAGATATTTTGGTTTTGTAAGGTCAAAGCAAACAGATTTATCAATTATTATTATCTGAGAGAGAGAGAGAGTGTTTCTGAATTCTGATTCGTCTAAAAGCATCAAAAAAGTGAACGCTTGAGAATCCATTATGGCACAACACAGCCACTTGGTAACTTCCACGTCGCGAGTAGATTACCTTCAATACTCGCATGCGCGTGAGTAAACAATACAACCTTTTTCTTTCTTTTTAATAATCTTTTTAGTAAGAAATATCCATAAAAGTTTATTGCTTTCACTATAAATACGACAGGGACCCACATACCCTACACGAACTTTTTTGCACTTTTTCGTCTGTTTTTTTAATTAAAAAAAGGAAATTAGGCACTTTTGATAATCAGATTATGTCACAAGCCTACATGTCCCTTTGCGGACACACCCACCCATTGTCTATCCATTCATTTTTTTTTTCTTCTCACAGAGAGAAAGAGAGAGAGAAGCACAAGAAGAAGAAGAAGAAGTTCTGGAATAATCATCGTCTCTGTTTCAAGGGTTTGTTTATTTCTCTCTAAAAGTTTCTGGATTCAACTTCTGAAGAAGATACTAGTCCACAAGATCTTTCTTACGTGAGTTGTTTGTTTTCTGATTTCAAAATCCCAAGTGTTCTTATTTTCTTGCCCTCTGTTATATAATTGGTGTTATTGATTCATTATTCATTGTTTATCGATTAAGAAGGGTTGATTTCGATTTTGTTTATATGTTTTGGTTCAAATTGAATCTTTGATTGAGTCTTTTCGTGTTTTCTTTAAATTTGGGTTCTTAGATTTTGTTTGAATGATGATGATGATTGGGATTAATCAAAAAGCTTGATTATTTATTGGAAAGTGGGAATTTTTCGATCCAGTTCCATTTGAACTATTATTAAGTCAAACAAAATCTCTAGATTTACTGATCTGGGGTTTAAACTTTGAAGCTTGAGTTGTTGTTTTTTTTTCCTTTTCGATTTTGATTAATTTCCATTTGTGGGTTTTGGTCTCTGACTGTTGTTAATAATTAAAGCTTTGTATTGTTTTGTTATAGTAACAAATCTCATTCATGAAGTAGGTTTCGTTTCCTTTTTTTATCCTTATCCTTTGGTTACTAATCTTCCACCTGTTTATAGAAATCACAATCTATATTCAGAAAGATTCCATCTATTTCTTCTTCAAGCCTTGCTTTTTTGAACCAAGTCTTTCTCTCTTTTTTATCTAACTTGAGTAATTTATTTACTTTTTTGGACAGCAGAAAGTTGATTTGGTCAGAGTGAAGGAAGATGGGTTACATGTGTGACTTCTGTGGTGAACAAAGATCTATGGTGTACTGTCGATCCGATGCAGCTTGTCTGTGTCTCTCCTGTGACCGCAGTGTTCATTCTGCTAATGCATTGTCCAAACGACATTCTCGGACACTTGTCTGCGAGAGATGCAATGCTCAGCCTGCCACTGTCAGGTGTGTTGAAGAAAGGGTTTCACTCTGTCAAAACTGTGACTGGTCTGGCCACAACAACAGCAACAACAACAATTCTTCGTCTTCTTCTACTTCGCCGCAGCAGCATAAGAGGCAAACCATAAGTTGCTATTCGGGTTGCCCTTCGAGCTCAGAACTCGCATCCATTTGGTCTTTCTGTTTGGACTTAGCCGGACAATCCATTTGTGAACAAGAAATGGGTATGATGAATATAGACGATGATGGTCCTACCGACAACAAAAATTGTAATGAGGATAAGAAAGATGTCTTTGTTTCAATTCCTGAAACCAGTTCTGCAGCACAAGGAAAGTCATCTTCTGCTAAGGTAACTTTTTCTCTCAATATGCTATTACTTTTGCATTCATGGATATATCTATCTTGTTTACTAAATTTGAGCTTTTTTTTGTTTTGGTTTAAAGGATGTTGGAGTGTGTGAAGATGACTTCTACGGGAACCTTGGTATGGATGAAGTTGACATGGCACTTGAGAACTATGAAGAGCTCTTCGGTGTCGCCTTTAACCCCTCGGAAGAGCTATTTGGGCATGGTGGAATCGATAGTCTTTTCCAGAAGCACCAAACAATAGCTGCAGAGGTTTTTATCCATTACCCTTCACGATTTACCAGCATCTTATAAAGTTGATGCATCTCTATGTGATTCTAATAATGCTTGGTTGTTTTTCCTCAATCCAGGGAGGGAATTCGGTGCATCCAGCTGGCAGTAATGATTCGTTCATGAGTTCGAAAACTGAGCCAATAATTTGCTACACATCGAAGCCAGCACATTCGAACATATCGTTCTCTGGAGTCACTGGAGAAAGTAGTGCTGGAGATTTCCAAGAATGTGGTGCATCATCTTCGATACAGCTCTCGGGTGAGCCACCATGGTATCCTCCAACATCTCAAGAAAATAATGCCTGTTCACATTCAGTAACCCGTAATAACGCAGTTATGCGATACAAGGAAAAGAAGAAGGCTCGCAAGTAAGTAGTACAATGCAAGTGCAATACATGAGCATCATAGAAGTGAGTGCATGATTTTCCTAATGAGACTCTGGCTTCTTTTTTTCTTGAAACAGGTTTGATAAGAGAGTGAGGTATGCTTCTCGCAAAGCAAGAGCTGATGTGAGACGGCGTGTAAAGGGGAGATTTGTCAAAGCTGGTGAAGCTTATGATTACGACCCCCTCACCCCAACCAGAAGCTATTGAGGAGTCTCATTGAAAGGTAAAAAAAAGGTAGATACACATGGCAAAGAATCGAACAAGAAAGGTTTTTGACTTATGGGCAGTTTCAAGTGAACAACTTGGAAAATTGTGGGTTAGTAACAAAACAAGACTACTCTAGCATGAACAGATTGAAGACTGACTCTTGTAAGCAATCATTCATTCTTGGGATTCAATCGGTTTTTTGGCCTCAGAAGCTTCATTCTTGTCCAGAGGGATCATTCTCTGACTTTCCTTGTCCAACTCCGGTTTCTTCTTCTTCAGGCGTCTCACTGATCAGGGTTCCATGAATTTTGTTCTTCTCTTGGTAGTTAAAAAGGCAGGGAGATTTAGAGTAAATAAAGAATATGTGATTGTTGTATATGCCTTTCTATTTGTTTGTTGTATACTCATAAATGCTTTTTTTCTGTTTTGTACTCGGGCATTCTTGTAAATTAAAGACATTATCCACATTCTCTATCAGACAACGTTATGTGGTACCACTTAACCCAAGTCTCCTTGTGTAACAACTGACTAGTTCAAGTTTAACGAGATTTTGGTTCGTAGCAACTTCAAGATGTTGTTTATAATTAATCCAACTATGAGGCAATGCCAAAACATCTGAACTTAATTATTTAAATTGTCAGATTATAAAGTCCAATTATGTGTGTTAAATCGCTGTTTACTTAGCTTCTACTATGTTATTTTATACATATATGATACATCTAAAGTGATGGAAATGCAAAACAGTAGTTTTCAAGATATGGTACACAACTTAACAGTTTTTTTAGTCGAAATTTGATAGCTTAACATTTATATTTGGATTTTCTTGAAGACTTTATTACATCACAAGTTTTAATTTTCGAATTGAAGTATAAAAATGCAGGGAACCAAAACGGATCAAGTTGAGCCGCGAGCAAGAAATTTGTCCAATTTGATTGCTGGCTCGGATTTGAAAACATTGACCAAAGGCTAAGAAAAGAAGAGTCTTCAGATACAGACTCAGGCAGCAAAAGACCTCTTAAAGCTAAGAAAGCAAAAATTTTGCTAAATCAAAAGAAAAAAAAAGATATAGAAAACACCAAAACACTGGTTTCATACAATACCTTTCCCTAGCCTTATGATCATTCCCTCTGTAAATCCCCCTTCATGCTTAAGCCTTCAACTTCATAGCTTCATTTCTTTGGTAATTTGTTAGATGGGCACACACACACACGCAAGTCAACAAAAACCCGCACCATATCTTTCCTGATTCCTCTGGAATTTGAAACTTGTTGAATCTTCAAAATCTTTTTCTCCTTTATACTTCCTGTTTCAGTAATTACTTGGCCAATTCATTTGTGTTTGCTGAGGCTGTTGGAAAACGTTAGGCGCAGGTGCAACCATTTCAGCTCCAGCCACACCTTGAGACTGTTGTAAAAGCGGATGATGAACTCCTGTTGCTGTTACTGCTTGTCCCGGATGGTACATACCTGGGTACGCGACGTGACCAGCTTGTGCTGGAGCGTAAGTCACGTGTTGCCCATGGTGCTGTAAACCATAGAAAGAGCTTGACACATCTCGTCCTGGTCCAGTAACCCATACAGGTAACGCTTCACTCTGCAGAGACCCCATGAATATAAATTCATCAGGAAAGGGAACTAAATTTTCAACTGAGTTGGTTTCGGGAGAGAGAGGAGATATGTACCTGTTGCCCTGTTGTGCTGTAGCCGTTGTTTTCTTTCAACTGCAATGAGTTGAGATCCTCATTGGAAGTCGAATTCCCGGCTGATGCAGCAGAGGTGGGATTATATCCTGCTGGGAAGGACCCATATGTTGGTCCATAACCACCAGGCATACCGACATGAGTCATGTTTCCTGTATTAGTCCCAGGCTTGTAATGAGGGAGTGTGTATTTGCCTCCTGTTGCAGCTCCAGGGGGTGGAGGATATACACCGCTTGCCTGAGGTTGCTGAGCAAATGCACCATTGCTTAAGTATTGGTGCATTGTAGGGGGAGGTAGATAGAATGGGGAGAAGTATCCATATGGCACGTAGTTTGGTGGATAATGCGACATATGTAAACCCGGGGGGCGGAAAACAGGAACAGGCTGCTGCGTGACAGGTATAGAGCTCTGCATTAGTCCAGCAGCCTGAGTTACCAGTGGTGGTGGACTAGCAGTAGACAGAACTAAGTTATTTCCACCCTACAAATCAACATGTTCAAGCATTTCAGACCCAGAAAAGTAATAATAACAGCTATATTTTTTATCTTCTGAACGTGTTATTATAATGCATCTGAACATAAAAATATACAGACGAATTAGAAACCGTAGATTCACTTCAATTTTATCAAGAAAAAAAAATGAGACTTAGATCCAAGTAGCTGACATGAAAATTTTGACTCTTGATTGATGATGCTACTGTTGGAAGATTGAAATAAACGAAAAAGTCTCAAAACCATCGTGACGGTCTGAATTATAAAATAAAATAAAAGGTTAACCACCAAAAACTGCACTAACCTCTTGCATGGTTTGAGATGAATGCGGAGGCATTACTGTAACATTCCCATTAAATTTGGAGGCAACCCCTGGGGAAACAAAGGGAGAAACACGGCCATCACTGTCAGGACCTTGGCGGTAGAATTGAGCATAGTAACTCGCCGTATCAAAAGGTGGTTGGACCTTCAAACAACAAAAGTATAGCTCATTAAGAAGACAAATTAGAGATGAAAATGCCTTAAAATATGTGATGAGCAAAATGTTACTGATCAATGAAGAGTAGAAGCTAAGCATAATTAATGGTTTAAGTAGATCAACCATACGAAAACGTAATTTAATTAAGGGCATACCACAAAATTGGGAATACGAAGAGCATCACGTGCTTGAGGGTCAGCAGTCTCAAATTGTGGATGTTCGCTCCCAGGAACAAGCCCGGTAATATTACTTGGAACATGGTCAAAAGAGTTTTGATTGCTTTCGGACTCCAACATATTCTCTTGCTTGGTGACATCATACTCTGGAGCTACATTTGTTGCTGTAATACCTTCACCAGCCATATTATCTGGAACTTGTGAAGGTGACTCGGAATAAACACTATTGTCCTCTTCCTTTTCAGTCGAATGGACAGTTGGGTGCCTGAATTCATAAACAAAATTTCGCTTAGGCACTGGTCATATAAATACAGTTATATTTCAAGACATAAAAGTTCATAATGTGAAGATTATCATGACTTCCAGAAAATCAGTGACTCGCAAAAGTTCTACTTTCTGTTTGGAACTTAAGAGCCAAGCACGACAACGAGTTGTTTCTAGGAACAAAAGCCACTTAACTATTGACACTATCAGATCAACTGACACCCTACAGCATGACGAAAAGATGTATGTTCTGTTAACCTAGAACCAGATGTACACCATAGAGCTTTAGAAGTTTCGGCTATGCTATTAAGCAAAAACAAGCGAACTACACTAGGAAATTTCTCTTACCTATTTCCATCAGTAATCTATTATTCAAAAATCAAAACTTCTTTCTAGCTCATTTCACTCTAAATTGAGAGTATTTATTCGTATAACAACATAAACAATAATTGAAAAAGTAGAGAAAGGTAGATACCTAAATTCCTCCTCTTCAAAACTTTCTTCAACTTCCTGCGAATTATGAGAGAGAGGTGCAGATCTCTTTTCACTCTGAGGACAGGCTACTGAGCTAGACGTAATAGAAAAGCCAGCATCAAAGCTTCCAAAGCTTAACTTGGTTCGTTCAGCCTCTGGAACAAGAATATGGTTTGGAATAATAACATGCTGACGTTGAATCTGCAAGTCTTCAAGCTGTCTCTGCAATCTGGATGTGGCCTCTGCTGAAGGGATAACATCTTCAACAGATTTGTCACCGGATTCAGTAGGAACTGCAAGGGTTTCACCTGTAGATGATGCACCAGAGCCCTGGGTAGTGTTATGGTTCACTGGCTTCGGTTTCCATTCCTTAATGGAACCAGCACCTAAAAACAAGAATCATTGACATGAAGATGTCAGAAGATTACAGTCTTGTGCAAAAAACAAAAAAAACAAAAAAACAAAAAATACTATAATGAAAAACGGCAGCAGACAAAAAGTGTTTCTTTTAAAAGCTAGGCCCGATGTATGCACATTTATCACCTGTAATATTTACTATATGTTTCATATTCACAGAGAGTAGAAAATCAGTACTGCAAAAATAAATGTATCATTGTTACCTCTTTGAGGACCAACAGTCTGATGTGACCGATTACTGTAGTTAGAAGAAGGTCGACTACCCGTGCTGTTGCTATGAGACGAAGCAGGCCTCGGAACATAAGTATCATTCACGGCAGTCTTCCCAACCCCACGGGATCTGGCATGGGACTTGCTTTCTCCAATGTGCTGTTCATGTGCTGTTTGCTCTGATTTGGGATTTGAAGATGTGAATCGAACTTCAGAAGAGGATGGACGAGGGAGTGGCAGAGAATCAACTGACTTCTGCTCAGTATGCACATCCCTTGAGCCAACTGCTACACGATTTTTGCTTAATTCCACAGGAGACGGTGCACCATCAATGTTATTTGAGGGCACTGAAGATCCAGTAGCTTTCAGTTGACCTGAACTAGCTGGTAGGTTGGAAGAATGGCGAACATCAGAGCTTCCTGATGTCGGACCAACAGTACTTTTACCCATCACAGCTGAATGGCTGTCAACCAAAAAAAAAAAAAAACATCATGAGAAGGTTCATCTATAGAGTATATCCATGCTGGAAAAAAGGCCCACCCCTGCTTTAACTGAGGGTGTTATACATCCACCTATATGTCACATAGAATCAAGGAGAATGATACATAAAACGGATATGACAATCACCTGGAGACCAAAGCCATATCTTTCGTTTTTATCTCTTGAGAGGTTGAAGTTGATGGATCAGTGACCTGCTTTGGACCGTTTTCTTTTCTGAAAGAATTCTTTGCACCAGCAGCATCTGATCAGAAGTAAACATTCACCACACATTTCATCAATTACAGAAAAACTAAAAAGCAACATGTAAGGACTGCCGCTAGGGAACTTTCTCTATCACATTCTTTCGCTAAACATACTAAGAGCCAGTCATGAACACATCTAGTATGTCCTAAGAAGAGAATCAGGAAAGAATCAATTCTGAGTAAATATAACAAAAAGTATTGTGGCCGCAAGTAACCACCTTCCAGAGACAACTACTGCGGCATATTAAGAGATGCAAGTTCATATGATTGTAAAGCATTGAGTTATCTAATTGTTGTTTACCATTTGATGCATGACGAGAAGAGAAATTCATCCGACCACCCCTGCTACCACGCCCCCCTCCACCAGATCTCCATGGTGATTCAGCAGAATCCTTGTTGTTGATGTTCTGTAGCATTTAAATAACATTGTCAATCCCAATGTCACAATATATGCTGTTTAATAGACATGCTTTACACAGAAACCCATGAAGAGACCAAAAGAACTGCAAAAATCCCATACCTCTTTCCTCTTATCACGCTTTTTTTTAACCTCATGGAATGGATCTGCAGGGTCATAAACAATTTTTTGCATTAGCACAGAAGATTGTATAGAAAAACTCAACAAAACAAAACTTAAAACATATCCTAGAAACCATCTCTAAATTGCATGGTACACAAGCAGGTTACATAAAGCAGTCGAAAATCCTGATGCAATACCACAAATGCCAAGAAAATCATGGTTACCGGAACAGGATAAACATAACCAGAGTACCACAGACAGATCGAGCACATGAGTTTAGAACTGTTACCACATGTATATCATAGATATAAAAAAGAATCCTATATCATAACAATTTGTTTTGGTAAGATGATGAAAATTTGGATTTCTAAGCAGTAGATTCATCTACAACGCACCAGTCTTTGTTTAGAACTCATACCTAGCAAAAGTATTATTCCTAGACAAACCACTCAGAAAAAATCCAGTTAGAAGCTAATACCCTTTGTTTCACACATCACTAGTGGAAGTAAATTGATTCCCGGATATTCCAAATCAAATCCACAAAAAAGGTTACAACACAATAGTATCACATAAACAACTAGAGACAGCTTAAAACTTAACAGGCGAAGAAACCGATGATAGTGAATTCAGATAAAAATCTGAGAAAATCAAAGGAGAAAATCAGATGCTAAAACCTAAGTTAAAGGTTAAAAGAGAAAACCCCAAATCGAAATATGAATACAATCTCTCGTCGTGGATCCAATCAAAGAAGAGAAATCAGGCAATGAAACAAGTGAAGAGAAGGTCGAGATTATACCCTGAAGAAGTAAGCGTTGAGCGGTCTCATCAGGATCCATGTTACATTCATGAAGCATTGCGAGAATCTCATCCTCGCTATAGTTCCCAGCAGTGGTCTCCTTGATGTTCTGAATCATCTTCCGAGTACTGGCCGGAATCGAAACCCTAGCGCCACTGCCGACCATCCTCTCTTATATCAAAGGTAAAATCTCGCTTCTGATATTACACGAATCGAAATCTGGACCTAGACCAAAAGAGGTCTGAGTACCTATATATCTATACGAATAGACGAGTGATAAATCAGCACCGGAGGATGGGATTTGAAACTAGTTTGCGTTGAGGAAGGAGAAGAAGAAAGAAGAAAAAAAAAAAAAAAAAAAAAGCAGAGGAAGGGAAGGGGGGCGAGAAAAAGGAATGAGCAAAAATACGCACTGTGATTTTGGAAGCGTAGGGCTCTCTTTTTTTTTTTCAATTTTGTTTTGCCTTCCTTTGTAGCTTTTTAATTATTGATTTTTTTTCTTGAATCTGAATCTTTGGTAAATAATGATAACCAAATTGATGATGTCACAATTTTTTTTTTTTTTTTTTAGGAAATTTGCTCACAAATATTTTTTAGTTATGATTTAGGATAATTTTCTGAATATTTACACTACATAGTATTTTTTTTAAAAGTAACAAAATATATTTTTTCTATGTAAACATTTAAATTCTCAAATAATTATAATGCGTTATTATTTTCCCTACCATGCTATTTTACATAGATATATATATATATATATATACACATTTAATTTACTGAGTTAAATTACATTTTTGTCTATATAATCTTGTGAAATATTAATAATTTCTTTTACTAGAGTACCAAATAAAAATATTTTAAAATTTGCATTTCAGAAATTGTCCAAATATTTACCATTGGTCCAATACGCTTTTAGCATTTTTAATAGCAAATCTAGCAATTTTCATTTACATAAACAAATCTTCATTTTTTGTTATTTTCCAAATTACCACATCCATAGGCCATAGCCATTGTTAGATTTTTTATTTCCATCAAATTAAACTCAAACCAAAACGAACCGAATTATTTTTGAACCAAACCGTAATCCACGAATTAATTTTGGTTCGAGTTTAAAAACATTATCTTTTAATTTTTCTCATGCCCTCTGCTAGCAGAGCAACCATTCGTCTTCTCTCTTCATCGTTTTCTCCTTTCCAATGGCAAAAGCTTGCGTCTTGCAGTCTACTCTCCTCCCAGCTTACTCTCCACTTCACAAACTCCGTAATCAAAACTTCACCATCTCTTTCCCACCGCTTCCGGTGTCCCGATGCCGTCCCGGAATCCACTGCTCAGTTTCGGCCGGTGAGACCACGACACGATCCATGGAGGAAGCTCCGGAGATATCATGGGGCTGCGAGATAGATTCACTTGAGAACGCTACTTCTCTTCAGAACTGGCTCTCTGATTCAGGTCTCCCTCCGCAGAAAATGGCCATTGATAGAGTCGACATCGGTGAGCGAGGCCTCGTCGCTTCACAGAATCTCAGAAAAGGAGAGAAATTGCTCTTCGTTCCTCCTTCTCTCGTCATCAGTGCTGATTCCGTAAGTTCACACTCCTATTTTCACTGGGAATCAAAGAATGTAATCTTATATTCCGGGAAAATTTTGATCTCACTTGCAAGAAATTCCTCACCTTTTGTTCAGATCAATGCAAGGTTAAAGTATCTGGCTTTCATGAATTTCGATATCTAAAACTGGAGATTTTGGGTTTTAGGAATGGACTAACCCAGAAGCTGGTGAAGTGATGAAACGTTATGATGTTCCAGATTGGCCTTTGCTCGCCACTTATCTTATAAGTGAAGCAAGTCTTCAGAAAAGTTCAAGGTGGTTTAACTATATCTCAGCTCTTCCGCGACAACCTTACTCGCTTTTATACTGGTAAGTTTTGCACCTCTTTCTGTAGCTGAACTTGCACATATTGTCTCAGTTTCTTACTCCCTACATCCTTTTGTACTATTTCAGGACTCGGACAGAGCTTGATATGTACTTGGAAGCTTCGCAAATTCGAGAACGGGCGATTGAAAGAATTACGAATGTTGTTGGAACGTGAGATATTGTACTTTCTTTTTTTTTTTTTTTATCAACTGCTGGAGATGGGTAGAATTTGCTTTCCCGAGTCCTGAAATCATTGATGCACTCACTAGCACTTATTGTGTGTAGGCTAGGGGTTGATGATTATGTCTTGCATTAGACATTGCTCATGTTTTTTTCCTTTTTCTTTCCCCCAGTTTTGAAGATCTAAGAAGCAGGATATTTTCCAAACACCCTCACCTTTTCCCTAAAGAGGTAACTGGTATATGCCTATTTTGCTATAGTTGACTCATAGACAGAAAGTATACAGCTTGCTATATTCTGCGCAAACGCCTGCTTTCTTCTTCTAATAATGAAAGAAGTAACATTTTCAAAATCGAAGTCAATCTTCATATAATGGTCAGACCTTTCTTTTGTTTGGTGGAGGTTTTTTTGTCACTTGCAATGTGCACTTCTGTATTTACAACTAGTGTTGGTTCTATTCTATTGTCTGAGATACCGTGAATTCACATCTTAAATTTGTTTTGTCCACATATATATGAGTGTGCTATTTATTGGTTGTAGGTTTTCAATGATGAGACATTTAAGTGGTCTTTTGGAATCCTATTCTCACGGTTGGTAAGAAATACTTTATCAGAAGCAATCATTTACTGATCTTGATAATTGATGTAAATCTACATGTCTTGAATTTGAAACAACAGACCTGTTCTTTAATCTTAGCATGACTTTCTGCACAAAATTGCCGTCTCCAACAATTTCTTGTTTGAACAATGACCACTCACAACCAAAATATTGCATTATTTCATTTCTCTTTCCTTTCCGGTATCCAGTTTGCTGCCTACTTGTCTCTGCAATTCAGACTTAAGCTTCTCTAACACAGGTACGGTTGCCGTCTATGGATGGAAGATTTGCCTTAGTTCCTTGGGCAGATATGCTTAATCATAATTGTGAGGTACTTCTACTTATCCTTTTGACCAATTAGCTCTTAGATTCTCCTAGTTAAAAAGCATGGTTAACTTGTGGTAGTAAATATTTCAAAATCTGCTTGGAAAGGTTGAGACGTTCCTGGATTATGATAAGTCTTCAAAAGGAGTTGTCTTTACAACAGATCGACCATATCAACCAGGTGAGCAGGTAAATAAGACTTAAAAGTTCATTCCCTAGAAAAAAAATATGAAGTGCATTGTATCACTTCAAATGCTCGGTTTGGTCAAAATTTAGATAAACACGAGCATTGAAGTTAAATTGAAGTCGGGGTATAACACAAACAAGTCCCATTCACACAATGTGGTCCAGCAAGCCAATCCAAAGTGGAACCAAAATGTTGTCTGAAGTCTCTGATATGTTTCAATACTTGACATTGTGCAGGTTTTCATATCATATGGGAATAAATCTAACGGAGAGCTATTGTTATCTTATGGGTTTGTTCCCAGAGAAGGAACCAATCCTAGTGATTCAGTAGAACTAGCATTGTCACTTAGGAAAAACGATAAGTGTTACAAGGAAAAGCTGGATGCTTTAAAGAAACACGGATTATCCACGTAATCCATTCTCCCACCAGCCATGTTTCCCTCTCAAGTTTTGTAGATTTCTCTTGATTAACTTGGTTGAGTGTTTCTGTTAACTATTCTCTGGCAGGCCTCAATGCTTCCCCGTAAGGATAACGGGTTGGCCAATGGAACTAATGGCATATGCTTATCTAGTGGTGAGCCCTCCAGATATGAGAAACAACTTTGAAGAGGTTTGGCAACTCCATCTTGACCCTTTTTAGTTGACTCCATCTAATTCTTCCCAAATTCATAATACATCTTTTATCAATTGATATCCGTTTCAGATGGCGAAAGCTGCTTCAAATAAGACATCAACAAAGAATGATCTAAAATATCCTGAAATCGAGGAAGATGCATTGCAGTTTATACTGGACTCATGTGAAACAAGCATATCAAAATACAGCAGATTTTTGAAGGTAAAAAACAAAAACAAAGCAGCTCACATCTCTCTCTCTCTCTCTCTCTGAGGGAAAAATTGCACTCCATCTGCTTATTTGTTGCTTTGGTCATTATCTAATTGTAGGAAAGTGGATCAATGGATTTGGACATAACATCTCCAAAACAGTTGAACCGAAAAGCGTTTCTGAAACAGCTAGCTGTAGACTTGTCCACTAGCGAGCGCAGGATACTGTACCGTGCACAATACGTAAGGAACCACTTTCTAGCCAATACGATAGATAAGATTCTGTGGATCCATCCATGATATTGTGGAATCTGTGTGTTATTTTTTTGTTTGGGTCAGATTCTGAGGAGGAGACTGAGAGATATTAGAAGTGGTGAGCTGAAGGCTCTACGGCTCTTCAGTGGACTTAGGAACTTCTTCAAGTGAGTGTTGAATGAGGAACTTTCAACAGCTCTAAGATGCATCAAAGGTAGGCTTCGTTGTGCTTCAACCAAAAAATGGATGTTGGTGTAGACATGGTGGGATCTGAATATACTAGAAAAATTGAAGTTTGATATTAATATTTAGTATATTTTTTTGTACAATCCCTCTGTCGAAGTGTACAATCGAAGATACAGAAATTGTCTCACTCGTAAAAGAATAGTGGTCCAGCCATATGTAATTGATCATATCTATAAACTCAAAAGCTGCACGTTTTAAAATTGATTAAGGAAGGAAACGCATGACAGAGTAAGGCTAGAAACATGTTCTTCGTAATTTGATCCAAAAAATCGAAGATATGATTCAAATGTATCTGAATCAGAACTGATTCGAAAAGAAAATTGATATTCTGAAAATTAAGAATTTATTTGACTACAAAACATCTATACAAATGTTATTTTAAATACTATTATCCAGAAACTGAAAAATTGAAAAAACTCAATCCCGATTGAATCCTGTTTACGGCAAACAAGGTAATTTGATGATACACGTCAAAACAATTTGTTTCTTTAGCAAAGCAAGTAAAACATTCCACTGTGGCAAAGTAAAAAACGAAAAATATAAGGAGTTTCCTGATGAAACGTATTGATTTTATGGAGTTTCCATTTTCGATATAATGTGATGTGGCAATATCTAAATGGTTTATAGATGTTTTATCTCCAATGATATCACGCCACGTAAGCCCGCTGACCAAATAACCCAAAGAATGAGCAAGCGACGTCGTTTGTAGTTTGATGATCTTGTCGGGTCACGAAACTGCCCCTTGAGTCAAAACTGGCTTCTTCGTGTCCGATTCTGAACGAGCTAGCTCTTTCTTTCTCATCCAATTCTCTCCACCGTCTTCTTCTCCGATCAATCTCCGAATTTTCTTAACACTCATCGGCCAGATCGAGTTTCAATCGATCTAATCTACCATTCTCTGATTTTATCTTCTATTAGAAGGTAAAAAATCCCTCTCACTCTCTGTGTCAAACCTAATCACCTCGTAGGAATCGAAATTGGAACAATTCAATTTGGTTTGGTTTGGAATCTCTAATCGATACTTCTTCTAAACGATTGAATTATGTTTTTTTCTTTGATATAATTCGAAATTATTGTGGCAGATGAGCTTGAAGGCTACGATCGTATTGTTAGGGCTCTTATGGAGCTTCCAGGCTACGTTAGGGATTAGATTCGTGATAGACCGAGAAGAATGTTTCTCCCACAAGGCTGAATATGAAGGCGATACGCTTCATGTCTCTTTCGTCGTCATCAAGTCTGACTCTCAATGGCACTTTAACGAGGATGGTGTAGATCTTGTGGTATGACCCTTTTTTTTCTTCTTTCTAATTGAACCTTTTCTACATTCTACATTGCAAAATCGTCGAGAATCGATAGAATTGGTATTCGTAGGCAATGCTTAGGATTGCCATTGTTGAATATCAATGATGTATGTTTTGTTGGTCGATAATTTGGTTACTTTTTAAAGTTGGTATCTTGTACCCTCTGGTTAATTTGGTGGTTGTTGTTGTTGTTGTTACAATTCTTGGATGGATTTTGAACAGATACATGGCCCAACAGGCGAACAAATTCATGACTTCAGGGAGCAGATAAGCGCAAAGCATGATTTTGTTGTCCAAAAGAAAGGGGTTTACCGATTCTGTTTCACAAACAAGTCTCCTTATCATGAAACCATTGACTTCGATGTACAGCTTGGTCACTTTGCATACTACGATCAACATGCTAAAGACGGTAATGATTATGTTTGGTTTGGTATCAGTTTTCTTTTGGTAATGAGTTATTTAGCTGAAGAATGGTTTTGTGCAGAGCATTTCACTCCCTTGATGGAGCAAATATCAAAGTTGGAGGAGGCTCTTTACAACATCCAATTTGAACAGCATTGGTTAGAGGCTCAGACCGATCGTCAAGCTATCGGTAACATTTTTTTCTTAGAACCACATTTTTTTTCCACTTGTGCAAGTAATATTGAGTGATAGTTTGTATATGGGTTTTTCCTTGTGCAGTGAACGAGAACATGAGCAAAAGAGCAGTACACAAAGCTTTGTTCGAGTCGTTTGCACTGATTGGGGCAAGTCTTCTCCAAGTGTATCTTCTGCGTCGCTTGTTTGAACGCAAACTCGGCATGTCTCGTGTCTAAAAGTATTGAGTTTATTACGACTTTGAAACTTATTTTGCCTTAAAATGTACCAGGGAAAGGAATCTTTACTTAAAACCTTTTTACAGACAGATCGTAGCTCATTGGAAGATTTGCTTTCTCCCATGTTCAAGAAATTATCGACTCGTGATTATAATTCTTTTTTTTTTATCTTTATTAACAGAACTTTTCTATAAGCTAAGGTTTTGATTTCAATGGAGAAATAGTGATTGCGATATCTAAAAAAAATATTTCCTAAAACAAAGAGAATAACAAAATGTTCAAGCTTTGAATAAGAATTCTCTCAAAAGTACTCAAGATCCCTTAAACTGGGATTCGAACTCTTATAGAGAAGGTTATAAAAGTGGCCACTAGGCTCTAAGTTAGATGGGCCCAGAGTGGATAGATAAAGCCAGCTATCATTTTCTTAGTCGTACAAGTTACCTGAAGAAAACAAAAAAAAACACAAACTTTCCTGAAAAAGTCGTCAAAGTTTAAGCATTGGTAATTCCGACAAGAACTCCGATTTTGTTCAATAGCTTGCTTGTGTTGTTTAGTGGATTGAGCCACTGAAAGAGAATTCATAAGGCTTTGTTGATGATGGATCATTTGGTGGAAACCGTGGAGACGAATTCAGCTCCGAGCAGCTTGGTGGAAGAAAGGCTTGATGAGATTCGTAGAGTAATGGGCAAAGCTGATGATGATCCATTAAGGATCGTTGGTGTAGGAGCTGGTGCTTGGGGAAGCGTTTTCATTGCAATGTTGCAGGAAAACTACGGCAAGTTTAGGGGCAAAGTTAGTGTGAGAATCTGGAGAAGAGGAGGCAGAGCAATCGATAAAGCCACAGCAGAACATTTGTTCGAAGTGATTAATTCGAGGGAAGAATTGTTGAGGAGGTTGATAAGACGGTGTGCTTATCTCAAGTATGTGGAAGCTAGATTAGGGGATAGGGTTTTATACGCAGATGAGATATTGAAAGATGGGTTTTGCTTGAATATGATTGAGACTCCTTTGTGTCCTTTGAAAGTTGTGACTAATCTTCAAGAAGCTGTTTGGGATGCTGATATTGTCATCAATGGTTTACCATCAACTGAGACATTTCAGGTGTTTAATGAGATTAGTAAGTATTGGAAAGAAAGGGTTAATGCTCCTGTTATTATCTCTTTGGCTAAAGGTGTGGAAGCAGAGTTTGAGCCTCATCCTCGTATTGTTACTCCTACGCAAATGATCTATCGAGCGAGTAAATTCACTTCCCATTGTCTTTTATCTACTTGCTAGAATCATATTTGATATCATCTTCCTTACTATTTTCCTTGATGTACAGAAAGTTTCTATTTTTATTAAGCAGATTGCCTAATTGTATATCATGTCATTAAACAGCATAGGTGGCTAGTTTTGAAGTGTTTGTGTTGAAGCGTATGATCAGTAGTTGTTGTCATTGGAAATTTTACAGTTTGCTTGTCATATTCTCTTTGCAGCTGGTATTCCTCTTGAGAACATTCTCTACCTTGGGGGACCTAATATTGCTTCCGAGGTATACAACAAAGAGTACGCCAATGCACGGATTTGCGGGTCTGAAAAATGGAGGAAGCCTTTGGGAAAGTTTCTAAGGCAGTCTCATTTCATAGTGTGGGATAACAGTGACCTCATTACTCATGAAGTAATGGGTGGCTTGAAGAATGTTTATGCCATCGGTGCAGGTAAGATCAGAGGTGTAAAATGGTTATCTGAATATAGTGATTCAAAATAAAATACTGGAACTGGGTAATAAGAGGTCAAAGTTTACAAACCAGTGTTTGTTTTGCCGTTTTTGTGTTCCACAGGAATGGTGGCTACACTGACTAAGGAAAGTGCTACCAGCAAATCAGTATACTTTGCGCATTGTACTTCAGAGATGATTTTTATTACTCATCTATTGGCCAAGGAGCCAGAGAAACTTGCAGGGCCTTTGCTTGCGGATACCTATGTAACATTACTAAAAGGTCGTAATGCGTGGTATGGCCAGAAACTTGCAAAAGGAGAACTAAGCCTTGAAATGGGTGACAGCATCAAAGGCAAGGGAATGATTCAGGTACTCCATATATCTCAATGATTTCGGTTCTGAAGTGTTAAATTAGCCTTAAATTTCCAAGTTATGTATGTTTAATATTGAGAACTTGTCGAAATTGTAACTTTCATCTGAGTCCAAATAGCAAGGGTCCAAGAGGGTATTAGCAAAATTACTTAGAACTTTGTTCCGTATATTCTAAATTCATGTTCACAAAAATCTAGTTTATAGCATAAAACAGTAAAGAGTATTGCACATTTCAAAGAGAGTAAAGAACTTTGGAGGTTGAATCTAAACGCCACTAACAAAATACAAAATTCTATCATACACTATATTGTTATCTTGTATGCATCAACCGATGAGGGTCCAAATAGTTGGTCATAGATTATTTATATGAAAGGCTAATGATGAAGTGCTGATGTAATGTTCATAGGGGGTTTCTGCGGTGAAAGCATTTTTCGAGTTGTTGAACCAATCCTCGTTAAGTCTACAACACCCTGAAGAGGGCAAGTCTGTAACTCCGGCTGAACTCTGTCCCATCTTAAAGATGCTCTACAGAATTCTTATAACAAGGTATTCTCATCTCCTTAACTTGTACTAACTTATCAACCTGGACCACATTCATAATCATGATTTACATTTTGATGATGTTTTTAGAGAGTTCTCTTGTGAGGCCATTCTTGAGGCGCTGAGAGATGAGACGATGAATGACCCACGTGAACTCATCGAGATTGCTCACAGCCATCTCTTCTTCCAGCCATGGCTTCTTGGCCAGAAACCTTGAGCACTGTCTTTTGTATAAGTTCCCCTGCTGCTGCTAGGCTTTGGTGCAGACTTGTTTGTATTTTGAAGATTGATATATAGTTCCAGTGGATTCCCTTTGATTCAGAAATACGCAGAGTAGATAAGAGTTGTATACATTTATAGTTGGAGAATAAAAGTTGTGTACTTTCTAGTGAAACTCAGTCTCATATATCTTTGACTTTCCTTTTATTGAGACTTAGAAACAGTTTTTATACAATTTATAAATATTGTGTATGGGAGCTAAAGATACATGCTATACCTATACATCACAGTTCTATATCTGATATTTGGAGCTTCAAAAGAATAAAATATCCACCAGTCATCATCATATCATCTTCTCAAACTTATCAAGCTTATTTACCCTTTGCATAGATCTCAGTACCAATAACATGAATATCCCTGCACAAAAAAAAATACTTATGAGGCTTATTTACCCTTGTCATAGACCTGAAATATACCTGCATATACATCTATATGCACGTGTACACCAGCTTTGATACCTGCTCCAATGAAGGATCCATTGGCAACAAGCTGACTTCCTTGGTTGCTAAACGTAACCCCAATATTAAGTAGAGTTCCTCCGAGAACTGTATACATTGTCGCCATCTGCAGTATTGTTGCTTTCCGGGCTGCTCTTTCCGACTGAACCAATAAGAACAAACAAAATCCACAGTCGGTACCTCTTGCTATTACCAACAAAGCATATTTACTCTAATACCAGTTCTGCTAGGGTGATTAAGCCATGACATAGCTGCTTTACCTCAAGAACCCGAACACGGAGTTTTAGATCGCCTGAATCGAGTTCTTTCACAAACTCTTCTATTCGCTGCACTCGGTAGGGCATAGACAGAGTAGAAGACCTGGCCTGCACAGGTTTAAAAGTTGAATTTAGTACAAATCGAAATAAAAGAAGAAAAAACACAGAAATGAAATAAAATACGAGCGAAAGCATTACATCGTCAGCCTGCTTCCTTATTTCTTGGACAAGCTGAGTTCCCGAGCGCTGCCTTTGTTTTAAATCCAGGAGTTCCTGTTTTTGTTGATATTCATGAGCATTGACACAATGATAGAAAAGAGTAGAGAGGCGACTGCAAAATAATTGGGTTTTGAGCAAGAAAAGAGGTAAGAACCTGCGCATAAGGAGCCGCAACCTTCACAAAGGAAAAATCTGGATCAAGGATGTAACCAATACCTGCAAAATCAAAAGTATAAATGGTGACACTCGTAGAAGATGTTAATAAAAAGAAGATAAAGAACAGATGAATAGGCACCCTCAAGTGTGGAAAATGCTCGGATGACAAAGGTGAAAGTTGATGGAAAACGGAATGGCTGATCCTGGGAAATTGCAAACAGATCCTGCCATAGAAATGAGGAATTTTGAATTTAAGAACCACATAGTAACTACCATGAATAGCTTGAGAAAGAGCTCAGCTTCTTTTTCAGGCACAGTTTTGATCGGTACCTCTCCAATAGCTGCCAAAGTCTGTTGCTGATCTGGTGATTGGCTTAATAGGTTGTCCAAGAAAAACTGAACTGATCTCCTTACCTAACACAAACACGTACAAAGTTGCAATGAGATTACATATGTAAACTTCGCATAAAAAAACGAGTGAGACTGTAAGGTTACCGATGAAAGATCTCCAGTGGGTTGAAGTGCTTCAAGGTCTATAAGGTTTTGCATGACCTGTAAGAACATTTCGTTAGTTTTCTTATTTCTCAGTTTGAGACTTAACCCTTGCAAGAAAAAAAATTACCTTTTTTGCATCTTTTTCATAAACAGAATAGAAGAGATCAAGCAATCTCTTCCGAGTAAATGTTTTGATCTCTCCCATCATGCCAAAGTCATAGTAGATGATTGATTCATCTACATCAATTGCAAGGTTTCCTGGGTGCGGATCCGCATGAAAGAAACCGGTTTTGAGTATCTAAAACAGCCAAAACATGAACATAAGTTTGAACCATAGAAAAAAAAAGACACGGACTTCAATAACTGTTTTGCTATATTGTTATTGACCTGGATAAGATAAGCTTCAATGGCCCGTGATGCGATTCTAGATCGGTTAAAAGCCCGTGCAGCTAAGGCGTCCAAGTTGTTGATCTTAACACCTAATCACAGAAATCAATAAGAGTGTTTCTATCGCTACATGCTTTATTCAAACGAACCAGTATATTGGGTAGTTTCAACACGAACCTGGTACATACTCCAAAGTCAAGACCTTCATGGCAGAGTAATCCCAATAAACCAACTACAAATGAAAACAAGATAACCATAATGAGTTTCCATATATCCCACAACTATACAAGAACTTATCTCATGGGTTTTGGTTTAGCAAATAAAACTTACAGGTACGCGGACCCAGTTTATATTCCGGAAGTCTCTCCGGAATCTGTCAGCGTTCTTAGCTTCGTTTATATAGTCAATCTCTTTATACAAAATTCTGAAACCAAAGGAAAGATCAGTCCTACATAGTTTAGAGCCACAAGTTTCTAGGTATTTAAGTTATAACTACATCTTGGGAAAACACTTACGAGGCACATTCTTCATAAATACCAACCCAATCGTTTGTACCAAATGATTCACTTTTCTGGAAATACTCGGCAATCAGCTTCAGATTTCCTGATAGGAAAGTTAAGACATTTTCAGCAATTCTCAAACATTCATGCAAGTATTCTATTATATAACTCAAAAGTTGTTACTACATACGTAAATCGATATCGAAAAGCTTCTTTAGTCCGGGTCTTTGTACTTTTACTACCACTTTCTCACCATTGTGTAACACAGCTCTGTGTACCTAAAGGAATACGATTTGAAAAATTATGAACAAACATAAATATGTAGATGAAATGCAAAGAAAACGATAAGCGAGTAGGCTTGCTTGAGTGTGTGGCTAAGTATCAGATACCTGACCAAGGCTAGCTGCAGCTATGGGTTGCTCTTCAAATTCTTTATACATTACACTAATAGGAGCCCCAAGTTCAGCCTCAATAAAGCGCTTTGCTTTCTCTGGAGAAAAAGCCGGGACTCTGTCCTGAAAACCAGTTTAAAAGAACAGTAAGAAAAACCAAAGAGAATCTAATCTAATGCATAAATTCAAAACCATGAATAAAGAAATAGCAAAGTACCTGCAACTTGGAAAGTTCATCCACGAATTCGCGTGGAAACAAGTCCGACCTAGTTGAAGACAACTGTCCCAGTTTGATAAACGTTGGACCAAGCTGCAATACACTCTCTCTCAACCATGAAGCTGTTTCTCTTCTTCGGCTTTTCTGATTATATAACAACCGGTGAAATTGATAAGAATCAGGACCAACAAAACTGGTATCTAGAGGGACGATCCCAAAACTCAATCAATCAAATTAGATTGAAATGATGAAAGGTTTACCTGTTTTTCTTCTGTGAATCCTCCAACATAAGCCCATTTTGCATTGTCGAACAAGATACGAATCCTCAGGGAAATAACAAACGACCAAACATCAATACTGCGTTGAAGTGAGCTGTAATTCTCATCAGCCCAGCTAAATCCTTCATCAGAAGGAAGAACCCTAACTCCTTCAACCGGTGGAGGAAGGTAAGATCCTGTTGTTTTCTTTGGTGCCTTAACCAAAGTTGAGGGCGCACCATTAATGTTTCTACTACTAACCAAACTCGCTCCATTAACACCTTTCACCGCTGATCCATTCACATTATTCACACCATCTTTCCTTTTCACCACCTCACTGGCAGGAACCATTTTGACTGAACGTCCATTGATTCCAACCTTTGAGGGCGATTCAGACTGTCTCATCTCAATACGAAATCTCTTGGACTTGCTGCCATAACACTGAGTAGCTTCCCCAGTGAAAGGATTCTCTACAGAGCCACTGAAACCAATAGCTTTGGTGATTCTTGCGGTCTCACCACCATAGCAGCAGCTCTGAGAAGCTAATAAAGCCGCCATTTCCACCTACTATACAAGAAACCAATTGAATAGACCAAAAATTGAATAAGATAATCAGCTGGATTCATAAAATTGGAAAGCATAGGAGACAATTATGCAGCAAGCCATCATTTTTACAATCTAAACTATAAAAAGAATGAAAAATACAAAAGCTATAGTGATAAAACTCCATTGCATCATACTTAAAGCATCGAGTTCAACGACTCCTATAGATAATTGAATTGATAAGAGAATCACAACGATTCTCAGAGCCATGAAAAAAGATATAAACAATCAGAGAGCAATAACACATACTATACCAAGAGGAAATTCACTGTACACTGAATCCAACCAAATATAATTAAGAAAAACAAAACAGAAAAACAGGAGTAGAAATTAAGAAAAATGGAACCTTTATGAGAGTCCTGAATTGGGTTGACTGGTGAGACGGAAATCAACCCAGACCCAGAAATTTCGTTGCAGGAATCTGTAAAATCAGCTATTAAGTAGATGATTTTCTTGGAACAGAGTCCACAGAGAGAGAAAGAGGACTAAGTTGCGTAATGGTGTCGTCCTTATGAGACGTGTGTTGTTCCACCGAATTTTCCACCTTCCTACTTAAATCAATATTGAAATTTTGTGCGTTAATAGGAAATTTTTTGGATTTGATCGGACAAGGAAAATAATCTTTGTAACTTTTAGTGCCAAAATTAAGAAAACAAGAGTTATGGAAGATGCGTGTCCAGCTTCTCCATCTCACGTTTATTGTGTGGACAGTTCGACAGAGAGTGTTCAACATATAAAAGATAGTTTAAAGGATATAATTGGTATTTAGTAATACATTAACTAAAGAGGTTGACCAAATTAAACGGTAAACTTTTTTAAGAGTAAGCAAAACAACAATGGTTCATTGCAAAAAAAAGAGGAAAATGACGAAACTACATAGTAACATATGAACAAAACTTGTGACGCCTCACCACATATTTTAGCTTCTACATGATCGGATCATAGGCAGCTCCAAAAACCAAGTTTCACCCACCCAACTACTATTGCTCTGATCACAAAACCATTCGCTCTAGTTTCTTCTACCTAATTATGAAATGTTGCATTTGCGAGTTTGGCGGAAAAAGAATGTTTCTTGCTCTTCAGTAGCGCCTCCTGAGCAAGTAATGACTTCCATTCACCGCTCAACTCTTTCCTTTCCTTAGCTCTAAGGCTCCTCAACTTCTCAAGCATCTGCTTCTGTGCATACTTACCTAAATGCTGAAACAGTGTCGTCTCAAGCGCGTCCTGTAAAGCCCACAGCTCATCAGCAGCACCATCTTCTTCACTCTCCTTCCCGTTAGCATCATTCTCCATATGTTTGTCAACATTGTCAGAGGGTAATTTGTCGTCACAAGAGTCGCCTTTTTTGCTGATCCATCATGATTCTCAGGTTCACCGTTTGTCACTGCTTCAACTACCTCACTCTCCTTCCCACCAGTCTCAATCTCTATAGTTTTGTCAACATTTTCAGAAGGCAATTTGTCAAAGGAGTCGCCTTTTGCTGATCCATCAGCGTTCTCGGGTTCACCATTTATCACCACCTCCTGTTCCACGAAAGCCCGAACCTTATGGAAAAAACAGTAGTACATACAAATTAGAACTCATAGTTACCTTCGGGTAATCAAGCAAGTTGAGCAAACAAATTAACTCAATGTGTCTATCAGAGGATTGATGAGGCAACTAGAGCACAACAACAAAGATAAATAGAGATGGTGAAACCCTGACTTACCTTTCTCTTTGCCCCCTTAGCTTTGTCATTGCTCCGATCAACACATCCAGATTTATGTTTGCCCCATATTGCCATGGACAAGTCAAAAGTCTCAGAATCTTGGGAGCTAGTAAAGCTAGGGTTTTTAGCCAAATTATCACGGAATTTTGTCTTCAACTTTCTGATCTTACGCATGAGCTGATCCTTTGAGACTTTAGCATCAATGGCATCTTTGATATGATCGAAAAATGCAGCTGAATCAGAAAGATAATCCACTCCTGTCTCGTTCCGGTACTCAACGATGCCCTTTTCACCCAGAGTTTAAAAGCAAAAGAATAAGCAAAATGCTATAATCAGCAGAACACATAAGCCAAGAACAAACACACAGTAGCTGAAAGCAATTGGACCAAAAAGTAGAAACCTTTAGAATGACAAGCTCGTCATCTTTACTCCAGAGTCTCTTGGAATCAGAAGCATGTGTAGCTTTGCGTTTCTTTCTACTCTTCATTAACATGCTTGGTGTTTCTTCGGCGGCATCGAAAGCAGCGTGGCTGGAGTCTAATTTCTCCGGCGAGTCAGGAGGAAGGAAGCCGTTGGAGTTGTTGATTCGGAATTCTAAGTCACATGTATAGGTGTCGCTGAAATCATCTTTAGAAGAAAGCCGTTTCTTGTTAACCATCTTCTTAGAGAGAAAGACCTAATTCAAAGATAAAAGTTTACAATACACAAAGGATCAGTTTCACGAATTCGACTACAAATTCCAAGAATTATATAGAGAGCGAGAAATGGCACAATAGAGTCGAATTCAAGTTAAGAATTGTTAAAACGAAGGAAAATTTATAGTCGGTGAGCTCGAATTGCATGTAAGATGAAACTTACGCTGGTAAGAGTTTGGAAGAAATTGGGGTGGAAGGAAGAAACCCTAGCTTCGGATTCTTCTCTCTGGAAATTTTCACTGAGACTGAATCTTTTATGTGTCAGCAGGATGATGAATCATTATATGTTGGACCGTTGGTCTTCTTTTTTTGCTTTCATAAACTTAAAAATAAAATAAATTCTTGTCAACAAAATTTCATTACAAAAAGTAGTAAATTATTGCAATGTGTAAAAGATTTTAAAAGCCCGTGGGCCAAAAGGATCGCACGGAGCCAGTTTTTGTTGGTCCAAGTGAAGACTATGGACTTCGTATTAATATATTTAAAATTGAAATTTGCAATTATATAAACATTAGATAACAAATTTATGGTGGTTTGGTTTCGGAAAATTTAGAAAAATACGTTATTAATTTAGTTTTGAGTTCTGAATGCTGAAAAAAGAAATTGTATTTTCTTCTTTAAACACTGCAAATTCCATGCCGTTTTCTTTTTTGTTTGGTCAATTTCATGCCGTATTATTATAGTTTACTATGCATTTGCTTTTTGATAAAAGAATATTAAGGTACTTAAAAAAAAAAAGAAAAAAAAGATTCCTTTTTCCCTCTCTTTGGGCCTTAAATAGAGACAGACACCGAGAGAAAGAGGAGAAACCTCACTCACACACACAAAAATTGGTCATAACGAGTCTCCTTCAGTGGTAATTGCAGCAGAGCAACGATGGCCGCGACTCCAATGCAAGGCAAATGGGTTCAGGTCTAATCTCTCTTTCTCCGCTTTGATTTCTGACCTTTGTTCTTCTCCTATTTACGAAATCTGGTTTGATCGGATATTACGAGTCTCCGGTTTTCGGATTTATTCTAGCGTACGAGACTTGCGGCTTTTGAAATTCTAATTTCGTTTCGGAATCTGACTAATTCTCTGTAATTTGTCCAAGTTCTCTGTAAATTGCTCATGTGAATAATATACTTAGGTTCATAATCTTGGTTCTACAATTAATCTCCTAGTTTATGCTTTCTCTGATCAAGTTTGGATTCGTGGATGATAAGTTAGTCTTTATTGAATGGACGGACTATGGATTATTCACCGGCAGAGTTGTTCATGCCATGTTGAATGATAATGTTACTGATGGAGGACGGTTTAATTTTGTAATCATAATCACATCTTAAATAATTCATCTTGTGTAGACTATTGGATTAGTGGACTATGACTTTGCCATTATCCAATTGAGTATTTGCATGCTGACTCAACTCTTTGTTTCTTTCTGATTGATTTCAGCTAATACGATCGAGGGTTTAATTTGGTAATGATTATAATATTTTGTATTTGAGTAATTTATCTTTTGTCTTCTTTGTTTTCTTTGTGATCAGCTTAAACAGAAAGGAACAGGACCAGGGGCAAGAAGCTCTCACGCCATAGCTCTTGTGGGAAACAAAATGTATGCCTTTGGTGGTGAGTTCCAACCGCGTGTTCCCGTTGACAACAATCTCCACGTTTTCGACCTCGAGACTGAGACATGGTCGATCCAGGAAGCTTCTGGGGATGCTCCTCCTCCTAGAGTAGGTGTAGCCATGGCTGCAGTCGGACCCATCATCTATTTCTTTGGTGGCCGGGATTCGACTCACCAGGAGCTCAACGAGCTCTACTGTTTCAACACTTCGACCAACCAGTGGAAACTACTCTCTTCAGGGGAAACTGGTCCACAAAACCGAAGCTACCACTCGATTACTGCGGATTCTCAAAACGTGTATGTGTTTGGTGGATGCGGGGTTGAAGGACGTCTTAACGATCTATGGGCTTACAATGTTGTTGATCAGAAATGGATTAAGTTCCCGTCTCCGGGGGAAGCTTGTAGAGGAAGAGGCGGTCCAGGCCTAGAGGTGGTTCAAGGAAAGATCTGGGTGGTATATGGATTTTCAGGAGAAGAAGCGGATGATGTTCACGTTTTTGACATAGCTACAGGAGAATGGAAAGAAGTTGAGACAAAAGGCGAAAAACCGTCAGCAAGAAGTGTGTTTTCAACTGCGGTTTTTGGGAAACAGATACTGATATCTGGAGGGGAGATCGATCCTAGCGATTTGGGGCATATGGGAGCAGGATGTTTCACAGGTGATGCTTATGGGCTTGATACAGAGACGTTGGAATGGAGGAAATGGGAGGATGGGGTTGGATCAGTGGAGCATCCGGGGCCTAGAGGATGGTGCGCGTTTGCGGCTGGATCACGAGATGGTAAGCAAGGTCTGTTGGTTTACGGAGGGAACTCACCGAGCAATGATAGGCTTGATGATATCTTCTTCTTCACTCCCAACACTACCCAAGTGATTGGTAACTAAGTATGGTTTAGTTTTCTTGCTGGTGAGAGGCTGTGTGAAGTGTTTTTTTTTTTTTTTTTTCATTTTCCTTATGGATTGGATGAACTATGAAGCTGTGTGTTGTGTTTCACTTTCCTCTGTTATTTGTAACTAAATAATCGAAATTTTCATTAAAGAAGATAACGAATAACACCGGCTTAATGGGTAAGTATTTAGCAACTAAATCATAGAGAGATACACAACTAAATCATAGAGATACAGAACTAAGGATGAGACCATTATGGAAGCTTTGAATTCAATTCATTACCCCACTCTGTCTGTCAGGGTAGTTGTTGCCAAAAACAGTGAAATAAGAGTTTTATTTTCCGAATACCACCAATCCATCAAAAGGTACATTGGTCTATCTTGCAAACAGAGTACTAGTATTATTCAAAATATCTCGTTTTGGGGAAAAGATGTTGCAGTTTGGTCCTTACACGACACACACCAACCTATATTAATTACTCAAGCGTTCTCAGACCATGATTAACGGTAGGTTCTTAAGGTTTTCTTAAGCTAGATCTTAGCAATAAATGATTAAAATTAAATCCCAATTAAGCCATTGTTGCTAAGATGGTTTCTTAGGTAAGCAACAAAATCATAGTTAAGACCCATATTTTATAAGTATATTACTTAAATATTCTTAAGATTTATTTCTAAGACACTATGGATAATCATGCTCTCACCAAACTACCCAATGCATGCTCTTGTTTCCCACACTCCCACAAAGCATAAAATACAATTATTTTTCCGTATATCGGATTATTGTTATTTAACTGTTTATTTAGATTTTCTAAATCTTGAGGTGAGAAAATCTGAATATATGACGTGGATTCGGATTGCTTATAAAGAAAGATTTTCCTTTAGGTCTGTCTGATAAGTGATAATAATTCATAGCCTCTCTCAAGTCTTATCTCACGTCTCTTCATATTTCTTTTTCTCTCCGAAATTTCCTTAATTGTTGTAGCTAAATTTGATCTGCATTTAAACCCTAATACTCCCTCTGTCCCATTTTATAGGATGTTTTGTGTAAAAGCACAAAGATTAAGGAATAATTAATGTTTACTTTTTTATAGGAATTCAGCCAATAGAAAAAAAGACTGCAAAATTTAAATGGTCATAACATACTAAATAAATATTAATTATGCATAGAAATCTGGGAAAATCTTATAAAATGGAACAAGGAAAAAATGCTAAAACATCCTATAATTTGGGACAGAGGGAGTATATATCATTAACTTCTTCTTCTTCCGTTTCTTATTTCTCTCTCTCTTTTGAGTTCACAAATCACAAGCAGAGTCGCTTTAAACGGTATGCTCGAATTCTACGTTTCTTCATCTTTTTAGCTTTCCATGTTTTGTCTTTCTAGCTTTCATGGTTTCTTTCTGCATGATGGTTTTAACGACAACCTATTGATCGTTTTAGGGTTTTCCTTCCATATAATTATTCCCTAATTTTTTCTAGTTTATTCGATTTTTTTAATAGAGTGTTGACTGCGATGAAGAAGAAAGCCATTGTGATTGACGATGGATATAGAAGGTTTATGCAGCATACTCGTCTAATGTCTGAAAAAATCGATGTTCCAATTATCTGTCTTGACGAAGATGATAATGATGATCTTATGATTGATAAGGACTACAACGTGTTCTTGGATCATCTTCGAAGAGGTGATAATAACAGTTTTAGCCCTCGCCTTGAGGTTGACAATGGAGAATCCGACATTCGTAGATTAAAGATCTTTTCTTGTGATTCAAAGAGATCAAAGCTTGGGAATGAGAATCCAGTGAAGAACAGAGTTCATCAACAGGGCAAGAGGAAAACTGTTGGGTTTAAGGCTGAAAGAGTTAATATCCGAGAAAACATTCAACGAGACAACAGAGTTGCTGAACGAAGAAAGCGGAGGATCGCAGAGTTAGAAGCTGCAAAGACTTCAAGAGATGTTTCTTCACTAAAAAACCAACAAGAAGACACTCAACAACGAGACAACAAAGTTAGGAAACTATCAGAGTCAAAGGCTGAGACTTTAAGAAGAGATGATGTTCCATTGGTTAGAACTCAAGAAGACAGTCAACGAGCCAACACAGTTTCTGAAGGGAGAAAGAGGAATAATGACGATGCTTTAAGAAGAGATGTTCCATTGGTTGAAACTGAAGAAGACAATCAACGAGACGACACAGTTTCTGAAGGGAGAAAGAGGAAACATGACGAGCTCGAGGCTGATGCTTTAAGAAGAGATGTTCCATTGGTTAAAAGAACTGAAGAAGACATTCAACGAGACAACATGAAGGTTGCTGCAGAGACTTCAGAGGTTGTTCACATGGAGCGAGTAAATGGAGTTACAGAGGTTAATGATGTAGATGAGACTTCAAGGAGCCAAGAAGTTTTTGTAGGGAGAAGGAAGAAGAATGAGGGGAGTGAAGTGGCTGTGGATAAGGATTACATGAGGTACCTCACATGGCTTGTAGATTCTCTTAGAGATTCGACAACTGAGCCAATGGAAAATCTTCAGAAAGATCAGTCTGATTTGGATACTCTAAAAGAATCGACAATGGTCCCTGAAATGGATCCACTAGTAGAAGTGAAGGTTGAACCAGATCATGATTGGTCAGATTATATAATTGCGATGGGTGATTCACCGTTTTTGGATGGAGAGGAGTGTACACCGTTTGTGGTGTCCAAGAAAGTGGTTGATCTAGATGAAGGAAGTAAAGAGGAAGAAAGTAGTAGTAGTTGGTTTAGGAAGGAGCTAATGGATGTTCTGCAAAAACCATATGATGAAGGAGAGTTGAAGCTGCTCCATCGTTACGCATCAATCCATAGAAAAATGACTCGATGCAGAGAACTACGAAAGGGGAGAGAATCTGATTATGAGACGGACGAACTTGGACAATCTTATCTAGAAAGTTTCCCTGATTTCGAAAAAGAATACAAGCTTGTGGTTGGTGTTGATAAGGCAAGAGCTTTGAAGTTGCTGCGTGGGTTTTTCTTGTACTTGAAATATGTTTCTCATGATGGTGTTTTCAAGCCTTGGGAGAGGAATCAAAGGTGGCAACCTTAAGAAATGGTGAAGCTTTTGGTTTAATAACCAGCTTGATGTAGATTACGTTTTTGGATTTCTATCTGTTGTTGGATGGCAATCTGATTCAGTGTAGTTTCTTGTCACCCAAGAATCTGGTTTTAATGAGTAGGTTTTTCCTGAAAACTGATGCAATGTCTCAGACTTTTTTGATCTTATATAACAAAAACTGGTGAGTTTAGGCATTATATTTAAGCGTTGTATCAAAAGATCTGAAACAGCCTTCGAAGGAGATAACAATCAGACATTGTCAAAAGTAATAGAGAACAAGATGTGGAACCAAAACCAGTATCACCTTCCTATATATGTACATGGCTAATATATGTTCGAGAAGTACATGTTAGGACCATGAAGCTAATGAGTCATGTTGACTCACCTATTCCCTTCTGAACCAGCATATCATATACTCTGTCTACTTTACTCGGCTCTACTTTAAAGAAACTATAAGCATCAGACTTTTTCTTTATCTGCCCCTTCTTTATTTCGCTTGTTAAGATATCCAACATCTTCAAATAGTGTACAGGCAGTATTCTTATCTCATTGCACATCTTTTTTTCCTGCACATAGCATAGCACATACTTTCAATCTCTCAAACCACGGGAATAATGTCAAGAAATCAACAAAATCACAAATAAAATGAGAAGCACCAAGTTGGAAAATTATTGTTCTTACGGTCTCAGAGAGCAAGTCAGCTCCAAGGAGACCATCAACATCCCAAGTGTCCAAACCGCTATATATTATTGGAGGTGTGACCTTTGGCAGTGAGTCAGAACCAAAGGGCTGCAAATTTCTGGGTAACCCTCTTGGACTTTTTAGTGTTTTACCGGCTATACTGCCTGGTGCACCATGGTTTAGTCGCAGCAGCACACTTTCTTCAGCTTCCTTCTTTCTCTTCTCTTCTATAAATCTATTTGCTTCGGATGTTGTCCTACAACCAGCAGTTCTAGCTTCCTACAACATTTATTAGAAGCTCAACTTAATGTTCCCACCTAATTGAGTTTGTAATCCAGTTCTCAAGCTTGGTAAAATTATAAGCATCAAACCTGAAGATCCTGGATTCTTCTGAGAATTTGGTGCTCCTCAATGACTTTCTTAATCAGTTCCTTGTGCTCTTCTTTGGAGTGGAACCGCGCAAACACTTTACAGCTTTTATATATTTTTCTCTCCTCTGCTGAAAGGCTCATCTCATATTGATCAGGGTACAACAAGTTTCTTTCCAGAACGAATTCCTTCCTCCGCTTCCTCTCATCAAGCCTACCAACAAAGTCAAGGCACAATCTTGGCTGTAGCATTGGCTTATGAAAAGATTCTACGGATCAACAATGTTTGTTCCTGTGACTAGTGTACCTTTTTGAGTAAATATGAAGAACCTGCAGCTTCTGCTCACGCTCAGCATCCGTGTCAGAATCCTTAAATTCCATGTCAGCGAGTAGTTGCTCAGCATCGTTGTCATGTTCGATCTCAAATTCTTCCCTTTTTAGATTGTAACCATATAACTCTGTTACTAATGGAACTTTCTCTCCAGGAAGTCTGAGTTTCTTCTCCCCGACACTCCTGTCAGATTGTTGTTTTGCAGCTGAGACACAAGGGCCGTTAACTACCTTTAGTTTTTCTTTTATTTGTGTAAATACATTTAGATTTTGTTCCCTTCAAATATCACTTTGCATAAAAACTTGTTCCAGTAGATACAAACCTTCCAACTTGATGTCCTTAGCCTGTGGTACATTCACTTTCTTCTTGACTGTCCAAAAAAGCATTACTTTACATTTAGAACAATGGAAGAGATAATATTTGAGGTCAAGGTACGAAAGACAGATGATTTGCGTCCTTAGCCATAAATCTAAGAGTAAATAACGTCTACAATTTTATATAGACAAGCATTTTATGAGAAGTGTCACATACCTCCAGCTAAAGCAGGCAAAGGTGGATCTATTGCATTGTCCTTCCCTGAAACTTCGTGTCTGCCCATTGAAACATAAAAAATTAATTAAAAAAGAAGCATTCAATATTGTAAAAGTACGGAAACTATTGTTACAAGCATAAATATATACTTGATTTCAGCTGACATAGGCAACTCTTCTTTTGGAGATAGCCTCACAAGTGCAGGTAATTCTGTGACAAACCGTAAAATGAGCTCAGAGTCCTCCTTTTTTCAGTAAAGGTTACTATACGAGTCCCAAATCAACAAGAAAAACCCGCTAATAGATCCAAAGCTGACCTTTTTTTACTGCACTCTCTTTACTCATAGCAAGCAGCTCCTCTTTGCTCTTTCCAATTGTAGGGGACAAGTCCTACAGAGTGGGGAGCTTGATTAAATACACAAGCTAGGGTCAACTATCTGACGATCATGTGTTTTCATCAGTCCTTACCGGAAGTGGAAAGCATGGTGACTGCATGTAAGCAGAATTGAAGTGATCAATACATTCTGTATTTGTCTTACTGCCAACATGGTCTGCAACTTCTTTCCAATTGCCAAACCCGTATGTGGCAATGGCCTAATACAGTAAATACACTTCCCATTAGTCAGATGGAATCCCTATATAGACATGGGAGAGTACAATCAGAAAAAAAGATGGGATTAGAAACGATTAATGATTACCTCAAGAAGGAGTATCTCTTCATCGGCATTCCAATCAGAAGTAACAAGCGGAAAAGACAAATTGTCCTGTCAAACAAAACGGTAAATTCAATACAAACAAATATACAACCATAGAAACATTTTCTTTCTTTTAAACACAATCACTATCTAATTACTATTCAGCTGACAGAGCGTTCAATTGATTTCAAATATACTGCTCAGCGTTGGAAACTAACCATAACCCGATATGGGTGACTGTTCTTGTGACGATTAAGTTCAACGCCGACAGAAAAGCATTCCACACAAAGGTCAAAGTCCATACAAACAGCACATTTGAAACGAACCAAACCAGACAGATCTTTATCGCAATAGTTACAACAGTAAAAGCCAGCTTTCCTCTCATTCCCAGCTTCACTTCCTACAATGTATCGGTAATGAATATACTGTAAAAACTTTTTGAAACATCCAAAAATGTAAAAGGCAGCTTGATACATCAATGCATATCCACAGCAAAATTGAAAGAACTTTAGGCCTATCAGTCTCACATCTAATTTCTCAGGTAAACGGAAACCTACCGGTGGAAATTGAAGCCCCTGCATTCTCAGGACCCGAAGCTATCTTTTTCCTTTTCGATTTTCTGAAACAGCCAAAATTAGGATAGAGACAAGAGACGGGAGCAGTATGAAATCAAGAACCACCCACAAGTACCAAAAGAGCTCCGCTTCAGATAATCAAACACAGCTAAGTGTATTACCAGAGATTGAAATGTTTGCGGAAAGACAAAAGTAATTTTGAGCAGAGAAAACCCTAGACGACTTCGAGCTAAAATGGAAAAATAACGAAACTTTATACGAACCCTGGATTCAGGTCTTCCTCAGCAGGACGAGAAGCTAATTTCGAACGACCCATCGGCACCAAGCTCGCACTTCTTCCCGGCAGATTGAAGAAACCAGAAGAGCAAGACAACGCTAATAAAACTAAACAGCGAAAATGTTAAGTCAGTAAAATGACTAAATTACCCTTAACAAGTGTCAATAATTATGTTCACGCCATCTTTAAACCCTACGGCAGTTGTCAGTTGTCGCGTCTCTTAACCTAACCAATCCAAAGTTGCCGCGACGGCCACCGGAAAACTTCAGAGTTGTGTCTTCTACTGAATTCTCCTGGTAGGTAAACAAGATTAATGGGTTTTGATTGTGCTGTATAAAGCTGTCTACTTTGTTTGAGCTGTCTCTTAAACCCTAGCACCAGTCACCTTCAAGTTTATGATTCCGGGATTCTTCAGCAGTTGATCTAATTCGTTTTCTGAAATCGATGTTGTGTTGATCTCTGTGTAGTAATTATGGTGGGGCTTTCTCTTGGGGAACAACATTTCGTTAAAGGTGGGATTGCTCAAGATCTTCGAACTGATGGTCGGAAAAGATTGACTTACCGTCCTATCTACGTCGAAACCGGTGTTATTCCGCAGGTATTGTAATCTCCTAGAGCTCGTCCGCTTCTCATTGTTGCTTCCCAGTTATTTGACAGATACGTTTCTTCTCTTGTTTTTGTTGGCTCTAGGCTAATGGTTCAGCGAGAGTTAAGATAGGTGGAACCGATGTGATTGCTAGTGTAAAGGTACTTCCTTTGTTTACTCTGCTACTGTTCTATTATTGAATGACAAGTGCTACTCTTCTATTGTAATTTGTAAATGTTACCCAGTAATCTTGTGTAATTTGCAGGCTGAAATTGGGAGACCAAGTTCACTCCAACCCGATAAAGGAAAGGTTGCAGTTTTCATTGATTGCAGTCCAACAGCTGAACCGACATTTGGGGTGAGCTTTTCTATGACATCACCTGGTTTTTGCTCTATCTAGCACTTGTCACAACCGTTCTATTGTTCTCTTGGTGTTTCTCTTACTCTTGGCATTGTTCAACCTGAGATTTTGGTTATCATAACTTTTCTTCGGAATCTCCTAAATTCTACTATGTTAAGTCTTTAGGCGGCTAATTCTTTGTGGCATATTGTTACTTAGGGGAGAGGAGGTGAGGAATTGTCTTCTGAGCTTGCTTTGGCTCTTCAAAGATGTCTTCTGGGTGGCAAAAGGGGAGCAGGTCTGCAATCATGTTTATGCAATGTTTTTTTTGCCTGCACATTGTTACGGTTTCAGTTTGTAATGTTTAATAGCAATTCATTTTTGGTAACAGGAGCTGGAATAAATTTATCTTCGCTTTTAATCAAAGAAGGAAAAGTTTGTTGGGACCTTTACATTGATGGCCTTGTCATTAGTTCAGATGGGAATCTATTGGATGCCCTGGGTGCTGCCATTAAGGTAATTCTTGTGATGTGTGTTTAGTTTTCTCTCTCAACCCTTAGTCCCAGATTTTAGTTGCGAATAATGAGTAAATCATACCCATCAGTCAGGATCATGAGAAAGGAAAGTCCAGAGAATATAGAAAAAAGAAAGGGAACGGGTCTTTAGTGAAGTGTATATAGATGAGCTCGATGTATTTGTCTTGTTATTGGTTTTAGTAGCTTTACGATATGTTGCAAATTGATAGTTTAAGCAACCCAAAAGTCATCTTTCCTCGAGGCTGATCACATGCTTTGATGCACTTGTTGACTATGCTCCTGCAGGCTGCTTTAACCAACACGGCCATCCCAAAAGTCAATGTTTCAGCTGAAGTAGCAGATGATGAGCAACCAGAGATTGACATCAGTGACGAGGAGTATCTACAATTTGACACTTCCAGTGTCCCAGTCATAGTCACGTTAACAAAAGTAATTGAATCTCAATTTTCTTGATTCACATTGACATCTTCTTATGTACATTTCACTAATCTTTTACCATCCATGTAAAATGCATGTCCTTGGTTTTTGCAGGTGGGAACGCATTACATAGTTGATGCAACAGCAGAAGAGGAGTCTCAGATGAGCTCAGCTGTATCAATATCTGTGAACCGGGCAGGCCATATATGTGGGTTAACCAAACGAGGCGGGTCTGGCTTAGACCCAAGCGTCATCCTTGACATGATATCTGTAGCTAAGCATGTGACAGAGAATCTGATGAGCAAACTTGATTCTGAGATTTCAGCTGCAGAGGCCTCCGAAGATGAATCTTGACTCTGAGTCTCAGAGAGAATCAAAGGCTCAAGATCAAACATGTTAGCAAGGGATCAACCATATTTGTATCTGTGGAAAATCTATATGAAGTCGTAACAGATTAAGCTAATCAAAATCCTTTTTGCTCTGTTCTAATGTTCCATGCTTTGTGTTAGAAAAGGTGTTATTTAGTAACATTATATCTCATTTAGGATTATTAAAAGAGGGAGTTTCCTTGTGAATGCATCTTGGATCTCTCTCTGTTGAAAGTGAAAGACATAACAAGTTACAAAAGGATTTGTGATATTTTGGGAGGAGGAAATGAGAATTGAGATGAGGTCAGCCAAAAAAATGAAGTGGACTTAGAAAGAAGAGAAGATTGGTGGTCCATGATTAAGCTCAAAGGTCAAAAGAGTGTGTGAGCAGTGTTGGTCACGTGTATCTCAGCTTTGGGTTTGGTAAAATGACTTTGAAACATTCAATTGTTTTCTACTAAACTCCCAAATCCAACTAGTATTCATATTTGTTTCCTCCTTCATTTCACATTTTCATAACAGCTGAAAAGTAAATTTAGTTAGTAATCATCTACTACTTTGACAGAATTATATGATATGGTACATAACAACAACAACAGAAATGAGCAAATAGAAAGAGATTCCAAAGTCAAATGGCAAAACTAAACGAAGTTACGAAATATTTCGATGGACTATCAATAATATCTGATTACTAATCATCATCCAACATCGGTTTCCACATTTTAATTGTGACTAGACTTGCATAAACAATTTAAAAGTAAATTTGCAAATTAGTCGGTTAACTAATTGAAAAAGAAAGCTTAATAAGTGTTTTCCACTAGCTCATTTTTTGTTTCATTATAGAAAAAAAGAGTCAAACCTTATAATATATACAGTATGAGAGTTTGTAACATGATCAAATATATTTAGTCCCTTCATTCACCGTATACACTAATAGTCAGACAAATTGATAACGACTTAAGGTTTTAACTGTAAAAAAGTTAACTTACAGAGTAAAAGATGTATTTCTAAAAATATAAAAACTGAAAAAGATTATATTCTAAAAATGGTGGTGGTACGGGGACACGGTGGCGCGTGGAGGCGGGAGAAGGAGCGTGGAGTGGGAAAGATAGAAAAAAAGAAAAAAGCACAGACTTTCACTTAGTGGACCCATTTGTCCCTCTCTCTTCAAACCCTAAAAAATCACGCATTTTTGCAGTGTAAGTTGGCTGAATCCCGTTCCTCTTCTTCTTCTGTCTCTCTCTCCAAGAAATCACTCAGATCAAAGCGCTTCAATTTCGGATCTCACAGCTGTCGCTTAGGTACGTCTTTTTCCCCCTTCTCTTCTCCGGATTCGTGTTTCGTTTTCGATTTTGATTCCACGAAATTCATGTGATGGTTTGGGATTTTGTGAAAAAATGATAGTGGGTGAATTGTATTGTGACTTTTGTGCAGAGGAAAGGATGACCAGAGAACATCCTCCTGAGCCTCTTGATTTCTTCATCTGGACTGTTGAGGTAATTTCAATCAATCCTTCCTTCCTTCCTTCTTCGTATTCGTGTTAGCCTTTCATGATGATCACTTCTTCAATTCTCATGTTTCTTGGAATTGAGCTCTTCATTATTAGACTTGTTGTTGCAGAATCGTGTTTATTAATTCTTCAGCCTATTTAACCCGTAACAGGGTTGATTTGATCTTTTTCAGGTATGACCCTAGTTTGCCTTAGGCTTGTTCTTGTTGTTGGATCCTATTTACACAGATTGATTCTTAAGAACTAGGACATATTTGTTTTTGTTTTTTTTTGCTCTTTTGGTACTCTTGGTTGTTGTTACAAGAATAAATCTCACCTTCCATTGCAATTACATCATCCAAGCTCGAAATTGCTATACCTCTACCTATTCAAGTTTAGAATGTTACTTCTCTCTGTAGTCGTAGTCCATGTGTTTCTTGATGTAGCTATACTTGGAAATGGTATCACTGGTGTGTAGAGTGATGTGTCACTTGTTGATTTGCTCTTCTAGCAAAGAGAAACTCCTGAAAAGGCTGATCAAAACTGGATATAAACCTGTGCCTCATACGAAAAGTAGATAGAGGTTGTCCACTCCTATGTAGAAGCTGGAGGTTGTGTGTTGCTGATTGGTTTTGTTTGATCAGATGCTACTATGGATTTTCTTAGTTCTGCTCTTTCGTAATAGCGAGCATCTTGTAGATGAGAAGCTTTGTTCTTCTTTCTTCAGGATGTTGGGTCTTGGCTCGAGGAGATAAACCTTGGGGGCTACCGCCAGATTTTCAAAGAAAATGGTGTCAATGGAGAATATCTAGAAAGCATGTCTGTGTTTACAACCGAGCAGATCCTTCACTTCATAAGGAGGCATCACATGAAGTGGGGAGACTTCATTACCCTCTGTAAAGAACTCAGAAGGATTAAAGGTACTCTCTCTCCTCTCTTTCTATCTCTCAGCTTAAGTTGCTAAAGGATTTTGACTAAGGAAAGAAATGTGTTTTTGACAGTGGCTTGCTTGAAAGGTGAGCAGAGAGTTCGACGGCCATGGTGGGCACCGTCTTGTCTATCCGTAGTGTTTGTTAAGGCAGCCAAACGCAACCGACAGTCTCGTGTTGTATCTCTCAAGCTTGAATCTTGACATTACACTTTGGCTGTTTATGTACGTACTTGTCTCTCTTCTCTTCTTTTCTGTTCCTTTTTTTGGTTTGGGTTTGTTCGTGGCACATGCACTAGGAAGAAACAAACTCAAGCCAAAAAGCTGTTTGGCTTGGTAAAATCTTGCAAGCGGAAAAAAAAAAGTTATGCGTTTTGTACTTTGCTGTATACAAAGCTTGCTTGCTCTCAGATGTTTAATTATGGCTTGTGAAAATTTTATGTGACTGATAATAATAGTGTGACTAATCTCAAAGTAGTAATTTGATTATATGTAAAATTACTAGGCGATATCGAGAGTATAGAAAGAAACTAAACTTATTAAATTGTGCTCTCCCCAATTAATTGACATGTTCCAATAATTTTGGACACTAATAAGATAACTTAGGTCACAAAGTTAAAAATTACTCAAGTAAACATTGGTGGTTAACATTTTCAGAAATAGCGTCCATTCAAACATTCTCTTGGTCCAAATTTTCCGAGAAATATGGTAGAGGCTTTTGGCATATAGCTCATTTCATGTTCCTCTTTGGAGATTAGCACGTTTAGTATCCTATCCTCTTTGGACGAAATCTCTTATCGAGTCCGCTTTATCTTCACAGAAGTGACACACAATGGGAAGCGACCACAATTTTTAAGAGAAAATAGATATTTTATGATTTCTTTCTTACAAATATTTATGCAGTTGAATTACATAAAACTATTATCATATAATGATAGATACTTACCAAAAAAAAATTCATATAATGATAGATTTATCACCAATATGTAGACTAAGTAAAATTATGGAATAAATAAAAGAAACAATTAATGGAAAGGGATGTAAAGTTGTAAAAATTTTTAAAATCACCAATTATCTTTGAGATTTTTGCAACTTATATCTCTTTCCATTAATTGTTTATTTTATTATTGACAGTGCTTACAATCCATAATCTTTGTTGTCTCTTAATTATATATACAAAACTAGTGTAATACATATCATCTTTAAGCTTAGCCACCAACATAAAGTTTTGTCAAGAACTCGTCTACGGCATTTTTCTGTCTATCAAAAACCTTATAGAAAGGGAGGACATGTTCAAACGAGGAATCAGATTTATCGTCATGTGAGTTTCTTTCATTCCACACAACAAAAATTTAGTTCATTATGAAGTTTGGTTATAATATGTTTGTCTTAATTTAGGCACGGCAGAATTATCTGGAAAGAAGTGTACACAAGAATCATAAATCGCATACTCATCACCGCATATGCAATGCTGATTTGTATGATTTATTATAGATATGGTTTCTCTCTCGACATGTTAGATGGTACAATTAGCTTCATCATGCTTATGCTAACTACAACTTTAATCGAAACCTTGTTCATAATGTCTAATCAACCGTTGATACGTGTAACCGCAGCTGGACATATCACATTTTTGGTTGGATTTCTTATACTCACTCCTTTCGTGATCCGATCCAATAATAATAATGTGTTTTTGGTACATGTTTTTGTTGGGGTAGCGTTTGGATGTTGGTGTCTTTTCATATTGGTTATTTTGTTCATTGCACACAATCTAAAGCAATATGATTTCTTATACAAGCCAATAAGGTTTTAATTAGGATTATCCTTGATTGATTCATTATATGTAGATAACATTCTATAGATAGTATTTTTATTTTTTCAATGTATTTGTAATTTTTATAGAATAAAAACAAAAATTTATGCATGGTTATCGTTCATATATTTAACTGGTTACATACATTAAATTTAAATTACAGCTTTCTAGAATTTTTCATTTTGATATATGTTTTATGGTTTTAGGTATAATTTTTGGACTTTTTTGAGAAAATTAATGTCTAAGATGCTAAGCCACTATCAATATCTTAGGATAAAATAGCCAAAAAAGAAAGAGTAATTCCATAAGTCAAATATGAAATTATTAGTTGACGAAAAAAAAAAAACGAAACTAGTTTATATCATCGAGAAGATAATGATCAAACCAAATAAAACAGATTAAAAACAAAAAAATAATAAAAAAAAAAAACAGATTAGCTCTTAATTTTATTATGATTTGTATGATTACTACATTTAGAGCATACTTATAGGTGATACTGATATAGTATCATTAGGAATTTTTTAGTATTATTTATAATATTTGTTTATTGATTGAGATTTTTTCTGATACTCCTACTAAATATGTTTGCATTGGTGAGACCGCTTTAAGTATCATTAAAAAAAAATATTTCAAAATCAAAAATTAATATATTAAAACATAGGATTACAAAAGGTAATATTACAATAAAAAAAAACGTAGAATATACTTAAGCAAAATAAAACATAAAATTCAAAAAAACTTAAAAAAAACATGATGATAAAAATAATTTAGTTGCTTGTAGTCAATTACTTTGGCCCCATTTTTGCCAAATATGTTCAATCAAATCTTCTTTCAATTGTCGATGTGTTTGTTCATGACATATTTGAGCTCGATTGACCATAAAAAATATTTGTTTAGCTAGTAATAATTTTTAGTTTTTTTTTTGGGTAATGAATTAATTTTTAATAATTATACAAGTGTAGTAAATACACCAAAATATGAACCTGAATTAATTAATCTATTAAACACGATGTGTTTTATTAGAACTAATGAAATGTCAAGATTAGTTTTTATTTTTAAATGTGAAGTCTTCGACATTCTTTGACAGGTTCTTTTCTCCAACACTTCCATCAAGATTTTCCCCAAATCGTGTTCAAGTTTTATGACTCTTTGAATTTACAGACAAGAAATAGTGGTTTGTTAACCTTTGGCAGATTCGATGGCCAAATGTTAGAAGACTATATTTGCTCAAGAAGTAACACAATACAACAAAGTTTCCAAAACAAGTCTAAGACAAAACCTCATCCAAAAGATTGAGAGAATCCAGAAGAGGGCAAGAAGAGAATCTTGGCTGTGTGCATATATGTCTTCAACACAAGAGAGTAAGCTCAAATACCCAAATTCTCAAAATCAATAAGTAAGCTCAAATACCAAAATTTCCTAATGTAAGGCACTATACTTCTGCAAGTTCAAATACCCAATTCTCAAAATCAATAAGCTGACCAGCTCAATGAAATCAGCATTCTGGAGAAGAAAATTAAAAAACTTGAATGGTCTCTTCACTCTAACAGCAGCCTCATCCAAGATAACACTACAAGACACATGATCAGAGAAATCATGCTCTCCAAAAAGACCAAACGAAGAGGGGAAGTGGGCAGACCAGCAATCATTTACCAAAATTCGATCAAGTTTCTTAGCAATAGGTCTTGTCTTGCTCTTGTTCCACCAGGTGAAGGTATTACCTTTGTAGACCAGATCAGAAAGCTCAGCATCAAGGAGACAGTGTCTGAACTCTCTAATCCTATTATCAACATTCAAAGAAACCTGTCCCGAGTGCTCATAAGGATGAAGAACCTGGTTAAAATCTCCAAGCACGATCCAAGGCATGTTTCTAACCACTGGAGAGGCACCCAACGTCTCTAATTCCCTCCACAACTCCTTCCTTTTATCCTCTTCATTGGCCGCATAGACAACAGAGACAACCATCCAAGAATGAGAATCTGGCAGCTTTACTTCACAAGTGATCATTTGCAAGGATTTAGCGATAACCACCACCTGAACACTAGGATCCCATAGCACCCAAATTTTTCCTAACTCAGAGAACGCATAATTTTCCTCAAAAGACCAGCCAGGCATCAGGCTACTGATAAACTTCTTCTCCTTTGGCTGTTTAACATGCGTCTCGATAATACCTCCAAAAATAGGGTTATTAGCCCTATACCATTTTTTAAAACCGGTTCTGTGGCTGGCAATATTAAATCCACGAACATTCCAACAAAAAAGTTTTGTACACATATTAAGAAGAGGATTTGAGGCCCTTGCCTCTTTGGATCTTCTGCTGTCGCTTAGACAACACACGTGTGAATCGCTCTTCTTCAGAATCAGTAGACAAAATATCGGACGAGTCCTCTGTAACCGCTAAGTCATAATCAGAGACATGTCCTTCTCCCGCAGCACTAGCAGATTCAGCCAACACACTAACTGAGTCTGTCTTGCTAGATTCACCCTTTGTAAGCATACTGACCGCACTTCCCTTTGATCCTAATGAAATGGCAGGAGGAACAGAAATATCTTCCAGGACCTGCTTAGAAACAGCCAAAGGAGCAGCTCTAACCTGCCATTCCTGGCCAACAACACCCTTACCATTGACAGAATCCCTCTCTACAAGAGGCTGATGGCCTGGGGTTTTAGAACGTCTCCTACGCTGATTTCTATTCTTCTTCTGACCAACTCCACCAATCTTTGGGCAGTCCTCGGTTTTGTGCGCAGTAGAAGAGCAGTTTTTGCAGGTGATCGGAGCCGCTCTACAATGTTTTAAGTTGTGGCCAATCTCCTTGCAGTGGGAGCAAACAGGCGGCATCCACGGACTAGAGACCAAGATCCTGCAAACCTCACCAGAGTCAAATTGGACATTCACAGCTTCCGGCAAAGATTTTCTTGGATCAATGATGGTTAGAACTTTCGCAACTTCGAGGTTTGTCTTGTTTGCAGTGGAAGGGTGAAGACACTTTGGATGACCCACTAGACCAGCGATGCGTTCTAGACCTTCCTCATGGAAGAATTGGAAAGGCACGTTGCGCAGCTCCAGCCAAATCGGCGCAGAAGAAAGCTCAGGCTTTGTGGGGACAAAACCCGGCTCCCACTTTGCCACAAACATTGTTTGACCCTCAATCTGCCACAGCCGCTGGCTTAACACCCTACTTCTGGTGAAAGAATTCGGAATCCTAAAGAGGAAAGCATTTCCTTCAACCTTGGACACAGAGATATCTCTGTGGTGTCTACTCCAGATTCCATTTACTATGTTGTGCAGTGTTCCCTGAGATGGAGGGTCTGAGTAGAACTGCCCTAAAATGAAAAAATCCCAAGATTTTTTATTTCTTTCAATGACCGCATTTGGTATCTTGATACACAACTCACCAGAAGGAAGAGTGAAACCCGTTCCTTTCTTAGAGAGTTTCTTTGATGAGCCATTCACCATATCAACCCACGAATCTTCTCCAGCCGCAGAGACGGGATTGCGGGTAACAGAAGGAGGTTCAGCTAATGCAGTCGCCTTCGAATTCATATCCACGGGAGCAGAGGCCTCACCAACAATAGGAAAGGGAACAGAAGCCGCAGCTTCAACCGGCACCGATTGGGAAGAAGTGGCCAAGACTGTCTCATTGACAATCGATTGGGCACAAGGAACAGCTAGCAGACCAGGGTTTGTTGCTGTAGAGACAGAACTAACGGCAGAGGCCTCGACACCGGAGGCAAGGCCATCAACGGTGGAGCCAGAGACTGGTGAGAGCAAATCCGGGTTTGATGCTGACGAGACTAAGCTAACGACACCGGAGGCAAGGCCATCGACGGTGGAGCCAGAGGCTGGTTTTCAGGAAACTTTGTGGGTTCAGCTATGTATCGGGTCTCCAAGAAGCTGAAGGCTATGAAGAACCCTATAAGAGAGTTCAGCAAACAAAATTATTCAAACCTGGAAAAGCGTACTAAAGAGGCTCATGATCTTCTTTTGAGCTCCCAAAGTGCCACTCTCGCAGATCCTTCTATTTCCAATGCATCTCTGGAGCTGGAGGCTCAGCGCAAATGGCAAATTCTCTCCGCGGCTGAGGAGAGTTTCTTCTTTCAGAAGTCTAGGGTGACTTGGATGGCCGAGGGTGATTCAAACACCACTTATTTCCATCGAATGGCAGATTCTAGGAAATCAATAAACACCATCAGCTCTTTGCGTGATGAAAATGGCCAGCATATTGTGACGCAAGAGGGTATTACTGATCATTGTGTCAACTACTTTGCTAGCTTGTTTGGCGATGAGGTTGGGCCGAATATGTTGGAACAAGAGGACATGGAGCTGCTCCTTACTTATAGATGCTCTGCTGAGCAGATTGCTGAGCTTGACAACATGTTTACGAATGAGGAAATTAAAGACGCACTGTTTTCTTTGCCTAGAAACAAAGCCTGTGGACCGGACGGTTTCACTGCTGAGTTTTTTAGAGATTCTTGGAGTGTTGTTGGGGCTGAGGTCATTGAAGCAATTAAAGAGTTCTTCAATTCGGGTCGACTTCTAAAGCAATGGAATACTACCACCTTAGTTCTCATTCCCAAGTCTACAAATGCAACGTGTGCCTCTGATTTCAGACCCATATCCTGTCTCAACACGCTGTACAAAGTAATTGCTAAGCTGCTGACTAAGAGACTACAAAGGCTTCTGTCCACTGTTATCTCTTCCTCTCAATCTGCTTTTCTACCAGGTAGACTCCTTGCTGAAAATGTCCTGTTAGCCACAGAGATGGTTCATGGCTACAATTGGAGAAATATCTCACCAAGAGGGATGCTCAAAGTTGATCTTAGAAAAGCTTTTGACTCGGTTAGATGGGAATTCATAATATCTGCATTGCGTGCCCTTGCCATTCCTGAAAGATTCATCAACTGGATTCACCAATGCATTTCTACGCCTTCTTTCTCTGTCTCGATCAATGGTAGCAACGGTGGTTTTTTCAAGAGTACTAAAGGGCTGAGGCAAGGTGATCCTTTATCCCCATATCTTTTTGTGCTTGCCATGGAAGTCTTCTCCAAACTGCTACATTCTAGGTTTGATTCAGGCTATATTCATTACCACCCCAACGCGGAAGATCTTTCGATCTCTCACCTAATGTTTGCAGATGACGTTATGGTTTTTTTCGATGGTGGATCTTCTTCACTTCATGGAATCTGCGAAACGCTTGATGACTTTGCGTCTTGGTCGGGGCTGAATGTTAACAAAGACAAAAGTCAGCTCTTCCATGCTGGATTGGACTCGATTGAGAGTGACACCTTGGCTGAGTACGGTTTTCCCATTGGCACCCTTCCAATCCGTTATTTGGGCTTGCCTCTTATGTGTAGGAAGTTACGCATTGCCGAATACGAGCCTCTCTTGGAGAAAGTCACCAGAAAGTTTGAGTCGTGGGCCTTCAAATGCCTATCTTTCGCTGGTAGAGTCCAGCTTATCGCCTCGGTTATTTATGGTCTTGTGAATTTCTGGATGTCTACCTTCCTTCTCCCCAAAGGTTGCATCAAAAAGATTGAAGGGCTGTGCTCAAGATTTCTGTGGTCTGGGAATATTGAAGAGGGAAAAGGAGCTAAGGTATCCTGGACTGCGCTATGCTTACCCAAAAACGAAGGTGGTCTTGGCTTAAGAAGATTCTCAGAATGGAATAAGACTCTCTGTCTGCGCCTCATTTGGTTGTTATTTGATCATAAAGGATCCTTATGGGCAGATTGGCACCACCACCATCACCTCAGGAACACTTCTTTCTGGAATGTGGCTGTTTCCCCTAGCAACCCTTGGACTTGGAGATCTCTTCTCAGCCTAAGGCCTTTGGCTGAATCTTTTATTAAATGCAAGGTGGGAAATGGGAAAAGGGCCTCTTTTTGGCACGATAATTGGACTGCTCTTGGGCCGTTGATAAAATTTATTGGCGACTATGGTTCTAGGCCACTAAGGATCCCGCTAAACGCAAGAGTTGCTGCTGCCTTTTCAGCCGCTGGTTGGAGACTTCCTCTTTCCAGATCTGCTGCTGCTCAGTCCATTTTCGACCATTTGAGTACTTTATCTGCCCCTCTTGATGTTTCTTTGGATGACTCTTACTCTTGGTGCGTTGGTGATGTGGTTTGTCATGGCTTCTCCGCTGCCAAAACTTGGGAAGTTATAAGACCTAGAGATTCTGAGAAAGAATGGACCAGCTCTGTTTGGTTCAAAGGGGCAGTGCCTAGGTTTGCCTTCACTATGTGGGTATGTCATCTTGACAGATTGCCAACAAGGCAGAGGCTTGCTTCTTGGGGCCAGATTGCTTCTTCTGAATGCTGCCTTTGCACTATTGAAACAGAAACTAGGGACCACCTTTTCCTCGGTTGTGAATTCTCTTCCCAGCTTTGGAAATTGGTTTTCAACCGTCTTTGCCCTCGGCAACGATTGTTTAGCTCTTGGCCTGAGCTCCTATCATGGACAAGACAGTCTTCTGCTGCTGCCCCTTCTTTGCTTCGCAAAGTTGCGACTCAAGCTATTATCTACAATGTTTGGCGTCAACGGAACAATGTGCTCTTCAACGACAAGCGGCTTCCCCCTACCGTTATCTTCAAGATGCTTGACAGGGAATTGCGTAACATCATCACTTCAAGACGGCGAAGGAAGCGTTGGCGAGGCCTAATGCTTCTTTGGATCCGATAGCTTTTCTTGTTTTCTCTAACCTATTGTAGCCTTGTTTTATTTTTTTGCCTCGGCTACTCTTCGTTTAGGTAATACTCTTTTGTAATGCCTCTTTCTTCATTTATATGATATTTACATTCTTAGCAAAAAAAAAAAAAAAATCAATAAGCTCTAATGCCTAAAGTAAAAACCTTAGTTAGAGAAATCACTATGAAACAACTCACGGAGAAGATGGATTTAAACCCGACATGAGAGAAACACGAAAAAGGACTACTTGAAATCGAAGAAACCCATATTACAGAACACTCTCAATACAAAAATCCATTGATTGGCAAAAACGTAAGCATGAATCAGAGAAATAGATAGAAATTAGGAGGGATTGAATCTAAATTGCAAACGAAATCAAATTTACCTTAGCTCGTCAGGGAACAAGCTCGTAATCGCCGGCGTGAGAGAGCTCGAAATCGTTGGCGTGAGGAGAAGCGGAGGGACCGAAGGCAGGATCGAAGAGATGCAATAAATTTTTTTTTTTTTCTGTAGCCAAAACGCGTTGCAACGCCAATCATCACGTGCCACGTCATTTGATACTGGGTATCAGAAGTATCAGTCCAGTGATACGACTCAGGCCCAAAAAGGTTGTTTGGTCCATTAAATAATATTTTTTGGGCTTCTGATACTCAGAAAATATCACCACTGGGCATGGTCTTAGGAGTACTAGAAAATGAAAAACCAAACAGTAATTAAAAAAAAAAAAAAAAAACCCATTACCTAATTAATACCGAAATTACCCTTCAAATCCAGAAGCTTCGCCTTAGGCTAAAAAACCCTACTAAAACCCATTCGTCTCTCAACTTTAGCTCAGTGCTACCGAAATCAAAATCCACCATCGTTTCTCTTCCGAGTGTTTAGAAGTTTGCGACTATGATCAGGCTCTCTAAGCGCTCCGTCTCTACCTTCCTACGCTCCGGTAACGGAAGCTTCCGTGTCGCCGCCGCAGCTTCCACCTCCCGCTCTTCCCCATCTGCCACGGTATTCATTTCAATTTCCTTCACGTATTCCTCGCTTTCGTTTTTGTTTTCTCTGAAGATCGTTACTCTTTGACTCTGGGTCTCGATTTAGTGGCCAATTGGCTTTCTTATGATCGGATATTTTACAGTGTCACTGTTTATTTTTCTCGTTTTAGGATGTGAAGAGAAGTGACACTGAATCGAGATGGTACTCATCTTTAACCAATGGACAATCTAAGAAAAGTGGGTCATTGGCTCAATTAAACATGAAAACCAATTGGTTTATGGGATACCGGAACGAATCCAGTGCAGCTGCATCAGACTCTTCCTCGCAAGCTCCTCCACCGGCTGAGAAATTCGAGTATCAAGCTGAAGTAAGTACAATTTGTGTGTTTAGTTGATTTCTTGTTTTGTGACCAAGTTTGTGTGTATCACTAATGTTTGAAACTAATGGCAGGTTAGTCGCCTCATGGACCTTATTGTTAACAGCTTATACAGCAATAAGGAGGTGTTTCTTCGGGAGCTTATTAGGTATCGTTTTATTCTCTACCCTTTTGGTTTCGTAATGTCATTGTGTAATGACCACATACTTACTTTGTTGGTAATCTATGTTTTACTTGATTTGTTGTTCAACAGTAATGCTAGTGATGCATTGGATAAGCTTCGTTATCTGAGCGTTACCGACCCTGACCTTTCAAAAGATGCTCCTAATCTTGATATACGTATCTATGCAGACAAGGAGAATGGGATCATAACTCTCACGTATGTCTTATTAGTTTCTGATTTGAATGTTTTAATTTCGTGTTGAGCAATGGTAAGTAGATAATTAATATGCTTTTTTCACTTTGTTAGTGATTCTGGTATTGGTATGACACGGCAAGAATTAGTTGACTGTCTTGGGACTATTGCTCAAAGTGGAACTGCCAAGTTCATGAAAGCTCTAAAGGTCTTACTGGTTTCTCTGATACTTTTATTCCCATTTAAATTTCATGGAATCACTGGATCAGCTAAGCATTGTTGTAACAATTTCAGGATAGCAAGGATGCAGGTGGTGACAACAATTTAATTGGTCAATTTGGTGTGGGATTCTATTCAGCATTTTTGGTTGCAGATCGGGTAAGTTCTTACGTTGTGATGTCTGTAGATTCCTTTATTGATATACTCACCTCTCCACCAACTCAATACCGTAATCCTATCTATCTATCTTTTGAAGGTAATTGTGTCAACCAAGAGCCCTAAGTCTGATAAGCAATATGTATGGGAAGGAGAAGCAAATTCAAGCAGTTTTACCATTCAGGAGGATACTGATCCACAGTCTCTCATTCCTAGAGGAACTCGTATTACTTTGCATCTTAAGGTTCGTTATGCTTTGATATTTAATTTGTAGGTCAATCCTGAGTATTTGTTCCTTCATAAGACCTGACATCCTAAATTTTCTTTATTATTTTTTTCCCCAATACAGCAAGAAGCCAAAAACTTTGCAGATCCTGAGCGGATTCAGAAGCTCGTGAAAAACTATTCCCAGTTTGTTTCTTTCCCTATTTACACGTGGCAGGAAAAAGGATACACAAAAGAGGTATGATCACCAGAGTTGGCAGATATCTGAACTTAAACTTATGTACTTTTGTGTCAGATGCAACTAATAATATTCTTATCTTATTACCTGGCTTTGTATATTTGGCTATCTCTTTTGCAGGTTGAGGTTGAAGATGATCCAACTGAAACAAAAAAAGATGACCAAGATGACCAAACTGAGGTACACCTGCTTCTCTTTGCCTGTTCTGAGAAATACCTTGATCAGCATCAGAAGATAGCTAGATGTGTAAGAAAAGTTGGCTTAGAGTTGGGACTATTTTTCTTGTAACAGAAAAAGAAGAAGACCAAGAAGGTTGTTGAGAGATATTGGGATTGGGAGCTTACAAATGAGACACAACCGATTTGGGTAAGGACTGGTAATGTATTTTGAGTGCACTCTGAATCAGCAAGATAGAATCAATTCAACAGTGTATTTTATTTGTTGCAGTTGCGTAACCCTAAGGAGGTGACAAAAGAAGAATACAATGAGTTTTACAGAAAAGCTTTCAATGAGTATTTGGACCCATTGGCATCATCCCATTTCACGACAGAGGTATTTTCGAGGGAACACATTTACTGAATTGGATATATCCATTAAACAGCCGAATTGGATTATGCTTTGTAAGACGATCCACAGAAATATATAATGCTCTGTGATTCTCCTGTTGGCAATGCTTAGGGCGAAGTCGAGTTTAGATCTATCCTATATGTGCCACCTGTTTCACCAACGGGGAAGGATGACATAGTCAATCAAAAGACAAAGAACATAAGGCTCTATGTAAAACGAGTTTTCATTTCAGATGACTTTGATGGGGAGCTGGTGAGAAAAGTTTTGTTTGTTGTGGTTCAAATTTCTTTCAAGAAACCTGTGTCTTACTTATTATATTGAATCTTTTTTTTTGTGGTGTTTGTGGACAGTTTCCTCGGTATTTGAGCTTTGTTAAAGGTGTTGTGGACTCGCATGATCTCCCACTTAATGTATCCCGTGAGATTCTTCAAGAAAGTCGCATTGTAAGCGCTAATATCCAATTCTTATGCAATGCCTTTATGGTATATGTTCTGTTTTGTTTTCGTAAAAGTGCAATGCGATGTTAAGTTTTCGATTTTGTATTGTGTCTCCAAGGTGCGGATCATGAAGAAACGCCTAGTGAGGAAGGCTTTTGATATGATTTTGGGTATATCCTTAAGTGAAAACAGAGAAGTATGCTTCAGAACTCTTGTTCCCCTTCGCTTACAGTTTATCTTTTTTCAGTTCCCTCTAAAAATCACTGCTATCTGGTGATGATTTTTCTGACGAATGAGAATGACATTGTTTACTTATACAGGACTATGAGACGTTTTGGGAGAATTTTGGCAAACACTTGAAACTGGGATGCATTGAGGACCGTGAAAACCACAAGCGTATAGCGCCACTGCTTCGATTTTTCTCCTCCCAGAGTGAGAATGACATGATCAGCTTGGATGAGTATGTTGAGAACATGAAACCTGAACAGAAAGCCATATATTTCATTGCTTCTGACAGCATTACAAGTGCTAAGAATGCACCTTTCCTCGAAAAGATGCTGGAGAAGGGACTTGAAGTATGTGTTTTTCTTCTGAATGGTGCCACGTTTTGTTCTTCCTTGCAAATATTCCTATTAGCTCAGAGGTGATTGATTTGTATTTCTTTGTCTTGTGAACGTAGGTACTATATTTGGTAGAGCCTATTGATGAAGTTGCCATACAGAGTTTAAAAGCTTATAAGGATAAGGATTTTGTAGATATCAGCAAGGAAGACTTGGATCTAGGCAAGTGCCTGATGTAATTCCGTGATTTAGCATGTCACCTAATCTCACTTACGTATAATAACAAATTCTGGCTATGATCTTGTATTGACAGGAGACAAGAACGAGGAGAAAGAGGCAGCAGTGAAAAAAGAGTTTGGACAGACTTGTGATTGGATAAAGAAACGATTGGGTGATAAGGTTGCCAGTGTTCAAATATCCAACCGTCTTAGTTCTTCCCCCTGTGTTCTTGTATCTGGTAAATTTGGTTGGTCAGCCAATATGGAGAGGTAAGATCTGACCTTTTTCTTAAGCAAGGATTTCCTTTCTCCCTTTTTCCTCCTGGTGAACTAACACAGAATATGTTATCTCGACAGGCTAATGAAGGCACAATCAGCTGGTGACACAACAAGCCTTGAGTTCATGAAAGGGAGAAGAGTGTTTGAGATCAATCCCGACCACTCGATTATCAAGAACATAAATGTGAAGTCACCATTCATCATAACTTGTACCTGGCTATTATAATACATTTAAGAGCCGCTTTTTTAGTATTGACTTGGTTTTTTCTTTCACCTTGCAGGCTGCTTACAATAGTAACCCAAATGACGAAGATGCAATGAGAGCCATAGATCTTATGTATGACGCAGCACTAGTTTCTAGTGGGTTCACGGTGAGTCTTACTCTACATTAAGAGTCTTTTATTTTTTGTTGTCTCTAGAAATGAAATAAGTAAAGATTGGTAAAACTTAATTGTTGTGTTTCACAATACGTACAGCCTGAGAATCCAGCAGAGCTGGGTGGGAAGATATATGAGATGATGGGTATAGCTCTTTCCGCGAAATGGTCAAGACCTGAGGTGCAGCCGCAGCAACAGCAGATGGCACATTCTCACGATGCAGAGACATTTGAAGCTGAAGTGGTTGAACCAGTTGAAGTGGATGGGAAGAAATGAAGAGAAGCTTAATGTTTATGTCACGCTACGATTCTCATCATATTCTTCTTCTTTAATTAGTAGTAGCAGTAAAAGTAGAACCCCAAAACTCTGAGTTTAGCAACAATAGGCAATGAGCCAATGATCATCTCTATGGAGAGATTAATAATTGAGCTTGCTTTTGTTCCAGTTTACGTTGATCCTCGTCGGTATAATTAAAAAAATCCTCAGTTGGGGTTGTTTTTAGAAAGATTTTCCGAGTTAAAACTATTGGGACATATGGTAATTGTAAATTAAATACAGGGATGTTATCAGCGTCCGAATTGGGTTTGTTTTAAAACTTTGTTTGGACAGATTCGACTCAAACGTTGAACGCGTTTAGAAAAGTCAACACAAGTCGAAGGTTACCGGCTGGTCAAGTTAACCGTTAGAGATTAAGAACTGGCAGCTGTATGTCTTTTTATATTTCTGTCTCAATAGAAAAAAAAAAAAAGTTTCTAATTTATCTTTCCCTTTGCCTTTGGGTGGTTTCTCACGGTTCCTCGTTCGTCCTCTCCAGTCGTCTCTCCGGTGAGTCCTTATTTTCCCGGTGCTCCTTCCGGCAGTCTTTTTCCCTTTTTCCTCTGTTTGGTGCTTTCTTTATGTCTGAGGCGAATAAAGCAAACGTATCTGTATGTTGGTTGTTGAGTTCGAGGCTGGTATCGAAAATTCGGTGACAGATAGAGAGAGTCGATTACTTTCGAGATCGAGTTGGATACGTAGTTTTGAGGGTTGATTCAGTTTATCTCTATGAATTTTGGTACTTGCAAGATTTTTGATATTTTGAAGATTCGTGTTTGACTTTTATAGCGTATAATCTACGAGGCAAACAGATTCGAGCAACTTGTTTTTTTCTAGCGCTTGTTTTTTGTTTACTCTGTCCTGTGTTTGTGGTTTTTGAGCTTCCACTAGTGATTGATCATCATCTCAGCTCAATTTGAACCTAGGAGATGTAGTTTTATCTGTCGGTGGGTTTCTAGGGATTTTGCAAAATGATTTGGGCTTTCCTGAATTAGTATGTGTTTTGTTGGTCAAATATTCAAGGGATTTATGTGTTTCTTGTCGTTCTCAGTAGTAGTAATCTTGGGATGAATCTGACATTGACATTATCTTGGTGTCTGCAGCATTAAATTGATGGGCACATCATCTGGGTCCAATCTTCCTCACCAGATGCTACCTCCACGTCAGCAATTGCAAACATCTCTTTCACTTGTATCTTCGGATCCCCACTTGTCACGATCTAATTCTGGCATTGTGCGTGAATCACCAGCTGAAAGTGCCAGCTCTCAAGAAACTTGGCCAACCTCAAAATCTATCATGGGAAATAAGACAGAGAGCGGAAAGACAGGGCCTGACTCTCATGATCAACTTGTCATCCGCCATGTTTCCATTGCCGATAAGGTATCACTACGGGACATAGCTAGAGAGAGAGTTGACATAGTCGCTGAGAGAATGCACCGATTACCAGATGAATATCTCGGGGAGTTAAAGAATGGCCTTAAGGCTATCCTTGAGGGAAATGGTGCCCAGCCTATAGATGAGTTTATGTTTCTGCAGAAGTTTGTCCAGACGAGATCTGATTTAACTTCAAAGACACTTGTCAGGGCTCACCGAGTGCAGCTTGAAATCCTTGTGGTTATAAACACTGGAATCCAAGCATTCTTGCACCCAAACATCAATCTCTCTCAGTCATTGCTCATCGAGATCTTTGTGTACAAGAGATGCAGAAACATAGCGTGCCAAAACGAACTCCCGGCTGATGGCTGTCCCTGTGATATATGCGCTAATAGGAAAGGCTTCTGCAACCTGTGCATGTGTGTGATCTGTAACAAGTTTGACTTTGCGGTCAACACATGCCGCTGGATTGGCTGCGATGTGTGTTCTCATTGGACTCATACGGATTGTGCTATTAGGGATGGAGAGATTTCGATGGGAGTTTCTCCCAAGAGCGTATCTGGGATGGGAGAAATGTTGTTCAAGTGTCGAGCCTGCAACCATACTTCTGAATTGCTGGGGTGGGTTAAAGATGTGTTTCAGCACTGTGCACCAAACTGGGATAGGGAATCTTTGATGAAGGAACTAGACTTCGTGAGTAGGATTTTCCGTGGAAGCGAAGATACAAAAGGCCGGAAACTATTCTGGAAGTGTGAGGAACTTATTGACAAGATTAAAGGTGGACTGGCGGAAGCAACAGCTGCCAAGTTGATACTGATGTTTTTCCAAGGTAAGCCCACTCGCTACTGTTATATGATAAGGGTTTACTCTTTTTAGACCTAACCATGTTTTGTGTTTGAAGAAATTGAATTGGACTCTCCAAAGAGCCTTGAAAGCGGAGAAGGTGGGGGAACAATAGCACCTCAAGATGCATGCAACCGAATTGCTGAAGTTGTAAAGGAAACACTGAGGAAAATGGAGATAGTGGGTGAGGAAAAGATGAGGATGTACAAGAAAGCGCGAATGGGGCTTGAGGAATGCGAGAGAGAGGTGGAAGAGAAAGCAAAGCAAGTGGCGGAACTGCAGATGGAGAGGCAAAAGAAGAAACAACAGATAGAAGAGGTGGAGAAGATAGTGAGGCTGAAGCAAGCAGAGGCAGATATGTTTCAGTTAAAAGCAAACGAAGCGAAAGTGGAAGCAGAGAGATTGGAGAGGATTGTGAAAGCGAAGAGGGAGAAAACAGAAGAGGAATACGCAAGTAACTACTTGAAACTGAGGCTGAGCGAGGCAGAGGCAGAGAAAGAGTATCTATTTCAAAAAATAAAAGAGCAGGAAAGTGGTGGAAATGGTGGTGAGGCGTCACAAGCAGTGATGTACTCAAAGATCAGAGAAATGATTGATGGATACAATGCCTCTTCTTCGCCAAGAGTAGATCCAAGATCTAACCAGCGAAATCCTTTCAGATCCAATCCTTAGATATTTGTAATATTGTCTCCCTTTGTTTGTCTTAAAAAATTCTTCGAATCAATTGAGGTTGGATTTGTGTGTGAAGTATTGTGGCCGTTGTATTCAAATTTTGCACAGGATTGTTTCTGTGTTGGGGCCATAATTTGATGGAAGCAAGCTTTCACACGAAGTGTTGCCAAAAACTCATACATTTGAGCCAAACATGAGAGTGATCATGTAGATGTCAGCAAAAAAAAATATCGTCACCACTTTGAAAAGATAACGTTTTGGCCTATATATATTACGTAGTAGCTATTTGTAATATAGTCCTCATATTTGGGTTATAACAACGATTTTATTTCTTACGGGGTAAAAAGTAAAAGGAATCGAAACCTATGGGGAAATAGTGTAATATTCTGGAAATTAAACGCGTATAATCGGATTGGTAAGGAATATCCTCGCCGAAGCAATCATCGACCATCGTTTTGTTTTTCCTGTCTACCCAAAAACAAACCCTAGTGTCCGAATTCTCGACAAAGTTCGTCGGATCCACGATTTTTGAATTCGCGTGCTTCTGATTCAAGATGTTTCTATCTCCTGGTCATTCTCCGCGGCAGATTTCTTCTCCATCGCCGTCTTCTTATTCCGATGATACCATCCGATCGACGCCTCGCAGTTCTTCCTCGGAGATCATTCCTCGGAACCCTAGAAAACGGATGAGAGTTCTCGACGAGGACGAGTATGTTGAAGCAATCGAGAAGATCATCGAGCGTGATTACTTTCCAGATATAACTAAGCTTAGGGATCGGCTCGATTGGATCCAAGCGGTGAAAACCCGCGACCCGATTCAAATCCGAGATGCCCAGTTGAAGATTATCGAGAGGCGTGGAAAGAAGGCGAATCATCATGTTGGGGACACCGAGGGTAAAACTCAAACTCCTGGATCTACTTTTCTAAGAAATTTCACTCCTTTAGATGAATTCGATGGTAAAACCCCTAGAACTCCTGGAGTATCTGGTAGAGAATTTCATGGTGGTGAAGTAGATGCTGATGATGGAGATGGAGATATAGATCTTAATTTGTCCTTAGATGAGTTCTTTAGGAGATATACTAGCGAAGATAACGATAGCTTTTCGAAGATTCTTGAGAAGGTAAATAGGAAGAAGAAGGAGAAGTATGGCTTTCTCCTTGAAGGTGAAAAGGAGGATGGGAAATCGATTGAGGATTTAAAGAGAGATAGGATTACTGATGGGTATGGTACATCTGATCAGCCACCAAGTACTTTAGAAGGATGGAAATATACAGCGAAGAATCTTCTGATGTACCATCCAGCTGATCGGGGTGAGGCGCCTTTAACTGAGGCGGAAAGGGCAGTGAGATTACTTGGATTGACAAAGGAAATAGTTAAAGGGAACACTCGTTTTCATGGGAAGACGATGGATTCTAGGCCAAGAGAAGATGGTTCAGTTGAGATTCTCTACACTCCAATCGCAGGTTCTTCCCCGATGCATATCTCAGGTAGGGACAGAGACATATCTAAGAGGTATGATCTTGATGATCTAAGGAAAACACCGAATCCTTTCTATGTGGAATCAGACAAAAGGGCGGATAATGGGTATAGTTTTGTTAGAACGCCTTCTCCTGCTCCAGGTCTTGATGAATCACCCTTTATAACATGGGGTGAGATTGATGGGACACCAATGCGATTAGATCCTGAGGATACACCTATTGATATTGGTGGTAGTGCTGATGGACCGCACTACAACATTCCATCTGCACCTCCTAGAGATGTAAGGGCACATTCATTATCAAGGGATGCATCGCGAAAAATTAGAGAGAGATCAAATAGTATGTTTAAGAAACCTCCGTTGCCATCTCCTCATCGAAGTGGAAGTGCAAGTCCAAATGTTAGGACACTTTCACCCGCTGCTCAGAAGTTTTTCAGACGGGCAATAGCTAAATCATCTTCTACTGTTGATGAGAGCCTTCGTGCAAGTTATCGTGGAGCAAGTCCTCGTGGAGCAAGTCCTGGTGCTGTGACTCCTAAGAGTGTGAGAAGTGTTTCAAGATTCGGCAAAGATGGGACCAGCTCAGAGACAAGGTCGCCTTGATGGTGTGAATGTTATGATTATCTGTTGTTGAATGCCTTTGGTGCTCACAGAGGCAACAAAGAGGCTTCTTCTTGTACTACATTAACTTGTGCTAAGTGCTTTTTGACACTTTTTTAATGGAATGCTATCTATCTTCCAATTTGTAATTTTGACTTCCACCTCTTCTCTTTTCTCCTAGGAGCTCCTTTATGCTCCCAGGCTACGCACTTCAATATTACAACATCATCACAATATCCTTGAGTGAAAAAATTGGGGTTTATGCTTCGTCTGTAGCTTCTCTGAATTTTAGTACCCTTTTGTGTGTGTGATTCAAGCCTTTTAAGAGGTGTCATACCCAAGATTGTTCTCTCTTCAATTTCAGGTTCCCCTCAAGAGTTTGGAACTGCTTGATGTTAATTATTCATTAATGTTTGTGTATCTTTACATTAAAATCAGGAGACAGAACCGACTGCAACAAGAGTTCCAGAGTGAAGTAGACTGCAGCATGAAGTAGACATAAATGTCAAGATCTATTATGTTCTTGGTCCAGAGTGATTCGAGATTCACAACAGTGGAGACTTATCTGGGATTAATAATTGCTCCCTAGAGATCCTTTTCAATGATGAAGGTGGATCAAGAAAACAGTGCTTCTTAAAGCAGACAGAGCAATGCAACAATGGAGGAATGCGAATCCAAAAGTATCAGAACAGGATCTGATGAAAGAAATGCTTCTGTCACACAACAACCTCTCATAAGCAAAATTGTAAGTCCAACTCGAGAAACCAAAGTCTTGGAAAATGGAGAGAGATCAGGTGTCTTTAGACCAACTAAGTACTAAGAGGCTGTTGTATCTAACAGATTATGCCAATAGGTTGCTTCAGGTACCCAGTAAGATTATGAAAGTATAAAAATCGATGAGAAAATTTCGTGAATATCGCCAGTAGAAAGCATAAAACATGGACCAGCAGATATAGAGAAAGCATCAAACTTATACATATATACAAGGAACATCACAAGTGCATTTCAAAGACAACATTGAGGATAAACCAGACCAGTAAAAAAAAAAACAAGCAGAAAAGAAGAAAATTCAACTATAACAGATGTTACTTGTTCCATATCATTTATAGTTAGATGGTAGCAGCAACACAGGATACAGCTCTTGCCTTGTCAGAATCTTCCAACACTTTCTTAGAAGCTTTAATGACAATATGATTAGTGATGTAATGCTTGCGACATACAGGCATGTAGACATCAGCTCCACCGATAAGCTCAGTTCTGGTGTCACAATTCTTTCTTAGAGTGAAGAAAGCTTTATGTCCACAAACCTCACACCTTGCAGTTAGCTTAGTCACAGAGTCAGCTATTGGTATAATGTCAAGTACAGCACCAAAGCTCCTCCTGTATACAGAAAAATCAAATCCACATTTTACAGTCAACAATTTTGTTTTAAAGAAAAAGAATTTAAATATCAAATCACAACTTTGAAAATAGGATCAAACACCTTAGATAGTCACCATCTAGGCCAGCAACGATCACAGTTTTACCATCATCATCAGCGACTTTGCAGCAAAACTCATAAAGATCTCCAAAGAACTGAGCCTCATCAATACCAATCACATCAAGCTGCCAATGATTTTAAGAGACAACACACAATTTCAATATGCAGATCCTTGACAATTAAGACCCGAAATACCAATAAACCATCGAATTTTATTACCTTGTTATAAGCATCTTGTCCGAATTTCTCAGGAAATGACATGAGATCTGGAAGAGCCCAGCAAGGGAATCCAATTCCATCATGTGTCACCACCGAATCTTTGGCGTATCTCGTATCCTTACTCGATTTCAACATCGCAACACTTCTGCTTAACCAAAAGACCAAAATTAAGAAAATTGGATCTCTGAATTGTCAAAAAATGAAGATAGATCTAACAATTAAACTTTACCTTCCGTCGCTGATCTCTGACTTGATTCGGCGAAGGAGAGAGGTGGATTTCCCAGAAAACATAGGACCCATGATAACATGAATAGCACCTGACCCACGGCGTTCCAGATCGGAGAGAACATCCCCGCCGACGTCACTGTCGAGGGTTTTGAGCAAAAACGAAGCTTTGAGAGTCGCCATGGCAGATTGTGGGTGTGGGGATGTGAACAAGAAAGAAAAAAAGGAGAAAGGTTTCAGATTGCTTGTGGGTTTTTAGGTAGCGATGGTGAATAACTTGTGGAAGATATATATATACACGGAGATCCAGAGGTTGAACAAGGAAGAAAATTGTTGGAGAAGATTTGTCAAAGATAAGGGTTTGAAATTTGAGTGGGAGCTTTTTTAAAAAAATTTACATCTTGGAGGGAAACAGTTTTTTTGGAGCGAATATTTTTTTATTTAACTCTCTCTTTTCATAAAGCGGAACACAATAACGGATTTTTTATTTATTTCTGATCATTTATATTATTCAATTTTGAATTTTTCTATTCGCTTAAATAATATTGAGTTTTTAAAAATTAGTTTCCTTAATATATTAGTTCATGTGTTTTAGGCTTACTACATAAAACTTTTCTTTTATGTATTTGTTAATTAAAATAACATTTAAAACGTTTTTCTTTTATTTTTACAGCAATAACATTAAAATGAAAAATATTTTCAAAAAATATCGACATACAGTAGTAAGTACTAAGTGATACTTACTGTTTTAAAATATTTCACTACTGTTTTTTAGAATATTGTTTAGAAAACCGTAATGTTCGAGAAACAACTTTCTACAAACCCCATCATTTGTGTGTTTTTGAATATGGGCTTAAGCCCAAATATCTGAGGCTTTTTTTGGCCCTAAGATGAACATGTTCACAACCTTCTCCAAGTGTTCCAATACATAGACAACGTTCATTGCTTCTTAGCAATTTGAAGCTAAATTAATGTCCAAATCCAATCGTTGCTCGTAAAAGTAGTGTTGTGTTCCTAAAACCGAAGATGAGCTAGAATATATATTCATCGTCAGGAAGTTACTAGGTTAACTCAATGTGATCACGGTAATTAAAAAATTAAAACAGATAAAATGTACACGACTAGGTTAAAATAGACAAAACCAAACGTATACAACAAGCCTAAATTATCCAAACCAACAACAACTCTCAGTTCTACTTTAAAAACTATATGAATAAAAAAACATCCTTAATTGCAAACTTTCAATACCTTTTTAGTTTAGTTTTAGTGGCATCATCTATAATTTTTTTTTAAGATATAAACTAAAAGTTCGCACAAAAAGAAAAATAAAAACATTCCAAAATATGAATATTTGTATGTAATAACAAAAGTAAAATTTCCGTGTAATAAATGGAAGGGAAAACCAAACTACGGATTTCCTTACATACGCATAATAAATAAAAAGCTTGTATTGAAAAGAAAAAAAACTAACCAATTATGTAATAATTCTTACATGTATATAAATATATAAATACAGACATATCTTCTTCTTCTTGCACACCCGAAAAGCCTTTGTCTTTCTATCTCTACCAAAAACTCTCTCTTTCTTTCTCTCTCTATCTCTAGAGCGCGTCCCTGCGCGTCGTCAGTATGTTTTTATTGACGCCATTGAAATTGGTTAAATCGGGTTGAATCGGATTGAACAAAAAAAAACTGTATTAATAATAATTCCTACTTTTCTCTCTTCTTCTTCTTCTTTTTGATTGATTCCAATCTTCTTTCATTTTTCTTCTTCTGGGGAAGGGGCAGGTTAAATTATGCCCTCTATTCAAATCGTGCCTATCCTCAGATCTTAGTGTTTCCTCGACGAGATTCGGCATCTGGGTTTTATTCTGATTGGTGGGTTTTTTTTTTATTCTTCTTTTGATCTCAGATTTCCCTTCTTTGTCTGATTTGTTTTTTTTGCTTAAATCCGTTTTTGTTTTCCCGATCAAACTCTCCGGGCAGATTCTCTTATCTGTTCTCGGATCTGTTGTTTTCTAGATTCAATCTGAATTTGATTTTACGTTTTGTCTTGTAAAGATGTTTCCTTTTGATCAGATTTTTGATAATCCATTGAAATCTGATTCAATCTAAAGCTTTAAAAGAACTTGTTTGTGTTTGATCTGCTAGATTTTTCTGAGAGCTGAATCCTTGTGTGTGCAGAGCAAAATGCAATCGGATAATGGAAAGCTTTTCATCGGTGGGATATCTTGGGACACCAATGAGGAACGTCTCAAGGAGTATTTCAGCAGTTTTGGAGAAGTGATCGAGGCTGTCATCTTGAAAGATCGCACCACTGGTCGTGCTCGTGGTTTCGGTTTTGTTGTCTTTGCTGATCCTGCTGTTGCTGAGATTGTTATCACGGAAAAACATAATATTGATGGGAGATTGGTATGTTCACTCTTCTCGCCTTCCGTTTTGTACAATGTAACTTGTTTTCGAAGCTTCCTTATGCAATCAAGCCTTCAAGAGTTACAGTTTGTTCCCATTTGATTGCGATTAACCATTTGTTGTATTGAATCATCACTTCCTTTTGCTTTCTTTCTTTTTTGGATTTTTGAGAAGAAATGTGTTATTTTGTTATATGAGCTTCGTTTTTCATTTTTCAAGTTGTTTGATTTTCCGCAGGTTGAAGCCAAGAAAGCAGTTCCCAGAGATGACCAAAACATGGTAAATAGAAGCAACAGCAGTAGCATCCAGGGTTCTCCCGGGGGTCCAGGTCGCACAAGGAAGATATTTGTAGGAGGATTACCTTCTTCTGTTACAGAGAGCGATTTCAAGACTTATTTTGAGCAGTTTGGAACAACTACGGATGTGGTTGTTATGTATGATCACAACACACAGAGGCCTAGAGGTTTCGGATTTATAACCTACGATTCCGAGGAGGCGGTTGAAAAGGTATTGCTCAAGACATTCCATGAACTAAATGGTAAAATGGTTGAGGTTAAGCGAGCTGTTCCAAAGGAGTTATCTCCAGGTCCAAGTCGCAGTCCTCTTGGTGCAGGTTACAGCTATGGAGTTAATAGGGTCAATAACCTTCTTAATGGATATGCTCAAGGGTTTAATCCCGCTGCAGTTGGAGGTTACGGACTTAGGATGGATGGTCGGTTCAGTCCTGTTGGTGCTGGAAGAAGCGGGTTTGCAAATTTCAGTTCTGGCTACGGGATGAATGTGAACTTTGACCAGGGATTGCCCACAGGGTTCACGGGAGGTACTAATTTCAATGGAAATGTTGACTATGGCCGAGGAATGAGCCCGTACTACATTGGTAACACAAACAGGTTTGGTCCTGCGGTTGGCTATGAAGGGGGCAATGGAGGAGGAAACTCATCCTTCTTCAGTTCGGTTACACGAAACCTATGGGGAAACAACGGGGGTCTTAACTATAACAACAACACTACAAACTCAAATTCCAATACATACATGGGAGGATCATCAAGTGTGAACAACACACTTAGTGGTCCATTTGGAAATTCTGGAGTCAATTGGGGTGCTCCTGGAGGAGGAAACAATGCTGTTAGTAACGAGAATGTGAAGTTTGGTTATGGAGGAAACGGTGAATCTGGTTTTGGGTTGGGAACAGGTGGTTATGCAGCAAGAAACCCAGGGGCTAACAAGGCAGCACCATCGTCTTCATTCTCTTCTGCCTCGGCAACCAACAACACGGGTTACGATACAGCAGGACTTGCAGAGTTTTACGGGAATGGTGCAGTTTATAGTGATCCCACATGGAGATCACCAACTCCTGAGACAGAAGGGCCTGCTTCTTTTAGCTATGGGATTGGAGGAGGAGGTCCTTCTTCAGATGTTTCAGCTAGAAGTTCATCTCCAGGTTATGTTGGCAGTTACAGTGTGAACAAGAGACAACCAAACAGAGGTAATTGAGTTAAGAGTAATTCTATGCTTTAACATGTGATTCTATGCTTAAAGAATGCCATGAGCTAGTTGATAAAGGAATAGAATAGGAATGGAACCCAAAAGATCTTCTTTTCAAGTCTTAAAAGTAAATAACGTAACTTGAAACCAAGCACCCAACCCAAGAGAACAAGTTTTCTCCCGCTGCTAAAACCTAGAAAAAACCTCAAAGCTCTTCCTTTAGTTGAAAACCGATAAAACCTTCAATCTCTAGCTTCAATGATTTCTCACAACCAATACCTCATCCTTATCTGTCTATACTAGGAGTAAAAGCAAAGGACTCTTAAGAAAAGGAAATAGAAAGCCTAGATAGTTCCCAAATTACACGTTGGCTTGATTTTGATTATCCTCTTCTTCTTTCGGGAATAATCAAACCATGGTTTAGGGTCTTGCACTAATGGTGATCTACAGTCCGTAGAACACATGCATATCACTAGTGAATTGGCTTTTCCTCAGAAACACAAACTTGCTTGCATACAGAAACAGTAGCCATTCTGCATCTTTACTGCTATCTAGTTCATCAGAAATTATTTACTGGAGGAAAGTTTCTTTCAGTGGTTTAGATATAGGCTCATGGAACTAGAAAACTAGTTGAATCTTATTTGTTGCTCACACCAGTGTCTATGGCAAGTCTAAGAAACTTGTGATGAAGAAACCCAATATTGCATGACTGGTTTCCTATCACGCTTCTCTTCTCTGAATTATATTTCCCTTTTTCGCTTTTGTTGCAGGAATTGCTACTTAGTACAATCGTTTTTGTTTTACCACGATATTGTAGGCGAGCCATCACGGTGAACAATCTGTGTCTTTTGGCGAATCTTTTAGATTATCTTCTTTTCCTTCATACAAAGCCAGTGAGGACGAAACTTGATCATATCATCACCTAGAGCTAACCAGAGAATCCCGCAGACTTTTCTGTCATGGTTTGGTTTTCTAAATTCATTGTTCCTCCTAGGCTTTTTTTCTGCTTTCTTTTTTTCTATTTTTGTTTTCTTTTCTTCTTTCAATGAGGGACAGAAGAAACTGTATCAGTCTCCGGCGAGGCGGTAATACATAAGAAGAGTTCAAAACAAAAACCAAAAAAAAAAAAAAGATGATCCTTCTTCCTCAGTTTTCTTCTTCATTGTCATGTAATGGTTCTTCTTCTTCTTCTTCTTGGGGGTTATGGTTAAGGTTTGTGTTTTGAGGCAGATTGTACTAGAGTTTTTATGTTTCTTTTGTTATGTCGTTTTTAAGTCCTTTGTTTTGTTTTTGATAGTGTGAGATATGGAAAGAGGATTTAGCCATGTAGGGCTTTCGAGAATAAGTCTTTTTATCACTATGAGATTATTTTGTTCTCAAGCTGTTTGTATGTCTTATGCGAACGCAAGCAAACTCGTTTCTGTTGATGTACTTCTATTTTATAGAAAACTATTTTTATCTTTTATTGGTTTCTCTCTTATCTTTTTCTCTTAATATATATAGTGCAATGAATGCCTAGCCTGATTTTATAGAGGACTCTTGACACTATCTGCTGTATCTTTCTCTTAGTCTCTAATTTTCTGTCCATGGTATGTACTCTTGTAGTCTTTAGTCATGATCTGTGAGCTATTCTTCACTATTCTTGTGAATCCTAATGACTATTTGATATGTGACACTTTCCTGAAAAATAATAAAATATGTTGGAACCAAAGTATTTTTGACATGAAGTTGTCTCAGACGATTATGCTTAAGGACAGTGCAAGAAGAACTCATGAGCAACCAATTTGTTTTTGAAGTTTTTTCCAAGCATAGTTGATTATTGGGGATGTCTTAATTGCAAAAATAGTATGTTTCACGGTTCCCAATATTAGTTTGAGTTTTGGTCCGTATCTTCCGATTACAAAAAGAAAAGAAATGTTAACTTAGGAGCCAAGCCACCATTAAGGAATTTTCACTTACACAATTTAAGATATCAAAAAGTGCCTTTATTTTTTTGTTTCAGCTTCGAACGTCTTTTTTTACTGTTTAAATTACTCTGAACCGAGCAAATGAAAGAGCGATTATGATTCTCAAAAAGAGCATAATGGATGCATTCATTGTTGAATTAAATAGAATGAGAGCATACATCATATATAGTTAGTGTATAAAAGAAATACATATAAATTGAATGGGTGTTTGATTAATTAATTGTTTTAGAGCTTCTACATTTAGGCTGCTTGAGCGCTGCATGCTTTAGGGCTCTGAGATCCCAAGAGTTTGGGACTGACATTTGAGCATTGGAAAGTGGCTGGACCATCGGCTCCATTGTACTCAATATCAATGTCTCCAATCTCAACGCTCTGGCACGGATATCCCTTGCTGCAAAGTAGCTTCACCGCGTCCTTGTTCCCTGATGTTCCTCTGATATTCTTGAAGCTTATGTTCGCCAACTTAATTGTTGATGCTTTCTACAAATCACAAATCAAATAACCATTGGAAAAATCAGACCAGGACTCCATCCAAAATACCATAATTAACTCTTATCCAAAATTAATGATAAAGATAGGAAATACATACTTGCTTGTTGCACTGGTTCCAAGGGCAGTACTCTTGGTCGATGAGGATTGGGTTGCTAACGTTCTTGACGATGATATCCTCGAAATGGATATCCGAGGCGGTGGTGGAGCAAGCTGCAGAGGGCCATGTCTTGATTCTCAACCCGTTGTCAGTCTCTTGAAGAGTGCAGTTGATGATCTTAATGCCGCTGACAGCTTGCTCGTGTGGGTACCTTCCAAGGCTTCCGACACTGATTCCGTGTCCTGGACCGCATGTGACTTTCTCCACGTGAAGGTTCTTCATCCCATCTCCAACGGAGATACAATCGTCTCCGGTGGAGATGAAAGAGTTAAGGATCTTGACTCCGTCACTTCTTCCCAAATGGATCCCATCAGTGTTGGGACTCTCCTCTGGGGCGATGATCTTGATGTTATCCATGGTCATGTTCTTGGCTCCCAACACGTTGATGTGGAAGTTCTTTGCATCGATCGAGGATATGTCTCTGATCTCAGAGTTCAACACGAAGTCAAACCTTATACTCTGTAAAAACAGAACAAATAACAATATAACATCACTAAGTTGTTTCTTAAAATGTCAAAGGGGATTAAAGAAAGAAGCACATACGATGGGAAGTTTCTTGCAGTTGAAGGTCTTGTGGCAGTTGTTGACCCTCCACGCGGAGTTTCCTTCACCGTCGAAGGCTCCGCCTCCGTTCAACTTAAAGCCATCAATGTTGCCGAAGACGACCCATTTCTCCTTTCCTTGGATAGCGTTACCGTCAGCTTTGACAGTACCTTGAAGGGTGACCTCAACGGGAGCTTTGCATGGACCCCTCATCTCGATCTCACCAAGCTTGAACTCTCCTTTTGGGATCACCACTTTGCTTGGTGACGAAGATTGGCATGCCGATGTGAATGCTTTCAGAAGGGCCTGCATATCAGAGTAATGAAACCCTAATTAACGAGATAAGCCAAAAAAATGGTTTTATAGATTTCTTGGAAAGCAAGAAAGAGAACTAACCTGAGTAATATCAGAACCTGACGAAGAACCAATGGTGAATACCTCAGCATTGGCTGAAATTCCCAACAAACAGATAATTAAAATTGTAGAAACTCCAAAATATGCACCCATTTTTCCCAAAAAAAAAATTTAAAAAATAATATTACTAATATTACTATTTGTTATTCTATTTTGTTTTCTGGAATTTGATTAAGCTCATGTTTACATTTATATAGTGTGTTGGATAGAGGGGAGATGTTAAAGTCTAATTTTTGAAAATTTCTCACCACCTCTCGTTTTTTAGGTCGTTTGACCCATTGGGAAGTCTGATGTCTAATTTTGTATCTTGGACTAAGGATGAAAACTAAAAAGTATCTAAAAGGGACATTTTCATTCAAAATGGAATTTCTATATATAAAGTCTAATTTTGCCTAAATATGGTCATGTTAATTCACCTATTATTTTGCCTTGTTTAATTTTTTTTACCATCCCGTCTTTATATTTATCTGTATAAAATTACAGTATTTTTTTAAATTTAGGTGTTGAATATCTATATTATTAATTGGGAATCACTAAATATTAAATAACCTTATGAAGAGTAAAATATTACATGAAATGCCATTGGTTTTTAGTGTTTTTAAATAACTTCATTAAGGGTACAATAGTAATCATAAAATTAATATATTTAAATAAAAAATAGTATAATTCTTTTAAATAATTATTAATTTCCAAAAAAAGACTAATTTTCTCTCTTTTATTAATTATAAACGAAAATTTAAAATTAATTTTTAAAAAATTGTTAACCAATAAGACTTGAATTCAAAATTAAAAAGACTATTCTATGTCAAAAATAAAAAGAAAATTAATATCATTTTAATTCAAAATTAAAAACACTATCGTTTAAAAGATTTATCAATGGAGGACTTTAAGATTAAATTTAAAATTTCGTAAGAAAATTAAATACAAATATTTTAAGATTCAGTTTTGTTATAATATTTTCACAAATTTAAAAATATAAAAAAAAAATTTATTTCACAATTTCTAAAATACGATATTAGATATTAACAACTATTTATATTAATGATAAAATAAACTCAAATAATAATAAATTTAAAGTAATTATCATTATAGCCTTCGCAAGTTTGATAAATATCTAACAATAGATTGTATATATTAATTTCTAAATTATTTTGCGTTTTATTTTTTGTTTTTCAACCGGATCTTCCTTAAATAAATCTCTAATATATTGCACACTGTTTTCAAATAATGTAAACTAATTATATATTTTGAATTCAAAACAAATTATGCAGCAATAACATATACCTTTTAGAGATGTATCTCAAATTTTTATTTTTAGTCCAAAAATCAAATTAATTATGATTAAACAATAAAAATAAGAATATGCAAAATTTAGCTAAGGAAAGAAACATTAATAAATTTGTTAAAATATATTTGTAACTTTAGCAGCATATATATTAATCTGCAAAACTCACAATATGTATTGTATGGTATTTAAAAGTAAGCAAACAAACAAGAATTTGGAACATGATTTTAATGGAATGAAATGAAAATAGGAATTACGAGACGGGATGAGAGGGGAACATAAATTAAAAATCAAACTAAATACCCAATTGGTATGAGTTCAGTTTATGAGCACTATATAAAATAAATTTGTTTACATACATAACCCTATACGTACGTTTTCAGTTACACATATTCTATTTATGCCGGATACTGTACCGTCATATTTTTATTTCACGTATACGAGATGGGTTATGGGACCAAGAATTTATGACAGATACAGAAAATAGTTACGCCTAGCTAATATACATGAAATAACCAAACTCAAACCGAATCTATATCTTATTTAACACATGTAATCAAACTATTAGAAATGTTTTGATTAGTTTAGAAAATAAAAAAGTAACATCATTTAACTTTTGCAACTAAATTATATCTTAGTTTTATCTTAAAAATAATTTCGCACATACGTGTAGGTCCGGATCTTAAAATATAACTATGCACTAACGCAACTGAATTTCGTTCATTACTCTAATTTTATAATATTTACACTATTATAAAGTTCACTAACACAACAAAATAATTTATATTTTTAAAATCTATATAACAATTTCTATAAAAATATCTCTGCACGTACATGTGAATCTAGATCTAATACACTAAAATATATATCATAGAAACAACAAAATAATCTATATTGAATTAAAATTTATTAGAACTTTTTAAAAAATATGAAACCCCGCACGTATGTGCGGGTCATGATCTAGTTCTTTGGTAAAATCAAAACAAGTAAAACTCTTAAGTTTGTTCGTTATACCATTCATTTCTTTATACACATAATGTTTTGAAATTTGACATGAAAATAAATGGAAGTCATTCGTGCATATTTACACGTTTCATTGAAAATCAAACAAATTTGATTATTTTTTAGTCAAATGAAGTAATTTGATTTTTTTTTAATTAATCATAGCATATATGCTAGCTAAAGTATGTCCACCTATTCACGTACTGATCACTGATGTTACACAATAATACCACTTAAATTTAAAATAAAAAATAAAAAATAAACCCATACATGCATGGTGATGTGTTTTATTAAGGGATCCACTGAAAGTACAACAACATGGCTGGTAGATTCGAGTGATGCTCCCAGTTTAAGGTTGTTTTTTTTTAACTTCTACCGTCTACGTACGGTAACTTTGTCCTTTACTCTTTATCGTCACACGTCCTATGCTCGAGCTTTGAAAACGTTTTTTCGGAGGCACTCATCCTTTTTAGTTCGTTGTGTCAGACTCACTACCTTTTTAGCACGAATAAACGGATGGTCCATGAACACGCAAATCTCAAAGCATCTAATCGTTGCGGAACTTGAATTACACGTGATTTATATTTTTGTAGTTAATTTTTTTTAATCAAGAAATTGATTAGAAAAAAAAGAAAAGAAAAAAAAAACAGATGAAGATTCTGATTAAAAACGATATTAAATACAAAAAAAAAAAATTAACCTGCATCTTTTTAGTTTTATTGCATTCATATATGCGCACACACACACATCTATGTATATGTGTTGGCATCAAACAAATAAAAAGGTGAAACAAAATTCTTTTACAGCTTTTTAAATTAAATCTCCCTTGTGTGACTATGGGAAAAAAACTAAAGATTGAAGAAAAATTGGATGAGAAATTCCTAAATGTTGTGAGCTTTCTACATTTTACTTAGGTTGGGTCAACACGGGTGGTGTGTTACAAGCCTTTGGGAACTGAGTTCCAACAAGCTTTGGCCTTACGTTTGAGCACATGAAGGTGGCTGGACCATCGGCTCCAGTGTACTGAATATTAATGTCTCCAACCTGAACGTTCTCACACGGATATCCCTTGCTGCACAACAGCTTCACTGCGTCCTTGTTCCCTGATGTCCCTCTAATCCTCTTGAAGCTTATGTTTGCCAGCTTAATGGATGATGATTTCTGCCAATTGATTAAAATAACACATTAGGAAGTTTAAATCATATACTTTTTCTCAGAACAGGATAATTCCAATACTCATGTTAAAGATATATACCTGCTTGTTGCACTGGTTCCAGGGACAGTACTCTTGGTCGATGAGGATTGGGTTACTAACGTTTCTAAGGATAATATTCTCAAAATGAATATTGGAGGCAGTGGTGGAACAAGCTGCAGAGGGCCAAGTCTTGATCCTGAGGCCGTTGTCAGTCTCCTGGAGGGTGCAGTTGATGACCCTAATGCCGCTGACGTCCTGCTCGTGTCCGTACCTTCCAAGGCTTCCCACACTGATCCCGTGTCCAGGACCACACACGACGTTCTTCACGAGAAGATTCACCATCCCGTCCCCGACGGAGACACAGTCATCTCCGGTGGCGATCCTAGAGTTGATAATCGAGACCCCGACACTTCTTCCCAAGTGGATCCCGTCAGTGTTGGGGCTCTCTGCTGGAGCCATGATCTTCACGTTGTTAAAGGTCATGTTCTTGGCGCCTATAACGTTGATGTGAAAGTTCTTGGCATCGATTGAGGATATGTCTCTGATCTCAGCGTTCGTCACGAAATCAAACCTTATGCTCTGTAAAAACAGAACAAAAGAAAATTACAATTGCTAGCTATATATTTTGTGGCCTAACTTAGAAACAAATGCTAACTTACGATGGGAAGTTTCTTGCACTGGAAAGTCTTGTGACAGTTATTGACCCTCCAAGCTGCGTTACCTTCACCGTCGAAAGTTCCACCTCCGTTCAACCTAAACCCATCCATTCTTTGGAACACGACCCATTTTTCCTTTCCATGGATCGAGTTTCCGTCAGCAAGGACAGTGCCTAGCAAGGTGATCTCGACTGGAGATTTGCATGGACCCGACATCATGATCTCACCAAGCCTGAACTGTCCTTTTGGGATCAACACCTTGCTTGGTGTCGGAGCTTGGCATGCCGATGTGAATGCTCTCAGAAGTGCCTGCATAACGTGCAATGAAACCCTAACGAGTAAGTTAAGAAAACATGGTGGTATGATGTACCGGTTTTATAGATTGCGTCGGGAACAAGGAATGAAAGGTAATAGAACTAACCTGCGTAATATCAGAACCTGGAGAAGAACCAATTCTAAACACCTCAGCATTGGCTGAAAATCCCAGCAAACATATTACGAAAAGAACCGCAGAAATTCCTAAATATGAACCCATTTATTTTATTTTATTATTATATTTTTGTGTTTTTTTTTTGGTTTTCTGAGAATTTAATTAAGTATCTGCTGATTTATATAGTGCCTTGAATAGAGAGAGATGTTGAAGCATCATTTTCTCTCAACGTCTCGTTTTTGAGTTGATTGACCCATTTTTAAGGAAGTATTAGGTCTAATTTTGAGAAACTGTTTCGTTCTTGGAAAAACAAAAACTTGTTCCACTCATGTTTATAGCATTAATTCGTATATATATATATATATATATATATATATATATGCACTTTTCCAAATGTATCATTCCATTCCTAGGAAATTTATGTTGATAATTCATGAAGCTGAGTGTGAATCGATCAAGCAAAGATACACACATTTTGGAAAGTGAATCTTATATACGAACAAAAAACTTTGTTAGATTTTATTTACATTGTGAATACATGTTATATATAATAGTGTGTATTTTTAATGAACACATAACGGATTTGTACCGCAAACTGTATATGCAAATTCTAGATGCAACGGAATTGTAAACAAACGTAACTAGAAAAATAAAGTGTTTATAATTGTAAGAAATGTTTAACTAGGAAAAGTTGAAATGTTCATTATTTTAAAATGTAAACTAGCTTAACAAAAATACAAATATTTAAGTTTTTTAAAAATAATAAAAAATCAAATTAAAAGGGTATAATTTATGAAATGGGCATAGATCCACCTGCAGAATTAGATATAGCATCATGGATAGCACTAATACTTAGAATAGTTTGCGAATGCAAGATGTGATCGCTGATAAAATTACATGTCCACTAATCAGCAAGCACATTAAAAGAGCGTCATCAGTGTGACCCAAATTTAAAAGTTTTCAAATCAAAACAAACTCACGATAAATAGAGAGGTTCATGTCGTTTTTATATTAGTGTTGGTTCTTTCATATTTCTTATTTTGGATCCTAACAAAGACCATGTCCTATACAAGCATAAGTCACGAAAACATTTAAAAATTCTTCTAACATGTGAACAAATTCTCCTATTTAAAGGAGGAGATGCCTAGTGACGCGGTGACAATGCTACCATGACACCGTCGACGTGACACAGAGATCTTTTATGATTTCTCTTTCGCTGAACTAATTGTTACAAATATTTTTGGTGAGATTAACGTTTTTGTTAATGATTTTTATGCATATCATTGTTTTTTGGATTAGTTTGGTCAGCGAAGAATCGATAAATCATATTAATTATTAGCGTTAGGAATTTGGCTCGATTTCAAAACTGTAACGAATACAATTGATTACCAATAAATTCAAGTTTATTATTCCTAAAATGATATTCTTGTATAAATCAATATACATTTTTATTTCATAAAAAGCAAATCTATATTTCAGAAATAAAAAGCGATTATAAAATCGAATTACGTAGAATTTAAACAAAAGATAAAACTTAAAATTTCAATGATATTATTATTTCTTGAATAATTATTAAAACACTCTCGCATATTGCGAATCACACAACAATTACTACCCAATATCACTAGTCACTCTTCAGGTGATAAAAACCAATCCTGAATGGACTCCGTATTTTCTATTAAATATCCATATAATTTATGTCAAAATATTGCAAAACTTTTTCATCGCACCCTAATCAAAAGCGTCTTCACGAGATTGGATGGATTTATGGTGGATAAGCGACTTTAATTTAAGGACCCGGTTTAGCGACTTCAGTGCAAGCCGCTGGAACCAACTTTCCGGAGAGAATAGGCTTGATGTTAGAACATGCCGAGACAGCTGGTCCCTCTTTGCCGTTGTGGACCAAGTTGATGTCAGCGAGAGCAATATTGGTGCAAGGAACGCCTTTGCTGCACATTAGCTTCACAGCCACCTTTGTTGCTGATGTGCCCTTAATGTTCTTGATAGTCACGTCCGACAACTTCACTTTTGATGGTACCTTCATGTATATTAATTGGAGAGAGATTTAAAAGTGGGATCGTTATATACTATTAAACAAACCAAAATACATATATAGTGTCAAAATTTGACTAGATAGTTTTGTATAGATTCGATTACATACCCCAGCTTTGCAGTGGCCATAAGGACAGTACTCTTGGTCGATGAGAACAGGGGTGCTAACATTGTCCATTGTGATATCTTCGAAAAGAATGTTGGAGGCGATACCGGGGGGAGATCCTGGCCATGTCTTGATGCGAACACCATTATCAGTGTTCTTGATGAGGCATTTCCTCACGGTGACTCCTTTTACTGGTTGCTCATTAGGGTATCTTCCAAGACTTCCAATGGAAATTCCGTGTCCTGGTCCACATTCTACGTTCTCAACAATGAGATTTTCGGTACCATCTCCAATGGAAACGCAATCATCTCCGGTTTTAATCTTTGCCCCTATTAGGTTGACGCCATTGGACCTTCCGATGTGGATACCATCGGTGTTGAGACTCTCCGGAGGTGCATCAATACCAATATCCTCAAGAGTTATGTTTTTGCAGTTAAGGATGTTCATGTGGAAAAGTTTGCTGTTTGTTGATGTAATACTCTTAATTTTCGAGTTTGTTAGACCCGTGAATCGGATGTTCTGTTCAAAAAACCCATATAATTACCAAGTTATTCCATGAAAACATAACGATTTTATTGTAATATGTAAAGTTGAATGTGCTTACGATGGGGAGAGAGTTGCATTTGCCGGTTTTGGCGCAATCATTGGCCTTCCAAGCGAGGGAACCTTGACCGTCAAAAATGGCTCCGTTTCCATTCAAAGTGAAATCAGCGAGATTTTCGAAATCAATCCATCCGGCATGAGGTTTAGTGGTCTTGACCGTAGCCGGAGCCTTTAGATTGCCATTCAATTCCAAAGTGACTGGACCTTTGCATGGACCTTTGAACTCTAGGCTCTCTACCAAATACTCACCTTTAGGCACTGTAATTGTGCTCCCTGCTGCACACGCTTCCTTCCATGCAGCCGCAAATGCCTATAGATGCATAAAAACGTGAAATTATTTCTTAAACCATACAAAACCTAATATAATATAATATATACAAGATTTGGTACGTACCGCACTGTCATCAGTTTTGCCATCTCCTTTGGCTCCTGATGCTTTAACATCAAGTGATGCACCGCCTGCTTTGGCTCCTGGTACTTTAACGCCAACTGATGCAGCTGCATCTTTTGCTTTATCGCCAACTGTTGTAGCTGCTTCACTAACTTTATCACCAACTGATTCAGCTGCATCTTTTGCTTTGTCGACAACCGGTGTCCCGTTTGCTATTGTGGTGGCCATAACCACTAGAAGCACTAGAAGCACTCCGCTTGCTCTACGAAAACCCACCATTTTTTATTCTCCTTTTTATTTGATTTTGTTTTATTGATTTTTTTTTCTTTTGTTTATTCTCTTCTTTTTGTTTTTGTGTTTATTGATGTTTTGTTCTGGTGATTCCAGAGTCCGTTTTATAGAGGAGCAAAGAGAGATCGAAAACCACAAACTCATGCGTTGCTAAAAATAATTCCGAGGATTGTGCTTCAGGTAGAGAAGAATGACCAAATCATGGAGGCCGATCCCTTTTTGACTTGGTGTGTTTTCTATTTTTGGACATATATATCGATAATGTAAACATCTCACACAATTTGGTAATTTAAAATAAATCAGATTTTGTTGCAAAAAAAAAAGAGAGTACATGATCATTCATCTAATTAATTATAGAATTGGGAGAATTTCAAATTGGGCCTATAGGTGAAGAATGGTTAATGGGCTTTGGATGTGAGATTGGAACAAATGAATTAAAACGGAACCCATTAGTTGAGACAAACCCTAAACCCTAGGGAATGGAGAGCGGCGATTACGACGTTGAGACGAAAAGAGAGAAGCTTAAATCGGTTCTCTCTCATCTCCTTGCCGATCCGATTCTCGCCGACGTTCCGAGGAATCCAACACTTTCTGATGTCGTCACTCTTGTCAGTCTTGAAAAGGGAAGCGCTATGCGTCTCTCCGTCGTCAAGCTCGACGGCTCCTCCCTTGGTATATATACACTTCACTTGGGCATTTTGTCGAGCAAGTGGTGTGCATTGTAGAAATACATGTGTTTCTTACTTGTTTGCTTCCTCATTGCAGATGTGGCGGTCATGAATTCAGCTACTTTGAAAGATCTGAAGCTTTTGATCAAGAAGAAAGTTAACGAAATGGAACAAGCAAACATGGGTCATCGCCACATCTCTTGGTATATAGCTTCTCTCAAGTAACCTTAAATTTTACTGCTTGTATGAATACAGTAAACTTGTTTATTAGAGGAGTTTTGGGAATGTGTAGGAAACATGTATGGTCAAACTTCTGTCTTTCGTGTAATAATGAGAAGTTGCTTGACGATAATTCTCTTCTTCAAGATGTCGGAATCCGGAACAATTCTCAGGTTTAACACCTCTATATAATCCTATCTCAATTAAGAGTTAATTGGGTCTGTTGTTCAATTCTTTTGACATGGACATATATGTTAATCTTGGCATGAATATAGGTGACCTTCATGCCATATGTGATGAAGAAGGGTCGAGGAAGACACTCAAAGAGGAAGAAGCATCGTCTCTTTCGTTCACTCCACAAGACTTCTTCTTGAAGCCTTTTGTATGTTGGTAACCAATACCAGTGAGTCTCTTAGCTTTACTTACATGTTAGATAGCATTGGTAGGTTTGATTCCAGGATTTTCGATCAGACATAGTCAGGTCATTCAAAAGTTGAGCTACGAATTAAGAGATGAAATCATTAGATACTTTTCAAGAAAGACTAGGTTTTTTCCCGTAATGATCAATTGATTTGAGTGATTATATAGGTCTAATATTGTTTTTGAAACTAAGTTAAGATTCCCAGTGATGAATATTTTAGTAATCTGGAACAGTGACAAAATGGAGCTCCCTCTTGGAAAATTTCCATGGAGGTTTTAGAGGAACCATTGTTGTAGATACTTGGCAACTTCTGAGGGTTTCTTCGCAAAATGAAAGTTGTTCTTTTTCTTACTGTTATTGGGATTCTGAAACATTGAACTACACACTGATTTCATTTTTTCCATTTATTATTGCCATTATAGCTACTTTTGTTACTATCACAATTGGTGAATTTTGATCAGGTTGATAGTGGTCTCAGCATGGATGAAATCAAACTAACAGATTACGTCTGTGGTTTATCGCACCTTAGAATTCACCAGCAGCACAACACGCAGCAGAAACTAGTGGCGCCAAAGACAATGATCTTTATTAGAGTGTGGGAATAGGTTTAGCTATATTTGTATTCACCCGGTTCAGTGTTAAACTCTGTATTTATCGCTGTAAAATTATTGGTGTAGCAATGTGAATAACAAGCAGAAAACTGCTATATTTTCATTATTAATGAAACAAGAAACACGAAAGTAGTTTGAGCTTCTAATATTAATTTGATTTTCCATTGCATTTTACTTACGAGAATGTCTTGCAGCTGAAGAAGCTTTTGTAGCTTAAGTCCAACTATTCTTGTCCAAAGCGCAATGCAGACGTATGCGTGTTCTCAGCTATTGGTAATAAAAATGTGTTGGTGGTATTCAACAAGTTTTAAAGTTTGCAAGGGGCCACGGTAACATCTCAAAGTCAACACATTAAAAAATACAGTAGACATGTCTTCTTAAATTGCTAAATAGTAAATAGGGTGTGGTGTTGGAAATTTGAACATAGATGGGCCTACGAAAAATGTCTTTTCTCCGATGCTAAATCATACCATAATTTACAGCCTAAATATTGGTATCTAGTGTTTGGAGAAACCAAAGTGGTGGGAAACTTGTGCACCTCTTACTAAAATGTTAGTATTACTTTTAGCTTTTGAAAGAACACTCACGGCATAACTGCCCCCACCCACCATTTCTTTTAATTTTACTTGCTTATATCTATTATCTATTGATTAAAAAGTCCCTTAGCATCGATTTGATACACTGATTATTAAAATCTTGGAAAATCTCGATTCAAATCTATATGTTTGCAGGTTGCCATGATATCGTTAAAATGTAGACAGATAAAATTTACTATGATAAATGATCCAAATAATTAGTTTTTTTTTTTTTAACTTTTAAATCTCTTGATCCAAACTCTTCATCTAACTTATGTTTACACGCTAGTTATGACTGAAACCCATCAACACAAATAGAGACATACTTTCACCTTTAAGTTCAGCAAAGGATTTGATCTAAATGCTTATCTCACCCATTAGCTTAAATAAAAATCGACGAAGAAGATTATTAAATTATTTGAGAAGAAAAGTCTAATATGATCATCACAAACAAACAATGCAACTCTAATTAAGAAAAAGGCATTTTGTTTTTCCATTTATTTTAACAATAACTAAAAATAAATTTGAAAGTACACAAATTTATAAATCAAAAGGTAAAGATAGTTGTATATTAACGACCAAAAAAATAATTAGATTTAAAAACACCTTAGATAAAAAAAAGTAAAAGGAAAGAGAGGACTTTTGCATGAGTTGGCAACTTCTCTTTTTTGTTTTATTATTAAAGTCTTAAGAAAACTAAATATTTAATTAAATGTTGCTCTGTCATCATCACACTTTTTTGTTTGGTTTTGTATTCTTCCCCATTTTCTTTATTCTCTTTTGACAATATGCAATTTCCAATCTCATCCTACGGTCTAGATCTCTCCAATCATCATCCTTCTTCTTCCAATATTCACTTTCAAATAAAAATAAAAATTAAGAGATAATAATTTCCACGAGAGAATTATTATTATTATGTGATGCCTATTCAACGTACCCTCCCTTTTTTCCTCCATCATCTTCTTCTTCTCCTTCTTCTCTCTCTCTCCATCTCGAGATCAAAAACTCTTGCTTCTGATTCTCTTCATTCATGGCTTCAGAGAAGAGTTTCAAGAAGAGAAAGATCACCGATGATGTAGACGGAGGAGTAGGAGGAGGACTAGAATCCCTTCCCGGAGATATCATCGCCGACATATTCTCTCGGCTACCAATCTCCTCCATAGCTCGGCTTATGTTCGTTTGCAGATCTTGGAGATCAATTTTGACTCAACACGGTCGTGTCTCTTCTTCTTCTTCCCCGACAAAGCCATGTCTTCTCCTTCACTGCGATTCCCCAATACGCAACGGTCTTCACTTCCTCGACTTATCAGAAGAAGAGAAACGCATCAAGACCAAGAAATTCACATTAAGATTCGCATCTTCCATGCCGGAGTTTGACGTGGTAGGCTCTTGTAATGGTTTGCTCTGTTTGTCTGATTCTCTCTACAACGATTCTCTCTACCTCTACAATCCTTTCACTACAAACTCCTTAGTGCTTCCCGAATGTTCCAACAAGTACCACGACCAAGAACTTGTGTTCGGTTTCGGATTCCATGAGATGACAAAGGAATACAAAGTGTTGAAGATAGTTTACTTCAGAGGTAGTAGTAGTAGCAATAACGGTATTTACAGAGGTCGTGGTAGAATCCAGTACAAGCAATCAGAGGTTCAGATCTTAACCTTGTCATCTAAAACAACAGATCAATCTTTGTCTTGGAGAAGCTTAGGCAAAGCTCCTTATAAGTTTGTGAAACGTTCGTCGGAGGCTTTGGTCAACGGGAGGTTACATTTTGTGACAAGGCCTCGTAGGCACGTGCCGGATCGTAAGTTTGTGTCTTTTGATCTTGAAGATGAAGAGTTTAAAGAGATTCCTAAACCAGACTGCGGAGGGCTAAACCGGACCAACCATAGACTAGTGAACCTTAAAGGGTGTCTTTGCGCGGTCGTTTATGGTAACTATGGAAAATTAGACATATGGGTGATGAAGACTTATGGAGTCAAAGAATCATGGGGAAAAGAGTATAGCATTGGTACTTACTTGCCAAAGGGGCTAAAGCAGAATCTGGACCGACCCATGTGGATTTGGAAGAACGCTGAGAATGGTAAAGTGGTTCGGGTTTTATGTTTGTTGGAGAATGGAGAGATCTTGTTGGAGTATAAGAGTAGGGTTCTTGTGGCATATGATCCAAAATTGGGTAAATTTAAAGATCTTCTTTTCCATGGTTTGCCTAATTGGTTTCACACTGTTGTTCATGTTGGAACATTGTCTTGGTTTGATACACCCCTTGATTTATGGTAAATTAATTAAAGTTTTGGATTTTTATTACATTTAGAGTTTTGAGAAATGGGTAACGTCTTCTGTTGCTGCTGCTACATCTTCTTGCCCCCTTTCCATACCAACTAAGTTCATTCTTTTTTAATGGGTAGAGTAAGTTGTATTTCTTTTCAAGTTCTTAATTGTTTCGTTTCTGTTCAATTTATGGGTTCTTTTTCATGCCATCTGGTTAAATGTAAATAATATTTCTTTAAATATAGCGGTAAATGTTTCCACGATCGTGCCATTTGATTTTATTGCTTTATTATATGATTTTATGTTTTGACATGCTCGATCACCAAGCAATGCAGAAAAAAAAAAAAAAATCTTGTAGCATATTTTTTAGATCTTTAGATTTCATAACAAGAAATTAAAGGACGACGATAAAGCAAACTTTACAAGATATACCATAAGGAAAAGAGGCTTTCGCAAATCATATAGTTTTCACTAAAAAGAAAAACTTGTGTACATAAATATAGATAACTATCTTCGATCTAAATATTAATAAAGCCATGTGGAAAGATTCCCTATCGTCTGAAATAAAATGAAAACTAGATACATCGTAAGATCTAAACATCTTAATTAAATAAAAATAAAAAGATCTAAACAAATTGAAGCCTATGCATTTTTCGTGGTGTCAACATTTTCGTACATGCATGATCATGATGCAACGTAATTAAATCTATATCAAGTATTCAAGTTACAATGTGAACGACAGAAAATAATCTCAACAAGGCCAAATGGCCGTTTATACCCGAGTATACGTTCTGTCTAAATTCTGACCTTTTTTTTTTTTTTTTAATGGAATCACTTCACTAGTATATACATGGTTAAAGTACTGCAAACATAAATCATCATTTTTTTTAACCTAAAACAAAAAAAAAACACTTATAAATCATCATTTTTTTTCAGATTAGAGAAACATAGAAAAAAAGAGAAGTGGGAATTAGGAGAAACTTCATAGTTAAGAAGACGAGGAATTAGAGAAGCAGAAGACCTCAGGAAAGGAATGCCAACCAATGACATGGCAAATTGTTTCTCTAAAGTCCTCTCTCTTCTTCTCTATTTCACTTATTTTTCAGAATTATCTTCAATTTGTGTTCTTATATATAGATTAGAGTCATGTAGTGATGAAATAGATATGCCGTCCGGCATTAGCATCATATCGATTGTTATAAAACTGTTTGATTTATTTCTCATGTCATGGTTTGACTACTGTCTTAATATTGCATGAATTTTAGACTGGTGAGTTATAAAAGGAATTAGGTTTTGGTGTCGTGTGGAGACTAACCTAATGCATGTTGACTAATATGGTATTTATACATGTGTAACGTAGACGCCTATTGCCTAACCAACTGAAAATGTTTTCCTACAAGAACTAGCTTATGACTTTGGAAACGCATTTTATAGCTTCCAAGTATATAGGAATTCACTAGTGAGAGAATATGTTAAGAAAAAAATCAGTGTATATGTTATGTATCCTCATGACGGTCGAGATAGGAGTTAAAAAAATCAAAAGTGACATAATCACATGATTATAACTTTATAAGCATTGTCAAGATAGCACCTACTGTTTGATTGCTTATATTTTTTTTATATGCAATAAAATGAAACTGCTTAAAGAGTAGAAGATTGGAGGCAATAAATTCATATGTATTTAAACGGAAACACAAAAATTGGGTCAGAAGCATATGCCCTTGTTTGTCTCATGTTAGGTCGGTCCGCCACACTGGATCACAAAATCAGACCGGCTAAACCGGGATATATCATCAATGCAAGTAAAATGATTAAAGACTAGATTAGAGGACTAATTCAGTAATTACAAACAAATGATTATATGGATAATTCAGTAATCATATTATTATTAAATTAGAAAGAAATAATAAAACATAACAATAGTCTCTGTCTTTGTCGTGGCTCGAGGCTATCGTCTCTCCTCTGCGCGTGGAAGAAATAGCAATTATGCTTTGTTTTTATTTGTGATGATTGATTTATTATCGGTTAGTGACGCTCACGATCTCATTCTCATTCTCCATTCTTTCTCTTTCCTCCTATAACTCGGATCACCACATGACTTGATCTCCTTGCCGTTACCAAAACCAAAATCCCTAAATTTGCCCTCATTTCCCGACCAAGACATTTTTCTTCTTCTTTTTTCTTGAGGGCGAGCGAGGCTGATTGATGTCTTTGGTATCTGGAGCCAGGGACATGGGGTTCGACGACAACAACAACAACAAGGACGGAGATGATGATAACTCCTCCTCCAGAACCAGAACCGACGACGACGCTCTCGCTAGACAGATGAGCGAATCTTCTCTTTGTGCTACCGAGGAAGAAGAAGACGACGATTCCAAATTGCAATTGGGTCCTCAGTACACTATCAAAGAACATCTCGAGAAGGACAAGGTTTCATTTTTATGTTCCCATCCTTTTTTTATTTAAATGACATTGTCAGATTTTGAAGAATTTGTTGCCTTTTTTTTAAGGATGATGAGAGTCTGAGGAAATGGAAGGAACAGCTTCTGGGAAGTGTTGATGTCACCAACATTGGAGGTGTGTTTGTGTGTGTACCTCTCTTCATTTCAATGATTATTTCTGTTTTGAGAATAAATGGGATCTTTTTAATATTGGGAAATGATTTTGAGACCCTTTGGTTAGATCATACTAGTTGTTTTCTCTGTGATTCATGTGGGAATAGTTGGATCTCTGGTTGGTCTCTGTTTACCTTCAAATGAATACAATCTTCTTGCACATGATTCCGGAAACTGGTCTGCATTTTAATTTTCATCATCTATGTTTATGTCTCTGCTCGATTCTGGATTTTTTTTCTGAGCGATTATACATATACATCAAGTTAAGATTGGTTTGCATTTTTAGAATTTGTCTCTTATATCTCTCTTGATACGCAGAGACTCTTGATCCGGAAGTGAGGATTCTTAGCCTCGCCATCTTATCTCCTGGAAGACCCGATATTGTTCTGTTGGTTCCGGAGAATGGAAACCCAAAGGGCATGTGGTTTACTTTGAAAGAAGGGAGCAAGTACAACTTGAAATTCACCTTTCAAGTTAACAACAACATTGTCTCTGGTCTTAGGTACACCAATACAGTTTGGAAGACCGGTGTTAAAGGTAATGCAACACCACAAGTTTGTTTTTAATTATGGTTTTGAGACAATGTGATCCAATTCCTTTCTTATATGGCTACAGTGGACAGAGCAAAGGAAATGCTTGGGACCTTTAGTCCTCAATTGGAGCCATACAACCACGTGATGCCAGAAGAGACCACTCCTTCTGGCATGTTTGCTCGAGGATCATATTCTGCAAGAACTAAGGTCGGTTGTTCGTTTAAGACCTTCACAGTGTGATATTCTATTCTTTGGTGTTGATTTTAAAGTTACTCGACAATCTTGTTTCAGTTTCTTGATGATGATAATAAGTGCTACTTGGAGATCAACTACAGCTTTGACATCCGTAAAGAATGGCCTGCGGTTTGAAACTCGAGAATGCGAGTTTGTCTCCTGAGATGTGTTGTCGGTAGAAGAAAGTTGTGTTTGTTTCACTCCCTATCTCCGTTTTTTTCGTTGAACATATAATTGTGAATCGTTTTTCTGATCATCGTAGAACAAGAACGACATTTACTTCCTTCATCTTTGATCTTGATTTTTTTGTCCAGTAATGTCGTTGGAAAAATCAGTATGTCTGTTTTTGTTCTCAACTCTGTTTCTCCTTCCACTTAACATGTGTTTGATGATATGATTGTGTCAGATCCTGACATGTATAATGATTCTCAATCCAGATGAAAGTTTTTTAAAAAAGAAGGTTTTGCTTCACAGAAAATGCAGAGCCTTTCTTTATTCATAGATTTAATATGCCTTCAAAGAGAAGTGAACTTATTTTTGACGCTTCACACCATCAAATTTTTTAACCGCCTCGTGTAAACATGATCACCAATGGAGACTGAATAAAGTGAAAAGCAATCCTTGATACAACGTCGTGTATGCATTTGTTTGATTTTTTTTTTTGTTATGATTATTTAAATTTTGATTGTAGAATTCATGGAGACTTCAAACTTGAATTGTTTTTTAAAAAGTAGTACTGAGAAGAACAGTTGACAATTCATACTACAAACCAAACAAGGATCTATAAAAACATGAAGATCACAATTGATATATCAAGAGGGGTAAAAAATGCAAAAGGCAAGTAACACCTCTTGGAATGTGAAGGAACTTGACATTTACCATCACAGAAATGGATCTTGGTTATGTTTTGCTCTCAAAATAAAATTAAAAATCCTATTTATATATACTTGGAAAAAAAGAAAGAAAAAACCATCAAGAGGGGTAAAATAAACCATTCTTGGACTCCCTCGTTTACACTTTTTGGCTCATCTTCTCCCCAACAGTTCTTTTTGTTTATGTGCTCTTACCACTTTCTTTCAGAGAGTTGAGTCTCCGAAGTCTCTGGTCAAGTTCTGCCATCACTGCTGGTTCCTGCTTCTTCCTCTGCTTTGATATGGTGTTGGTAGTCATCGATCCGATTTTCTCAAAGGCCACCTGAAAAATGTGTTGATTGATATTAAAGATTATGAATCTTGAATATATAAACTCGGTTTTCGGACTAAGGCAGGCATGGCTTACCGTTAATAATTCATCCGGGTCAAAAAGCTGGTGTGAAGTTTTCTGTAATATGTTGATTACATCGCCGACCTGGTGGGTCATAAGCAGCTCGTTCTCTTTCATCTGCGAATGACGAGAGATCCCTGAGATGAGACTCATCCGAGAAGAATTATTATGGAAAAGGTTGATCAGAGGAAGAGAAGTAAGAACCTTGAATATTGCTAAAGCTGCATGAAATAGAACCTTTGCTCCTTCATAGAAAAGTACATCCCACACCCTTAGAGTTGTCTGCAAACCAAACCAAAGTTCTCAGTATACATAAGAAAAGTAATCTCAAAAGACACAAAATTCGACAAAAGGGTTTGTTTTTCAAGAACCTCTGAAGGAAGGCTTTTAGAGAAGAGGCATAGAAACCATTCAGTGGCTACAAGGGAAACATCAAAGCCCATATCTTCAAGATGAGTAGCTATTCTGCAAAAACAACAAAATAAAACAAAAAAGTGATAAGATGGTGAAGCTCAGCGACAAGGACCAAGAAAGAAAGAAAGAGTTACCGAGGACATTTTTGGGCAAGCAAATCTTTGAAAACCCGCTGCTCAACATGGCATCCAGACAAGTTGGTTGTGTAACAGTCACGGACTAATACGTTTTCCAAAAGGACTGCTAGCATCCAGAATGCGTCTTCTTCTGTCTTCATGACAAGTAATAGTAATGCTGCAACGTAGTTTAGTCCCTGTAACAAAAACGGCATTGATTAAGATTAAGAAAAACTCATTTGAAAAGAGAAGATGGAGATGGAAAAAGGATAAGTATGTACCTGACAATAGCCAACATCTGAATCGCGAAAGGAATACCCAACAAGCACACGTCGTAGAGCAGCATGACCCTCTGGAGTGTCCAACCATGGATGGCCTGGGAAAGTGCGTGGCAGATCCTGCAAGAGTAGACACACAATGTCAAGAGGAAGTTGCAGTATAAGATAATGGAATCAACATTTCATAGCATACAGTCTCGAATGACCATCAATCAAAGCATAAGAAAGGTTCTGCTATAAGCTGCCTGAACATAAGAATCAAGAACGGATCTAGAACAATCCTAAAACAAAGGATCAGTGGAAATAATTGGAAATGTAACCACACTTGTTGGTTTCCTAAAGCCCACATCAATCCTTAAATCACACAAAATACTTTCTCAGAGGCACAATTTCAAGATCCAGGGGATGAAATCAAGTATTCTCAGAGGAACATAACATTATGAAGTAGCCTCCTATGACCATCATACAACAGTAGAAGAATATAAAGGGTTTTCAAAAGTAGGCTCTTAGTTGCCAACAGAGCACAAGAATCAACAACAGATCTACACCAATCCTAACACAAAGTATTCAATCCTAAAATTTCCTGAAAAATACTAAGTTATGTGAAGAAGAACAAACCCAATCAAACCTTAAAATCGACGAATCAAAAAGAGAAAAATCGAGACTTTTGGATAATAATCAAACTCACATGATCAATCTGCCTCGTAGCCGGCGTGACCTTCCCATCGACGGCTTTGGTCAAATCACTGTAATAACTATCCGGGACGGTGGACTTCTTCTTAGCAGCACCAGAAAGAGAAAACCAAACCTTAGGCCTAAGCACGGGTGGGATCCCTTTCCTAATCAATCTCTTCAACGTAATCGCATTCGTCAAAGTGGAGATCTTGAGAGATGTTTTCAAAGCGATTCCGTCACCGATCAAGAGAATCTCCGGTTGAAGATACCAATTAGCTCCTTTGCTAGCTTCAAGAGCCCACCAAACTCGTCCTTGGTTCCTGACTTTCTCTCTAACTTCGTTCAACACATTGACATCGTCGACATTTCCTTCCACCGTGAAACCGTACAAGTCCTGGAATTTGACGACGATGTTGGCTCGTCTGGCGTGGATGCTTGGACGGAGAATCGGAATCTGAGATTGTAGCTCCATCGTCAAATCACGTCTGCTTTGGATCCCAAACATCCTCCGAATTTCAAAGACCTTGTCTGAATCTCTGTAATTGTTGTTGTCTTGTCGGATTCTTCGTCAAGTTCAGACCAAGCACGAACACGGACACCGTCAAAAAAAGTTCTCGGCTGCTACAAGAGATTAAAAAAAATGAAGTAGTAGTTGTTGATATCTTGAATTTAAATAAATAAAGAGTAAATCTTATCAAAAATTTCTGATACCTTTCAATATTTTAATTGTGGTCACGTTCTGCAAACGTTATCACCTTTGAACACCTCTAATCTTCTCCTCTACGCAGTCAAAAAAATTTACAGCTTTTGTTTGATAAAAAGATAGAAAATTTCCAGAAACAAAAATAAGCTAAGAACAGATGATTTCTTTTTTATTATTTCTCTCTCTCTCTCGTCTCGTGAACAAATGGCACTAAAAATGGAAAAAGAGGAATAAAAACAACTTTAAATAAATAGAATAAGAAAAGAAAAGGGAAATAATTTTAACTGAAAGAAATGAAAAATCCAGAGGAGCGTTGAATTGAATCCCCGCGTCTCTCGGTTGTCGAAGAAGAGATATTATGAAAGTTGGAATTTGGAGGAGAGAGATTTGTTTAGGAAAAGGAGATTTTATCGCGAACTTTAGATAGAGCTGGGGTTGAATTGAGAACTTTTAAATTTTGTGGGGTTATTTTTTTAATTTAATGAAAGATTATGAATTTAAAACGTTAGATACTGGATTAGTGTAAGAGGGTAATGACGCAGGATTAACTTTTTGAATCATTGTTATGGACAAGAACTTTTCGGTAAATGACTATTATATCCCCTATACTTTGTCTGTATTGGGCCTATTGGCTGATTGGCTCTGTCCTTTTCTGAGGGCAAATGTGTCATTTGCATAAACGATATCTTCTTGATGTGTTCTATCATCATTTAAATTGCAAGAGAGAGAGATGATGTAAAATATACACCAATTAACACTAGATTTTAAAAAATTTAAATTTCTAATTCACAATCCATCGGTAATAAAACGTGGTGAAGTGACATATAGCATATGTATTAAATATAGATGATGTTCATATGATAAAGACAGGTACATTTTTCTACGATAAATTGTGTAATATAGATTACTAAATCATATTATTCTATGGTTTGAGAACAATATGGTATCCCATAATTGATTTTATTTATCAGATTTGCTTCACAGATACGTGAGTCCACGACTCCACTAACCTTCATAAACTTTGAGTCTCTAACTCTAACCTTTGTTTATCCCTCCCAAATCGTTCTAACTATACAATATGTCAATATGCATATATATTTTTGTTACTCGAACCATATGCAAAGTCTCATTAATTTATATACAATTACTATATTACGTACCAAACACTATTGGATACATCTACTTCTTCTAGATATGATCTTGTTCGTTAGTTTATGAGAAATTAAGAAGAAAAAAAATGCATCCTCACCAACGGGACGAATCTAGCTCTCTTTACTACGCAATGAATTAAATTACAGACATTGGTGGGATGCAGTGGCGGACCTGAGGAATTTTTTTTACCTGGGTCAATTTTTTAAGAAAATTTGCTATGTTTTTTTTTAAAAAATATCTTAGTATTTTGTTTTCGTTTTTAACACTAATATCTTAATTGAACACAATTTATTTACATTTTTAAATTGCTTTTAAAACATTATTTTCTTATTAGAAAAAATTAATGGACATTAAGGAGAAGAAATCAAAAGTAAATGAATGAAAATAAAATGAATATATTGGCAGACTAAAATAATGGGATATTGGGATGTAGCTTAATAAAAAAAGATAGAAAAATAAGTATTGGCAGAGTAAAATGATGGTACTGAACGTTATTAGGGGGGTCAATATTTCAATTACCAACCAATTTAACCACGAAGGCATATGAGTTAACAAGTGAAATGTTTAACAAAAATATTTAAGGTGTGTCACATGAACCCCCTTTCTTATACATAGGTCCGCCATTGGTGGGATGAATTAGTGTCGCCGGTAAGATGCAAGACAACCTCACCACAACTAAAAATCAATAATGCCACTATATTAATTAGAGGATAATATTCATACCGATATCTCTTAAATTAACTATGTTTCTACTACTGGATCATAATCAGCTCAATATTGGGCCTGTGACATTTCATATATCTTGGCCCATCTTGTTTGTTTCCTCTAGAGCAAAACCATAAACCAATTACCAAACCACTTAATTAAGAACCAATTTTCCACACCTACCTAAAATCATTTTTAGACTACAAATTCTCTCATAATTAACACCACTACGATATTTTTAAACTAGCAAATAGTTACTTAACATACGGTACATCAAACCACACAGCCCTGATCATACCTACGAACAATCATATGCTAAACTCTATTGCTACATAAAACTTAAATATCGTATATGATACAAACTTCAATAGTTCACAAAAAACATTTTTAATTTATATATAAAATAATTCACTACTACTTATTAGGTCGTCTCTTCTGATTAACTATATTAATATACTAACTTGTCTCTTTCTAAATAATATTGGTCTATAATTTAGTCAGTTTGATATATTTAAAAGGGAAAGTTGTTGCGTGTGTGTTGTTGCCTTGTTGGGTGCATTTTTGAAATGGACCCATAAAAAAACCAAAAGAACAGATACTCTCCAACTAATTTTCGATTATTGAATAATACCACCAAATTTTTATATAACATGAGAATCTTCATGGAAACAAAACTACACAACACAGTCTCCGTTTTGTAAAAAAATTGATCCTTCTGTGTTCCCGCCGTAACTAATTTTCTCAAAAATCTCTCATTTCGTCTGTTTAAAAGTTGTGATGGGAACATGGAAGACCAAAAACGGTAATACGAAGAAGAAAATTAGCTACATTTCAGTCCCAGCTCAGATCATAAACTCAGTTTCATCATCATCTTTACAAAGTTTTCTCGATAACAAATCTTCAAAGAAGATTTCAAGCAAATTCTTCATCAATCTCAGAAACCCAAAGCTCTGGGCTTTCTCTCTCTTCTTACTTTCTATTCTGGGGATATCATTAAGACTCGGTCTTTGTCTTTCTCATTTCGGTTCCGGCGTTTACGAAAGTCAACTTCAGAGCTCAGATTCTAATGGGTCACCCAAATCCCATCTGGGTTTTGCGTATATCCGATCAAACACTACTCAAGTTGAGATTTCGAACGCCAAGGATCGATCTTTAGATACGGGTGTGGAGAAAAATGAAACCTTTGGTGGTGACCAATCACATTTGATCACCTCTAATGGAAATGTACATGATGATAAGAATTATGAGTTCTGGAAACAGCCTGATGGATTAGGTTACAAGCCATGCTTAGATTTCAGCATTGAATACAGAAGAGAGAGTAAGAAGATTGTTGCAGAGAGGAGAAAGTATCTGATGGTTGTTGTCTCTGGTGGGTTGAATCAGCAGAAGATTCAGATTGTTGATGCAGTTGTGATTGCGAGGATTCTAGGTGCTGTTCTTGTTGTCCCAATATTGCAAATCAATCTCATTTGGGGTGACGAGAGGTACTTTTGATTTTTAGAGCAAAATTTAAGAGAGTAATGGATCATCAGAAATGTTCATTTTTGTGTTCAATATGTTTTTATTTGCAGTGAGTTTTCAGATATTTTTGATTTAGAGCAATTCAAGAGTGTTTTAGCAAATGATGTGAAGATTGTTTCGTTGCTTCCCGCAAGTAAACTAATGACTAGACCATCAGAAGATGGTAGCATGCCCTTTAATGCTTCCCCTCAATGGATCCGTTCGCACTATCTAAAGCGTGTAAGATCAATCATACAACATCTCTTGGATCAATTAGTGATGAACAACATATGAGAAAGAGTTCTATGGTCTTTGTTGTATCCTGCAGTTCAATAGGGAAGGAGTTCTGCTTTTAAGGAGATTTGATTCAAGATTGTCTAAAGACTTGCCCTCTGATCTCCAGAAGCTTCGTTGTAAGGTCTGTTTCTAACTTGGAAGTTAAAATTGTTCGTTTTTGGTATTCTCGTTTGACAAAAAATGTGTTGCAGGTAGCATTTGAAGCACTAAAATTTTCGCCACGGGTTTTGGAAATGGGGACGAAGCTTGCAGAGAGGATGAGGAGCAAAGGGCCTTACATTGCGTTGCATCTTCGGATGGAGAAAGATGTGTGGGTGAGAACAGGCTGCCTTTCTGGTTTGAGCTCAAAGTATGATGAGATTGTTAATATTGAAAGGATTAAGCGGCCTGAGCTCTTAACAGCCAAATCTAGTATGACATCTAACGAGAGGAAACTCGCGGGTCTCTGTCCATTAAATGCCAAGGAAGTAACAAGGTAAATGAGTGAGCTACCGATTTTCTTACAAGGTTTTGTGTGTTGAGAGAGAGATTGGTTCTCAATTCAACTTTTTGATTTCAGACTGCTTAGAGCTCTTGGAGCACCAAGAGATGCGAGGATCTATTGGGCGGGAGGGGAACCGCTTGGCGGAAAGGAAGCTTTGAAACCGTTAACAAGTGAATTCCCACATCTCTACAACAAATATGATATTGCGTTGCCTCTTGAACTCAAACCTTTCGCAAAACGAGCTTCGATAATGGCAGCAATCGACTATATAGTGTGTAAGGAGAGTGATGTGTTTATGGCATCTCATGGAGGGAACATGGGCCACGCTATTCAGGTACACATTCTTAAGTCTCGGTTGTTCCAAAAGTCAATTTCTGGTGTGCACTTGCACAATCTTAAGGTTACTAAGGTGTTAAATTAATCTTTCAGGGACACAGGGCTTATGAAGGACACAAGAAGATTATAACACCAAACAAAAGGCATATGCTCCCATACTTTGTGAACTCATCAATGACTAAAACAGAGTTTGAGAAGATGATAAAGAAATTACACAGACAATCTCTAGGACAGCCAGAACTAAGGATTAGCAAAGCTGGAAGAGATGTTACAAAGTATCCTGTTCCTGAGTGTATGTGCAATCAATCCAACACCACTATATAGAGCTTATTTTTTCTTGCACATATGGTTTTAAGACAAAGCTTAACTTTAATGAAAGTATAATATGCTCCACTTTCTATGCTTTATATCTTGAAACTAAAACTCCTTGTAACATGATCTATTCATTGACAAGATTATCTTAGGCAAAAAGAATCCAAACATAAGAGATGAAAATTCACACAGAGAGGGGCAGAAACATATAAAAACGATTCATCCAATACTTATTTCAACAAAAAGCTCAATATCTTTCAAAAAGAGAATCCAATCTTTCACCAAGAGACTATGAGAGATACAAACTAAAAGCTTCTAGAGGTAAACCAATGTAAGGGAATCAGTAGCCTTTGCCACAATGTATCAAACTGCCAGCACCTAGAAAAAGCCCGAAAACTGCTGCGCTGCCGAGGGTAGTTTGCCCAATGTATCTAACCTTCATAAGCCCAGGAACCTGCAGAAAACAAAAGGAACAAATGATCATCAACCAGTACTACGATATGAATCTCACACAGTTTATCTTGACATAAGTATTAATTGAGACAAGAAGAGGATTTCTACTCTTATTAAGTGCTAAAACATCAAACTGATCATCCACTCCAACTCACAAATAACAAGACAACAAGAGCAATGATAACTTCAGCGTTTAACAGTAACAATTGCTTAAAATTGCCCAAAACAATGAAATAGATGCATGAGTCAAATTAGTATGCTCAAAGTGAAGGCAAACAAACATAAGACTGGAGCTGTGCAAGTGTGTTTTCAATTGCACAAGCCATATCCAAGAGTGCGTATGTATATTTTCAACAAGAAAGATTTTCATTTTTACAAAAAAAAAACCCAATTTTACAAGATGACTCAGAAATAAGCTTACCTTGAATCTAATCGCCTCGTAAGTTCCATAGACAGCACCTGAACACAACATAACAAGTCTTAATATCATCTCCAGAACCAAAATCCGTGTGGAAATTCCAAAAGTCAGATACATTTAAAGGCGATTAGATTGTAATTTAGGGTTTTCAGAATGTGAAGGAAATCGAAAGTGAGAGAAAGCGTACCTACTGCGCCGCCAAGTGCGCCGCCAACGGCAACTCCGGCAGTGATTCTGGCCAAACAGCTATCTCTCGCCATCTTCTTAACAGATTCGTTTTTTTGAGTATTGAGACAATTCGTTTCTTGTGTCGGAGAATGGTTTTTACGGTTGCCCTCGCCGCTTTTAAGGTTTTTAACTTCGAAGTTTTTGCTTGCACAATGGATTGGTTTTGCCTTTCGCAACAAGGACAAGCCACAACACCGACCTGTTCCTTAACCGGCCTAACCGATTCGAACCAAATTTCTGGAAGACGTTTTTGGTTTACTTACAGCTAACCCAATTTACTAATTACCCACCCGACTCCAGCGGATCTTAACCCAACCAAGCCGGCATTTTTTAAAATAACATTTTTTGATAAAAATAACAAAAAAATTAGCAAACTAATAACATTATATGAAAATTTCATTTGGAAACCAACAATTTTTAAAAAATTTGACACAGTAATATTTTAATGTGTTAGTTACTTTTATTTAGATTTTGGTTTATGGTTACAAATTTACATTATAAATAATAAAGAGAAATTGTTAAAAATGTCCCTTTTTCAATACCCCTTTTCAAAAATGCCCCATTTGAGAGTCCATTTTTAAGTTTGCCCTCTTTTAATTTTTAATGACCATTTTACCCTTATTTGAAACAAAATTAGGTCTTCAAAATACAAAATATTTTTTGGCGGAAAAAGTGATCCCGCAATTTTCCCGCCAAAACACTTGTAAAAACCTTTAAAATACCTTGTAAAATTTTCCCGTAAAAATTTTTCCCGCCAAAAATTTTTTTTTGCGGGAAAAGTGATTCCGCAATTTTTTTGGCGAAATTTTTTTGGCGGGAAAAATTTACAAGGTATTTTAAAGGTTTTACAGAGTATTTACAAGTGTTTTGTAAGGTTTTACAATGTATTTTAAAAGGTTTTACAAGGTACTTATAAGGTTTTATAAGGTATTTATAACTTGTAAAACCTTATAAAAAACTTGTAAAACCTTATAACTTGTAAAACCTTATAAAATAGCTTGTAAAATCTTATAATATCTTATAAATACCTTATAAATACGTTGTAAAACCTTTTAAAATATATTGTAAAACCTTATAAATATCCTGTAAAAAACCTTTAAAATACCTTGTAAATTTTTCCCGCCAAAAATTTAACGCCAAAAAAATTGCGGAATCACTTTTCCCGCAAAAAAATTTTTTTGGCGGGAAAATTTTTGGCGGGAAACATTTTTACGGGAAAATTTTACAAGGTATTTTAAAGGTTTTACAAGTTTTTACAAGTGTTTTGGCGGGAAAAATTGCGGGATCACTTTTCCCGCCAAAAAATATTTTGTATTTTGTGGACCTAATTTTGTTATATTTCCTTATATATTTGTGATATCTTTTATTAAAAGAAGGGTAATTTAGTCATTTTGTACATAAAAAGGGGTATTTTTAAAAATGGACAGCTAAAGGGGGCATTTTTGAAAAGGGGTATTGAAAAAGGGACATTTTTGTGAGTCTCCCAATAATAAAAGGGTCATATTCTTTTAAGAATGTTATTTGTCAAATTAAATTAATGCTATTTGGTGTAAAGAACATTTAGAAAATGGCTAGTTATTGGAAAAAAAAACACACTTATTCAAAGGGAAGCTAATTGCTCAAAAATAAATGTGTCGGCAAAATCCATCAAGACATTCCAAGTCAAAGCATTAGCAAGTTACAGAATAAGAAGGAGAAGAAGAAAAGCATGACCTCACAACTTTTTATTTATAAATAATTAGACATCTCTCTCGGCCTCAAAACAAAAAGACTAGTCTCTACTCACTTGAGCAGTCCTCCTCCTGGGACCAAAATTGAGTTTGATTGGCGGCACAGGTCGTCCTGATCCACACTGTCAAAACAAAGCCCATCCGTTCATATTTGCAGAATAGCAAAACAAAATTGGATACTTCTTAAATAGTATTCAGACAGTAACCACTCATTCACTTGCTCAATCAAAGGAGCTTTTATCATGCAATGTAGGCAAAGATATCAGCATCACATCAAGATGATGCAATAAAGTACGCCTCCAAATGAGTTTTGTATCTCACTCTAACTACGTAATATCAGACACTAATGTTGGCAAAATCCTGACTAGGTAAAAGAAACAGCAATCATCAAAGATATGTTTTCATGGTATCAAGTGCAACACAAGAGAGAGTGTAGGCCTCCGCATGGTTTAAATATCCATTTCACTTGCTAAAATCAAACAATGTAGGTAACTGGTTCAATTATCAGTGGCCCATCTAACAAAATTGTGAATAAAAATTTCATAAGAAAGTTTTTGGCTTGTCAAGTATCACGAGAAGAGAATTTTCTGAAGCAGTTTTCTTGTTCAATCACGCAGAAAGCAAAAAGAAAAAAATGTGTCCAAGGCAAGAGAAGCTAATTGGGTAGAGTTTTACCATTTCACATCTCACAAAGAAGAGACGATTCTCCTTTGAAAGAATTGTGTCTGTGCTCTTGCAACCAATGCACATGACGTAGTCAACTGAAATTAACCGCTATGAGAAATCACTTTTAAATCAACAGAAGGATGTTACTCCAAATTGATATTCTTACTTCAATCCAAATTTTGAGAAGAAAATGTTACTTACGGATATATCGTCGTAATAACGATTCAAAGTGCTTCTGTGTAAATCTCCCCCTAACAACCAACCTTTGCTGCTCATCAAGTGTACCCCTAGTACCCACCTCAGCAAGCAAGAAAGCCATAACATGATCTACGTTTCGATGCATCCTGAAAAAGTTTTAGTTCCAAATACAAACATCAAAACTCACTACGTTCTAGTAATAATGGTTCCAAAAGTAAAAAAGTTTGAAGGGGGAGAGATATGAGAATTTGTTCATACGTCTTGCAATAGTCCATAAAGTTGACAAAGACTGTCTTCTTTGTCCCTTTCTCTGTCCTTTCAAGAACTTGTGGTGGCCATATAATTGTAAGAAGCCAAAATCCAACAAGCTCCGGATTATTTTCACGCAGAATATTAAAGACCCTACGAAGAATCTGTACATATAACTCCAATCAGAAAAAGAAAAAAAACAAGCAGGAAGAAGTATGCAATATCTATATAAGTCACACATTCTAGTAACCAAAGACTACCAGGGTGCAAGGTGATGTAAAAGGGCAACAAAAAGCAATCAAACCACACGAAAAAGGAAACAAAATCTATTGTCCTAAGTCCTAACAAATATCTTTAGGGAATTAAGGATTCCTTATTGACAAAAAAATTGTCAAAAACCAAACTTACTTCTTGGTCATCCTTCACTTCTTCCTTGACCTCATTACTTTCATCAGCCATGATTACTGCCAAGAAAAACATTCAGAAACCAGATCAAATATTATAATCAAGAACAGGATGTGTATGAACATCAACAACAAAGATTGGGCTCTGTTACCTAAAACATGGTAAGTAGTAAATTCTATTCCGACTCTAAACAGTACAATTATATACCTACTACGGTGAAAGTTTTTAAAAATTATTTACTCAAATCTTCAAAAAGGATTTACCTTTGGTAACGAAACCGCAATGCAAGATTGGTCTTAGCGAGGAAACTCAAGCGAGAGAGAGAGGTTGTGAAGCTTTTTGTTTTTGTTGATTGCGTTTTCCAACCCTAATTTTTTTCTTTCTCAAAAGCTTTTTATAAAAAATCCCTAATTTTTATATATATGCCACAACTTAATTCGTAAAACGAAAACGTAATTGAGAAAAAAAAATAATCTAAATTTAGACACAGACGGCAAAAAAGGGATTGATTTACAGACAAAAGTATCGGCGATGAAGAGAGATTAGATGCTCTGTTTCGGTTCCTTAAGAGATTGAGGAGATTCTATATGTGTACATTGAGATGGTTCCTCCAATAATTTATAAGTATCAGCGAAGGAGAGATCGGAGACTTGGAAGGGTCGATGGTAGTTCAGTGATGATGACTCGTCGGAGACCCGACTCCGATTTTATCGAGGTAAGTGATGAGAATCGCTCGTTGGGTTTATTTAAGGAGGATGATGAAAAAAATCGAGATTTGGGTTGCATTGATGAGACTGAAACTAGACATGGTTCCACTGGTTTGCTTCTTCAATGTCATGATGGTAGTTGTTGCCTCGACAAGGATAAGAGCAATAGCTTGGATGATTTGTTCTCTGGGTTCGTTTATAAAGGTGTGAGGAGGAGGAAAAGGGATGACTTTGGAAGTAAAACAACAAGTAATCTTGTTTCTCATCAAATTGCTGATGATGATGATAGTGTTTCTGAATCACATATTGAAAGGCAAGAATGCAGTGAATATCATGTTGAAGTAAGAAGAGTTTCTCCATACTTTCAGGGATCTAGTGTTTCACAACAGTCCAAAGAAGAGTGTGATTCTGATAGTGTTTGTTCTCAAAGTGGAAGAAATTGTAGGAAAGGATGCAGCAAAGTTCAAGCTAAAGTCCCAAGAGTTTCTCCATACTTCCAGTCATCAACTATTTCACAATGTGATTCTGACATTGTTTCTTCTTCTCAAAGTGGAAGAAATTATAGGAAAGGAAGTAGCAAACGTCAAGCTAAAGTCCGAAGAGTTTCGCCATATTTCCAGGAATCAACTGTTTCAGAACAGCCAAGCCAGGCTCCTCCTAGAGATTTGCGTCAGTATTTTAAGGTCGTGAAAGTTTCAAGATATTTCCATGCGGATGGAATTCAAGTCAATGAATCACAAAAGGAGAAATCAACAAGGGTGAGGAAAACTCCTGTTGTGAGCCCTTCACTTTCGCTTTCTCAGAAGACCGATGAGGCATACTTGCGGAAAACGCATGATAACACATGGGTGCCTCCACGATCTCCATGTAATCTGCTTCAAGAAGATCATTGGCATGATCCTTGGCGGGTGCTGGTCATATGTATGCTTCTCAACAAAACATCTGGTGCACAGGTTTTTCCTCATTCCTCTCCTTTTTTCCATATCTTTCCAAATTAGTTTAAGTGGGTGTGTTTAGTGTTGCCATTGCTTGTTGCATATTTTCTCAATCAGTGACAGGAATTAATACACGTAAATCATTCTTGAGGGAAGTCCAAAATTTGTAGGAAGTAAAGTTAGATCTATGTGGTAGGAAGTAAAGTTAGGCCTCTGTGGGATTGAATCTTTCAGCTTAACTGCTGCAGAAGAAGTAGATGCAGTCTTTGGTTTGACGAGTAATTGGTGAACTGTATTGCCTGGTCTTGTTGAATTTGGTAGAAGAAAGGGCTTTGTGGTTGGTCGGTGAATTTATTTTTGAAATGTGATTGCAGACGCGGGGAGTGATAGCAGATTTGTTTACATTGTGTCCTGATGCAAAGACTGCAACAGAAGTTGAAGGAAAAGAGATAGAGAGTCTAATAAAACCTCTTGGACTACAAAAGAAGAGAGCCAAAATGATTCAACGGTTTTCTCTCGAGTATCTTCAAGAGAGCTGGACTCATGTCACTCAACTGCATGGCATTGGAAAGTATGCAGCGGATGCGTATGCGATATTCTGTAACGGGAAATGGGATCGCGTGAAGCCTAATGATCATATGCTAAACTATTATTGGGAATTCCTCAGGATTCGATATAAGTTATGAGTGGGAAGGTAAAAAGTATATATTTGTCCTAATTTGCTCTGTTTTTTGTTTGTTGTCAATGTCACCAATGTCTAAAAGTTGTAAATGAAAATCTTGTCTTATACTAGTTTGTTTTATCATATATTAGAATGTGTTTTGGTATCATCTATGGGTTTTTATGTGTATAATATTGTCTAACACAGTAACACCTAAGATGGGGCATGATTGTTGAGGGCATATGGCATGCGACTTTCTCAGGTTCTTTTTAGATTAAAAATTAAGTTAGTTCTTTGTTAGATTGGGCACCAACAATATAATAATTCAAAGAATGACAATGATGAGGCAACTACTACCATGAGCCAAATCCAAAGCTATGAACTCATTAAAATAAGTTCAATATTGAATGGTATCTTAATGCATTTTATTGATTTATTTGTGTACATGCAATCACAACTTTAGTTTGTGTTTCTTTTTCTTGTTCTGTCATTAAACCTGTGTTTCTAAATTAAGAGATTTTTATAAGGTTGTTTTTGTAAAAAAGGATGTAATTAAATGTTGTGATAATTGTTTTAATGACGTGTCAATTACGATATTTGCACAAAATTGAAAATAATCACAAAATCGAAAATCCTCCTTTTTTGTTTCTCTCTCTGGCCGACAAATAAAAAAAAAACAAAAACACAACTAATCATAGGCTTCCCATCTCTTTGTCTGCAGGATGATGCAATTTTTCAGACAATTTTCTTCCAAAATCCTTTCGTAATTCTGTTTTATTTTTCAACGTTTTAGGTTTTACCAATCCGTGGTAGTTATATCCAACATTAATTTTTCTCCCTCTTCTCAGAAAAAAAAAATTCAACTGATCTTTAAAGTTTTTAGGTTCTTCCAAGAAATTGAATTTGGAAGGAGGCTTTGATGGTTTGAATTTTCCATAATCGCCCCTGGTTTACGGTATTTTTCTCAAGGAATCCCTTAAAAACTATTTCTTGGTCTTGGTCTTTATCTCTTTGTGTGGTGCAAATCAAGTTATTGTTTTTTTTTTCTCGTGTTGTTGATTCAGATTCTTGTTGTTTGAAAATGCTATGGCTCTTGAGGGGATGTTGTCTTGATTTTGGGAAAATCTTGTTTGAATGGTCACGGCTTTTCTGAACATTCGTGTGTTCTTTATTGTCTCGGCTCTGGTTCGAAATGTCTCTAGGCCAAGAAAATGTCGATCCTGTTGAAGTTTCTGGTAAATCCAACACAATCCTTTAATTATCCCCCAATTTTTTCAAACCTGTAAAGGTTTCAAATTTGGCTTTTGTTTTATAGGGTCGCATGCTTGCTTATATGAACTTTTATGTTCAGAGACACCCAAATGGACTCCTCTTAAGGATTTGCAAACATCTTCTTCTGGTAATTATTACTTAATGATGGAGATGAACATTCTTAAGATATGTTTTAAGTGTTAGTTGGAGACAATCTCATGTCCTGTTTGTGTTTTTTTTTTCAGATCCCAGAGATCGGTTGGAGAAGTTGCTGAAGCAACCTGGGAATAAATATTGTGCTGACTGTGGCTCTCCTGAACCAAAATGGGTGTAAGTTGATTAATAATTTTGTGTGGTTTTCTTTCGATGGATTGGATTGGTTCATTTCATTTCGTTTCGTTTTAGATCGTTGAGTCTCGGTGTATTTATCTGCATTAAGTGTTCTGGTGTACACAGAAGTCTTGGAGTTCATATATCAAAGGTATTTTCTTTTCATAAACAATCTTGATTTTTCTCTGCTTCTGTGTTTTTAGAGCCTTTTATCGATAAATTTGATTTGACGGATAATCGCAGGTTCTATCAGTAAAGCTAGACGAGTGGACAGATGATCAAGTTGACATGCTTGTAGGTTACGGTGGAAACACGGCAGTGAACCAGAGATTCGAAGCGTGCAACATCGACCAGTCAAAGAAACCAAAACCAGATTCTACTAATGAGGAACGCAATGATTTCATCAGGTGACATTTTTTACTTAACAATTTCTTATAATCAACTTGTCGTTATATGTTTAAATCTTGCAGAAAAAAATATGAGCAGCACCAGTTTATGGATCCAAAGGATGGTGCTTTGTGCCCTTATCAGCAGCCTAGCAGAACAAATACTTCACCACCGTCTTTATGTTCTGCAAGCCACCGTTCTACGAAAAACCGTATTGGTCATGCATTTAGGAATAGCTGGGGAAGAAGAGAATCTGATCACAAAGGACCAAAAAAGAGCAATTCCATGGTAACAACCACTATACATACATACATGTTTGGGTAGTAAACGTTGCTAAGTTTAATTTTGTGGGTGTTTTATAGGCAGGTATGGTTGAGTTCGTGGGGTTGATTAAGGTTAACGTGGTAAAAGGAACCAACCTTGCAGTTCGAGACGTGATGACCAGCGATCCTTATGTTATTCTTGCTCTTGGCCAGCAAGTGAGCTCTCTGCCAAATCTCTCTAGACTAATATGATTTAAAATTAACCTCTCTCATGAATACAAACTCTGTTTTTTTTCAATGTTTGTTTGTTGTAGTCGGTAAAAACACGGGTGATAAAGAACAACTTGAATCCGGTGTGGAATGAGACGCTAATGCTTTCGATACCCGAGCCTATGCCTCCTCTCAAAGTGGTAAGAACAGAGAGCTTTTTAAACTCTAACAAACTCGGATAAACACTACTACTGAACCGAGCTTGATATGTAAAATTTTGCAGCTAGTGTACGACAAGGATACATTCTCGACAGATGATTTCATGGGAGAGGCAGAGATAGACATACAACCATTGGTGAGTGCAGCAAAAGCATACGAGACATCGAGCATAAAGGAACCGATGCAGCTGGGAAGTTGGGTGGCGAGCAAAGAGAACACATTGGTGAGTGATGGCATAATATCACTTGAAGAAGGGAAAGTGAAACAGGACATATCACTTAGGCTTCAAAATGTTGAAAGAGGTGTTCTTGAGATCCAGCTTGAATGTCTTCCTCTCACTCAGTGATGATACTTTCTTCTTCATCCCTCTTTTATTCTTTTTTTCTTTCTTAAAGATTATTTTAAATTATTAGTGAAGAAGAGATGCTGTTACTTTCTTGTTGATCCACCTCAAAACCTATGTAAAAAAAAACACATGATTTGATTGATGATTCTTCAGAACCAATCCTAGTTTCTGACCGGGAGATCAAATACGATGAAAACCAATCAATAGTTGAAACACGATTACATTAATCAAATCGAATTAGAGAAAGATACTATTTTGTTCCTTAAAGAGAAACTTCAACGAGATAACCACGGTTCACCAACTCCCTGTTTATGTACTACAACACTCAGCTCATAATCCCGGCTTGCAGAGTCTTACTCATACCATCCTAACTGTGGCGCACGATTACCTAGGCAGCAACAACATTAACCTACTTCAACCAAATGGTCTCTTTGATATGGAACCTAGAGTCTCTTGACATGGAACTAGATGTATGGATTCACAAAGCTAAACTTCATAACACATTGACTTAGCAAATTTTACGATACTACGATTTGTCACTGATACATTTTTTTCCTTAATATTGCAGAACCTTGATTTGAAGGATGCTCAAGACGAAGAAGAGAGAAAGGCTTGGTGCCAAAGAGTCAAGAGACCACAGAGACAGGCAGTGAATCAAAGGTGTTATTGACACTAACTTTAGGGGGATTTTATGCTTCTCACAAAACTCAATAATTGTTTAGAGATTTGGTCTCATTAATCAAAATTGCTTTTAGTGTCACCACTACACAATGAAGCAGACTTTAATATCTGTGCCTCTCGTCTTCTTTCTTTAGATTCGGTGTAAATTTCCGGATGAATTAAGAAGCATGCACAAAACCAAGAGTTCCAATAATCCAAGCACTAGATTAAAACACAAGAAGATAGCCTGAATGAATTAAGTGGATAATAACTTTCAAATTTCTTAATATCACATATTTTAAACTTTCAAATACATAAATATGTTTTTTTGGGGTCAAAATACATAAGAATTTAAGATAATTACCGTGTTCCTACCAAAATAAAATAAAATAATTACCGTGTTTTTTTTTTTTAACCTGTTTGTTGTTGTTGTTGTTGTTGTTACATTAAATTATAATTTATAAATCAGTATAGATTTCCAATTGCGGAAGAAAGGAGAAAACAATCTCCGGTTTGAGCTACGTCGACGAGATCTATCATCAGGATCTCAGATTTGTTGTTACACTCTTGCTCAAGTCCGGCCACATGAGTTCTCCGGTACGAATATCGTAGCAGATCTACCAAATTGGCCTGAGATCTTTTGCGTTTCCTTTGTTTCGATTTTGGAAACCGTCGTCTCTGATCTTGCGAATCATCTTCTTCTTACATTGTTTCAGGGAACGAGTATGTTCACCAATTTCACTAGGCTCTGCAAAGGACTTGCTCTGGTACTTGTGGTGGGACACCTCGTGGTTCAGTTCATTCCCGCTACCGTTCCATACCTTGCTCTGATTCCGGCGAGGTACTTCGTCTTCTCTCCTTTTTAATCTTCTGTCGACATTAGGGTTTACGATTTTACTACTGGATGGATATTGTTCTGCTCCCACATTTGCTTTGATTTTGTGTGATAGCTCTCTGCGCTTAACTAATTGCTAATTCACGGTTTTGAGGAATTTAGGGTTCTATTTGTTAAATCAGTGAGAAAGTATATTACTCGCTTGGTAAATTACCTGATTGTTCTTCGAATTCTATTGAAACTATTGTGATGCTCCTTGCACATTGTGAATCCAGAGGAGTCATTCTCTACTTTAGGCTTGAACTATTATTATCATGATTTTGTAACAATTCTGAACTCTCTTCATTATAGGACTATTCCTTTTGCCTGGAATCTGATAACAAGTGGCTATTTTGAACTCTCAGTTTATGGGGTATGTTTTTCCTCTAGTTCAACTTGTTCCTATCCAATCCAGGTTTTTCATATATAGTACTTGAATACATGAGTGACTGTTTGCTATGTTGCAGGTTGTCTTCAGCACCGTTTCTCTCCTCTTTATGGGGAAGTTTCTGGAACCTGTCTGGGGTTCCAAGGAGTTCCTTAAGTTCATCTTTGTGGTGAACTTCCTTACTTATCTCTGTGTCTTCGTTACAGCCATTGCCTTATACTACATAACGAGGCTGGAAATTTACCTGTAAGTAACCTACCACCCTATACATTCTAAGTGTCTACTGCTTGTTTATTTTCCTTCTCTTACTTAAATATGAAGGGGGATGTCTTCATTATGAAAATTAAGTCGAGATCCACCAAGTTGTCAATTGTGACTCGTTTGCTTCCCTGCTCGTTTAGTATAATATTTACCACTGAATATGATAAATCCTCTCTACTTTGTTTTATTTCATTATTTTCTACTGTATAATAACGTGTTCTCTGTTTTTACCTGGCTAGATATATGCCCTTTGCTGGTTTTCATGGTGTCTTGGCAGGCCTTCTTGTCGGGATAAAGCAGATAATACCTGACCAGGAGATATTGCTGTTAAAGATAAAAGCAAAGGTAATGTTTTGCTTTCTAGTAAGAAATGTAGAGCTTTGACATTTTCTCACTTTGACTTTTTTTTTAATCGAAGAAGTTCTCACATCCTATTCTTACTTCTGGTTTCTGTGTGCAGTGGTTGCCCTCAATTATGCTAATTTTGTCAATAGCCTCAAGCTTCTTCACACTAGATTCAGCAGCATATCTTCCCACTTTGATATTTGGTACATATATGGGCTGGTTATACCTCAGGTACCTACAGAGGAGACCAGAAACAAAGCTCAGAGGGGATCCAAGTGATGACTTTGCCTTCTCTACTTTCTTTCCTGACTTTCTCAGGTGAAAGAGATTTCTCCCTTTTTTACTGTACTTTCAAGTTTGCCCACAAATCAATTCTTGCCTCATATGTTGTTGGTAATTTTGTTTTTTGCAAATAAAATGCAGGCCCGTAATTGACCCTGTTGCCTTAATCTTTCACCGGATGCTTTGTGGACGATCAAATGCCACCAGTGAAGACCATGGTTATTCAACCAGCGGTGCACCATTGCCAGGTTCTGATTCTGCTGAAGCATCCAGGAGGAGGTAAAATTGTTTTCTTTCCTTTTCCTCTCTTTCCTGTTCGACTTCAATGGTAGTTTAGATGCAACGGTCTTACTAAAGTCCCTGCTCTTTAGGGGTTAGTGCAGATCATGTCTTCAAAAATTAGTATACACCGTTTTTTTTGGCTTGACACTGTTGAAACATAATCTAAGTTCTAGTTGATGCAAACCGAGATAATGAATGATCCTGTTCACTTGATTCTAAGAATAAATAGTACAGGCTCGTAATGAGTGTTTTTTTAATCAAAATGTAAGAGTTAGACTTATGAGTGGTTTGTATCGAACCAAATCCTGAGAAAACTATCTCCGGTTCTAGAAAAGGCAAAAAGTGGTTATAACACTAAAGATGTTATTGCAGAGAAAGAGGGGCAAGAGCTCTAGAGGAGAGACTAGGAACGGAAAGATTGGTTCCTGCAAGGAACAAAGATGAATTGCAGAGTGATGCTTTGGATAGCGTATAAGTGGAGATTGCAATAAGCATTTTGAAGAAGCTGTTGTGGGTTCTTACTTGTGTTCATGTGGACAGATTTTTTTTGTGTTAATGAAATTGGCTTTTCATACAGAATCAGCTTCTCCGTAAATCATATGACAGCTGGGAAAGGTAGTGCATTTCCTTGGACAAACCAATTAGAAACAATTTTCTTGGACGAGAAGATAATATAAAGTAGTTATACATGTTTTCACTTGTCTCAAAACTTGTTATTGAAACAGTCGCAATGGATCACTCTAAGACTTGAAAAACACACAAATGTTTCTTTATTGAATGAAAAACCGATGAACAAAAATGATACTGTCAAATTATCAACAAAGAAGTGTTAATATACAAGAGAGATGGTAGGTCAGGTTGGCCCATAAAAGAAGGGATTCCATTGACTAGAAAAACTAAATAAAAAAACTAAAACCGGATTGTATTTGACTACTGTGGGAAGTTGTCATTATTATTTTTTGGGTTATGAAAATAGAAAAGAGAGAGAGAGAGAAGAAAAAAGGAAATGACGTCAGCATTGACAAGGTAACCACGTCGCATTGTAGCAAGTCCCTCCAGATGTCTGGTTTGGTAGTCGCTTTAGGAATCAAACGCGGAGCTCCAATAACAATGGCCATTACCAAACTCTTCAATTTCTCTATCGAGATTCTTCACACAACAACATTCCTCTATCCTCCCCTTTTTTTCCTCGTTTTCAATTTCCTCGTCTCTTCTCTTCTTTCTGTTGCCTTCTTCTTCGTTTTCTCACGCCATTCCCAAAAAAAGAAAAAAAAAACATCTCCTTTATCTCTCTCTCTTCGTCGTGTCCTTGGCCTATACTACATTGAAATCCGATTAACTCTGAAAGAAACCCAACACAGCAAATGCGGCTTCTCGATCTAAGCTATGGAGCAACGAATGAGAAAAACAAATAGAATCCAACAATAAAATGTGAAAAAGACAGAGATAGAGAAGAAAAAAGGTGAAATTTGGAAGAAAGAAGAAGAGAGAAATGTCGGTAGCACACGCAGATGACGCCGACGATTACAGCAGGCCAACGGGAGAGAGTTACCACGCCGAGAAAGCATTACCAAGCGGTGATTTCTACACAGGACAATGGCGAGACAATCTCCCTCACGGTCATGGCAAATATCTTTGGACCGATGGTTGTATGTATGTCGGAGATTGGCACAGAGGCAAAACCATGGGCAAAGGTCGTTTTAGTTGGCCTAGTGGTGCCACCTACGAAGGCGATTTCAAAAACGGTTACATGGACGGCAAAGGTATAATCAATAATCCCCAAAAAAATGTTTCATCTGAATCATAAAGTTTTGATTTTTATTTTCGTTTGAATCAGGTACTTACATTGATTCCTCTGGAGATTTATATAGAGGATCATGGGTGATGAATCTGAGACATGGGCAAGGGACGAAAAGTTACGTCAACGGAGATTGCTATGACGGAGAATGGAGAAGAGGTTTACAAGATGGACATGGGAGGTATCAATGGAAGAACGAGAATCATTATATTGGACAATGGAAGAATGGGTTGATGAATGGTAACGGGACGATGATATGGAGCAACGGTAACCGTTACGATGGCTCTTGGGAAGACGGAGCTCCTAAAGGCAATGGAACTTTCCGATGGTCGGATGGGAGTTTCTATGTCGGAGTTTGGAGCAAAGATCCTAAAGAACAGAACGGGACTTATTACCCTTCGACTTCTTCAGGGAATTTTGATTGGCAACCACAACAAGTGTTCTATGTTGATTTGAGTGAATGTGTGGTTTGTACTTGTCAGAGAATCCCTGTTTGCCGTCTCAGAAGATGCCGGTTTGGTACGGTTCTTCGGAGCAGAGTAGTAGTGGGAACAGGACGAAGAACAGTGAGAGGCCGAGGAGGAGATCTGTTGATGGAAGAGTAAGTAATGGTGAAATGGAATTGAGGAATAATGGTTCTGGTTATCTTCAGTTAGATGAAAATGCAGAGAGTAATAGATCATCATTAGGGCCTTTGAGAATACAGCCTGCTAAGAAACAAGGACAAACTATCTCTAAAGGTCATAAGAATTATGAACTCATGCTTAACTTGCAGCTCGGAATTAGGTAACCGAAACTTTTTGTGTGTTTTCGATTTGTGTTTTGCTTTGTTTGAATGTTGAGTGTTGTTTTTTTTTGGGAAGACATTCTGTTGGAAGACCAGCACCAGCTACATCTCTTGATTTGAAGGCTTCAGCTTTTGATCCAAAGGAGAAACTTTGGACGAAATTTCCATCTGAAGGATCTAAATACACTCCTCCACACCAGTCTTGTGAGTTTAAATGGAAGGATTATTGTCCTGTGGTTTTCAGGTTAGAATCTCTCTTACTTTTGATTTCTTCTCTTGTAGTATTAAGAAAACCGATGAATATGTTGTGTTTCTTGTGTAGGACTCTGCGTAAACTATTTAGTGTGGACGCAGCAGATTATATGTTATCGATTTGTGGGAATGATGCTCTTAGGGAGCTATCTTCTCCAGGGAAAAGTGGAAGCTTTTTCTACTTGACCAACGATGACCGCTACATGATCAAGACTATGAAGAAGGCAGAAACCAAAGTAAGAGCTGAATTTTATCTGCAGAATTCTGATTATTAAGATTCACTCATCTGTTCTGTTTTTCCCTTGAAGGTTCTTATAAGGATGCTTCCGGCTTACTACAATCATGTCAGGGCATGTGAAAACACTTTAGTTACCAAGTTCTTCGGTCTTCATTGCGTGAAATTGACTGGCACTGCACAGAAAAAGGTCAATACCTTTTTTGTATTCATGCCTCTGCATTGTTGTTATTAGCATTTTCAATTGGGATGCACTGATGAGAGAATACTTGCACCTGCAGGTTCGATTTGTAATAATGGGTAACCTATTCTGTACTGGTCACTCCATCCATAGGCGGTTTGACCTCAAAGGATCCTCTCATGGCCGTCTTACAACTAAACCAGAGTCCGAAATCGATCCAAACACAACGCTTAAAGATCTTGATCTAAATTTTGCATTCCGATTGCAAAAGAACTGGTTCCAAGAATTCTGCAGGTGATTGGTTCACTACTTGTAATAAAACTCTTGTTATATATCTCTTTTCACTTCTTTCATTAGTAAACTCAAATTCGAGTGTTTGGTTTTTTAACAGGCAAGTGGACAGAGATTGTGAATTCCTTGAACAAGAGAGAATTATGGATTATAGTCTCTTGGTTGGTCTTCACTTTCGAGAAGCTTCTTTCAAGGACTCTGCCACTCCTACTTCTGGTGCTCGAACCCCGACCGGTAAAATCTTGTCAAATCTTTAACTCAATTTCAAAACTTCCATCTTAAAGCTTGATTGAAGAACTTCATCATCTTTAAGCAGGAAATCCAGATACTCGTCTCTCCCGAGCAGAAATGGACCGATTTCTTCTTGATGCCAGCAAGTAAAGAACCAAAAATTCAATGTTTTTATGGCAAAACCGTAAGAGGGTTTTATAACACAAGTGTGGTTCTTGATGATTTTTGCAGGCTAGCATCAATAAAATTGGGTATTAACATGCCTGCAAGAGTTGAAAGAACAGCAAGAAGAAGTGACTGTGAGAATCAGCTTGTTGGGGAACCAACTGGTGAATTTTACGATGTGATTCTGTATTTCGGTATTATAGACATTCTCCAAGACTACGACATAAGCAAGAAGCTTGAACATGCCTACAAATCAATGCAGTATGATCCGACATCGATCTCAGCGGTTGATCCAAAGCAATACTCTCGACGTTTCAGGGATTTCATCTTAAGGGTCTTCGTTGAAGACACTTGAGAGAACAATCATTCTAACTTGCACGCCAAGGCCCAACAAAGTTGAGGTTTTTCTTTTTGTTAGAATTTTTCTATATAGAAATATTTGTAAATTTATTATGTTATTTAACCAATTCACCAAAGTAGAGAAAAATTGATTCTTTTGTAACTAAAGTTCAATACTCTGCCCTTTTTTGTTGTTGTTGTTGTTGTTATTCTTTTGTACTGCGTTTCTTCAAACGTGAAAGATAGTATGTGTACAGATGGTGACTTGTATTTTTTATTCATTACTTTCGTCCAATCTTCATATTTTACTCTTTATACAACAGAACATGTTTCTAGTTTTCCTCTTTTTTTTTTTCTCAAAAAGATTTTTAAATGTTGGATTAAGTTGACTTGTAGGTGATAAAGATGTGAGGTTTCTGGTGCTCTACAAGCCAAACTCAAAGTCAATGCTAATAATTTTTTTAAGAAAAATATTAGAGCATTAGTTTTCATAGCATTCCATTCTTGATTTACATAAGACTTGAATAGTTTTTTTTTTTTTTTTTTGGATTGTATAGACTTAGCTGATTATATATATCAGGAGTAATTAAGGAGTCATGAGAGAGCATCCTAAAGAAGAAGAGAGTTTAAGGATGTTTATATAATCTAGCTGATTATAATAATCAATGTTCTAGTGAGCTGTCTGTGGTTTAAGGCAAAGACAAAAGCTATCTAATTAATTAAGTTCAAGGAAACCAAGGCAAATAAATATATGTGTACTTTTTGCGTAACATATTGCTTTAAATGGGGATGCTAGAGAGGAATCTCGAATACGCATTTGAAAAAGTTGCAGAACTTTTCGTGTGAAAGAGGTATCAGGAAAAGATAAGATAATGAGTTTATTCGGGTTTTCTCAAAAAGATACTGCTAAAAAGTACAATAGATGCAAATTTAATTGGGAACAGTCACGTCTAGAAACTCATTTCAAAGACTTGTGAAACATGATCAAAACTGGTAGTTGTGGCATGTGTCTAGGGTTCCTGCATATGCTTTTGGCTACATGATACTTTTTCAGTGTGTATCGCCTGATTCAATTGACTATATGACTTCTTGCATGCCTATGATTGCTCCTTTTGGAAGAAGGGTCTTCCAAAAATCACTTATACGGATAGTATCGGAGACATGGCATGAATTACTCTTATCATACTTGATACCTCAATTACTCAACCCATTTTTCAGATAACAAATTTATAAACTCAAATTACCATACCGACTCATATCCTAAATGTACGTAGAGAGATAGTTTTAAGACTTTCACCTAACGCAACAAAGAGTATAGAGTAAAATAGAAAGTCACACGCAAGATCCCATTCCATGCAACAATAATCTAAACCTTCTCTAACTTAACCTTTGACATCATTTACCAATTATCCATCTTGCCTCTTTTTCTGTTAGCTCTGCCTACTTTCACTGTATGTTGATTCATACTACGTACCAAAACAACATGTTACTTTCTTTTTCGTTATAAATTTATCATAATTTTAGGTCTTAACCTAAATTATATACAATTTTGGTCATCAAAACAGGATCGTGGTACAATTTTGGTGGTTTCTCAATAAAATACTTTTTGCTATTTCTCCTAAAAAAAATTGCAATATAATTTAGTTTTAGGACAGTATTGTTCCACCGTAAAAAATACGGAAAAATAGATATAAAGGAGAATTTGGTTTCTTACCAAAACACATTAGCACTAACTTTGACCACAATACAACACTACTAAAGAGAAAGAAAAATAAAGTAAATGAGTTGAATTATTTTCTAATTGGCTACGAATTTTGGGCTTCGAACTATCTAAGACTAAGAAAGAGAATTCATAAGTATGAAAAGGTAAAAGGTTGGACTGGAGGAATATCTAACAATGTTGAAGTTAAAGCGCTTTAACCAACAAAACTGCTTTTACTTGAGACTTCTATTTCAGTTATTTGCAGATAACCTAATTTAAAACCAAAGTCAATACTTACTTCTTCATTTAGGCCGAGATTAGCTCTTCCAGTTTAAGATTATTTTTTTCTAACAGAGCTCTTCATATTTTGTTTTCCTCCTACTCAAAATTGTCAAATTGTTAGCCAATCTTTTCCCATCGCATAAGAAATTTATGGATTTACCAAATATAAACTAAAAGTGTATAATTAACTAAAAAAAAAAAAACTAAAAGTGTATAATTACTGACGCTACTAATTAAGATGATACAATAAGGAACTTACCAAAAAAAAAGATGATACAATAAGATCTTTTCATAACAATATAGATCAAAATAAATTTTCATTGATTAATTATTATTAATAAATTGAACGATACATAAACATATTTACCAAACAGTTCAGTAATTAAAAGAAGCCTAATTAAACCTAGCTACAACGTTGAGAAATTGATATGAAAGAAGAAACTAAGATTTTCAAAACCTCGAGACCTTTAGTCCAACAGCGAAATCTTAAGGTGAACTCAAATCTTAAGAAATGATATGAGTATGTAAATATTGAGTGCTTGGTGGGAAATCTACATTATCTATTAGGAGTGGTATAGGCGTACAACATGACGTCAAAGAAATTAAGAACGTTTCAGAGCAAAAAAAACCAAAAGCTATAGTAACTTGTTTTATAAAGACAAAAGTTTGTTGTAAGAATATAAAACGACTTTTTTGTGTTAAAGTTTTAAATTTCGTTTTAATATGATCATAGATTCTTTTAGCAATAAAGATATTGATGCAATTGATGGCTTTCAGCTGTAAAATTTTAGTTTAATTATATTAATTTATTATACAATTTGGTGTCGCCGTTTCGAAGTTTTAATTTCGATGCAAAGACAATTGTATGAATTGATCAATGAGCACCGCTAACTGCTGAGATATCGATTCCGACCATGTCCTAGTACAGAAGAAATAAAACCCCTTCATTAAATATATCTATTTGTATTCCTTAAAGTGGCTTTAATGTATATTTGATCGACTTAAATAAACTTGGTTGTGTTAATTGTTTGGAAACGATTTGAGTAATGAAAATGAGGAATTATAACGAACATTTTCCTCTGATTTTCTACAAGAAAAAATAGGTGATATTCAACTAAATCTCTTTTATCAAATACTTCTTTGTCTCTCTCTCTTCTCTATAAATACAAGCACTTTTGCATTCTCCATGACACATCATTCACTCATCTCTTTCCTCATAATTCTTTCTACGTCAAACCCAACCTTAATCTAATTTTGAGAGAACCCACTCCAAAAAAAAAAAAATGTATGAAAAGATCATAATCATATCAGTATTTCTCTTAACATTCTTCCTTCTTGTTTCAGCAGCTACCCATTTAATCATAGAGATGATCTTTTCATGTCTTCTAATGTTTATTATGAAACCAATAGACAACATCAACATGGTCACAATACACGCAACAGTCACTTGAAAAATCGCCATGGTTATGCTCCTGGATCTTCTCCTCGAGCTTTTAACGTCAACACTTTTGGTGCTAAAGCCAACGGAAACGACGATTCTAAGGTTTTGATCCATATTATTTGTTTCTATATATAGCATTATAATCCAATATCTACAACCATATAAATGAAATCTATGTTTGAGCCGTAGGCATTCATGAAAGCTTGGGAAGCAGCTTGTTCATCAACTGGAATAGTTTACGTTGTGGTTCCAAAGAATAGAGATTACATGCTTAAATCGGTTACATTCTCTGGTCCATGTAAATCATCCTTGATTATTTTTAAGGTATAGTTTTAAACCACTGCAAGTATAGGCCAAATTATTATTCTATAATGTTTCTTCCTCTCTTATAACTTTTTTTTGTGTGTGAATTAGATTTACGGAATGATTGAGGCATGGAAAAATCCATCAGACTACAAGGAACGTAGGCATTGGATTGTGTTCGAAAATGTCGATAACCTTCGAGTTGAAGGAGGTGGCCGTATCGACGGTAATGGACATATTTGGTGGCCAAACTCTTGCAAAATCAACCCTCAACTTGTAAGTTCTTCTCTATATAGACCAGTGTCATTAAAAAACCTTAAAGTAAATAAACTGACTAGTTAAATTTATTTTATAAAACAGCCATGCCTGGGAGCTCCAACGGTGAGAATCTCAAACGCCTAACTTGTTTTCGATCTTTAATTTCAGTTCTTATAATGTAGCTATAAAAATGTAATTAATTAATGTAATGAAATAAATTGGCAGGCAGTTACGTTTGTGGAGTGTAATAACTTGAGAGTAAGTAACATTAGGTTGGAAAACGCACAGCAAATGCATTTGACGTTTCAAGACTGCAAAAACGTGAAGGCTTTGAATCTTATGGTCACATCTCCGGCTGATAGTCCTAACACCGATGGCATTCACGTTACCGGAACTCAAAATATCTTAATTCAAGACTCTATCGTCCGTACTGGTATATTAATTAATGACCCATCTTATAATATAAATGTTGTTTTGACATTCACATGCAAATTAGTGAATAAATTAACTATTTTGATATATAAATAGTGGATATATAATAAATAGTAATGTGTTGGGTTTGTTTATGGTGATGAAGGTGATGATTGTATATCGATAGTGAGTGGGTCGGAGAATGTGAGAGCGACAGGCATTACATGCGGGCCTGGTCATGGAATCAGGTCTAACCATCTCTCTCCCTAATTTCACCTAAACTTTTTGTTTTTGTCTTATTTTAAGCAACATACTATGTGCAACAACATTCTACACCTTTGTTGGATAACTATCAACTAATTTTTATCAACTTCAATCGGAGAATTCTTTTTAAAAAATGTCCATCTTTTTTAATGAGTAAAGGATATTTTATGACGCATGCTCAAAATCATTTGTAATTTAATAATTTTAACGGAATAAGATAAATGCAATGTTTTTAAATGGTGTTAGGCGTTCTAACACAAGCATATGTGTTAACTCATCAATATTATTGATATTTTGTTTATTTACATGGAAAACAGCATTGGAAGTTTGGGAGAAGATAACTCAGAAGCATATGTTTCAAATGTGGTAGTCAACAAAGCGACTCTTATAGGAACCACTAATGGTGTGAGAATCAAGACTTGGCAGGTAAATGATCAATATCTTTTGTTTATAAAATAATTATTACTATAAAAAGTGAAAAAAATGACTATAATTATTAATGTATATATAAGGGAGGACATGGAATGGCAAAGAACATCATATTCCAAGACATCATAATGAAGAACGTTACAAACCCAATAATCATCAACCAGGACTACTGCGATCGTGTTGAATCATGTCCCGAACAGGTTTGAAACAACTTAAATATAACAAATCTTTTCAACACAATATTAGAGTAATAATAATAACAAAACTGAAATATTGGAACACGTGGCAGAAATCGGCGGTACAAGTGAGCAATGTGTTGTACAAAAACATACAAGGGACGAGCTCAAGACCCATAGCTGTGAAATTTGTATGCAGCAAGAGCATTCCATGTCGAGGAATATCAATGCAAAACGTTAAATTGGTCGACCAAACTCAACAAGATGTATCCAAAGCTTCTTGCTCCAATGTGAAGTTGGACACCCGAGGAAATGTTTCTCCTCTTTGCACTTAATCACTTTTGATCCTCAAGAAAACAACAGTATTCACCGATCGATTTTAGTCTATTTCTATATGTTTACGTAATTTGGTCGGTGATTTCTGTATATGTATAGTATCAATATAGTCCATGTTTGAAGTGTAGGTTTTTATGGAGATTAATTGATATACGAAATGGGATTGTAAGGTATTTGATCTTAGTTAGAAGTAAAACAATTGTGATTGATTTCTGAACTATTTGAAGTCTGTCCTGCTTCTAGAGTTGTTTGTATTCGACCAAGCCAAGTTTCGAAAATAACTAGCTTTTTCTCATTCATTTGATGATCACATCCACATTAAAAAGAAAAAAAAGGATCAAATATTACAAAAACCATTCCTCTAAATAATTATTCTTTTGAGGAATATATTACAAAAACCAGAAGTGTTGGCATCTCTCGAGAAGTAAAAAACACACAAGAGACACACAACCCAACAATTACAAGTCTGTTGTAAAATAGAAGATGATATACACTTTGGTGGTGAATTTTCTTCCTGCAAAAATGAGAATAAATGTACACTCACAAGACGGTGTTGATGTGAAGTGCTTTGAGGAGAGATGTTGCCATTTGCTTCACCAGAACTTGGCCTCCTGAACGTTGTCCACCACGTCGTTCTTCAATCAGATTCTGCAGTTTCTGAGGAAGATCGTTCTCTACGATCAGCTGTTTTGGCTTTGGATGCTTCTCGTAAACAGCCTGTTTCCAATGATCGCCAAAACCAAACACTTAACACCTAGAAGAAGACGAGCAAGAACTTGGATAATCAAATGATCTATTACCTTAATGAGTTTCAGGAGGTTAAGTCGAGCAATCGCATCTTGGTGGTCTAGTCTTGAAATAAGTAGCGGAGTCAATCCATTTAATGCTAATGTCTTATTAATTGAAGATGATTTCCTGGATTCAACAAAGACAAGGATTAGCTCCATACTCATAGTTCTAACTAATTTTGAAAGGATAGATAATCTACTAAAAAGAGGAGAGATACATACGTGATGATCTTCAAGAATGGCTCCAAAATGTGCACAAAATGTCTTTCTGGACAGTTCTGGAAGAAGTTAACTAATTTCTGAATTGCATCTTTCTTGAGAAATGCCTGCTCAACCTTGTGGTCAATGTCTTGCGCCAAGCAAACAGCAATTGAATCCAAGGCTATAACGGACCAATATTCATCATCGAGTAAACTCAGGTAAACATCCAGACCGCCGTGGGCCCTTAACTGCTCTCTTGAATTCCGAGATGCATGAGCCATATCACATAGTAGTGGCAATGCATATTGTTTCAGAGGAGAATCCGACATGACGAAAAGCATCAGGTGCGGAATGATTCCATTTTCAGCCGCTTGTTCCTGCCTCCTCTTGTTTATTTTGCAGAGGTTGAATAGTGCACTAAGTACCTACATAACATTACCATTTTAGAAACGTCGGTTGGGTGTAACCGACAGACAAAAGCTATCTCCATACAAGTCAAGAAGGTAACCTCATGATGGATCTGATAAACAAGATGCCCTTCCTTAAGCTCAAGGTTGGGGATCAATTGCTTAATTGCATCTGCACGCTGAAGATTTTCCAAGCAATTTGGATCCGTGGATAAATGATTGGTGCATTCCAGTATCTGGACAAACAAAAGGTATTGTAAATATACGACCTAAACCACATATCCAAGCTTTTCCAAAGAGAAAACAGAAAAATTATATGAAGCACTATCGAAGAAGAAAAAAAACAAAAATAATATTTTGGAGTACCTTTAACAGAATAGGAGGTTCCACACGGTTGAACATCTGGAAAAGACGACTGAGTAAGCTTTGGCTGCACATGTATGATTTTACTGTCGTTTCAGCTCGGGCAAATTCGAGAAGCAGATCAGCCACTTTCTCCAAGTAATCCATTGAGACATCTGCACTCAGCGCATGGGCAAGTAAACCAGATGATGTGGTACTTCCAGCTCTAGCATCTAAAACACCCGAACCTGACAGAACACCAGATACTGTCTGAGATGAAATCCCACACGCAGAAGCGACTCTTTCAATAGCCATAACCTTCTTAGTCATCGTCTTACTGGAATATCTAGCTGCAGTATCGAGATTTCCGTTTTCCTTTCCACGTCCAGAGACTCCTGAAGAAACAATGTAATCATATGGCACAAGCAAAAACATCATATATGTGCTTAGAGTATGAAAAGTCTTCCTAAATATAAAACTTAAGAAAATTACCTAATTCGGCCATTATAAATTCTAGGTCTCCACTGGTTTTCTTTTCGTCCGATGCATACAAAAGAGGAAGTCTACTTTCATGTCTCTCTATGCCAGTGATATGCTTTACGTAATCCAGTTGACCAGAAAATTTTCTTGAAGGGGGCTCTTTCTCTAATAAGCTAAGCAAAGGTCGAACTTGATCTGGCTGAGTAACAGGAAAACCATTAGACGCACCCTCCGCCAGTTTCTGAAGCTTATCTGTTGATGTTCTATTGGCAGAAAGAGATATCCTATGTTGTTGTATAACATCTTCTGTGGTATCTGCTGCAACACTGCTTAATCTAGGCCTATCACCATCTAGGTGCAAGGCATCGGGTTGATGGACATCTGATCTTTGAGAACTTGAAGTTAAAGCATGAGAAGGCTCTTCACCACCCCCATTCCTAGTTTTCAACCCATCAGGATGATCAATCACACTAGGTGAAGTCTCACGCTGACTAAAGATAGGATTGTTAGGGTCAAGTTGACCAGAGTGTGCTCGTGGAGTTTGACTATCCAAAATCAATGCGTCCCCTGATATAGAAGCCAGTCGAGTTGCCTCACTCAAGCTATAAAGAGTGTTGACTAGCCTAAGAAGAATTCCATTCTTTGCAGCAATACGGCAGAAATCATTTCTAGAGGTGGATCTTTTGAGTTTAAATACCTGCCACATTCCATCAATAGCCAAGTGAACCATCTCCCTGGACAGAAAAGCTCAAATCAGTTTGTACTTAGTAGCACATAAAGAGCGAAAAGGACCAGAAATGATTAAAGTGAGAAGAGCCAAATCAACAAAATGGTCAGCTAAGTTCTTGTGATGAAATACTCATATATCTCACATTAGATTCAGCACTTTATAAATTGAAAGTAGTCCATACACTGTAAGAAGATTGTAAACTTTACTCACCTGTGTTTGGCATAATCTGCTTCAAGAAATCCCACCAAAACGGGTATTCCACGGCAAGCTATGAACATTTGCAACGTCAAGGGGCTGTAAAGAAGCTACCATATCACCTATATGATTTGCAGAAAAGGAAAAAAAAAGAAGAGAGAGAGAGAGAGAGAAGCAAAGTAATATATATTTGATGAGTCGCAACCTTGACTGACAAATCTGCTGCAAGAAGTAGGCTGCTTCCTTACGAATTTCTCGAGATCGATCCCTCTCAAAACCAGCAAAACTCATTACCAAAGGAATCTGCCATTTCACAAGGAATAATCAATTATTATGGGATTTTGTTGTCTATATGAGACATCATGAAAACTTAGGTGATAAGATAACAACATCATGGGTATATTATTATTATCTACGAATTTTCCCAAAAAGGTATTAGCTGTTGAATTGGATGTTTGACATTTAATATAGAAATGCAGACATGAGCCTTTGTCAAACAAATATGCCGATTCCAACGAACTACTGGTGAATCATCAAGTCAGCAACCAAATTGAGAGTAGGACTTACAAGACCAACGAGACAAGCATTTTCCAGGAAGTCGGTATTATCTTTTACAATTTCGTTTATCAGCTGCAGCACGGCACATATTACCTGAAACACCAAAAAAGATTCACAAGCATAAGCCAACTACTGATAATGAAGGACAACAAAAAATCCTGCCTGATTACAACTAAACATACTCGAGATTTAGGAATATCAAGTAGATCCATTAGAGGGAGGAAACCATGCTGTGTCACAAATACTGCTTTCTGCCCAGGTCTCTGACGAAACATGGCAACAAGTTTCAAAGAGGAATTTACTATTGCATCTTCTGATTCATCTGGCCTTAAGGAGCTCACCAATCTGCTGAACTCGACTACCTATAAAAACTTAAAACCAATTAATTAATAAGATTTAAATTCGCACAAAAAAATGGAAACAGCTAAAATTGAGTTGAGAAGCCACAGTTTCCTTTTCAACATCTAATTGCAAATTGTCATTCTCTGAGTATGGAATGGCTCGGTCAAGTAGAATTAGCATGAGATAAAATGATAAAAGATTGCTAAAAGTTCAGGATATAAATTTGCAGAATACCTGCAGAGGAAAAAGATTCTCCGGGGGCACTTTTTCATCAAATACCTGAGAAACAAAATACGAAATACATTAACAGTATAACACTTGAATTATCAAACCTGCATACTTGAGACAGAGCATACCAAGTCATCGATGTTAAGAACATCATCTTTCAAAACACCCATCATTAAGCGGAAAAGATCACCACCATCTTGTGAGTGCCCCGTTTCACCCTCCATTTGCTTCTGAGCAATTCTAGCCCTCAATTTCGTTGCCAGATCATTCTTTCCACCATCTGCGGCAGGAGAATCACCCTGATTTACATTTGTAGTAGGCGTCGATGATGAGGCTTCATTTGGTTTTCCCTCAGGAACTTTATCCAGTGGATGAAACAAGTCATGCAAAGAAGCATCCCCAGGAGGATCACTGAATCTGGTCAGTTCATTCCCACCAAAACTAGATGGAGTCTTCACAGCCTTTAAGATAGAAATAACAAGCATAACCGATCTAGTTAGTTTGCAAGCCACAGCCCAACAAAAACCAAATATATCTCACTACAGAAGCCTCTAAAGTGAAATACGCTAAAAAGTATCTATTGCAGTACAAGCTCAGCAAACTGTTTTGTTTTGGTCAGTAAGGAAAAAGGAACTTATCAATTTACTCGACATACAAAACAAAGCATACTTACTCGTGATTGACCATATCATCTAAGAAAGTGCTAGGGCAAGAATGACGTAACAAAACACAACTGACCTTTCGAAGCCCATCTTCACCTTTTTGGCTAAAATTATGTGATGACTGCGCCACCCGGACAGAATATTCTTTTCCAACCAGCTTTGTTGATAAAGCATTCCTTCTACCTTCAGAAGCTTCCTTTTCAAGATTTCCAGGTATTTCATCACGTTCAGATTTCTCATGGTTCTCTAATACATCTTGAGATGTCCCCTTTGCATCCGAAGAAATACTGCAAGTACCAGATTGACGAGAAGACTTCTCGTGCATAGACAATGTAGGACCTTGATCTGAATTAAGATAATCTTCTGAATCCGTTCCTTCTTCACCAAGATCACTGGGTGAAGACTGATCTTTCTCAGACCTAAAACTCGCCACACCTATAACAGGTAATTTGCTTATCGAGTTCTGGACAAAAAAAAAATGGATCAGTAGCTTTAGCAAAGTTCATCTCTAGCTTTAATGCATTATATTGCTCATCTCTACATTCCTTATCGGCATCTCCAAAAGATTAATTGATAATAGAGATAATGAATCTTACAGTTTTTGTCACCTCCACATTTTCTGCTGAAAAGCTTTCAGCTATATCTTGACTACCTTCACCATCCTTCTCTGGACTTGAATTGGGTTCCTTCATATATCTGCAAAGGATGCAGTGCCCAAAGACAGTATTACAGGTTAGTGTAAGCAAGGAACACTTGTACTAAACCCTTAGATAAGATACATGATAAAATTTAAAATTTTCTTCCAAAAGTTAACATAAAGACACAGGTTCTCACCTGATGGTTCCACTATGCCGAAGTGATGACCGCAATGCTCGTTTTGAGTTACGTATCCAAGGGTGAGAGAGAAGTGTCTTTGCATCAGGTCTCTGCCTGGAATCCTGTAAAATGCAAGATAGAAATCAGATGTACATACTGGGTATTAAACAAATCAAAATGCCTAGGTTCCGGTACAGGGGTAGGTAGAGTGATTAAACACTATAGCAGCAAAATATACCTTCTTGAAGCACAGTCGTAGGAAGTCTGTAAGATCGGGAGATAGACTATCAGGAATGGGAGGGGTATCATCCTGAAACAAAACCAGAAAAGGCAATAATTTAAAATTATTGCTAACAGCTTTTGCATTATTGCAGGAGAGAAGTGATTTACAACAAGGAATAATAGGAATTGGGGGAAAGGAAGAGAAACCTAAATTCAATTGACTTTAGCAAACTCGTAAAATGATGGAAAAACCTGAACAATGCGATAGAGGGCTGGCATGGGTTGCAGATCATAGTAAGGAGGTACACATGTCAAAAGTTCAATAATAGTGCACCCAACACTCCAAATGTCAGAAGCAGCACAAACTCCTGACAATTCAATAACCTGAAACAAAATTTGGGTGTCCGTCAGTACACACATAATCAGTTAAAAGTTGCTAAAGGAGAAAACAACATCCATTTGTCAGAATACGAACAAAGTCCAATTTCAGAAGTTACATATGGAATTTGACCTATACAGAATATGATGGTGGAAGATACATATATATTATCAAAGGTGTACCTCCGGAGCCATCCAGTAAGGAGTTCCGACCACTGAGTGAGTGTTGAAATCAGCCTCGTTGAGTTTTGTGGCAACTCCAAAATCAGCAAGCTTAACAAGGCCCTGAAGTATAATATAGTCAAGTAATAGCCTAGAAGAATTTTTTGCATCCCAATACAACAGATCTTGAAACGAAAAAGCGTACCAAAGACATGAGAATAACTAATAAGATCCACAAGGTACAGAAAAACACACCTCCTTGGTTGTCAAAATATTTGCACCCTTGATATCACGATGTATGACACCCTGCTCATGCAGATATACTAAACCTTCCAAGACCTGTATTCACTAGTTAGTACATAAATGTTTAAAAAAACTTCACTCAACTAGAAAAAGATATATACGGACCTGTGCAATGTAAACAGTCACCAACGACTCAGGGAAAGGTCCAAATTTATTTGGTTTAATAATGTTTGCAAGAGAGCCATTCTCAACATACCTGCAAACACATAATTGGACTTGAAAATCCAGAGCGTAGCCCAGCGTGGGCCAAAAATAAACACAAAAGTATAACTTACTCCAGAATAATGTGAAGATGAGTCTTTGTCTTCAACGATCCAAGATACTTGACAATGTTTTTATGGTTCAAGTTCTGCATTGAAACACCATCTTAGAAGGCATAGAGGAAGATTGCATCTTAACCAGCATAACCACTAATGAGATGAAGCCAAAGTTCACAAGGTGATTGATACTACATTGCTTAGCATCAGGATCCCAGGTTTGTAACACAATAATTTCCACAATTCCGAAACAGGGTCAAGCTCAACATTGAATAGGACAATTCACATAAACATACCAGTCCCAAGTCAATGGTAAAAAGCTAAAGAATTGTGTAATGGAAGAAAGAAGCTACCTTTAGGAGATCGATTTCTTGCTGATGAAAATTCTCCCAACAACCAAGAAGCATCAAAAACAGGATTCAGTCAGCATAGCAGTGGTATGGAGATGAGAGATCACATTTAGTCCATAAAGGCAACGAAGATAGATACAACAAATGAAGTAACAAACCATGATGGTGTTAAGATCCTCTTGACCAATATTTTCCAAAGAGACTTGTTTAATGGCAACAAAGTCACAATTCTCCAGGTCTAATCCTATATAAACTCGAGCATAAGCTCCTTTACCAATTTCATCTCCAAGCATCTGCGTTCAAAAGTTCAAAAAGAACAAACCTTGGAGTAGTGAGTCCACAAAGATTTCAAATTGGTAGAGCAAAAGCTAAATTAGTAAGAAAAAACCCAGAATTGCGGAAGAAGAAAAGCTCACATATTTGTTGTCGAGAGTCTTTGATTTGTGGAACTGGGATGACGTCATCTGTCGCGCCATCTCTTTCTCGTCAGCACCAAAACAAAATTGCAACTCAAGGAATTTGATCCATTTTTTTACGAGGGAAAATTCACATTAATTAGGGTTTTTAATCTTGACAAAATTTGTAAGGATTTAGATGTGTTTGAAGATCAAATGCCAGCCCTAATACAGTTGTGACATACATTATGACAAATTTAATAAAATTTAAACCAAATTTTTAAGTTTTTTTGGTTGGGAAATTGACGAACTGTATCAGCGGAAGAATACTTTTGTCGATTTCTCAGGCGCCAGTATCCTTCTTTTATTTTAAGGTCCTTACTTTTTTCTTTCTTTACGTTTTCACCCCTTTATTCCCAAAATTGTAAATAAACTTTAAAAGCTTTTGGAATAATCTTACAAATTTATTTCTGAAATCGAAATTCTTAGAAATGACAATGAGAGCAAAAAGAAGTAGATGGAGATATGATAAATCGTACCTCTTTTCTTTGGTCACTGAGAAAGGAAAAGTTTCGCTGCTTCCAGTTAAGTTGATTCCGTTTTCGAAAATATTTGTTCATCATTTGAGTTAGTTGAGTTAAACAACTGTAGATTTATTGGTGAATTCGATTATTGTTTCGACGATTTTTTCATTAGTGTAAGTTTCCATTAGTTATATAGAGAATCTATGTGGCTAGTATTAATGTCTTATCAACAACTTAGATTTGAAAATTTACTATTACGTTTTTAATTGGCGGAATTAGGATAAAACAAGTTTTAATTGGCGAAATTAGGATAATCAGATATCTTTTGGATAATCGAATGTTTATAGCCAATCAAAATTGTAATTTTCGGAAATAAATTTACTTTTCGACAAAATATAGAATAATTCTATCACATGTTTATCAACAACAATTTAAAACCGAACCGAACTGAACCGACCTGATTGATCATTTTTCTTCGTATCATAATTTGGAGTGGAAACAAATCATATCCAATTTCTGGGCCCAAAAAACATATCACAACACTCAGCTATTTACACATTTACATCGCTAATGTAAAAAAAAAAAATTGGATAGTAAACTGTCAAAAGTAATGCTAATTTTTAGAAAACACAATTAAGACAATTAAATTATAGCCTCAAGAAAAATCAGGCATGCCCATGATGTCAGACCTGGATAATGTCGGATAAAAAAGCCCATCCTAGAATTGGGGGGTAAAATATGAAAAGACTGAAGTTAAAAGTTCTTTTTTTCTTTTGACTAAAACAAAAATAAAAAGTTGATGAGTCTCTGAAGGCAGTAGTACTGTAGTAGTGCGCTGTTCTGTTAAGTAACTGTAAGGTTTGACTTGGAGAAAAATTAAATGTGTCTCTAAAAAAAGCTCCAAATCGTGAGGAAATCCAGAGTTCCATCAGATCTAACTCTCTTAGATCTGATTCTCATGGATCACTCTCTTCTTCTAATACTTCTCTTACTCACAATCTCTTCTTCATGTAATGCTTCTTCTTATGTGGAACAACAACTGAGAGACAGAATCAGTAAGTTACCTGGACAACCTAGTAATGTCGATTTTCGACAGTACTCAGGCTATGTTACTGTGAATGAAGTACATGGAAGGGCTTTGTTCTACTGGTTGGTCGAGTCTCCATCGACCCGTGACCCAAAGTCTAGACCTTTGGTTCTGTGGCTCAATGGTGGCCCTGGTTGTTCTTCTGTTGCTTATGGTGCTGCTGAAGAAATTGGACCTTTTCGTGTTGCTTCTGATGGCAAGACTCTTCATCCCAAACTTTATGCTTGGAATCAATGTAACATCTTTTTCTCTAAATCTCTCGCACCATTATTGCTATTCTCTTCACAATTTCGATTCAGATTTGCTCTCTCTGTCTCTCAGTGGCAAACCTTCTATTCTTGGAGTCACCAGCTGGAGTTGGTTTCTCATATTCAAACACAACTTCAGATCTTTACACAACCGGTGATCAGAGAACAGGTTCTGCTCTTTGAATCTTTTTGTCTGAAGTGTATTACCTTAATCAGACTATCTTGAGCTTTATTTAATGTCTTGTGTCTTGATGGATATGTAGCTGAAGATTCGTATAGATTTCTTGTCAACTGGTTTGAGAGGTTTCCACAGTACAAGCATAAAGATTTTTACATTGTTGGAGAAAGCTATGCAGGTTTCAGTTTTTACCTTCAAGCTCTCATCAATTACATTAAAAATGGCTGATGTCTTAGTCTTGAGTTTCTCTCTTGGACAGGTCATTTTGTTCCTCAATTGTCTAAACTTGTCCATGAAAGAAACAAGGGCTTCAAGAACCCGGCTATAAACCTCAAAGGTTTTATGGTAAAGATTGAAAAACTTTCAGACTTTTTACAAGTTTGTGAACTTTGGGATTTTTAAAAGTCTGCTTATTCAGGTGGGAAATGCTGTTACAGATGACTATCATGATTATATAGGAACGTTTGAATATTGGTGGAATCACGGTCTCATATCCGATTCAACGTATCACCAACTGAAGACCGCGTGCTACTCAGAATCATCTCAGCATCCTTCACTGCAGTGTATGGTGGCTCTGAGAAATGCCGAATTAGAGCAAGGAAATATCGATCCATATAGCATTTTCACCAAACCTTGCAACAGTACTGTAGCACTTAAGAGCTTCTTAAAGGGTCGCTACGTAAGTTTCACACATCCGAAAGCATTTTCAGGTTGGTTTTGTTGTTTGTTTCTTTGGACTAATATGCTACAACTTTGTATTGTTAACTCAGCCATGGATGTCAAGAGCTTATGATCCTTGTACAGAGAGATATTCGAATGTGTACTTTAACAGGGTGGACGTTCAGAAGGCTCTCCACGCAAACGTCACTCGCTTACCTTACCCCTGGAAAGCATGCAGGTCAGCTGAAAACAAAGTTTTATTTCTGGTTGTATTTAAAGGTATAAAACTTTGATTGAGATTTTGAGTTTTTTTTTTTTTTTTCTCTTGCAGTGACATTGTAGGAAGCTATTGGGAAGATTCACCTCTGTCTATGCTTCCTACATACAAAGAATTGATTACTGCAGGTCTCAAAATATGGGTCTTCAGGTACCAATTTTGTATTGAACTTTGTAATGTTCACTTTAGGAAATGAACGATTACAGATGAGACTAGTGTAGATGTATGTAAAGTCTTGATTACAAATGAAGATTTCTTGATCAATCTCCCTACATAATATGCAGTGGGGATACAGATGCGGTTGTTCCTGTAACCGCTACCCGATACTCTGTAGATGCACTGAAGCTAGAAACCATCACGAACTGGTACCCGTGGTACGACCATGGCAAGGTAAAGAAACTGGAGCTTTCTCATGTTAATATCTATGCATAATGTTCAGATATTGATTTGAGGGGCATTGTATTGTAATTTTTAGGTAGGTGGGTGGAGTCAAGTTTACAAAGGACTTACATTAGTGACAGTAGCAGGAGCTGGTCATGAAGTGCCTTTACACCGTCCCCGTCAAGCCTTTATTCTTTTCAGATCCTTTTTAGAGAGCAAACCAATGCCTATGACCTGAGATCAAACCTTGAATGGACCACTTCTCCAAATTCCTATTCTTTCTTCTTCATCATCAATAAACCAAGTGTTTCTTCATTCACTGTCTTCCTCAATCCTCAGTGCATCCAAATTCAACACACGACTGATTAGCTGTGTAGTACAAATCATAAGCCACTCTTCTTTTCTTTTTGTGTAAAATCTTTGTCTCAAATAGTTTTTCTATCTTTTCTCCATTATTGTAAGCTGCAAAGCAAAGTCTTTCACACTACAAATCATAATACTATATGATAGTTTATAGACTTCGATTCCACGACTAAACAAAAGGTCCAACCATGAACTTGTACAACAATGCTGACTCTTGTCATTTGGATAATAGAGTCATTGAAAGACCTCTACGAGATGCTTCCATCACTTGAAGATTCTTTCTCTGTCTCTCTTCGATTTCCCAAGACGTGGAACAACCACAGGACCACCACGCACTCTTTCAAGGGCAAAACTTATTCTCAAAGGCCGACCCAATAATCCCTGTAACATAGAGAACCACATAAGAAACCATTCAAAGTGATAGCAACACAAATCCTTTTTCTTTTTGGTTTTACCTTTCCATCCATGGCGTCTTTTGCAGATAGAGCATCACCTTCCTCTGCAAAATCAACAAAACCGAATCCTCTTGATCTCCCACTTCCTTTGTCGTACGCAATCCTAACTGAGAACACATTTATATTTGACACATTAAAGAATCTAAAAATAGGATTATATAAATCCTACACATCCTACAAAGTACAAAGGATCAGATAAATCCATAAATTCCCAAAATTCATAACCAAATACTCATTCAGACATTTCATCGAACACCTGGAGGAGTTTATAGATGACAAATACCTTCTGCAACCTCTCCAAAGGAAGAGAAAGCGTCTTTGAGAGATTGCTCATCCACGGACCAGGACAGTCCTGCATACTTACGGGTATTAAAAATCTTCATTATCATCTAAATATGTAAATGAGAGTACTTTGTCATAATACTAACTCATTCAAACCTCCAATGAATAGCTTGGAACTGGGCGATGCAGAAGATGTGCAAAATTGAGGAAGAAAATGGATGCTAGAAGAAATCGAGTGTTGAGGTATAGCTGAAACTCGTCTCACTAATAGCTCAATACCATTCCTCATCGTCATGATCAATTTATATAACTTGTTTCTTCAAAATTAAGCTTTGTTTTGGCTTTAAGTTTTTTCAATTTATATAAATGACCACCAAAAAAAAAAAGAGCCAAACAAAAATAAAAATATTATTTTTATTATTGAAATATCTTTGTGGATGAGGAAGGAGTAACCGAAAAGGATAAATCGTTTCTTCTTCTTCTTCTATTCTTCGTGCTAAAGCTTACTCCTTTTCAATGGCGACGTTAGGATTTAACACCACTCGAATCCAGACACCATCACTTCCGAGAATCCCTAAACCTTCTTCTTTTACTAAACCCATCAAAACCCATCATCTCTTCTCCTCCGAAACTCTGTTGAAACGCTGTCGTTTCGTGTCTAGATCGTTGCCTGAGAGCTCACTGTCAATTACAAAAGAACAAGAGGTAGCTAATGAAGTAGAGGAAGATGATCCAACGTCGGAGCTTAGTTATCTGGATCCGGAATCCGATGCCGATAGCATCAAAGAGTGGGAATTGGATTTCTGCTCGAGGCCAATTCTTGATTCCAGAGGGAAAAAGATTTGGGAGCTTGTGGTTTGTGATGCTTCACTCTCCCTTCAAGTCACTAAATACTTCCCCAATAATGTCATTAATAGTATTACCCTCAAAGACGCCATTGTTACCATCACTCAAGACTTGGGTGTTCCTCTTCCTGAGAAGATTCGCTTCTTCAGGTGCAAACACACAACTTTGAAAAACAGTTTTTTTCTTTTAATGTTATCTTATGGTTGAAGTTGGTTTTGCAGGTCACAGATGCAAACCATTATCACAAAAGCTTGTAAAGAGCTTGCCATAAAGGCAGTGCCTAGTAAACGTGTGAGTAACATTTTTTTTGTTTACATGTTTTACTTCTATGTTAGAAGAACAAGATGATAAACAAAACTGAATTTCTGCATTACAGTGTCTGTCTCTGTTTCTTTGGTTGCAAGAACGTTATGACACTGTGTACACGCGTCATCCTGGTTTTCAAAAGGGATCATTGCCTCTTCTGTCTCTAGACAATCCCTTTCCAATGAATCTTCCGGAGAACTTGTTTGGGGAGAAATGGGCATTTGTTCAATTACCTTACGCAGCTGTTAGGGAAGAGATCTCAGACTTTGACGAGAAGTTTGTGTTTGGTGCTACCTTAGACTTGGATTTGCTTGGCATTGAAGTGGATGAGAATACACTGATTCCTGGTCTCTCTGTTGCTACTTCACGAGCCAAACCTCTAGCAGGTAAGTGTGTCGTTTCTTGTTAGACCATCTTTTGGAACAAGTTAATTTGTTGTTGAAAGTGGTTTTTGATTCTGAGTTGTATACTGGATCATTATAGCTTGGATGAATGGGCTTGAAGTATGTTCGATTGAAGCAGACAGTTCCAAAGGATGTTTGATTCTATCCGTTGGGATCGCGACAAGGTATGTCTACGCAACCTACAAGAAGACACCTGTTACTACTGATGAAGCTGAAGCTTGGGAATCTGCAAAGAAAGCAAGTGGAGGTTTGCATTTTCTTGCAATTCAAGATGACTTAGATTCTGATGACTGTGTTGGCTTTTGGCTTCTTATTGATTTGCCACCACCCCCTGTTTGATTTCCCTTTTGATAAATGTTTATACCATATTTTGCCGTTTAGTAACAAAGATTTCTCACAAGCTTGAATTTGAACAAATTGTTACATGAGTCTGCAAAAACTACGGACCTAGGAAGTGAGTAAGTTACAGGGAACGACCAATTGAGTCTTAACCAGATCATAGCTACCTTCAATACCACAAGTAATATCTACACAGTTTGGCACTTTCCATCTTACTGATGATTACCACCAGAAAGACCTATAAAAGTATGAAATGCCCCAACAATCAAATCTTCTTCATGGCTCGCACGCAGAAAGTTAGTGACTAAAGCACTGCTCGATGGTCCAATCAGCTCCTCGACCTCTTTTGCTTTTGCGGTATGAAGCGGACACTGTGCTTCCCAAGTTCAAATGTCTTGATGCTTCCATCATCTAGAGAAACCGACAATGTGGATGTGTCTCCAGAAACGTCTGTCACTGTTCCCTTATGCCTTTAACAGTAAACGTATTATTCATTTTAGACATTTGGCTTTGGATACAATAAGCAGGCCAACCACAGTTGCTAAAATAGTTAAGACGATCAAACTTACCATGAGTTTTGAGATCCATGGACTTCGACTCTCTTTCCTATTGAATCTTTACCCAACTTTTTCAAAATCCAGTTAGCATCCATCATCTCGTCGTTCCTTGAACTATCCTGATGAGAATGTGTTGTAGCTTCACCGTCCTCTTTCAATGAAGCCATGTCCACTAAGCTTGAAGGTCTCTTTCTCTTTGATCTTTGGCCCTTCGCAGAACTCAGTTTTTCATCTTCAGACTGCGTTGTAACCGAAGATGTCTGATCTCCTGAATTAGGTTTCCTGAGTTTAAATTTCAGCAGAGGTCTTGCTTCTTTCTGTAACGCTGGTGAGATGGATGTTTTGTCATCCACATGATTTCCTTCACTTGTTGATGCAGGGAACTGTGTGATCGACCCAAATGTAGCTTTACTTCCTTCAGATTGAGTTTTCCCAAACCTTCCAGAGATCTTCAGGGTTCTTACTTCGCCAGTCTGATCAACTTTATCTCCTGCAGAAATACAGCATTGGCAGAAAGTTAGAGAAACTATATACTTGCTTATGTTCAAGAGTTATTTATTGTCCACTTAATGATAATGCAAAAAAAGTCTTTATGTGGTTGTGTACTATAAAAAGATCGCAACATACCACCCAAAGTGGACTGATCTTTGTCCCTCGATAAATGAGAAACCACATTGGACTTCGAAGAACCACTGACATTTATTTTCCTAGCACCCAGATTAATAACCAACTTCTTTGCCTTTACAGATTTCTCCTCCCCTGCATTCCTTAGGGTATCCTCGCTATCAGAATCATGAGGCTTGCTACACTTTATTCTGACTATCCTTGATGGCTTTTCTTCATCAGTCACCATAACATCATCAACCCTCTTGTGTTTTACAATCTTAGGTTCATGTGTTGAGCAAATTCCAGCTACAGAAGAATTAACGTCTGATTGTTCGTTTATCTGAAACCCCAAATTGTCAATTCTAGCACCACCTAGTCGGAGTTTCTCAGATCCAACCTCCTGATGAAGTTCAGGCTCTAACTTAGTGTGACTACCTTTTTTACTAGCATGCTTTTTACTTAAAGAGTGTTTCCCATACTCCTTACTTTTCTTTGGGGATTTTTCCACCAAACCTTTGATAGAAAACTTCAGTGAGCGCCCAGATACGGGTCCATTTTCATCATCATCTGAAAATGGAAATATCGAAAATATTTCCTCGTCTGTTGGCAAACCAGCAGCAGCCCTTAAACTAGCAATCAACTCTTTGTCCACCACATCTTTTTTCTTCCAAAGTTCTTGAACTGCATCCTGAAGATCCTTCACCTGAGAAGCCAAAGATAGAATTTGAAAACCAGGAAAACTTATATGATCAACACACTAACAAATTGTACAACTGAATCCTCTTTCCATTCCAAAGGAAAACCCCCAGCTCTACGAGCACTACTTATATGATAATAAGAACCAAGAAGAATGATCTGAGTGACTAAGAAGCGAGGGTACTAATAACAGGATAACAGGAACAGACATACCTGATAACACTCCCCACGGCATGTGGCACATTTATATTGTAGCTTTCCGTCAACTTGAAACTGCAGATATTTGTCATCACTGCATGACAGTTTAAAGAGGCAAACAATTCCAGATTTAATATAACTCGAGTACATTTTGCTATGCATATCTAAAATATGACTCAATCTAATTGGAAGTATATATCAGATGGCAGATGCAACAGAGATAACTATGTTTACAACAAAAAAAAATGAGAACGAACCTTATTCCATCGCAATGGCAATGCACCCAGCGTTGACAAATATCGCAGCATACCATTGGGGTTGATTCCGAATCCCTATACACCTATACAAGATAAGCAACCTGGTTAATGCGACACTAAAGAAGCGTGATGTTTTCCTACGGGAATCACGCATTAAAAAATAAAGGCCATGATAATGCTATTGCTAAGACTCATTTCGCTTAAAATAAATACCTTCAAGCATACAGGGCAATAATTTCCCTTCACAAACAATCTGCCACAAGCATCACAGCAAGTATATGATAAAAACCACCTGTTACATTAGAAAACAAAAGAGAACAAAACTGATCAACAGACTTTTAGTAGGGCAATCAATCTGCAAATCCTTAACTAGCCAAACAAAGCAAATTGTTCTGCTCACTTGTAAGACTAACCTACCCGCAAAAGACTAAGAATGTATACCTGACACTTAGGCCATTTCCAGGGACAGTAGAATCACAGCTGTGGCATCTTGTATGCTTTGGGCAGAGATATGGCCCAGAACTTACATTCTGTGCGGTCATGATTAGATCAATAAGCCAATTTACTTTAGTTTAAAAGATAATCATATGAAGAGGCTATCTGTCAGATACCTTGTGTGGAGGATGTTGGCAATAACAATGGTAAGCAGCATCACACCTTTTGCAGAACATGAATTTGTTAGGATCTCCTGTTCTACGGCAGACCTAAGGATGGTAAAGACTCAGTGAGGCAAGGTTCAAAGATCTAAGGATACTCTATAAAGCAGTTAGACTAACACTTTTATATCTGTTCCGTTAAATAGAACAACATGTTTCGTTAAATAAAAAAGACTGATATGTTTTATCAACAGATATCACAAAGAAGAAAATGAGAAACTAAGAAGAAATTACCTCACAAACCCGGCAAGAGGGACAATTCCATGAACTCCAATGAAATAAATCTGCAACTTACAGCAATTAGACCCAAAAAAAAACAAAGACTTTAGCAAGCCAAGAAAAGAACAGAAACAAATAGAATGTAAGTACCTCTATGTTGAGCCCAAGACTTTAAACAATTCTTGTGATACTTCTTTCCACAGGTTTTACAGGAAAGCATCCTCCTTGCTCTCTCACTTCCTTCACCTTCTCCTAGAAAGCACATTCTGCACATTATATTCATGCCGGAGTGAACTACTTCTTCACCAGCATGATCGTTTGAGGTAAGCTGTACAACAAACAAACAAACAAACAAAAAGCTCAATCAAAGCTAAGTCAATACAGAAAAAGGCTTTAGAAGTAAAAGATGACATTTTTGAGGCAACAAACAAATGTCAACCAAATTTTAATATCATCTCCCTAAGAACAAAAGCAATTAGGGAAAAAAACTCACGTCATTGACCCCAGATTCAAACCTACGAGCATAATCCTCAGCAGCTTCAACCGTAACAGCAGCTTGTCTCTGAAGAGCAACACGTTTCTTCTGAGCAGAAGCTTCCTCCGCCAAATCATCAACTCCAGAAGCAATAGCACCATCTCCAACCCCCAAAATCGAAACCGTCTGAGGAGCAGGAACAACCTTAGGAACCCTAACTTGAACGGTACCTCCATTGAAAACCTTAGAAGAAACACAAGGATCCTTGAGAAACTCCTCCACTCGATTAACCTCTTTCAAAAACTCCTCTTTCGCATTGGCTCCACGGAGATCCCGAGAAAACCCTAGGGAGCAATTGCAGATCCGACGACTGCAACAAAAGGACGCGATTAACAGAGAAAGAGATAATAGTGAAGCGTTTAAGGAAGAGATAGATAGATAGAGATACCATGTAATTGGGCAAGCTACGTGAAAGGCCATATACAAAAATTATTCCTCTCGCCTCCAAACGGAAAAAAAAAAAATCGAGATTTTGATTTTTAGAGATCGCTTCTTTCTCTCTTTTTTTTTTTAATTTAATTTATTCATAATAATAATATAAGGATCGATAATGTAATAATTATAAGTATTAATGAATTAATTAGCAGTTTGTGTGTGTAGTAGAAAGGGTCGTCTCTTTTGTGAGCTCTGTGAGTTTTGGGTTTGGAGGCAGAGATAGATAAGATGCTTTTTCTCATCTCAACCATAATCAACCGTGTTTTTAAGATGCAGCCAAAGAAACCGAGTGCGTGTTGCTTCTTCCAATCAAAATCTTCCACGTCAGACCACAATTGTGTTCTTCACTATACATTTTTGGGATTTATGTATAGACAGTTGTTGAATTTTTACCCAAAATCTTTTCCAATTACAGTATTTATATCAAAATATAGAAGAGAAGATTTCCTACTACTAGAGCAATAAAAAAACTTAGAAATCCAAAATCTTTGACTTGGTAAATTTATTAATTGTTATTGACAAAAGACGCGGATAGTGACATTGTAACAAAAAAACATTTCCATCACATAGTTTTGCTTATTTGTGCAAAACAAAAAGATTCATATGCAATTTATCTCTTTATTAATCTAATGACAACAAATGATCTAGAGTTATGTGTCAAACATAAATCTCCCCGAAACGTTAAGAGTAACCAAGTCTTCCATTAGGATTATAACACCAAATCTAAAAGAAGACGAGGGGAGAAACTTAAGTAGATTTATCTACTTTGGAATTATAGATATGATCGTTTACTTCCTTTAATCAAAATACTTCTCCACTAATCACTTAATAGTAGATATATTCGTTTACTTCCTTAATGCTCCACTAATCACTTGACCGATACTTCATACTTGACTACTACTACCCATCAAACATTAGTCTCTATTTTATATATTTATCCCAAGTCCTCTGATCATGATCATCATCTCATCATCCAGAGATATGGTCTGCTTTGATCTTCTTAATCTGTGCTGCTTCACTCTCTTTTTCAGCTGTATGAGCATCGTTGAAATCAAGTTTCTGCAGTTCCATGTCAAGAAGAGACTCATCAGCTTCTGCCAAAAACTGCTCGACTTTCTCTTGAGACATGGTTTTCATAGCCAATGCCAATAAGTAGCCATAGTCAGATTCTCCAGAGACTGCACCTTCGACACCCTTGGCATTGTTCGGAAACGGTGTGAATCCTCTCTGTCTCAACTCCTGAACAAGATCAGCTTTCTTCTTGTTAATCGCTTTGATTTCTCCACTGATTAATCCACCGATATACTTCACTTTGTTTTCTAGTATCAGCAGCTCATCATCAAATTCTTCAGCAGCATCAAATGGTCCAGCAGGCTTGGCCTTGTTCGGGAACTGTGTGTATCCTCTCTGTCTCAACTCCTGAACAAGATCAGCTTTCTCCCTATTGTTCACTATGATTTCCCCACTCATAACTTCATCAACAAACCTCATTTGGTCTTTGAGTTTCAGTATCTCAAGTTCCACATTCTTTCTCTGAATTCTCTGTATAACATCACAAGACGGTTAGTTAATGTTAGACCATTGCCTTGATATCTAAAAGAGTTAAATCAAAGTTTAAGATTTCTAACCCTTCTCAGCTCACAGTATTCAAGCTTGAGCTCTTCAAGGACTGCAAGGTGGGATAAATTAGTATTATCTTACTGAACAATTTGGATCTCTAAACGTTACAATAAGACTCAATTCCTTTATCAACTCAGACCTCAAATTAGGAAAATAACTTCAAATCAGCCTAGAAAAACAATATTATTAGTACCTGCGGTGAAATTTGAAGGAGGGTCCTCCAGGAGATCCTTGAGCTCAATCAAAATCCTCATCGAAGCCGTGATAGCCATGCTTCAGAGTTCAGAATTAGGGTTCTCTCCTTGAAGAAATTGGAACTGAAAGAAGAATCTTTCTCACCAGCCATTAACGAGAGAGAGAAGAGAATCGAAAAACATTTGGGCTCCAAACTGGTTTTGGGCCAGCTTTCTATGAGGTAAGTTTGGGCTCTAAACTTTTATCGATTTTTATAGGTGAATTTTCGATGAAAGGTAAAATGATACTACTGTTACCAAATCAAGATAAAAGTTTAACTGTTGGAAGCAAATTTAAACTTTATTTTAAAAGGCCCACAATTTGACATTAAATGTGCTCAAAATTAAAACCTGGTCCTAAAGTCCCATACAAAACAAATTTTGATTGGGGTTGATTATTCAATGAACAAACTGCAAAATATCAAATACAAAGCATCCTTACTTTAACTCAACTACGTTTTTAATTTACTTTCTCTTATGTAACTAAAAGTCTAAAACTACTAAATTAACTGATTATATTATGAGTTTATAACTTCTTTTTTTTATAAGTTTATAACTTACAGAACATGTTTTTAGGTTTATTATATTCCCGAGCAAATTAAAAAACATGTCTAATCTAGACATCTAGTGTGTGTGTTGCAATAATGATATGTTTCATCTACTTAGTAGTTACATAAAACATTATGGTTACAACGAGTTAATCCGGTGAAAACATAGAAAATGCAGGTGAAAGAAGACATAATAACCATTCGTAATTAATAATTGCAACATGGAGGAATCGCGGCCGCATGGGCGCAAATGCATCGAGTGGATAACATTATAAGATAGAAAACGCCAAGGACCCTACACAACACGTAATTTAGTGATGTGTTATACTATTATTCAGCTGATAGTCACATGCGTTCGCTGACTATAACAAACCTATAGTCATAATATTGCACATGCCTCTGATTTCGTAATAGACATATATTCATTTAAAATGCCAATTATTATTGGAACCAGCCAAAGCCAGAATTGCCAACACCTTCTCTACCTCCCATAATTACACTTGCATCTGCCGCAATTCCCGTTACTAAGATCAACAAGACTACAATCTGATGAAATCTTGTACAATTCTAATACGATCTTGTCAAGCATAAACAATGTGAAAAAAGAATATGATTTTGAATGTGCAATTAACTTTATGCCAAAGTAAATGATACTTTAATAACTCGTTATTAATAATATACGTGTGTTTTATAGCTGCTTCCACCTGCCGCCTATATGTGACTTGGTTGTTCATTATTGATGTATTAAGATTTATAAAGTAAAAAAAAAAAAAAAAAATTTATAAACTAAGTTAGAGTGGTTTATTTTGTGTGTTTTTACATGTTAGAACAGTTCTTTTTTAAAACGCGTATATAAGGTAGAGTTCATACTATAGTGTAGTTTTATATTGAAGTCTTGAGAATATATGCTCTGTTATGGCTCTGTTATGGCTCTGTTACCGACTTGGTTATTGAATTTTACAAAATATTGTGTCATTGTGTGTTTTAAAACAACCATTCTAACTTAGTCAGTTCAATACCGACATCATTGTTTTGGCTCTATTAGTTACTTCAGTAGAAAATCTCAATAGTTAGCACATCGATAATTTTGACATCAGCCATTTCTCTACGCTTAATAAGTATCATTTCCAAGATAGTTTACCATCAAAGACGACAAATTCCCGGTAGCTTTGTTATGAGGAAACAATAACTCTATGTATATGAAAACATTTTTAGATTTATGTAGTAAAATTTTAATATCTCTAAAACTAAAAGTACATTACAATAACAAACATATATCAATAACACTAACCAAAGAAAACTTATTCTCTAATCTTTGATCTTCTCAATATTGTCCAATTTCTCTTATTACCATACAAAATATACTAATTACTGTACAAATATACCAAATAGAAGGACAAAAATATATTGTGAAGAAATGAAGCAAGGCACAAGTGCCAATACGAGATTAGAGCATGAATTAAGGAGAAAAGTCGGTTTCAGTTCAGCAAGACAGACAGACAAAATCCATCGATGGGGTCCAGTCACATTACCTCTTTCTTCGTAATTTCCTCTCTCTCTCTCTTTTAATCCTTTTCACTTTTTTCTTGTATAAAGTCGTAGCATCTCGAGATCGTCTTCCTCTCACAATCTCAAATTCTTCGGACCCTTTTCTCTCTCCCCTGAAGCTCCCCTCACTCACTCTTCTCCGAGGAACAACAACAGAGACAATGGCGGTTCCCAAAGCCATTATTCTACCTATTATGCTACTCATCTGTGGTGCTGCTCTTGGAGTTCCCGCTTCTGAAGGTAAATCCCCCCCACACACACACTCTCTCTCTTCTCCGGTTTAGTTTGGTTTGCTTTTGAAAAGTCATTGATTATGGAAGATGGCTCTTCTTTGCTTAGAATCCTGAAGCAAGATTTAGTGTTTTTGGAAGAAAAAGATTCATTCTTTGGCTCTAGATCTAAGATTTTTCTCTCTCTGTTTACTTCTTCAGGATACCTTCGTAATGGAAACTTCGAGGAGTCACCAAAGAAAACCGACATGAAAAAAACAGTTCTAATCGGCAAAACCGCCTTGCCCGAATGGGAAATCACCGGTTTCGTCGAGTACATCGCCGGCGGTCCTCAGCCGGGAGGCATGTTTTTTCCGGTGGCTCATGGAGTCCACGCCGTGAGGCTCGGAAACGAAGCCACAATCTCTCAGAAGTTAGAAGTGAAGCCAGGTTCTCTCTACGCACTCACGTTTGGTGCGTCGAGAACTTGTGCACAAGACGAGGTTCTTAGAGTCTCTGTGCCTTCTCAGTCCGGTGACTTGCCGCTTCAGACACTTTACAACAGCTTCGGAGGTGACGTGTACGCTTGGGCCTTCGTCGCTAAGACTTCTCAAGTTACTGTGACTTTCCATAATCCTGGAGTTCAAGAAGATCCTGCTTGTGGTCCTTTGTTGGACGCTGTCGCCATTAAAGAGCTTGTTCATCCAATCTACACCAAAGGTAATTAATTATTGCAAGCTCTGCTTTGGTTCCGGTTCAATTTCTTAGGGTTTTAGTTTCCGGTTTATTTGATAACAGTAACCGAAATCAGTTAAAATTCCATGGTTCAGTTTGGCTTTTGGTGTAGATTCGGTTCGATTTTAGATAGAAAAATATCTGAAGAATCATACATATGTAATCATTCAATTTACATTATAATTTTATAGTCATATTATATACACTATGCTATTAATTCTATAGAAATATTTAGTAAGTAATGAATTGTCCAATTTTGGGTCAATCCTGCTTTTGGTTTAGTTTGGTTCGATTTGGTATAATGTTGATTACCCTACTAGTTTTATCTATTGAAGAATTTGGTTTCATAATTCGATTATTTTGACAAATGTAGGTAACTTGGTGAAGAACGGAGGGTTCGAAGAAGGTCCTCACCGTCTTGTGAACTCCACACAAGGAGTCCTACTCCCACCTAAACAAGAAGATCTCACATCACCTTTACCTGGTTGGATCATAGAGTCACTCAAGGCAGTGAAATTCATAGACTCTAAGTACTTTAATGTCCCCTTTGGACATGCTGCGATCGAGCTCGTTGCAGGCAAAGAAAGTGCCATTGCACAAGTCATTAGAACTTCACCTGGTCAAACTTACACCCTCTCCTTCGTCGTTGGAGATGCTAAGAATGACTGCCATGGTTCCATGATGGTTGAAGCTTTTGCAGCCAAGGATACCCTCAAAGTACCACACACTTCCGTTGGTGGAGGTCATTTTAAGACCGCGAGTTTCAAGTTCAAGGCGGTTGAGGCAAGAACTAGAATTACTTTCTTCAGTGGTTTTTACCATTCCAAGAAGACTGATATTGGATCTCTATGTGGTCCTGTCATTGACGAGATTGTGGTTTCTCGTGTCGCTTAGATTAAGTTTACTCTTTATCACAAGTCTGCATCTTGTGTTATTAGACTGGTCATGGACTTGGTTCTTTGCTTTGTATGTCTTGGCTCCTTTTGGAATTAAGTTATAGCCATCACGTTAAAAATGAATGATATATTATTTTAATATAAGATGTTTTGAGTCAAAACGAAGAGCAATAGGTGATAACCAAGAATTAGACTCTAGGACGTACTAAAAAAGTGAAATTATTAAGTTACTTGTTAATCACAAGTTTAAAATTTGAATTCATCAAAAACAGTAAAAGATTTGAAGTAGTTGAAAAACTTTAGAATATAATATATTAGACAATGAGAAAGGACAAATCTAATGGCTTCATTAATTAAAATCTGAGCCTAATTTTGGCTCTTAATTAAGGAAATAACTATGGTCAGATTTTCTTTAGTAAAAGGATCAAAACCATTATTTTTTTTCTACTTTTTCAATCAACACCAAATATTCACAAAGAAAAGTGCTACTTGGATAGAAAAGCCAGTGAGGGCTCCATATATTAATAACTTAACATGCATTCTAGATAAACTTCTGATCCAATTATTTATGTAAAACTGTTAAAAGATAACTGTCTCTCGAACAAAATGTAAAAAAAAAAGAAACACAAGAACCAGAAACAAAAACGAAGAAGGAAGAAGGAGATGCAACTCGATATAAATAAACTAAGTCCTAGGAAGATGAAGAGGATGATCGTCCACGCAAGAACCTCCACGGTCCAGTTCCTGTTGCCATCCTGCATAAATTCAAACACCAGAGTCAACGACTGCTTCTACTATAATGGGCTATAGTAAAGGCCCATTAATGACCCAATTTAAATACCTGGCAATTCCAGTAATAGCACGGAGACCCATATAGATTGTAAGAGCTATCCATATTCCTATGAAACCATTGGTCTTTGCCATATATATTACTGCTCCAATGCTTATGGCCGCCACTCCCACCTGATTTATCATAAATGGATTACAAGAAAAAAAAAAAAAAAAAAAAGTAGAGAGTCATTTCAAAAAAATAAAAATAAAAATTAGTCATTTCATAGCATATATGGTGTGCGTACCATGGAGTATGCAGTGTAAGCAAAATCAGATGCTCCAAAATTGACTCCATCCAATACAAAGGCGAGTGAGTTTATTGGTTGCGTGGCTGCTATAAACTGCATAAACATAAATATATATAACCTCTTCACATTAGTAAAATCCTTTTCAATGTTTTTTATACTATAGTATTTATTATTGATTATTAATACCGGTATTCCAATGGTCATGAGGTGAATAACAGCAGGGTCCTTGGAGAATATTCCGGAACCAAAGTAGAGACCTAGTCCAACAAAAACGGACAGTCCAAGTCCTAACACAAAACCCATCTGCATATCAAATTCAGTTTTGTTTTAGTTACAAAAATTATTTTAATTTTTAAAGAAAGGTTTGGTAATATGATTTTTGGACCGAACCTGTAGAACACGGGATGCAACAGCAGTTACTTTGTTATAGTCCTTCTCAGCAAACGAACAAGCCAGGATCGCCTGCAACGTAATGAATGATCATTTTCCATATAAACTTGATCAACCATATAACTATACATATGAGAAAACATGATTACCTGACCAGCAACGGCAAGACCATCATTGAGAAGAGAAGAAGTTAACCAGACTTGTAAACAAATCTGAAAAGCAGCCATTGGTGTTGTACCCAGCCGAGCCGCCATTGCTGCTGCTAAGGTCTGACAAAACGTCACTGCTATAGTCCTCGCCAGCAATAGTATCCCTTTCATTTTTAGTACTACTTGTTAGACATCCACATTTCCCATTTTCTCAACTATACTTAAAAATATTCTTACATTTTAAATATAGACCTTATTTTGGTTAAACTCTACTATTATATAGATAACTTTTTGATTTGTACCAAGTTAATATATTTTTAGAGTCTGTGCATATTAGCACCTACGACGGATCTTGTATTTTTGATTATTGCAAGAACCACAACTTTTAATGAATATGCATCCAACGTACCATTTTTAAGGAACCTTCCGAACTGCAAATCCCCGAAGTTTGGTGGAATCAAATTAACTTTCTTTGCGAGGCAGACGAACAATATTAAAGTCATGAAGTACCTTCACGTACACAAACAAATCATTAGTTTTAGTTTGTGGTTATGATTTCACAAGTCTATTTATAGCTGTACAAAAAACAAGAATGCGCCTAGCGATTACTATTCAATAATGATCACTATTGCATGTGTGAAAAATTTGAGTGATTTCTCTTACTGAGAAATGACATGGGCAATGGCAGCACCGCTGATCCCGAGACGAAGCACAAAAATGAAGATGGGATCGAGAGCGATATTGATAACATCTGCTACGACTGTTTCATGCATTAAGGCAAAATATTATATTAGCTAGGGTGAGTAATCATATTATAAAAATTAAGAAGAGTGATCATTAAAGATATGATCTAATTTATAACTTAATTACCAGTGGCAAAGAGAGGAGTTTTGGTATCCTTGAAGCCACGAAAGACGCCTTGCATAGCTAGAGATAGAAGCAATGCAGGAGCCCCCAAAGCTCGTATACTCAAGTACTTGTGTGCTGGTGATAACATTGGCGAATTCTGTTATCCAAAGTGAACTCATCAAATTAGTCAAAAACATTTTGTCCTATCAAAAAATATGTGCATGTCTATGTACATCTGAAAACTTACTGGTTTCACTCCCATGAAGCCAAGAAGCAACTTCGAGCTGAAAATCAAGAAAATAGCTTGCACAAGGCCGAGGATTAACCCCAATATCATAGCTGTTGATGCTGTTCTAATGGTCCTCTTCCCCTTTTTAGTCGCTTTGTTTCCACTGTTTGACTTTGTATCCAAAGCTAGTTTCACACAAACCAAAATACAACAAATTGGAAAGAAAAAAAGAGGGAAGAAAAGAAACAAACAGTTATAAAAAAACTTTATAAAAAAGTTGTGATCAATGTCGAGTGAGATTTGCGGAATTTACCTAGGGGTTGCTGTGGCTGGTTGGTATTGTTACTTGTAGGTGAAGAAATGCCCTTTTCCAAGGAATCTTGAACAAGTAAAGTTTCTGCAAGAACAAGACTGGCTTTGTTCGCTTCTTCTTTCATCTTCTCCATCGTGTCTTCCTCTGCCACAAACGAAGTCGTGAGACTCACAAGTGGGAACATGGTAATTCTAGAAGCTTGATTGAATATGGCAATGGAGACTCCAACCGCCGCTAGCTGAGTCGCTCCTAAACGCCCGACAAAAGCGGTATCAATCAGAGAAGCGACTGGATCAGCAGCTAAAGCCAAAGCTGTTGGAAACGCCATGCCTAGAATCTCTCGCCCAATTGTATCCCTACTGAATACATGTCTGCAATTTTACATAAACAAAATAATGTTATGCATCACTTCTTTTAAAGTATCCATCACCATTTCTTATATACATACACACACACACAGACCTTAAATCTTTGAAGATAACAAGAAATGGGATTGACTTGGTCACGCTGGTTGGAACCGTAGCAAGATCATCACCAGTTTCCGTCATAAATCTTTTCCTTCGTAACTGTCTCTGTAATTAATTTGTTGTGGATCTGAAGATATCAATAAGTGTTTCGAAGAATCGGGGAAGCAAAAGGAACGTTTATAGTAGATTCTATGCACAAATGTATTTGTATATTTATAGACACGTAATGAGCATGCATATCTTTGCTTATTTAATAAAATAAAGTAAAACAAAAGAAATTTTGTTCTATTTTTATTAAAGAAAACAAAGGGTTCCTTCCCTAACTTTTTTTTGCTGCTCTTTATTTCCGTCCAAACTTAAGACACCAATAATATAGAAATTTCTCTTCTCATTGAAGGAAAATAGGTATGCATAAACATCGTAATATATTTATATTAAGTAAATCCCATTAGAACTTTTTGGTTTGCCCTTATTTATTATAACTTCTAGTCTCTTTTTTTTTTGGTAGATAAATTATAGTACTCGTGATGAACTTTAACAAAAATTATAGTACTGAAGCTGACTGTGAAAGAGAAAGAGTCTTCTATTTTAATATCGAGTAAATAAATTATGTTTTCATTGAAAGTTTTCTTACTTGTATTCATCATAGTGGGAAAGGGTTTATTTTCTTCTAAACTCTTCATTTATTTTTTTGATATCTTCCACTAAAAAAGTGAATCATTTTGTGTAATTGAAACTCACTAGTTGACAAAAATGTCATATTATCATTGAATAACAAATAATTAATAATTCAAAAGCTACTTTAATTTTTCGGCAGTTACAAAAAACTTTTAAATATTTTTACTATGTTAAATAAATATTTTTGGGTTAATTTGTAAAGAAATTTGATTAAAGAAATTTGATACTATGATTTTAATATTACAATAAATCATTAAAAATATTTTAAATAGATGTTTACTATCACATGGTAGACCAATAATTACACTTTATTATTTTGATTAATATTTTAATTTGAAAGTTCTCCTCAAAATGTTCTCATGCTTGCACATCAAAAATTTGTAATTTTTTTCCGTCTTCTCCTTTAATATATTAGATTTTAACTTAAACGTCGCTATCGTTATATCTTTTCGTAAATGACTAAAAGACGAAAATACCGTTTACAATTTTGGCGGGTATTAAAGTTTTTGGCGTCATCGATCGTACATAGTACAACTAAAAAAAGCCGCGGAGACAAAATCTGACATGGATATGAAATTCCGGTGAAGACAACGGTATTTATAAATTTTTTCAAGTAAATAATGTTATTTTTTTTTAGAAAATAACATAGTACTTTTTTTTTGTTTAGAAATAACATGGTGCTTAATAATTATTCCTTCCATAGGACCTCGGTTCCAAGATCTTTGATCTCTTTGATGCCCCTTGGGACGTTGAAAAGAGTAATAAGTTATATTAGTTGTAGCATTACTAGAAACACATGCTTGCGAGCATTGGTTAAAGAATTGCATAACGTTATTTTTCGAGGGAGGGGTTTCTGAGGGACGGAGGAAAAGAGGGAGGGTTTTGAGAAGGCCGTTTAGTTTTAGCACGATTCAAAGTACCTAAACTTAAATCGGTATATAGCAAGTGTAAAATATATATTTTGTATGATTCGTGTCATGTTCATTTTAGCAAAAATAAGCTTTCTATTATGATTTATGAACATCTTTAAAATTATAATATTAGTTAAAGGAAGGCGACAGTCGGAAAACAATAACATAAAAGATGGCAACAGAGACCAACACAGGTGAGCTGCATATAGTGCGTGTCGTGTATGCAATTGTTTGTTCCGCAAGATAAGGCCATCTTTTCTAACGTCTATTTCATTACCAATATTGCCACTTCCCCCATTCATATAACACAATTTAATTAGTTATCGTTGAGTTTAATGCTTTTTATAAACAATGTGATTAAATTTAATTATCCCAAAACTTATATTAATACTTTTAGATCAGTATATAAGGTGAAAACTTGATTGGTTGTGCGTTATGGTATTAATATGGAAGTGTTTAATTATACCAACTTTTTATATGTTACAACCTTGCAATAAATAATTAAATAAATATTTTTTCTATATAAAAATAGGAATGATTGCTTTACATAATAAAGAAGTAATAAAATATGAAAGTAATAATGTGTACATCAATACTCAAATTTTGCTATGTTGAAGCGTTAGACATCATCTTTCTTATGGTTTATATATTTTATACCAAAATCCAAACAATTCTCTAAAACATGTACAAACTGGGACGTATTGCTGTTATTTACACCAAACATCATTTAAATTTAAATTAAAAATCTTTACAATTGCACGATCATACTCGTAATCTAGTTAACTATATATATAGTTTATGAGGTTCAAATTCAATCGAAAAATTGTGTATTTATGTTTGTTTATACATTATATATAATTATACTCTCTCACGGTTCATAACCATACACTAGACAATAGACACAAGGATAGACAAATTCGGAATCAACTATCAACCATTCGAGAAAGTGGTGATAGGCGATATGATCTAGGACTTCAAACTTGGTTCGCGACGAGGAGCTGAACTCTTAAAAAATCTCGGACTTACTGTATTCGAATTCCCTTTTAACTTAAAGTTGCACTTGATGTAAAAACGATATTTTTTTTTTTTTTTTTTTTTTTTTTTGATAAACCCTATCGGCTGATCCGGTCGGCCTCGGTAGAAACGCACCGAGGTGCTACAGAGTGGACTTCTCCCGATCCAGGTAGAATTGGGCCACCACACTGCCTGATCCGAGTTTGGAATGCCTTCCGACTAATGCCAGGGGGTAGTCAGGCCGCCTGCATTTCTGACTACCAGGTAAACCAATTGGGCCAAGGCCCAACTGACAGACTTCCCAAACAAATGTGTTTTTGTTTCCAGGGAGAATCGAACTCGGGTCTGGGAGTTTCACCCTTCACCAAAGCTTCCTCTGCCACTAGACCACAGAGGCTTGGGCTAAAACTGTTAGGGTAAACTTTTTATAGTGACTGACCCCACCCCGAAAGGCCCCATATCCAGAAAAATCCTATATGCGTCATAGAAACCCGTGGGCCATCTACAACAGGATTTTATTTGGAGAGGTTTCAGTTCCACCCCGCCGACAGAGAGTCGAACTCGTGACCTCTGGCAGTCGTGTGTGAGAAGTCACATTGAAACCACTAGGCCATCAAGGACTTCTCTAAAAACTGTTAGGGTAAACTTTTTATAGTGACTGACCCCACCCCGAAAGGCCCCATATCCAGAAAAATCCTATATGCGTCATAGAAACCCGTGGGCCATCTACAACAGGATTTTATTTGGAGAGGTTTCAGTTCCACCCCGCCGACAGAGAGTCGAACTCGTGACCTCTGGCAGTCGTGTGTGAGAAGTCACATTGAAACCACTAGGCCATCAAGGACTTCTCTAAAAACTGTTAGGGTAAACTTTTTATAGTGACTGACCCCACCCCGAAAGGCCCCATATCCAGAAAAATCCTATATGCGTCATAGAAACCCGTGGGCCATCTACAACAGGATTTTATTTGGAGAGGTTTCAGTTCCACCCCGCCGACAGAGAGTCGAACTCGTGACCTCTGGCAGTCGTGTGTGAGAAGTCACATTGAAACCACTAGGCCATCAAGGACTTCTCAACGATATTTTTCTTTTGAATCTAATTTAACATTACATTCAAAAAAAAAAAAATAGACACAAGGAACGGTCCTTGTGTTGTGTTTATATATCCTTGTAGGATAGAGAACATATGCAATACTAAGAAAAATCATAGAACTTATGAGATATGCGAAGAAAATATCTTACCTTTATGTAGTCAACGCTTATATAAGTAGTCACGTGAACTTGAGATGAGTAGTGATGAGTGAGTATCTAGGAGAGTTTAGAGGGGATAATTTATAGGCGTGTGCCAATACTTGGCTTCAATTTAATAAGTGTGTGCCAACACTTGGCTCCAATTTATACACAAATTCCATTCATATTCATTTTTGTCCATATGTTCTCAAAATTTTGCTTTATATATAAAGCAATGCACATCCTACCTTTATTTACTTTATATTAAAAAAAATTTTATTTAACTTTTGTTTAAAGTTGGGAATTCAGCTGTACGTCGAAATTGCGGGAATAGCTAATTTATGCCACTTCGGTTACAACGTTCAGTTGTCGTAATCTTTTTTACGAAATATTGTGTTGTGGAGACTGATATGTTGAATATATGTTGTGTGATCTGGATAACATGTTGATCGATCATTGATTACAATTTCAAAGTTGATTAGAGTATGTAATAGTGGAAAGTGGACGTAAATTTTATATTAAAAGTTAACTAGTATATAAATCATATGTCTTTATATCTTGCTTTGTATCATTTTATCATAATCAAATTAAGAATCCAAATTATAACATGATACTGATACACGTCTCATTTCATATAATAAATTGCAAGTACATGCATCTAAAGTTCTAAACTTTTAGATTTGCAAATATTCGTTAAAACGTTAAGCAAATTGTTTCTAAGCTTCCCTCTTTTGTCTCTATAAGACCATTGATTTAGAGAGAAACTGATAAACAATCGATTGATTAATCATTTGGTTTATTGCTTCCTGAGTTTCTTGCTCAAATCCAGTAAAAAACTTATAAAATTTGATCAGAAATCCCAAGAATTGGAGTATGAATATTCGATTTGTGAGTGAAACCAAAATTATTCAATGAACAAAAAACGTATGAGAGACGTGACGTAGTCGCTGAAGTCACACTCAACGTAACAGTCACATCAACGTAACAGTTTTATACAACAAAAGTGGGCTACGTAGGATTCCCAATTAAGATGCAACAAATATTAATTAGTTTAGCCTTCTTTTGTCTTTTATTTTTTTTCGCATTTCTTAATACAGTTATATTTTTTATAGTCATCTTACCTAATTTATCTATCACGATACTTTTGATAATTGATACCTCACGTTTCTTATCATCTACTTTTATAAGCTATCCGCTGTTTAATTACTATCACTATCTATAATATGTTGATCATATCATTCATATATCTCAAAATATTAGCAAAAGATATGCAAAATGATTCGTGGATGAAATTGTTAGAATAATTTCTGATTAATTTAACATTTAGTTATGAAGTGTGCAATCTAATTTCAAAAGATGCAATTATTTGACTGCACACAATTCCTTCTATGAAAAGTACAAAAAAAAGGTACAAATGTACCATGACTTAAATATTTCGTAGAAAAACACTTGACGTCTCTCGGAAATGATTTAGTTACAAAGACATCAACACTCAAGAATGACTCCATTATGTCTACACACACATCGGGCACGCGCCACTAATTATATATTGTCTGGTTACTTTATTAGTGTCATTTTTGAAGAAATATTAAATGTCAATTTGATATATACAATCCGTAATTACATTCATTCTGTGGCTACGGAAAGAGGAAGGTAGGATATATAAGTATATATGAAATTCTGCGATAGTCACATCATTCAAATAATTTATACTATTTTGATGTATTATATTGATGGATTTGGAGAGAGGAGCCAATGAGGTGGTAAGAACTTTGTGCACCTATGGCCGCAAGTGGGTCTATTGTTCGTAGATGAGTTGATTACTTGGTAACATGAGAGAGACTATTGATGCACAAAAAAATGGAAACTATGGGCTACGGAAAGCTTACGAGAACAAAATCTTTAAAATTGAGCTATGTAAAATTTTCGTAGTCTCTTACTAGAGAATTCTCCTGTCTCATTCGAAGATTTTTCATTTCCCTTAACCCAATAAAGGAAAGTTGGGCGTATTACTGTGCATTGACTCTCACATTCCTTGAGTTTTTACTTTTTACTCGTTCTTGAATTTTCAAATTGGGTTGTTGGAGTTGGAGTTATAAAGAAAAGTTAGGGTGGAACGTGGTGGTAAAGTGAGCAGAAAATGTTATGATATTTGTTAATTTTTCTTCTTCTTCTTCAATATGGGCCTGTTTTTATTATGGGCTTTTCGTTTATTTGTGCATCAATGGTTTCATGTTTCCTGTTTTGCCCCTTAATTAATTAGCGAACACAAAACCCAAAAGTAAAGTCGAGCTAAGGCCCAAAAGAAAACCAGGCCCATATTAAAACAGGGCCATATTGAATCGAGAGAGAAGAAAATTCACAAACGAAGGAATCATCGAAGAAGAGCTAGACCTAATCTGTCGTCAATGTCGCTCAGAACTTTCATGGTGAAGGCAGCAGCTGCTGCTCGCGGAGGGAGATCGGTTTTTACTCGCCGCAATTTCTCTTCTTCCACCGGTAGCAGCGAAGGTAAACGTTTTGGCTTTTGATTCGTTTTTTTTTTTTTTTTTTTTTGATAACAAACTTTTGATTCGTTTTCGGAGAGGAATTGAAAGAAAAAGAAAAAAAAACTTTTTTCTTTCCAATCTCTTCTCTGATTCCGCTTGAAATCTATCAAATTCGTGAGTGTACTTATATTATGATTGATTTTTGTTTTTTGCTTTCAATTACAGGGAAAGAAGTAATTACCCTCGCCGATGAGTTGAATAGGAAGATTATGAGTAATTTCATTTTCGGCGGATATTTATCGGTTGGAATTCTGAGTTGCTTTTGTCGGGGTAATGTTGAGAGAATCATTCTAGATTAATTTCAATATTCCTTTTTCGTTTCTGAGATGAAGAAAAGAAAAAACACAAATACGTGATTGTTTTTTTCTTTTTAAATCTTTTTTTCATACATCAGAATGTATTGCGTTAGTAGCTATCCTGCGCGAGGAAGGTGATGAGGTATGGATTTTTCTTGCAACATTTGGAATATATAAATGGTTTTTTTTTTTTTGGAGTTGAAAATCCAAGAAAACTTAAAACATTGAGAAAGTGTTTTCTCTGATTTCAAGATAGCGCAGGCGAACAGTGAGAAGGCTAAGACTCTGACGAATCTTTAAAAGAAAAAAAAAGCTTGTTTAGTTTTTGTTTGAAAAGAGATGATAATAATCTATGATTGTGGCTTGTGTTTTTTAGTTTTTACGTAATCATACATATAAAAGTAGGGTTTCACTCTCCCATGATTGGTCCACTTGGCATTTTTTTTAATATTTTCTTAAATTTACCTTTAATATATTAATCTCTAATTAACTCCCTTTAGTGTAACTCCACATTTAAATTCATTTGTAACTCCTCCACTAAAATGCATTAACTATTTGAAAATGATATTGACTATAATTTAAACTCTATATTTAAACTCAATAGTAACTTCTACCAATAAATAATATTTTGTATACTCATACTAGCTCAATAATTATAAGAGTTTCACCACTTCTCATCTATAAATATCAATTCTCTTATCATTCTCCACCATATTTTCAAATCTGTAAATTTACTTTATTTTATGTTCTTGCATGAGTTAAAAACAATTGTGTCATGGTGATAGTGAATGTTTGATTGTAATATTTATTTTTAAAGATTATATGATATGTAGTTTACATTGTATTCAATTTGTATTTCGTTTATTTTATTTTTAGAGATTATATGGTATATATGTAGTTTATATTGTATTCCATTTTATTTTGTTTTCACCGCATTACAAGAATATATTTCTTTCATTTTTAGTTTTCAAAATTCTTGCTATAATATTTATCTGTTTCCCGATTTATCTATGGAAGTTCAAAAGCTAACTATTCTAATATTCACACAAGTCAATCAAATTGAAATGATATATCTTCGTTTTTTACTATTGATGTATGATTATTCTCTTTATCTATTTATTCAAACAAAAAACATTATTCGATGTTTTAGCATTTTGAAATTAAATTTTTTAATGCATTTCTCAAATATATGTTCTAACATGTAGTGATATGAATATCATTGTAGTATTTTTCCAAGGTTTGTGGTCAAAATTATTTTTTTCCAACAAAATTAATTTAATAAAAACAGTTAGATAATCAATAGCAAATGTTTAAATATCATGTTGGTAAAAAGATGTGAGAAAAAGTATCTTTAATGAAAAATGTATGCTATTCATGTTAGAAGAAAAACTGTTTTTCCTTTGCATCAAGCACACAAAAATTATGATTGTATATAAATAAGTTAAATTTTCTTAAAATTGAAGATATTAGAACTTAGACTTAATAAAAAAATGTAAGTAGGTGTTAGATATATCTAGAAACTACACTATTCTTGATATATGTTTTTTTAATTACAATATACAATTAATTTATAAAATATTTCGAGTCGTACCACTTAATTGATTAATTCTTACTATACTAAAAAATAAGTGGTGTTAAAAAATTATGCATTGTAAATTTGTAATCATAGAAGGATATGAATGATAATATTAAAAGCATACTTTTCTTTTAGTTTTCATTTCAAATTTTAAATTCATGTTTACATTAAAATTGTAACAAGTCACGCGTAGCGTGGCTACATTCATCTAGTTTACATATAAGAGAAGCTCCATTGCATGTAAAATATGTTTATACGTCTTTGACAAAAAAAAAAAAAAACTAAAAAAATCGAGCTAAGGCCCAAAAGAAAAACAGGTCCATATTAAATCCCTTTTAAAAGAGAAGAAAATCATAAATCAGCGCAAGGAATCGATCGAAGAAGAAAAACGAACCCTAATTTCTCGACCTACTTTCATGGCAAAGGCAGCACCATCTTGCGGAGGGAGATCGGTTTTTTCTCGCCGCAATTTCTCTTCATTACCCGGTATCGAAGGTAACGTTTTGGCGATTCCGCTTCTCTCTTCTCTGATTCGGCTTGAAATCCTTTTGTTATCTGTGATTTTAGAGTGGATAGGAGAAGCAAAGAGAGGGGGGTTCTTACGTGCACTTAGAGGAGTGTCTATTGGATATGTCATAGGTATATGTATAAACAGGTTGAGATAGATTTGTTGTTCCCTTATTCTTTCATCGATGATACACATATCTTTGTGTACTTTGTTTTTTTTTGTCTGTGTGTTAAGGTTACTTTGGCCTTCAAGATGCGGTAGATGAAACTAAGGCGATAATTCAGGAGAGGCGGGACAAGGTAAAGAAAGAAAAAAAAAAGAGCAATTGAATGACATTTGCTATTTGTTTCATCTTCATCATTTTGATCTCTGTGTTTTTATGTGTTTAGAGGAAATCTGTTGGAAAATCTCCAGATATTGGTACGGATAATCTCTCTAGTGAAAAAAACACATCAGAGACGGCCTTGCTCAAGTCAGTTGGACAGAACAATGAAACACACTCTGTAACATCCTAATTATCTGACAAGCTTTGTATCATGTCATTGTTGACTACGTGTACTCAAACATAAATTAAGGAATTGGCTTTGCTTTTTGGTTCAAATTTATGATGTCTAATTGTAAGAGAACCTGCTTATGTGAATGAACGAAATGATCTGATGCTTGGCTTCTCGTTAACATTGTAAATGATATGATTGATGTTGGGCTTATGGTCAACATTGTATCATGACTGTATGTTCATGTATTGCTGAAACTTGTACTCTTTTTTCATCGTTTTCTACGACCTTCCTTTAGATATCTGGTCTGTTGGTTACTCTGTTTGTATGAGCTCTATAGTGGGAAATTATGTGTGATATGTTCTGGTTCCACAAACAATGATATGTTCTGCCTTCATATGGAACTGAAAGGTCCCTTCTCCAAGAAGATGCTTTGCAAGGTAAGATTGGACACGGTGTTTATCTCTTTCTTTGATCTCATTTGATGTAACTTTTCAAATGAAACTTGTCTTATGGAATTAGTGAATGAAACTCTACATGAGTCTTGGAGATGCGTGTAGGTTTTAAAACGCTTTCTAGTTTTGTTATGATACCTAGTTTTGTTTAACAGGGAGTAGTTATCGATCAGGACTTGAGCTTCATATATATGGAAAATTAATTAAGTATGGCATCTCTTTGGATATAATCTTTGATCAAGATACCAATCTACATTTTTCTCTTATCATTGTAACATGGCTGTGCCTCTCCTTGTAAGCAAGGAGCAATAAACACTCGACCTTGTGATGGTACTTAGGGTTTATAATATTCCAGACAACTCGATAGTCGGAAATTATGCTTGTCCGCAGTATTAGAGGCAATCCAGCTCTCGACTGAAGCATATCATCCATCTCCGCTCCTGCCCCATACATTGCCCGGTTCGTTGTTCCTATGTAGAGCTGAAATGTTGTCGACTCATGGCTCAACGCATATAGTTTAGGTCCCTTAACAGAAACAAGAGATATATGAATGCATGTAACTTAAGTTGATGATAAATAATTAATATATCTCTTAAGTTTATACAATATAAGACTTACTTGCGCCTTTGCAAAGTTGAGGGGGCCAAAGAAGAATTTGATAGATGGAGGATGAATGTGAAGGCCAAAGACATTAGACTTGTTATCTACTATGAGCTTGGTAGAGCAATTGAAAGTGAGGAACTTAGTCGACGCTCCATGTGAATCCACACCTTGTTCTAACATAAACTGATTAAAACTTCCAATCTGTAAAATTACATACTTTTTAGGTAGAGTAAACAAGCCTAAAACTCAAGGTCATCATTAAAAATCTATCGATTAACAAAATTTGGTACTAGCTTATTAGAAGAAGATGTATATTACTCGAAAAGAAATGTCAGGATGAGGAGGCTGAGTAGCAATGTAGAAGACAAGCAATGCCACTCCTAAGCTAAACAAAAACCTCCAACCTATTTGCAGAACGATCCACCAACCCGAATTGGAGCTCCGCAATGGCACCAACATTTTCTCATCATCCTCATACACTAATTTGTTTCCGTAGTTTCTCAAGAAATCTGAGTGCTTGGGGAATTCATTGACGCAGGATAGGACCAATGGCGCTGAGTCAGATCGAGTGGGGGACTGGAATTCGAACTCGAGGTCGTGGGATAGCGATGAAGGGCTTTGGACGAAGTAGTTTGAGTAGTGGTCTTCTCTTCTCTCCATTAAATAAACTAATTGCCTTAATATTCTTGCTATGTTTGTTTGGTAGTTTTTGAGTGTGTGATGAAAGAAACTATATGATCGCTAAGTTCATATATAGTTCCGAGAGAGGTATGAATCATATGATTGATGTCTATCTCTGAAATGATTTATTGATGTGGAGTAAATTAACCATTATAATAGCGCTAGCGTTCAATTAATTATTTCATGGTGGAGAAAACTATAATTACACAAGTCATGATGTGGGTTTGTTGTTCTTGTAATCCAAATTTCCTTCACGCTTAAGTTTAAATAAGTAATAACCACTTAACCAATCATTCAACCTAGGAAGCTCTATATTTATACAAAAGATATTGATTTTCTTAATTTTATCTTACTAACTTTCCAATTATATATTTAGTTTGGCTTGATTTTTCATTTTTATGTTCAATAATTTAAAAGATATTTAGAACCTCGGAGAGCTTTAATAAGCAAAATATTGCTCTTTTGTGGCCATTCCATAAGTGCTCTCTTAACACGAGGGAAAAAAAATCAAAAACATAGTACGTAGATGGTGTCCGTTTTCTTAACGGCTAGGTTCGGTAGCATTAAAAAAAAGAATCAAACCGAAATAAAATTTCTTAACCGGTTCGGAACTAAAATTTTATTTTAGACCAAATTTGATAGTATTATTATACCTGGCAATCTAAACAGAAACCAAAATCTGTTGCGACCGGACTGAGCCGACGACTAATAGTTTATTTTTATCAACTTTTGTCCACCACCGAACCGAATCCGAACAAACCCAAACCTGAACCAAATGATTTTTTTTTACTTTCTAGCAAACAAAACCAAAGAAACCCGGTTTCTCATTCAGATCTCCTTTTTCCCGACGAAACTAACAAATCCAAACCTAGCCGAACCAAAAAACTTAATCATCAGGCCTAAAGTTTCCTTGCGGCTTGGGGTCTCCATTGGCCCATAAACTCAATTCTATACGAAGACCTCAAGGTCCATACTATAACTCAACATTCATGGTAGATAATTTTTCCTACAATTATGGCAAACGTTAAATTTAGGTTTTTTTTTAGTCAAAACATCATTTTGTTATATCCGTTTCTTTAAGTATACGTTTTGAGTTTTTTTCTCAAAATTTTTATTTAAAATTTTCTGTGTAAAGTAATTATTCCTTTTTGGATTTATATATTCCCCTTTTTTATTTATTACCAATCAAAGTTAATAGAATGTAAATTTTCTAAATTGATATGAAACGGATCGGGGAATATGCTATACTGATCAGCTGCATTGTTTACATTTCTTAAGCAATATTTACGATTTAATAGTTTTTATTTTTGGGTCGTAATTAACTCGAATTTTAGGTAGAGAGAGAATGATAAAGCTGATAATGCTTTCTTATTACGAAACCGTGTTTTACACATCAATCAAACTCAGATTTGTACAAAAAGAATATGAAAAGAAAGAGAAAGCTATACAAATGAACCAACGAATCACCTCATTGCTGTGTGGGCCATTATTTAAGTACTTCCTCAGCAAATAAAATCTCAATGTACCTTCCTATTCACATTTCATGTACTAATGTAACCATGCACGGTGATTGGTTCCTCCACCTATACATATAAACTATGCATATATCTCTCGTTTCCATGAACAATATTATATATTGTGAATAATAGACATATGATGGGGAAAACAAAGGGACAAGAAGAGAATATACCAATCAAGACTTTTTGCCAAAAAAAAATGAAACTTTTTTAGGATAGAGATCGATAAACTTCATGTTAAAAAAAATGTATATAAGAATGAATAAGGAGGAATGAGTAAAAGAAGATGAATGAAAGGGAGAGAGAGAATTTGTCAGTCGACTTGGAAATCAAGGAAGGGGAAAGAAGAGTTGTTATCGATGAGACCATCCAAATCCCAATCTCCTATTTTAGGGTTTTCTATTTCCCAAGAACCATTCTCTATCCCCAACACATTTCCTACCTTGAAACTTTCTGAATGACAAACATTTTTGCTATTGAAGCAAGGATCGAGGACTTGTAAGTTTAGGTTGTTGCTTGTACTACAAGCAATGACATTGGTATTCTCCGATGGGGGAAGAAACCAATCACCTTCTACTGATACTCTCTTGCTAAATGGATCAAGAATTGTGTTTCCATAATCTCCTAAGCCATTAACGTTGAACACATTCCCTGTGTTTCCCATTTGGTGATATTGGTTATCTGGTACTGATATCATGAGGGGATCATCAAGCTGGTTTAAGCCCACACTATTAACCACTGGTGCAAAATTGAATGAGGAAGAAGATTCCATGCGCATTGTGTTCCCCACTATCATCATGTTGTCATCATGGTGATAGCCATCCATCAATGGAGCTGAGTTGCCTCCCATATCCACATGTTGATCTCTTGGGTCTAAGGAATTACTATTACTATTGTTAGGTGATGATCCTGATGAAGTATTGTTGTTGTTGTTGTTGTTATTCTTAAGCCTCTTCTTCAATGTCGAGTTCCAAAAGTTTTTGATCTCGTTGTCTGTCCTACCTGGAAGCCGAGTAGCTATTTGAGACCACCTAATGATAAAATGTAAACAGTTATGCACAAAAATCATTCTAGCTAGGGCCAAATTGTTTCGAATCCGAGCCTCATTGTATAGTTACCTGTTACCAAGAATTGAATGCAAATGGAAGATGAGATCCTCTTCTTGAGGAGAGAAGGAGCCACGTTTAAGATCAGGCCTCAAGTAATTGATCCAGCGAAGGCGACAACTTTTACCACAACGTAAAAGACCAGCATTTCTAGCAATGTCACTCCAACATCCTTGTCCATTAGTCAACATGTATCTTATGAGCTTCTCATCTTCATCAGGCGACCAAAGTCCTTTTCTTAGCTTCGGTTTGTTGTTATTACCACCACATGCATGATTTGGCTTGCCCTTGTCTCTGATCGTAGTGATGTCCGGTTTCCTCATCATCATTTTGGACTGGTGGAGCCTTTTTGAAGAAGAGTATACAGAGAGAGAGATGTAGAATTTGGAGAGATTGTATGAAGCAAGGAAAGAAAGATAAGAGAGGATGATATGATTTGTGGGGATTGCTTTGGAATGATACGAATATGCGTAATGGATATGACAAAGAGACAGAGAGAGAGGAAAGTAGTGTTTGTTGGGATTGATGGGTAGAGTAGAGAGAGTCTCTAATAGAGAGAGACAGAGAGAAGAAGAAATGAGAATGTGAAGAAGAAGCAAGAGGTGGGTCTTCTTTTTTTTTTGTTACAAAATATAAATAAAATAAATGTCTTCGTTAGAAACATGATGATAGACTTGTGAGTGAAGAAAAATGTATCGAAAAAGACTGGTTTAGAGTCAAAGACAAGAACAAGACCAACCTCTTTCTCTGTCTCATCCCCGCACCACACACGTGTGTTTGAAGTATCAAAGCATACAAATACATACATTAGTTATAGCATTCTTTTTAAAAAAATTTTTTTTTTTTAAACGACAACTAGTAACCAATTTTCACTCTCTAAAAGTAATATACAACTATACTCTTGCAAGGAGGCTTATTTTGAAGTAACTTCCATTTTACGATATAATCAACCGAATCTAAATAAATAAATAGATTCAGGATCCTTTGACAGAAATATGGAACATCATAGAAGATCGATGAGACAAAAAAATAATAGCATCAAAAGCGTAACACATCAAATCCAAACTTAAGAATAGGTGCAAGATAAAATCATCATTTTTTTTTTCAATTCATTTACACACAAATTTTCATGTGATATCAAAACCCCCATGAAGCAATCTCAAAAACGAGTCCATTTATAACGAATTAGCGAAATAAAACCATCATCATCAAAAATATCATTTCGACATATAGCACACTGAAAATAATGTGCAGGCAAAATAAACGTTTATTTATTATTATACTCAACTGACAAAGGATCAATAATAGTAAATATTGATCGATAATAGCAAGTAATGATGGGAGCACGGTCCATCATACTCCATCTTAATGCATACTACAGTAATCATCATGCATCACGTAAACTAAATTCGATTCTCTAACCTTCTATTTTGCTTTTACAAATCACAATGTTCGACACTTTCTTTATATATAACAAAGAGATCCCAAATCAAAATCTAGATTAAAGTCCAGAAATTACAGTATCAAAAGCCTAACCTAACGAACAAAGGGAAGAAATTGATCAGCAGAAACAGTATCGGCTTCAAAAACCCTTTGGGCCTATAAACTCTCATTGGGCTTATGCTTCGTATTGGGCTTTTCTTTTAATTGTACGTATTTTTCATTTTGAGTTTTGAAACTTGGTCTTTCACCACATCTTCTTTCAAGGATTTCCTATATTATCACAAATATTAGATGGGTTTTGTTCTATAGCTAGCTTATACAATAACAATCGTTGACCAACAAACATAAAGTGGGTTTAATGCAATGAGCATTAACCTTATATGCTCTTCACGTCCCCACGAACTTTTTCTTTCCTTATAAAACAACATCGGTAAAGCCAAAGCCAAAGCCAAAGCCAAAGGTGACATAATTTGTTTTAAGAGGTCAAATTTAGTAAACATGGCTTCTGGCTACAATCAATACACAGCGATGGCTGTTTTCACCACAATGACGCTTTCCTCTGTCTTTACCGCCTCTGCACAGTACTACGATTCAGAGTCACAGCCAGGAGCCTCTTGTTTTCCAGGAATGTCTATTATCATGATCATCTCTTCTCTCATCCTTTCTGGATTTGCTATTCTCAGATGGTAGATCATCCTTTATGTTCTTCTGTTCTTTTACTCTTCTTTTTGTTGTTGTATCAAATCTCAATAAAGGAAAACATCACTCTCTTCTTCTCTCTTGATGTTCTAATGAATAGAAACTCAAATTTTATTATCTAAAATATCTTACAGATGAAGTGCTATGAAAAGCATTATTTACATTATTTTGTTGGGTATATTCACACTTTTTTTTTACATTATTGTGTAGTAGACATTCCCTATCTAAAATATTATTACATTTGAGTTTCTCCTGTGTCCTGATCTCTTTTTAACTATTATCCTCTCTGAGCATGTCTCCATTTCTGTAATCAGAAGATAGCTTGAATCAGCCAACAAGGAAAATTCTTGTAAGATAATCTGAAAGATAAAGAAAACTAAAAACTTGCTTCACCTTATTTAAGAGGATTGTCAAAACTCAGAATCAAAATGAGTTTGATAAGAAAATAAGTTGTCATCACCACCTAGTGTTCTGTGTTTGGAAAGAAAGTCATAAAAGAGAACCAGTAAGCTGACTTTTCATGGATTTCAAGTTTTCAACACATGAAAAAACATTTATCTCTGATAATTGCAAACAGGTTTTGGAACTTACATTCGATTGATTATATGGGAAAGAATATTTTAGAAAATCTGCAGGCCTCCAAGCAACTCTGATAGCCTGGAAATCAGTTACACATTATCATAATCAGAGATAAAGGTAAGGACAATGAAATGATGTCTGAAGTTGATCATATTAGGAAAAGACCTGATACCGCCTGTTATTACAGTTTCTCCTTCTTGAGAACCAAGATGCCGTAAAACAACTTCTTCCAAGTGACCATCAGAATATGCATGCTATAGCAACACCAAAAATGATTAAGACTAAATCAAATCATTCGTCTAATGCTTTGGCTGACAATAAAGAATAGATGAAATACCTTATAGAAACAACTTGCTCCAAATGGGCAGTTTCCATTTCCAAAGTTGAAGTGCTTACAGTCAATAGATCTGCAAGATTGGAACAGAACACAATGAACCTACTAAGCATATCAAATTTGAAGACAGCTAAGAAAGAATCAAGAAGTTTTTGCAGTTAGTAACTATACCTTAGTTTTGCCTTGTATATGTCGATAATTTCCTTTTTCTCTTCAGGAGTAGAGTACCAGACAACACTGGGGACAACAAAATAAGAGAGTTTGCGACATATAGGACAAGCTCTCAACGTACTGTTGACATCCATTCCCGAAACAGGAGCACTGCTACGCCAATTACGAATGCATTGTATACAAAACGGATGATCGCACTCGGTCAACAGCCCAAACTTCCTTTCCCCTGGAGTTGCCTTTGACAAGATACGATCCAAACACACGCTACACTCGATATCTTGACTTTGTTTCAAAGCCTCAATGTGCTTTTGCTTCTTCTCACATTCTTTAGTGTGCTCTTCTCGTTCTTCGGGTCTGAAAGGATGCAAACACTTCTTGCCACAAGTATTGCAGAGGTCTCCATGCATATGAGGACACTGGTTTCCTCGAGGGCAATCACCAGCTGCAGCAAAAGAGCAGATCGGGTACTCTCTTGGGTGGATACAATAGACGTTAGGGGATTTATCACCGTCATTATTATCGGGTGTTCCTTGTAGTTGCAGATTCCTAGAGGGAGTGGTGGATATAGAGCGATCCAGAGACTCAGAATCTAAGCTAAGAGGAACATTGGAAGCAGCTCTGACATGATCGTATCTACATCTACTTCCGTACAAACATATTCCTTTTTGATAGAATGTGCAAACCTAATTACATAATTTACATATCCAACAGTCAATTTTTGGGACTCATGAATCAAAAGGAAGAGAAAGAAAGAAACTTTAGAAGAGATTAGATTACATTATGAGGCGGATCCTTAGAATCATGGGAAAATCCACAATTTTCGCCTTTCAAGCACGAGCCATGGACAAAGAACTTGCACAGTATCCTACAAAAGAAATCAATTGAATCATACCCAGAAACCAAAGCATCAATCTTTATCAAAGATAAACGAAAACACACAAAATTGAAGAGTTTGATGAATCGAGAAGTTGGGGGATACCTATCGGACATTTGGGGATTGTGCGGAGAGAAAAAGATTCAAAGGAGGAAGAATGACAAGGAAGAGAGAGCTTTATGTGAAGAAATTGAATTTGTACGGTTTTCAATTGTTGAGGACCAAGCAGAGATTTTTTTACCCCTAAGTTTTTGAGATAGAGCGCGCTTCCTCCACCTCCACCACCACCTCCTCTTTTTTCATTTACTAAAATATCCTTTCTCTTTTCTTTTTGGAAATTTTTGAAAAAGATAAAATTAATAAAGGATAATAATTTTTGACCATTTTTTAAGGATATGATTGGTTCGTTTATGGAATACGATCAAGTTAAATGTGAATCATGTGATATATAAGAATTTTCTTTGGAGCCTTCTTGGTGGAATGAAATCAAACAAGTTTTTTAACACACTTTGTTACACAAAAACCACAATCATCATGATTCAAGTGTCTTACTATTTATTACACAAGACTACATAATAATACAATAACGCGAGACAAGACCATCTCTCTCTCTCCCTCTTGCCTTTTATGCACATTATATATTACACACAACAAATCAAGCATACATGATACATTCTCTCTTTCTCACACACTTACACACACAAACCACATCCTCAGATTCGAAATTCACAAACTCAGAGGTACTCAAACTTACCGGACCAGTTTATAATGTTGTATCTCAATCATGTCACACAAACTCCACCTTCACGAGAAGCTTCACCGATTTGTACTTCTCTCCTTTCCGGCTATGTAAAGGAAACGCTCTTATTCCTTCGCTTAGCTCCCAAACAGGTAAGCATGTCTGTCCTCCGAAATCATCTTTCTCTGACATGTCATACTCATGCACTTCTAATCTCAGCAGAGCCAGCTCTGGAACGGTTAATGGGAACTCAAATACCTCATCCCAAGCTGGTATCCAATTATCCTCCAGTGTTTTCGTCTTCTTCATTATTGTATCCCCTGGAACTCCAGCTATCCCAACCTGAATATGTATCCATGTTCAACTTACTATATTGCAATCTAAGAGACAAGGAAAAGTTCTATCTCAAAACATTTGTGTGAGGTTTAAGGGAATGAAAAATTTACTCTTGTATAGAAGTCAGGCGGTGAATACTGATCGAAGTGGGTGTGGCGGAAATCAAAGTACCAGCCTTCTCCCATGTATATAGTTACCTAAGGATCATAAGAGAATAAGTTCACTGCGTTTTATCTGATTTGGATTGGCAAAAGAAAGACCAAACAGATAATCAGATATCTCACCCTAAGTGTTGTTTTTACAGGTAGAGTAACTTTTGGGTCAAATATGTCACTATCCGAACCACTTTTCAGCAGAATATCAGGTTTCTTGATGTAGCCACATCCACCATTGGCTCTAAACATTCCTTGCATTAGCCATAATGATCTTCCATACCCCTGTACATGGAAAAAGATCACCATAAAATCAGCTGAAGAATAAGGTTGATGTCCTGTAAAGTGATGGAGCATAGCTTCTCCAAAATAACGAAAAGTTTTACTACTATGTGAAAAGAAGTTGGTAATATAGCAGAACGAGATACCTGCATATTGAAAGCCACCATTTGAGCACCGTGGCTCCAGCCAACCAACGGGTTGTAATTTGATGAAGTAACTCTAGTTCCTTTTGGGTAAATCCTCAACAAATTGTGCTGAGTAAACCTGCTCCACACCATTGATTAACAGGATTCATACTGAGTTGACAGACTGCAACTATTACTTAGAAACATAAGAACATAATATGACTATACCTCACAATCTGTTTCGCATATTTTTCTGCTGCCTTTTCAAGCTGTTCTTCGCTCAAGCTAAGGCGTCTAACCTTGTCAGGATCTACCTTTAAACACTCAGTGATTCCGCCTTTTGGTTTCCCAGCATGGATTGCAATCAAATGTTTATACTGGGGTGGTGCATTATTCTTAGACTTGTCTTCATCATCATCATCATCTTCATCATCATCATTTCCATCTACGTCATCCTGCAACAAGAAAGAAAACTAACATCTTTTGTATATGAACACCAACAGAACTGAATGAAGATGATTTGTCTTCGTACACACCTTGGCTTCACTTTTGTTCCTCTGAATAAAGCTTGGAACTTCTCTTCCCCAAACTTCTTCATCACCCAAGGATTTACCTTTCTGCACCACTTCCTCATCTTTTCCTTCCTTGTACTCTTTTGGGGGTTTGGTTGAGATGATAATACGCTTTTTTAAAGAGTTTGGCGATGGGAACTCCTTCAAAGATTCTCCCACAGGAGGAGTAAACAGAATTTCCCCAAATATCTCGGTAACCATCTATCATACAACAAGAACAACACATCTCAAAATTGTTGTACTCATCTATTAAAGCGGCAAAGAAAGAAAAGCAAAATAAAAAGCTACCTCAGCAACTTTAGACTGAAGATCTGGAGTAAGATGATCTTCAAGAGTTACAACAACAGGATAGTCGGATACATCAAAGGCATGTGCTCTGATAGCTTTGAGACATTTGATCAACCCCACCGGTGTAGTGAGAGTCCTGTTTTAGAATGGTTCAGTAAACACGTTAATGACAAGCACCTAACCTTTGACTAGTTTCGAATGAATTTTAAGTAAATCATACATTCCGTGAAGAACATCAATATCGTCTTTGTTGGAATTCGGCCATATATCCAACTCAATCACTCTCACACCTTTCTTCAAGGCATCTATAATAGGTACCTCACTACAGTCACTGCTCAGCTGATTACCAGTCAAATAAGAATTATGACCAGTGAATATGAAATAATGCGATATAGGAGCATCCATGTCATGATGCACCTGAAAAATGCAACAAATTCATTAGAGATATGTCTAGAATCAATCTGAAAATGAAAGCTAGCATAATTGAGTCAGGATAACATGTATAGCCAGAATTGTAAAAAAATGAATACTTGTATCATTGATTTTTGAGTCAGAGTTCCTAAAAGAGTACATGTCACATTCCCAAATATGTTACTTTCTGAACTTTATTTTTTTACAGCAACTAGACATAAAAAGAAAAACAATGATATTGCTTCAAATTCATGAATCAGACTTATTCCACAAATCTAGCTTTCCCACAACAACACAGGCCTAAAAAGTAAATAGCACCTACTACTTTCTGCCAAATGTTTTTTTTTTACAGCAGTGTGACATAAAGAAAAAGAAAAAAAAAAATTGCTTCGAATTTCGAACTCTTGAATCAGTCAATCAGACTCAGTGAAACACTCAACCAAATTATTCCAAAAATCTCACTTTTCCACAACATTTCAACAGCCACCAAACAAGGAAAACGAAGAATCCCAGTCCAAAGTCTGAGTTTCTTATATCAATCAATCATAGTTAACTTAAATTCTGAACTCAAAAATTGAAACAAGAGAATTAAAAAATTACCTCATGTAGAGCAAGAGGAGGGTTATTATCACCGAAAAGGTACTTGAAGAAAGCATCAAGGTGGAGACCATTCCGATGAAGAAGAGAAGATGCAGAATTGATAATTGACTGTGCATCTTCTTTTGTGGCTTTATCTTGTTTCTGAACATCGATCAGAAACCTGTGGAGATGATCAACGGTCATAACTCCATTCTCTGAGTACTTTTCGAAAATGGTCTTGATATCACGCGGTGCCTCCGATGCAGTGTAACGAAACCTCCGGCGAAAGCAGAAACACACTTTGTACGTTTGCTTCGACATGAAGTAAAGAAAGAGACGGATCTTTTGGAGAAGATGATCAAGGAATGAAGTAGGGTTTGTGGTGTTATAATCAGAACTATCTTCTCCTGTTTTTGAAATCAGACAAGCGAGATCAGAATCGTCGTTTTGCGTGTCGCATCTGCAAAGACAAAGAAAGATTTTTTTTTTCCTAGTGAATCTCCTCCATGTAATGAAAATTCGATCTTGAACCTTGTCGGAAGAGATCTTCAATCTCTCTCTGATCCGAATATCCCCTCTGGCAAATTATATCCATTTGGGCTTTATTGGGCCTTTTGAATTGATAAAGCCCATTAAGCGAGTTTCTAGGGTTTTGTTGTTGTTTAAAGGAGCAATAAGAGCATAATCTACAAAATCTTTCTATCGTCTCCGCCGCTCCTCTCTTGTAAACAAACCTAAACACATAATCCGAGGAACTAAGGGTACAGCTTCAGCGAAATCAGCATGAGAGCCAAGGTGAGTAATGGGTTTTGATTTTTTATGGATTTCTTTTAGTGATGAGGAATCGGAGTAGTGTGTAGGATCTTTATGGTTTGTGTGATTGGCTGTTACAGTGGAAGAAGAAGCGTATGAGGAGATTGAAGAGGAAGAGACGAAAGATGAGACAGCGATCTAAGTAGATTCGGGAGTTGTTTTGTCTTTCTTCTTTTTAGAACCAACTCTTGTGAGAGTTTTGTTGGTTTTGCAATTTTCATTTGAATGTTTTGTTGGACCGAATCGAATCTATGTTTTCTATTAGAATTATGTTTATGACATGGAAAGATCCACATGAGCTCCCGATTTTCCTTTATTTTTCATCAATCAGCTTATCATTTTGGTTTAATTGATTATCTATAGTTAGTGTTTGCGTAGCATGAGTTTTGTCCTGGTGAAGGCCGGACATTTGATATTAGAAACCCTGAGTGAAGCTCAATTGCAGTATGCCATCTACAAAGTATGTGTGGTTGATTGAACCCTTTTCTCCAAAACGTTTTTAGTAATGTAGCTGAAATATCTGTGTACCGAAAGATTGCAATTAGCTTCATGATGTTCTGATGACTATTGCCACTTAGGTTTTTATGTGTACATGTGAAATACACCTACCCTAGGATTTCATGAGATTCATGTTGCATCTTCTATATCATTCTACTGCTGATAATTGTACTGTTCAACCAAATTCTCATAGAGGGAAATTTATCACTATAGGTGCCATTAAGCGAAATTTGTAATACTTTCAGCAAAGAGTGATGAAACGCATTATCACAATTGAATAAGGATTAACTAGTCACTCTCGGTATTAATTGTTTCCTATATGAATAACAACAAGAATGCAAAAACGGTTAAAGAAATCGAAAGTCGAATGGAGTGAAATGCTGAAAGAAAGTACAACTACAAACTCGTATGAGTAAAAATGAGAGACTTGAGTATATACTCAAAAATGGCTTTTAACAAAAAGTAAAAAAAAAATGACTCACCTAAACCCCACAGAATATTACAACGAAAGTAGGTTATTATCCACATTATTCCCAGACAAATTCTGGTCAGACATATAGCTAGTAGACGAACACCGCCCTAGCAAATTGGGCTGACTCTATGCGTTTCTGATAATTTTCCAAATGCGGATATTAGTAGCCACCCATCGGTGGCATTCCATATGGTGGCATGGGAGGCATTCCTGGCATACCGCCCATTTGTGGTGGCGGACCATACCCACCACCACCTCCCATACCTGGCATCGGTGGTGCAGGTAAAGCAAGTGGCAATAGTTGGGCGTACATGTTCTGTTTAATAACAAAAGAAAAACATAATAATCCTTTAAGCTTATTTGTCAAGATAAAGAGTCGAGATGATATGAGTGTAGCTGTGTGGTAATTAGTACCTGTTGGGACATAACATCCTTCTCTTCCTGCTCTTTAGCCTTCACCTCTTTTTGTGCCTCCAGCTTGTCCTTTATTAGCTCATCCACTTTGCCAGAGTATTCTCGGATAAACTGCAAAGAAAAAGCGGGAACAAGAGAATTCATCATAGCGTTCAAATAATGGTTCCAAACTCATCGAGCAGAGAAACAAAAGAGTGTATTTCTGGGTTAGGATAGATCACCTGGAGGAGATACGGGAAGGCAAAGTCCATCATATTGTTGATCCAGGCAAGTTCAAGAGCCACGTCTGGTCGGATTAAGTCATAACATACAAAGAGACATGTAGCAAAGCATTCCTTTTTCCCCTGTATAATCAAGCACAGCAGAAGACGAGGTATATTAATTTCATCTTCTCTTCGGGACCAATTGACTTTCTGTTCTACTAAATAAAAAGAATGGTTAGCGGTAGCATCTTGTAAATGCTTAACCATCATCATACCTGTTCAATGAAGTACACCAGTAGTTGTTCTGCAAGTTCATGTTCGCCGGATTGTGAAGCAGTTTCCATACAGTCCTTGTACATGTTGTCTTTCTTTGATAATGCAATTGATTGCTTCCATCTGCCCGCTTTCTTGTAGATATAAGCAGCCACACGTCTCATTTCAACAAGCTCGTGTTTCTCGATCTGTTCGCACCATTCACAGGAATATTAAATCATCGCTCAGGCCATCCTTTTTTATATTTCTAAAGAGAGAAGTTATTGAAGGTGTAGTAGATCTGAACTTTACCTTCTGAGCGAGGCCAATCTGGTCAAAGCTGTCATGTAAATCAATAGACTCTCGCAACCTATCATAGTCTTCTTCTTCCACGTATATCTCATTCAGAGCCTCATTAACAGCAGAGACATTGTTGCTCTGAACTGCAATCATGTATGGCTTGATAAGACGCAAGTGACCAGCCTGAGATCAGAAGAAACCAATTGTTAAGCAATGCAGCTCAGTTGTTTTTTTTGGGAAAAAAAAAGTCATCAGTCAGCTTCTAACCTTCCGCATTATATCAACAACACGAGTATGGTCCAGCCGCAACGCAAGCACGTTGAGAAGATCGTTGATTAGATCAGGATGCTCTTGCAAGTAGAAGTGCACAGCCTTGTAGTACAGTTCAACATTGGCTACCTTGGCAACAATGTCTTTGAATTGCATGTGCTCCCATGCCTCAGGAGAATGGTTCATGACGGTGGTCGCAGCATTATCAAACTCATCATATTGAATGTACAGATAGGTAAGTTCCTGCCAGTGCTGTTGTTCATCACAGGCCCGTATAAGCTTGGGAATATTGAGGCGAGTTGAAAATAACTTGATGTGTTCCATAAGTTTCTCATAACGATATCTAGCATAGAGTACACCCAACTCGGTGAAGATACCCATGTGAGCACGTTCAAGTCCAAGTCCACTCTCCATAAGTGAGATTAATTCATTGAAGCACCCTCTGTTCTGGTAGTACTCACTGACTTCTTCCAGGTCATCCACCTATAAAGTACCAAAAGATTAACCGGGAAATAAATGAGATACATTGGGCTATAAATCATAAACACTTGAAATCTAAAACTCTTAAAAGGAAACTTCTGTGCTCACTAAGATCAGGTATTTATTCACCTGAATGATAATGTTAAGACCACAGATTTGAGCCAACCGGAATTCCTCTGCATCAACGCAAGCAAAGCAGACTTCCTTCCATGTCTTTGCACTGTTTGCTTTCCTTGCAGCATCAACAGCACCTTGGAACTGTTGCAACTTCACAAGTGTGACGGCTAACTTGCCCCAGTTTGATATAAACGCATAGATTATTTTTGCAGCCTCATACAGAGCTTCGTCATACAGACGATCACCAACATTTTGTAGATTAGCAACGTTTGGCATCAGAATGAATTCTTCAATCTCACCTAACCTATCAATCTTTGCATATGCATAGATAAGCTCACTATCAACCTTGGGTTCCTTCACCTTCTGTCTAACCATCAAAAGGTATTTGACCAAGTCATCATAGACATCAGTATCTTCAGAGACACGTATGACTTCCAAGAAATGAGTGGCATCATCAGCACGGATAAAGGACTCAATTGCATCACTGACTAGTCCTTCTCTGAGTTGCGCCTTAGCAACTTGGTTCCAAACAGAATCTTCTTCGACCCGGAATGCAAACTCAACTGCACGCTCAATGCTTCTGACGTTATCCAGCAATACATTGACAGCCTGAACATTTAAGTTGAACTTCTTGAAGATAGCAAATGCTTCCTCATACAATTGGGCTTCAACTGCCACTTCTCCAACCGCAGGTCCATCAAAGTTGTCCAGCCTGTTAATGTAATCCATAACTCTAGATGGATCTGCCTTAATAGCTGTCAATATAAGCAGATTTTGCAGATTGAAGTTTCCACTGAAGGCAGAATTTTGAAGAACAATCTTTTCAAGAAGCTCAATAAGCTCGTGCGGCAAATCAGCAGTCATGAATGCTTTAACAGCTGCAGAAACTTGCTCCGGGCTCTTGCTTTCAGGTAAAGCAGTAGAAACAACTTGGTCAATAAGCTGTCTTCTATAATCATTGTTTTCATCGAGAACCTTATCCCAGAGATCACCATCCATCCTCTCCACTACATACCTACAATTGAAAACTCGTGTATTAACAATCTACAGAGTCACCATTGTGAAAATAAGTAAGAATTTTAGTAAGTAATGATAAGATACCTGGCTTGTAACTTGAACAAAGAGTTTTTGTTAGTGACATTGATGAGTTCCTCATCACATTGTCCTCTTCTGTATGCCACAACCGCCAGGGTAGGATCACGTTTCTCGCAGTACTTACCCACAACCTTAGAGTCGTAGTAAGGGTTGGTGGTCAGGAAATGCTCAGGGTTGTTGTTACTGTCTATGATAATTTTACCCAAGGCATTATGGACATGCACATCTTGGCTTCCCTCACTAACTAAATGCTCTAAGAACTGAGTGAGGAGACGGAGACGATTTCTGAAAAAGCAGAAACATATTAGAGTTTCCAGAACAAACAGACATAATTATGAACGCAAACCAGGATGACCAAAAGAATTCACCTCTTCTCACATTCCTCGACAAGTGGTTCAACAGGCAGCAATGAACGAACAGAGAGAATGAGGCCTTTTATAAAATCTTCGGGGCATTCATCATCAAGCAACTG